AGTCACGACAAATGTGTTTCCTCTGAAATGTTATTGACCATTCGAATGGGAAACACATTTTGTAGGAAACATGGTTGCTTTTTTACATGCAATCGTGCATAGTTGACAGGTTTTACTAGAAGTTGTCCTCATTAGCAGTCTGTAACTGATCTATTAAGCATAAATACATGTTTTATTAACCATCACAATGCCATAAGCATCAGCTTATAAACTCCTGCCGTAGGGTACAGTGAAAGAAATGACCTTAAACACATAGAAACAACCTAAATATTCTTTGTATATCTGTACCAAAACATCAGCTCGAGTCAAAGGACAAAGTGATGTAGTCAACGTGACAGAAAATTGGGGGGAGGATGGGGATAAAGGGGGGTTAGGGTGGAGGAATGACAGGAAGGATTTGACGAAAACAGATGTGACATGTTGGAATGACCCCGCCTGCGAACAGCGAGCGAAATGCCTTTTCTCTGCGTGATAATGAATGCACATCAAAAATAAGCTTTGATTAATTTAGCTGGAGCAATTATCCGACACAGCCTGATATCCGACACGTGGAACCTGTTCTGTGCAAACCGATGAGTACAACAACTGTTCTTTGACAGCTGATATGTGGAAGTAGACGCATATAAGTCGGTTTTTCCGTTCTCAGCCAGCAACACATTCTTTGGCCTTTTTTTTCGTCTTCATCCCTTCTCGCTCTCCATATAAATCTGCCTCATTCTCTCTATCTCTGTCTGTCTTTGCAGGCGACAGACGGCGCCTCCTGTTCAGTTTAGCAGTTATTACACGCTCTAAAACACACTGACTCACAGAGAGGCGGAGGCAGAGATAAAGAAAGATGGGTGATGATGGACGAGAATTAAAGGCTGAATAAAAATGTAGCAGGAAACAGTAAGTGGAGGGTAGAGAAAGTAGATTAAGGGTAATGGGTGTGTTGCGTGAGACCTCTTTTCATGCTGCTGAATGTGCTGTCGGCCTTTTTACAGCATTGTCTGTCTGCAGATAATATAGCAGCTCATATCAGTTGCACTTAACCAATAATTAGTGATCTTTATGTCCAAAAAACTAAATAAATTATCGTAAACTGTTCCCACAATGCTTTGGTAAAGACCATTGAGTTGATTTCACTCAATAAGAGCTTGCGCAAAATGTTTTATTTACCTTATTAATGCAATAATTTGTTTAATTAATTCGTAAAAAGGCTTTTATACATTGTATGTTACTGACCTAAAGCTAAATAGCAGACAGACAAGGTTTGCGACAAGCTAGCAGCGAACATATTGGAGCATTAAGCAGTAGTTGAAAAGGGAAGTGAATAATAATACATTAACCTTTTGATGGTGGAGACCAACGACAGAGCTAGAAGAGCAATAATTGGACTTCTATTCGTCAAGTGATTAGACACAAGATGCCACATTAATGTCAACTTGTTTCCTTACACATTTCTATTATAAAAACATAACATTTATTCAGCGAAATCACTGAATATAAACTGGTTCCACGTAAGAACAAGAACAAGTTGAATGTCTTTGTGTTTTGGACCCATTTGTTTAAATCTGGGAAGTTGTGACTGACATTATGATTGTTTTTTGCCATGATTTGGACTAAAATATGCATTTGTTAACTGTCTTTGGACTTTGTAATGCAAACGCTTGGTTTCCATTGTTTATTTTCCCTTCAGAGCGGAGGGTCCCTCGTAAAATAATGTCATCCTGTTGATACAAACGATGCAGAGATCCTGTTGCAGCATACCTTTCCCTTCCCAAACATCCAAACAGTGTCACACCAGAGACCTATTAATATACACAGAGGAGCATATAAACAAATAAACTCTGCAGTCATTTCAGGACATGCCAGAACTATACAAAATAGTGGGGATGGTCTGTGAAACAGAGAGACACTGAATAGCCATTTAATATGCTTCCTCTGGCGACCAATTACAGAGCCAATCAGCGGAGAACATATTTCAGTTTCAGCTATTTGAATATAGATTGCTTTTGGCTTTTTCACACGTCACCTACAAACCCTCTCAATCAAAGCAAGTCATATTAAGCGATCATCTTGGAAGTGTGATGGGATTTAATTCCCTTTTTTATTATATTTTCCAGGCAATCACTTGTTGAATCTTCGAATCAGCTTCAAGAGTTCATAAGAAGCAAGCAAAGCTGGACACAGACTTCCCCTGAGGCTCACTTAACATTCATCTGATAAATATGAACGTGTGATATTTAAAGAACCAATCGCGGACAGCTGAATGCCGAGGGGGTGAAATGGGCAGGTGGCGGGAGATAAAATACTGAAAGCAGGCCGTGGTGGTACAGTGAGATGGCAGATTGGCCATTACATGTTTATATGAACCCCCGAGAAGTGGATATACTGTAAAAAATAGGCAGTATATAGAATATATGATCAAGTAATGACTTTTGTACACCTTGAGCTTTATCCAGGCTCCTTTCAATGGATGAATTGCTTAAAGTGGACCTATCATGCTATATTTGAATAATATAGTGTAGGACCATACCTATATAAGGCATATTTATACTTTTTTTTTTTCAAAATACCAAACAGATCATGCATTTTAGCCATGCCTCATTTTGCTCAATTTGACAATTTCTAGCTCTGTTTTAGCAAGGGCTGATTCTGTGAGAACGGCACTATCTACTGGCCTGGCATATGTACTACAGCGTCTCCAGCGCTTTCGAACGGCAATGGCCGTGGCTGTCTCCTCCTGGTTGGTGGAGTTGGCCCAATAGCCGTAGCGCCACCGTCCTGACGTCAGGACAGTGTTCAAATCTGGATCAGTTTTTATCAGATCCGTTGCAGCCCCTTTTTTAGAGATTTGGGTATGGAGGGAAATAGAGAGGGTTGTGTTTTCTGACACTTGGTGAGTTCCCTGGAACACCGGGGACACATATTCATGTATAAAAGACGTACAAAAGTGCATTTTGCATGATAGGTCCCCTTTAACTCATAATAACTAGCTTCAGCACTTTGATGATATTTGGTCGATGTTGGCCTAAATATACGTTCTGGTGTAATTTATCTGCCGTAAAACCATTACTTTTGTGTCCATTAAGCTTAAACTATTACTGTTAGTTTGGCGGAAAAGTCAATTTGACTAAAACTAATCTAAAAGCTTGCTTATTTGAAAAGCTTATTTGCAAAGATTAGAGAATGCAGATGTTCTTTTTCATTAATCCCTCATCCAGAAACCAACAACAACTTGTAAAAGTCCTAATTTCTCTACAGTAGTGACAGCAGCTTTTGAAATATTGCTATAAAGACACTGACAGATATTTGTCTTTGTGGGGGTTGCATTGTTGACTCGTCATTTCCCTCCGAGAGACACACAGACCCCCCGGGGAAGCAGTGCATTTTCGAATGAGTGCACACACGCACGTAAACACACACCAACACGCCGGACGTACGGTGACAAATCTGCAGATGGTATACAGTCATCGGTTTATGAGAGCATGGATTGAACTCACACTACGAGTGATGTCAGGAGGGCCCAGATTGGTCATGAAGTCGTCAAACAGGCACAACGACAACCTGTGCTCATCCACTACTTACCCAATAATCTAAGCTTGTACTTAACTTTTGAATCCATCCATTTATGTTTAGTGTATCAAGAATATGTGAAGTACTAATAATTGTCTAAGACTGCTATGGAAAACTACAAATACTGCTATGACCAAGGATGTACAACGTGTATTATATTTTGTAGCCGCTACAGATATTTACCTGCTTCCCATGGCCAATACCTATAAGATAACCAATACTTTTAATATTTTTTAAATGTTTAATAGCAAGTTCATAACCTGTATTCTCTGCACACCTGAGGGTTAGGAAGCGTAGGTTAATATTTAATAGTTAATCTAATATATAATAATATTTAATCTAACTGACATCAATAGTGTAAACAGAGCAACAACAAAGATTTGGCAAAAGAAAAAGGTTATATTCCTTTTTCTTTTTTTGGTTAAGTCCTTTAATACAATTTCACTGCAAAACAATCATGTTATGTTTAAGCAATTTGACCTCACATTAATGCCGATAATTTGTCCAATATAATTTAAATATTGACAAAACCATTTCATTCTGAAAGTAGAATGCTAGCTATGACAAATAAATAAAACAGTCAATATACCATTTTTATTTGGCCACTGGAAAAATCACTAATCCAGCAGCAGAAGATGTTTAAAGATGCTTTAAAATGTAAAGATCGTATTGTTAAGGCTTCATTTTGAATTGTGAGACCTGTGGAAAGATGTCAATGAAATGAACTAACCTTTACTGTACCTCTGGTTGTGTTTTCCCGTCGGGCGCACCATTTAATTCCTGGCTGTTCCAATGCACACACACAAACACACACTGTGGATGTAAATAAGCAGCATGCTTCAGTAACTTTCTCAGATAACAGTAATTCAATACAAAGTGTTTTTTTCCTATCAGCCACTTGTTTCCATGTCTTTCCTCCCCTCAGGTGCTTCTCATTTTCTCTTTCCTTTGTTCACGGCCCTTTCCTTTTAGTGTTGTCCTTACGTCTGTTCTTAGCTATCCTAAACAAATGTCCAGCTCTTACTTTTCCTGCCCCACAATCCCTTTCTACTCATCTCTGCCAGCACTAATAACTAATTAACTTTCATAGGGTCCCACAGGTCAAACACAGTCCCGGAAGAAATCTTCTGCACGCTGTATTTAATCACTTTGTGTGTGTAGGTGTTTACATGCTGCCTGTGTGTGTGTGTGTGTGTGTGTGTGTGTGTGTGTGTGTGTGTGTGTGTGTGTGTGTGTGTGTGTGTGTGTGTGTGTGTGTGTGTGTGTGTGTGTGTGTGTGTGTGTGTGTGTGTGTGTGTGTGTGTGTGTGTGTGTGTGTGTGTGTGTGTGTGTGTGTGTGTGTTCCTGTGTGAAGTGTCTGTGTTAAGGATGGCAGGGAGAATGAGATGTATTCATTATCACGGTGCAGAGAAGTGATTTTCACGCCTCTTCTACCTGTACAGGAGCTGACGCCATGACCACAGAAATGCAGGAAATCGCCATCACGGAGGAGAAGCCATTACTGACGGGTCAGGCTGAATCCAAGGTCAGAGGAGATGCCACACAAACACACAAATGTGTACGATAATGATGATTTGTTGTCAGATCAAGTCTAACATTTTACTTGCATCGCAATGTTAAGACACAATACAAGGAAAACAGACATTTAACATCACGATCACTGGAGAAAAACACACATGTTGCACACAAAGGATGTGTGTGTGTGTGTGTGTGTGTGTGTGTGTGTGTGTGTGTGTGTGTGTGTGTGTGTGTGTGTGTGTGTGTGTGTGTGTGTGTGTGTGTGTGTGTGTGTGTGTGTGAAAAAAAACAAGGCTTGGATTGTGTGTGAGCATTTTGTGTCTTTGCTGTCCGCGTGCGCGTTTTGGAGTATGAGCAAAGCGTACTTGTGACACAATGTGTTGGAAATACCGTGACCGAGTGTGTGTGTGTGTTGTGCGCAGCTGCAGTGCTGGCTCAGAGGTGCAAGGTTGACGTCAAAGCCCCTGAGGGGGAGAGAGCAGCTCCTCTGCTGATGTGTGTCGAGCAGATGCAGCAGAGCGGAGGGTCTCTCACTGCTGACTCCTGCTGGGAAGAACAGGGAAATACAACACTAAAAGAAAAACAACACAAAGAGACAAATAATCTCAATTTGAATCCAGGGAGTGAGCAGGTAGAGGTTTAGTGATATTAGTAACAAGAAATGTCCATTCATGTCAGGAAGTTAGGGACTTCTGTCATTATTATAACAATACTAAATAACTATCATTTTTCTTATTGTCTACAATCCCATGAAAAGCAAGACATGGTTTCTTGGCATCTCAATAAAACAAAGTAGCACTTATAATGGTTAAGCTAATGGAAAGCTAACGTGGCTAATGGATTATTGCTGTTTTAAGTTTTTTTTTTTCATGGTTTGATTTGGAAATGTCAGCTGACTGAAATGTAATGTAATCATTTCCAATGTATCTACGTTTGGATCCTGAGTCAATATTTAAAATCATTTTTAAAAGTTCAGTATTTCAGAGGACTTTTTAGATATTGCGTCTTTGGCATATTTGACATAGACTTTCACAAATCTTACAATAAAAGAAAAACATTTGTCTTAATGGAAATGTGGACAAATGAGCTACATTTCAATGAGATAATTCCTCATTGTCACATTTAAAAGTACAATTTCAGAAAACTCATAATACAAAAAAATGTTGTCTTAAAGGTGGGGTAGGTAAGTTTGAGAAACCAGCTCGAGATACACTTTTTGTTATATTCCATGGAATGCTCTTAACATCCCGATAGCAATGAATATCTTAAGTGCTTTGACAAAAAATCCATAAAAAAATGTAATCTGTGGAAGCCGTAGTACTGTAAAAAGCACGACCAATCATTTTAGCCGGCCCGGCTAAAGTAACTGGATGGCCTACCTGCCTGTCAGCCTTCCATCTGTGCACAAACTTATCTCGTGCCCTCATTGGTCATGTGCGCGTTCGTGTGTGTTGGAGGAGGGGCTCTGTAAGGAAGTGGCAGATTTTTTCCGGCTGTGTATTTTCAAATTCTAGCGCACTCGAGCTGGTTTCTCCATTACCTACCCCACCTTTAATGTAAGTAAACAACTTGGGACATTTCACGTTGATATCTATTAGTTAAAAATGGTAACCTATTCCCTTATAGTGCCTTCTTTGTAAAATGTGACATATATAAATAATAGAAAAGAACAGATATAAGTTATAGTCTCATCTCTCTTTCCTGCATCATCGACTATGATATGACCCATGGGGATGTGACGGATGATTATCCGACCCTCCATCGGTCTCAGTGACATCCCGCCTCTGCCACACGCTAAAGCCTATGATCGCGAACACGCTTCATTTTGATTAAACTAACGACCTTTTATAATGCAGCCATATGCAAACGCCCACCTCTACTTCAACTCTCCAGACTGCTCATTTCAGAGGATCTTGGGATGCTTGTAATCTAATAGCTGGGTAAATGGATCCAAGGTTGCAAATGAACGTGAAGCCTCCCACTGACAGACGTCCTACTAATAATCCTCGGTATCCCACAATCACCTGCTCCTCCTGAGAGTTCCTCTGCTGCTCTTTCTGGAGTCTAACACACCGCCCTTTTCTCTGTGTGGGTGTTAATTACTGAGCGAGCATGGCGTCTTTGAACATAAAAGGACTTTGAAAGAACAATACGTTGGAATTTTCTCTCAAATATGCTTTTGGCTTCTATTTATACTCAGTAAAAAAGACAAAGAAAGAAGAAGAAAAGAAGGAAAAATCCATTGTTATGCTCATCAGATTCTGACGGGAAGTTATTCTGATTACAATTACAACAATTTATCAAGACTTTTATGAATGAAATTAACAAAGTTGTTCAATTGAGTCCTTTGAGAAGCCCTATACAAAGTCAATCAAGTTTTCTTTTAAAGTAAAAACACCAAAAATCTGATGTTTTTTGGAGTTGCTTCTTTTCGTTCTCTTCTATGGAAATAAACTGATTTTATTTGGCTTATTGTTGGTCGGATAAAAAAAGACAATATATGACATTTCTTTCGACTCAATTGTTGGTTGATTATCAAAAAATGATTAATTGTTGAAGAACCTATTGTATAGGTTTCTTTTTCCTCTGCTACACAAACAAGACAAAAGTGACATCTTTAGTCACATTTCACACATTCACACCTTGTTCTAACAAGAGTTCATTTCTATATTTCTCACAGGATGTTGAACTGGCTGCTAGGATACTCCTGGACCAAGGACAGGTACGTTTTCTTTATCGTAGGAAATATCTACAAAAAATTAAGTAAAATCATCAAAAATGTTGTGTCTCTTTGTAGTTGTTTCAGATCATTTGTTGCATTTATGAGTCTCCTTAGTAGTTTTAATCTTATTGTTAATCCTTTTGTAATTGTTGTAATTGATTTTCCGTTTCTTGGTAGTCATTATTTGTATGTTTGTGGTTGCTCTACCCTTTTTCATGGTCAATATAAGTCTCTTTGTAGTGTTGTGTGTCTCTTTGTTGTCAATCCAAGGGCCTAGAGAGGTTGTTTTGGAATGAAAATGAACACGGAATAAAAACCTTGGGGGAGATACTGTATATTTGATGAACTACTAGAACATAGCTGTCAGCTCTCTCCAGCAATGTCAATATAACACTTCATATTTGTTATTTCTCTTCTCTTGCTCTCTGCAGGAGCACAGCATCGAGACCCCGCACGGTGTTCTGCACGTGACCCTCCACGGCACACGGACCACCCGTAGGCCCGCCATCCTCACCTTCCATGACGCGGGTCTGGACAGTAAGTCTCTCTCTCTCCTTCATCTTAGTCAAACTTGTGTAACCGGTGTTGATTAGCGGTATCTGCGTTGTGCAGAGGTGGGAAGTAGTGGAGTACAAATACTTCGTTACTGTACTTAAGTACATTTTTCTGGTATCAGTACTTTACTCCACTTTTGATGACTTTTTACTTTTACTTCTTACATTTCTAACACAAATACCTGTACTTTCTACTTCTTACATGTTGAACCCAAATACCTGTACTTTCTACTTCTTACATGTTGAACCCAAATACCTGTACTTTCTACTTCTTACATGTTGAACACAAATACCTGTACTTTCTACTTCTTACATTTTCCAAACAGGCTGGTTCCTTTAGTTTGAATGTGTGTTTGGTGGCGTGATCATTATTATTTAGAGTCATTGCGTGCCTATTGATTTGAACACGATCCGTGTATCCATCATTTCCTGGTCTTCTCTAAAGAAGAGGGACCAATGAAAACGTTGTCATGTTGCCGTTGTTCAGCATGGAAACATTCATTAGCTAACAATGACATTATTGTTCTATTAATATAAAGGGAGGTCAGGTACTCTTTAAAACAGCTGCTAGTTATGGGTACTTTTTACTGAAGTACATTTCGAAGTCTTTACTTTTACTTGAGTAAAGAAGTTTAGTCAGTACTTCTACTTTTACCAGAGTATTTTTAAACACGAGTATCTGTACTTCTACTTGAGTAAAGGATGTGTGTACTTTTGCCATCTCTGGCGTTGTGTAATGTATCTTTCGCTGATGGATGAGACCCGAGCCAGCATACAGTTGAGCCGATCTTTCACTGACTGACAACAGATATACAACAAATCAGTCGCTATTAAATTGGTTTTCCCTCACACTGACACGTGAGTGACACAATATGAAGGGGGGGAAGTCTCCACAAAAATAATCTTCTGAGTACAGTGACTAAATTCTGGAGGTTCTGCCCACTGATTTCAGACCTAGTCCCAGAATTATTAAATACAAAACCCTGAATTTGTGTGATTATACTAAAGGGTTTACAAATAAATATGTAACACGAAACACCACTGCATATTTACAACTGTTACACTAGCACCAACCTTTTCTTGACCTCCCACATTTAATCCCTCCCTTTTCTTCTTCCTCCTCACAGGTAAGAGCTGCTTCTCCCCTCTGTTCAAGTTCGAGGAGATGCAGGAGATTGTGAAGAACTTCACCGTGATTCATGTTGATGCTCCGGGGCAGGAGGAGGGGGCTGCTGCCTACCCCTCAGGGTACGACGTCATTCCTCTTATATGTGTGTTGACATGCTGGTTTTCCCTCATTGTCCTGCAGTAACCTTGCATTTCTTCCGAATAAACTTCTCAGAAACAATCTTCTGTGGCAGGCTTAAACCTAATCTCTTCCCAAAATACTTCCCATCTCTCACATCTCCCTCCTCAATACGCTCTTCTTGTCAGAGGTTTAAAGAAAAGACGGCCTTTTCTCTATCTTTTGACGCACTTCTCCATCACTTCACGTCCTCCAGCTCGGGAGGATTTTGTCTCGGCTGCGACCCTCAATCTAGAAGTGGAAGCTTATTCTTTTTTGATATCGTTTTAAATTCCTCTGGATCAGCCAATGTATCAAATATAGAGTCTAATCTTTAGTGATCATGCATCATGGATAATGGCCAATCACTACATTAGTTAGGTTTCACATTCATGGGGGTACCTTTTGCACGTCTATTACACATTGGATGTTGTGTGTTTTCCTAATTATGATGGATCTTTCCACTGATATTGCTTTTGATTTCCTGTTACAGTTACCAGTATCCCACCATGGACATCATAGCGGACATGCTCCCTTCCGTCCTGCAGTTTTTCAAGTGAGTCACCAGCATTTGACGTAAAAAGGAGCAGAATTTAAAGATTTTTGCCTGTTCTGTCTCACCTTAAAATAAACTTGTGATTTTTTTCTGTTTGACTACATATGTAGAGATTTCTCCGTATGTGTTTTTAACTTATTTTGTCCCTCACAGCTTCCGTACTGTAATCGGAGTTGGTGTGGGAGTCGGAGCGTACATCCTCTCCAAGTTCGCAGTGAGTGTCTTTTGTGTTAAGCTCTTGTGTTCTGACAGCAGCTAATTATACTGCAACTTGGTGTGTTATTAAACCGCAGAGAAAGATGGTAGTAACATATGTAGTAATTGTCACATTTGTGAAATTGTAAAGGATACATTAATAAATCTGTAACTCAAACATCTTTTGCCATTTGTAATGTAATCTATATACAACCACTCTTGAACAAGTTAGAATCCAAGAAGGACTAAGGAAATATAGCATTAAACTTTAAGTACCAGCAGTAAAAAGAACTCATTGTTCAGAATGGCCCATTTCACAATATATTATATTACTGAATTTAATTATGGATGATTTAATGAGAGTATCACTTCAATATGGCAGCTGCTAATGCTCATTTATATTACTTTATGGTAGAAAATACAATATCTCCCTCTATGGAAGGCAGAATTGTGAAGTAGCAAAAACTGAAAGTACTCAAGTAAAGTACTAGTAGTTTAAATTAGACTTAATCCTTCATTAAATTCCCTTAGTTTATTCCAGCTCTGTAAACATGTTTAATATATAGAAAACGTATAAGATTACTTATTAAAATGGCATCAGGTGAAGAGGATGCTACAAACTCTTAATGTGATAATTGTGCAGCTTTAATTATGTGTGGACATTTTACATGTACTGATTTAACTTACTCTTATCTTTCTACACTGTGTTATTCATGTACATTTCTCTCTATATTTGTACCTACTTACTGTAAATACACTGAAAACATTCTGTCTCGTGATGTTTTTCCTGTCATCTCACCATCTGCTGCTTCCTGTCTCTCATCAGCTCGCAAACCCAGATTCAGTGGAAGGTCTGGTTTTGGTCAACATCGACACTAACGCCCGAGGATGGATCGACTGGGCTGCCCAGAAGGTACGATCGTCTTTGTACTCTGATGCTGTATTTAATAGAGTTAGACCTAATAGGACCTCTCCATCAATTTTTGTTTATCTGTGGATATGAAATTATGCGACCGCGTGCATGGTCCCAGAGTACTATTGATTATGTCCTTGTTTATCATATTAAACTCCAAAAAGATGAACCGTCCTATTGATTTATCTTTCTTTCCTCTAGCTCGTCTCCGTGACGTCTTCCCTCACAGAGCAGATTATGTCCCACCTATTCAGTCAGGTACAAAGATGATAATTCAAGTGTAACATTCAATATGTGTTTCATAATTGTATCAGAACACAACAAACTTTCCGCCAATAGCGTAGATAAAATGTTGTTTCTTGCAGGAGGAGCTGTCAGCAACCACAGAGCTAGTGAAGTTTCACAGAGAGCGTATCTCCAAAGCGTCAAACCTGGTCAACATAGAGCTCTTCTGGAAGACTTACAACAGGTAAACACACCGGCAAAACACTATGACATGAATGCAAATATATGGCAGATTTAAAAAGAACAACCAACTATAAACTTCTCTTTCTGTTTCCCTCCAGCCGCAGAGACTTGAACATTGACCGCAACAGCACCTTCAAGTAAATATCTTCTAAACTTTGATCTGTATACTTTATTTCTTGTTTGATTTTGAGAAAAACCTCCAATATATTTTAATAAAACCCTCCTAATTTCTTTTTCTCTCCACTTCAGTTGTCCAGTCATGTTGGTGGTTGGCGATCAGGCTCCATATGAGGAAGCTGCCGTAAGTGTTGAGGCCTTATTTTATCTTTTTTAATATATTTCAATGGCGATTTGACTCAACTTGACAGGTTTCTAGGGTTTTTTTTTCAACACAAAGAGTTGAATATTGTTGTGATGGCAGATGTTTACTTTTTTTTCCCTTGTGTGACCGCTAGGTGGAGTGCAACAGCAAGATGGACCCAACAACAACCTCGTTCTTAAAGGTAACCAACAAAGTATTTATTTATTAATCTGTTTTACCCTGTTTGTCTTCTTACTTGCACTTTATTTACCCATTCACTCTTACACTCTTCTTTGCTTTGTCCTCCACAGATGGCCGATGCTGGTGGTCTCCCTCAGCTGACCCAGGTGAGAACAAACTACCAACGTCTTTCTGAGACTTAAAACCTTAACTCTTCTTTGAACACGAATTGATGTATTCAAACGTAACTAAGAATTGCAAAACATGATCAGAAACTGAGGCATCGTACCTAGAATTAAATCTTACATGCTAGTGAAGTAATATTGCCAGTTCCTTGTCTCCAAAATCCACAAAAAAGGGAACAAACTTATTTGAAAAGCAATCATTCTGGGTGTTGTAGTCTAGCGGCGACCTCTGGGTCTGAAAAGTGAAGCCTTAAGTCGCTTAAACCTTTTTTAAATTGTTATCACGGGGCGACTCCACTGATGTAAAAAAAGTCAGATTCTATAGAAGTCTACTAAGAAAATTACCCTAATGTTCACTTGATTTATTGCCTCATTTTCCTAATTAGCAGAGATGGCAAAAGTACACACATCCTTTACTCAAGTAGAAGTACAGATACTCGTGTTTCAAAATACTCTGGTAAAAGTAGAAGTACTGACTAAACTTCTTTACTCAAGTAAAAGTAAAGAGGGCTTTGAAATGTACTTAAGTAAAAAGTACCCATAACTAGCAGCTGTTTTAAAGAGTACCTGACCTCCCTTTATATTAATAGAACAATAATGTCATTGTTAGCTAATGAATGTTTCCATGCTGAACAACGGCAACATGACAACGTTTTCATTGGTCCCTCTTCTTTAGAGAAGACCAGGAAATGATGGATACACGGATCGTGTTCAAATCAATAGGCACGCAATGACTCTAAATAATAATGATCACGCCACCAAACACACATTCAAACTAAAGGAACCAGCCTGTTTGGGAAATGTAAGAAGTAGAAAGTACAGGTATTTGTGTTCAAAATGTAAGAAGTCAAAGTAAAAAGTCGTCAGAAAAATAAGTAGTGGAGTAAAGTACTGATACCAGAAAAATGTAGTAAAGTATAGTAACGAAGTATTTGTACTCCACTAGGCAAGGCAAGGCAAGTTTATTTATATAGCACCTTTCAACACAAGGCAATTCAAAGTGCTTTACAAAAATGGAAGACATTAAGAAAATGGCATTTAAAATCAGTCATTAAAAATAAAAGATAATAAAATAAACATTAAAAGAAAAAATACATGGATAAAAGTGACAGTGCAGTTTAAGATATGAATAGTTCAATTAAAAGCAGCGACAAAAAGAAAAGTCTACTTCCCACCTCTGCTAATTAGTCAATAAATCTCAATTTCTTTCATGTCTTTTCCAATTCAGTATGATGGTAAAATAGACACAAATGCAGACAATAAAGCTTTCTCTACCTTTTGAGTTCTTACCACTGCTTTGTCCGGTCTGGGTTACACTGGGTTTATTACCTTTTTACAGATTGGAATAAATCAATGTACTGATGTTATCTTTCTTTGTGTTTGCAGCCTGCTAAACTGACTGAGGCTTTCAAATACTTCATCCAAGGAATGGGCTACAGTAAGTACACTTAATTGAGTCAAACTTGGGTTTGTTTACAAAAAAAAGTAGAATAACCACATCTTTGACGTTGCCTAGTGTTTCCATGAATTTCTAATATTTAAAGATATTTTATTCTATCTATCTGTTTTTCTCCACAGTGGCTTCATCTTGCATGACCCGTCTGTCTCGCTCCCGCACCACCTCCCTGTCCTCCTCCTACTCCATGGATGGGTCGCGCTCTCGCTCCCGCACCCTCTCTCAGGGATCTCAGGGCGGACAGGTGCCGCCCAGCTCCTCCCAAACCATGGAGGTGTCTTGCTGAAGGAAAACATAATAATAGCGAATGAGATAGAGGGTGAGAAAGAAAGAGGGCAAACAGAAGGGAAAGATGAAGTGCGACGATAATGAAGGAACAAGACGAATGGGTTACTTATTTGTCATTTAACAACTCCCGTCATTCCCCATAAGAGCAGTATAGGATAAGAGATGGAGAACCGTCTGCATCAGTCTTCCTCCTTTCTGCTGAAATCAAAGTGGATTGGGCTGTTCTACAACGAATATAAAAAGTATAGAGATTAATAAAAAGGGTGGAGGTGAGGAAATAATGGCCACCAGTCCTGTCTCCCTCCCTCTTTTGACGCCAATAGAGCCCTTTTAATTTAGAGGAGGCCTATAGAGAACACACACCTTGCAGTAACCAATAGTAATAATTCAGAAATTGTATTGTTGTTGACCCTGATGATGATGGTGTTGATGAGGATGTTGAAGCTATTGATGATGATGTTCAGTTTAAAAAAACATAGGTTAAAAAAAAAGAAAATAGAAAATAGCAAAGATACTTATAACAATGTGTGTCTACTACTTTTTAAGCTAGATTTTACCGTGTCATTTTTATTTCTTGAATCTGATTTTATTATGTCATTTGTAACCTGCCTCAGCAAATGGCCGAAGCTACTTATTGGTTGACCCGTCAGCCAATGAGAGCCATTATACAGTAGTGACTACTTCCTCCTTGATGTTGCCAGGTTGTTTATGTCTTCCATTTGCCCCGTCTATAAGTGACTGTTTTTGTTTTTCCCATTGGATTTGAGGAAGTGGGCAGGAAGCTTTTTTGTTATTTTGCTTTTCTTTCTGGACTTGGAAGTTGCATGCCTGGTATCAGCCCATGTGAATATTGACTGGATACTATTTTTCTTTTTATATTCTGCTAATGAGTTGAGTGGATTTGTGTGTGTGTGCTGTTTTGTTTCCTTGGAGTGTTTCGCAAACATGGCGGTCAATAAGTAAGCATAGGTGAGACTGAGTTAGCTTTAGCTATCGTTAACACTAGTCACTCACTAATTAGTGCTTCCAATATTCCTGGTAGTCCAGCATTGTGTCCCAATATCCATGCTGGTGTACTACTCAACCGGAAGCATTACATCGCTAAGTAGCATGCTAGTATAGATATTGCTTCTCAGTGTTTGGTTAACCCAGAAGGGATCACTGTGTTTATCATCTGGGTTGTAGTCTTTTAGCCTTGCCCGTGCATGGATACCTCCTAACAAACCCAGCTAGCATACTTGATTTTGAGTGCGATGGGAAGTATAATGAACACAAGCTTCTCAACTAGCAACTTTATCCAAAACGGGGTCAAGAGAATTGTGTTGTGAATGTTGCGATATGTATGTGTCCGAGGAAGTAAATGTCGGTGTGTAGAAGCGCTTGTATCCTGTAAGCACAATTATTGCAGTAAAGACATCCAGGGTCCTATGGAGAAGTTTAATTTTGAAGCCAACCAAACCCCCTGTGACTGACTTATCAATGACAATGTTCCAGCCCCTTCACTGCCAACAGACTTGAAAAAAAGTGTAAAAATGTTGCCTACATCAGTCGAAAAATATTGAGCCTTTTCTTGTCATACATAGAAAATAACCGCCAATTTCTGCACTTTAATACAACAAATCGGGAATTGCAGCCAATACGCTTTCTTACTGCCAAATCTAAGATCAACCAAATACAGGGGTCATGATTTCGCCATCAGAAATTTCTGTGAGCATTTCAAATGTCCCACTTAATCGAAATTTCAACACAAACACAAAAGCTTACCACTGCCCTGCAACATGTCATTAGACTGAGCATACTTTTTGAAGTCCCAGTATTTGGTCCAAGTAAGATTTTTTTCTCGGCGTACAAGTGCATTTTTGAGCTTGGCCCCTATTTGCACGCTTTCTTGTACTGATGAAGCGCTTTTCTGAAGAAGTTACTTTTTATGAAGGGTTGCCTGTTTCTGCCACATGCTATCTAGTAGTGGTCCATTCCCAAACTGTTTGACCAAGTAAAGATGGATGACGACAGTGACAGGAAAAGACAGCTGAGTGCCTAAATGCAAAATGTGACGTCAACCCAGGATGCTGCCATGTTTTAGGCACTTTTGTTGCTGTTGAGTGCTGAAGAGTAGAATGTAAATGCTCCTCCCAGACTTAAAATAAAGCTCAAGCAATCTGGCATGGGAGCATCTACCAAAAAAAAAAGGTAACAGTTGGAGCTTAGGCAATGAAATAGCCAAATATGGAAAAGAAGTGGTACTTATTTTTGGAGAGTTGAGCAGGGCTGTGTGATTGTAAATGCTTGTCCATTTTGTCTTTTAATTTTTACTTTGTTAATTTTTTCTTCCTCCCTCTATGTTTTAGGATTTCTGTTTAGTTTTATCTCTTTGAAGTGTTAGTTTACCGTCCTGATGTGCTCACAAGTTAGTTAACCGTGTGATAGTTATTGTGTAACTTTTTTAGCCTTAGCACTGATAAGGGAGATTAATAGAATTAACAATAAAAAAAAATAAAGGTAAGAAAATACAATCAATTTTACTTGTGCGGCTTATTTCTCTGTGTAACACAATGAACATACTAAAAAAAGCAAACGTAAATATTAATAAATGCTTAAAATAAATATCCTGTCTCCTGTCTTGCATTTTCAAGAGAAAGCATTACTTATATTGTATACATTTCCCCATTGTGTTGCTATATTTCAACAAAGCATTTTTCTTGTCAAGTAGTGGAAGAAAAAGCCCTGATTTAAACTGATTACAGACATTTACTGTATGGCTTCTGGCCATTGGGGGCAGCACTGAGCACGATTCTACTGAACAGCAGTCAAAAAGCAAGAAGGAAAAAATGCGCCATCTTGGATTTTACGAGTACCACGTGGAAAGCCCTCTGAAGTAAATAGCCTATCTATTATTACTCCTAAAAGGTTTGTATGTGTTTGTTTAATCTCCTATGCCATTAGTCACAATGCAAGAACTTAAATATTTTAACAGGTGGGTTCACTTGGTATTAAAACAAGACCTTGATAGGGCTAGCTATTTAGCCTTGTTATGCTACACGATTATACACACTTTAATTTAGCTTCTTCTGTAAATTCGTCAGATAAAGTACAAACATTTTATTATTTTCACAAATATGTTATTTAAAGGGGACCTATCATACAAAATGCACTTTTTGATGTCTTTTATACATAAATAGATCTCTAAAAATGGGGGTACAACGGAGCTGATCCAGATTTGCGTCCGATATGACGTAATATCGGAAATGTAGGCAGGCTTTACACCCACGGCCCTATCAGAAACGTAGCTATCAGAAACAATGCCCGACTGTTTTGGACGTAATATGGTCGGTGCATGTTTACATTAGCATCGCTAACACTCAGAGCTAACCTGTACTGCACAGAGCATGTGTGTGAAGAAGCAGGAAATAAAAAGGAACTCACCTTGTGGTATAACCGGCAAGAGAGAAAGCCTTTGAGCTCCGTACTGTTTCAGAAATAATCCTTGATAATCCATGATATGGCGTTTCATCACCGCAGTATCTGCCAGTAGAATCTCCTGCATGAGCTCAGCCCCCTTTTTTTTTATCAAATTTTTTTTTTTTTAAAGCTTTATACCCCAAATCAGCACTTTTGAAACAGGAAGTGAAATAGAGGGATATGAGGCATAGCTAGAATGGGTGATCTGTTTGGTATTTTGAGCAAAACACTTCATAGTCATGTTTTTTACATATTTTTATATATCTGAGACCTATGCTATTGCCTAAAAATGGCATGATAGGTGCACTTTAAATATAATCCCAGCCTTTTCCCCCTGAGATGGACTTTATATAAACACTTTTAATTCAACCTGTGTTTATGTTTTAACTTCTTTAAATCAAATAACTGTTTATCAATCTTATATTTACCTTCACTAAGTTGGCTTTTTTACTGGACTAGAGTCAATATCCTGGCAAATGTATTTTAATATCAATACATCTCACAAAATGCTATGTTATTGTGCATAACAAATTACTGCCTAAAGCACTCCAATGCAGGGAAAGTTCAGTACCAAATTGAACCACACAATGGCAGTATTGAAATGATTATATTTAGTCCATGTTCAAAGCCTATGCTGCAATATCGTTATGAAGAGTTTCCTTACAACACAAAGACATGTCTAAGTCATTAAAGTTGCTAATTACAATGTGACTATGAGTGGCCTACATATGTAAATAAAGTCAAGTAATATGTTTTACAAATGATGACTCAATAAACAACAGGTTTCAAATGGTAGCTTGATTTTTATTAAACAGAATCAAAATGCCTTTAAATTGTAATTCAAATAAGTTTCATTGTATAGCTCTCCAAAAATATAAACCTTGAATACAATCTTAATTACTTCAGTGAACCATACAATTATACTAACGACATCGTAAATAGTCATGTTACTGTTTTTAAGTGTTTAAAGAAGTGAAATATTACTGTGTGTAGTATCATCATAACCACATATATTTTGCATAGTCATTTGAATGATCATAAACAAAGGATCAAGTATGTATTTTGTAAAGATAAATTAATAAAGCAAAATAATAAAACCCTTCAAATTCACAAAATATATATAAATACAATAAAAGATGAATATAAAAAAAACATGATAAGCAGTTGTTTGAACTGACAAAAAATAGAGATGAAGAAAAAATAAACAATATTTTATGTACAATAACAATAAACAGGGGACCTGCACTGATAAACATATCAAAAAAGTATTAACACCTACAACTTTTAATCTGACCTAATTGTTTTTGATGCATTTCAGATCACATGGATTTCTAAAAAAAAAGGAATACCCCAAAATGTTAAGTAATGAAATAACTTTAAATCAAAAACATGAACTTAAAAACCCACAGACAGCTGGATATAGGCTGTGTTTCTTATTTCTTGAAATTATGTGGCCGAAAGATTTCCTGTCTGTCCACTGTCTGTTTTGTTGCTTTCTTGATTGCTTTGCTCAAGCCCTGAACACCTGACTACTATCTACTGTATATACGTTTGACTTAAAGTCTTAGTATCTTTGAGAAAAAGCCACCCAGAGAGAACATTGTGTCCAAGGTATAGACATGAGTCAGGCCCAGATTTTGAAGACGCATGAGTTCAATGTGAATGTCATAGTCGCGATGGCTAATTAGCTGGTACAACTTCAGAGGGTCTCCGGAGCGGATCAGAGGCAGTGATTGTGTCGAAAGGACTACCCAGGGCAGAAGATGGACTGCTGGAACCATGAAGTGTAATAGACTCTCTTCCAATTTAACCGTACTACCAAACAGTTTTGCCCTTTCCAGCTTCTTTATGGCCTCATTAATGTTACTTTTGAAACACTGCAACACCAGGTGTCTGGTTGACATGTGAGAGTCAAATCGGTCGACTGAATCGCTGCAGAGGTCCATGATATCTTTGGAGTATATATAAGTGAACTTAATTTGTTCACAGTGGAGCTCAACCGACTTGAGTGCATTTTGCAAATCTTCCAGAGCTTGATCGATGCAGTTTGGATCCTGTTGTCTCTCTTGCTGGGATAAAGATGCAAAAGCACGGTTGTAATATGCGATTGCTGCCCAACAGTGGTCCTCCTGTATGGCCTTAGTGTACATCATGATACTATCTGCAAGTTGCCCCCTTTTGCGCAGTTCGTTGCCAAATGCAGTGTAGTGGTGCAGGTTTGAAGAGGGCGATTCTCTCCGTCTGAGTTTTTGCCTGGCTGTTTCCAAGTCTTCCCCTAGTTTGTTTTCTAAGTTTGAGGTGGATTCGTTCTCATTGAAGTTTGTGAGGAGCCAAATACCCCAGAATTCATTGAGTGCAGACACATCTGAAGCTGCTGGCTTGTTGTTACTGATTTGGTACTCTTTATCTAGTGTGTCCAGATACTGTTTGAAGAGCGATTCCTTCTTCTTTATGTTTGGTATTTCACACTCTGAGAAGCTAGCTAGTTCTTTAGCCACTAAATCATCTCTGACCTCTTTAACTGTCTTTATCGGTGAATTTGAGTTTTCAGTCAAAATATGTGTCAGAGTTGAAGACATTTCATTAGCTTGCTCATAGCTCGGGCTTTCTTGATAGGACCTCAATTGCATCGAAAAGCAAAGTGGCAAGACATTGGTGACGTTCTCCATTAAAGTTTGAAGTTCGCCCATCAAAGCCAACAATTTGAGTGGTTCTGGCAGGGGGCTGGAGCAGATAATGAGCTGGGCAGACCCAGGAGATCCTTGTCTTGCAGTACGGCCAAATGCCTGCGCCTCCACACGAGCATTCACGGGCAGAAAGGTCTGCAGAACGAACAAACCTCCAGCTCTCTTTACCTGGTCAGAAACCTGAAGGTCCATCCCTCTTCCAGCAAGATTTGTTGCTATAATGACCTCTCCTGCTTCAAGCTTCTTTTTGAAAATTGCAGTATTGTCTATGTTGTTGCTTGTGTAAAGCTTTTTGTCCGGGACTTTATTTTTTAAAGCAAGGTCAAGGTCCTTTGCTTGTTGGATGGTCTCACAAATGACCAACACAGCTCTTTGAGCCCTATATGGAGTTGGGTTTGTTTCTGCCAATACAACATTACAGATTTCCTCAATCCATTCTTCTTCGTCACTTACAATCACTCCTTCAACCTCAAACAGCTTTCTGCGTTTGAAAGCAGGTATCTGACAGGTCTTGACATCATAGATTTTCTCCAAAGTGTCAGTCTCTGCTTGTTGGCCAAGAGTTCCAGAAATCCCAAAGATCTGATCTTTGTACTTCATAAAAAGGCCCACATTGGACATATAGTTTGTGATGGCCGTCATGTCACTCAGCTTGTACTTATGTTTCATCTCAAGAAACTGCTGTAGTCCATCTGGCATTACCCTGAAGTTTTCAACAACACCTGTGGAGCTGTAGTCAACAGGCACTATCCCATGTTTCTCGAGGGTATATTCACGATCTTCTGTCATGGTCTGTGCTTTGAATGCATTTTCAATCCAAACCTTTAGTTTGGAGTTGACCAGATCTGCAAGGAAACCTGGGACATAACACGCTATTCGATCTTCGTTGAGCTCACAAGGTGTAAAATGCAGAGCATGTTTTATTTCTTCTTCTGCAGCCCTTACCTTACTCTCTGTATCAGAATAAATGTAGTGACAAAAGCCATTACTGTATTTTTTTGCAGTCGTCCATATGAATGCCAGGAGTGGATTGAGATGTTGCAAAGCAGGCATATCGCTGGCTATATAGACAAAGTGATTACCTTTATCTAGCATCAAGGAATCTACTTCATCCACTATTGCACACTGGATTTTCCTTTGCTCAAATGTGTCTATTCTTTCAAAGCGCTTGCCTAGCCAATGTCCAGCAAATGCCTCAGCAGTACCATATACCACGTTACACTCGTAGCACTCTTTTAAGTGTTCAACTTGTTTGTTGGTATTGCAGTTGACTCTGATCTTCAACACATCATAAAACCCTTTCCATTCTAAAAAATCTCTTTCTGCAAGAACTGGTGAACTAGTGAAGATGTCTACTTCTTCTCCTTTCAAAGCTCGAAAAGCTGCAAACATTGCAATTATACATGACTTTCCCTCTCCAGTGCCAACCTGAATTAACTGCCCTGTTTTGGAAAGAGCCATTATACACCAGCTCACCATCTGTGTCAGTCGCGGTCTGAACTTCAGACTTTCTTCCACTGCCCTACAAAGATTTAGCAATACTTTTTTCAGGTCATTCCTCTGTGATCCATCACTAGGAGAAGTCAGATCCTCATCAACTGCTGATACAATGTCTCTCACGTCTTTCAAAAGGTTGTCGTCAATGTGGTTTAACTTTTGTTGTCGGATTTCCTCAAGGATTTCGTCCAGGGACTTTTCCGGGGCATCGGCAACATTTTTCTTAAGGTGTTCATCTGTTACAGACTTGTCTCGGACCAGCTGGATAAGAGTCTTTCCTGTTTGACTTTTCCAACCTGGAGTGATGTAATTAATCTCTATACACTGCAACATGTTCAACATCCATGAGAAGAGATGTGATCTGTCTTGTGTTGTTGACTCAAACCGCTCCAGAAGAGCTTTGAATAATTCAGTTACATCCTTTGTGCTCCATTGGATGTTTCTGACAAATCCTTGGAGCTTGTTGAGAATGATTTTCGGAGACACTAAACTAAAAGCAATCAGTGTAGGAAAAAGTATTTCAACTAATTCTTCATCACTGCTGTCGGATTCAGACATTTTGTAGAAAAACTCAAATCTGGTAAAAAAACAGAAAGAAAGATATCTTGGATTTGGGTAAATAAAACATTACACAATGTCCACACTGTACTTAAAGGTCACCTATTATGCAAAATCCACTTGTTCATGTCTTTTATACATCAACATGTGTCCCCTCTGTGTAAAGAGATTCTGAAAGTTTCAGGAAAAAAGATTCTCTCTCTTTTTGTCCTGATCCATTTATATAAAAACCTGTCTGAAAATGAGCTGATCAGATTTTGGCCACTTTATGATGTCATAACGATGTTTTGGCTTGTGTAACCATTAGCCAATCACCAACCAAGGTACCCCCCCCCCCCCCCACACCTTATCACCTGAATCTCCTCCTAGAGCACCTTATTTTCGTCTAAAGTAAGAGACACAGAATCAGCACTTTTGAAACAGGGCTGAAACAGAGGGGATTATGGGATGCTACAATGATCTGTTTGGTATTTTGAGCCAAACACTTCAGATAAATGTTTTGTATATCTGAGACCTATACATTGATGAAAAACAGTATAATAGGGGACCTTTAAGTCATATTGTGGTAACAATGTGCTACAAAAATGTAAATGTAATATTCAAAGTACTAATTCATTTCTATTCAACAGGTATGAATTAAAACATATAATTAGCAGTTGTAATTCTCTATGCAGCACACCATTATTACTCTGACAATCAAACACAGAAGCATCCAGGTATTCAATTTTTACTTTATATATCTTAAAATGTTCATTATTGATGCATCAAATTATGCCGGGAATAGTTTGTTACTAACCTGGTAAAAGATGAAAAGAAGAGATGAGTTTCCTTGGCGCACCTGAGATGATCTGCAGCCCTAAGGGTTTGCTTCTGTCTTTTAAATCTTTTTAAAGTTTGTTTACATTTTTCAGTAAGCGTGTCAGGACATCGCTCCGAGGGGAATATCCTTTCATCCTTTCGATTTCTGTGTTTGGCTTATTGTAAACCGTATCATTTACTGTAAAAGCAAAAAGCAATAAATAAGCTCAAGGTTAGCTACACAGCCATTGTTTCCCCTTAAAAACTATATTTCCCATTACATTTTCCGAGATTCAACCCATTTTCAAAGAAATGTGACCAAAAATATGAATTGCTGTTTTTCAGGTTAAAACACAAACTATTCCTTGGGGGTATTCATAAATCTAAGTGGAAATGAAGCAATATTAAGATTTTAACAAACCCTTTAAATTACGTTTTAAAGTTTAATTCAAAATATAGTTATCTAAAGTGGCACAGTATCAAAGTTTTACAACTTGAAAATGAAGGCGAGCATTAATATTTGAATTCACCTTTGAAGGGTGAGACTGGTACCCATGACAGCCATAATATAGAAATGTCATGCGGGCAGAAGTCACGCCATGGTTGGGCAAAACTCTTTGTGTAATTCCCCAACAAACCCCAACGATGCCAACATGTTTTTTCTTTCATTTTCTTCACAATCACATGACTTCTCGGCAGTGAACTAATCCAGCACTACGTACAAAAATGTAATGACAGTAGACCATAATACATTTGATTCTTACGCACATTTCTTTTGGTCTAGCCTTGTTTTTCAAAGCTATAGCATTGTATATGACAAAAAACAACAAGTATTAAAATATATACACTTTTTTATACTGTCTTTTCAAGTATATGTCTCAAAGTAATTGCTTAGAGAAATTGCTTTTTAAACCAAAATCTGCTGCTGATTCACTGCCAACAGACTTGAAAAAAAGTGTAAAAATGTTGCCTACATCAGTCGAAAAATATTGAGCCTTTTCTTGTCATACATAGAAAATAACCGCCAATTTCTGCACTTTAATACAACAAATCGGGAATTGCAGCCAATACGCTTTCTTACTGCCAAATCTAAGATCAACCAAATACAGGGGTCATGATTTCGCCATCAGAAATTTCTGTGAGCATTTAAAATGTCCCACTTAATCGAAATTTCAACACAAAAGCTTACCACTGCCCTGCAACATGTCATTAGACTGAGCATACTTTTTGAAGTCCCAGTATTTGGTCCAAGTAAGATTTTTTTCTCGGCGCACAAGTGCATTTTTGAGCTTGGCCCCTATTTGCACGCTTTCTTGTACTGATGAAGCGCTTTTCTGAAGAAGTTACTTTTTATGAAGGGTTGCCTGTTTCTGCCACATGCTATCTAGTAGTGGTCCATTCCCAAACTGTTTGACCAAGTAAAGATGGATGACGACAGTGACAGGAAAAGACAGCTGAGTGCCTAAATGCAAAATGTGACGTCAACCCAGGATGCTGCCATGTTTTAGGCACTTTTGTTGCTGTTGAGTGCTGAAGAGTAGAATGTAAATGCTCCTCCCAGACTTAAAATAAAGCTCAAGCAATCTGGCATGGGAGCATCTACCAAAAAAAAAAGGTAACAGTTGGAGCTTAGACAATGAAATAGCCAAATATGGAAAAGAAGTGGTACTTATTTTTGGAGAGTTGAGCAGGGCTGTGTGATTGTAAATGCTTGTCCATTTTGTCTTTTAATTTTTACTTTGTTAATTTTTTCTTCCTCCCTCTATGTTTTAGGATTTCTGTTTAGTTTTATCTCTTTGAAGTGTTAGTTTACCGTCCTGATGTGCTCACAAGTTAGTTAACCGTGTGATAGTTCTTGTGTAACTTTTTTAGCCTTAGCACTGATAAGGGAGATTAATAGAATTAACAATAAAAAAAAATAAAGGTAAGAAAATACAATCAATTTTACTTGTGCGGCTTATTTCTCTGTGTAACACAATGAACATACTAAAAAAAGCAAACGTAAATATTAATAAATGCTTAAAATAAATATCCTGTCTCCTGTCTTGCATTTTCAAGAGAAAGCATTACTTATATTGTATACATTTCCCCATTGTGTTGCTATATTTCAACAAAGCATTTTTCTTGTCAAGTAGTGGAAGAAAAAGCCCTGATTTAAACTGATTACAGACATTTACTGTATGGCTTCTGGCCATTGGGGGCAGCACTGAGCACGATTCTACTGAACAGCAGTCAAAAAGCAAGAAGGAAAAAATGCGCCATCTTGGATTTTACGAGTACCACGTGGAAAGCCCTCTGAAGTAAATAGCCTATCTATTATTACTCCTAAAAGGTTTGTATGTGTTTGTTTAATCTCCTATGCCATTAGTCACAATGCAAGAACTTAAATATTTTAACAGGTGGGTTCACTTGGTATTAAAACAAGACCTTGATAGGGCTAGCTATTTAGCCTTGTTATGCTACACGATTATACACACTTTAATTTAGCTTCTTCTGTAAATTCGTCAGATAAAGTACAAACATTTTATTATTTTCACAAATATGTTATTTAAAGGGGACCTATCATACAAAATGCACTTTTTGATGTCTTTTATACATAAATAGATCTCTAAAAATGGGGGTACAACGGAGCTGATCCAGATTTGCGTCCGATATGACGTAATATCGGAAATGTAGGCTGGCTTTACACCCACGGCCCTATCAGAAACGTTGCTATCAGAAACAATGCCCGACTGTTTTGGACGTAATATGGTCGGTGCATGTTTACATTAGCATCGCTAACACTCAGAGCTAACCTGTACTGCACAGAGCATGTGTGTGAAGAAGCAGGAAATAAAAAGGAACTCACCTTGTGGTATAACCGGCAAGAGAGAAAGCCTTTGAGCTCCGTACTGTTTCAGAAATAATCCTTGATAATCCATGATATGGCGTTTCATCACCGCAGTATCTGCCAGTAGAATCTCCTGCATGAGCTCAGCCCCCTTTTTTTTTTATCAAATTTTTTTTTTTTAAAGCTTTATACCCCAAATCAGCACTTTTGAAACAGGAAGTGACATAGAGGGATATGAGGCATGGCTAGAATGGGTGATCTGTTTGGTATTTTGAGCAAAACACTTCATAGTCATGTTTTTTATATATATTTTTTATATATCTGAGACCTATGCTATTGCCTAAAAATGGCATGATAGGTGCACTTTAAATATAATCCCAGCCTTTTCCCCCTGAGATGGACTTTATATAAACACTTTTAATTCAACCTGTGTTTATGTTTTAACTTCTTTAAATCAAATAACTGTTTATCAATCTTATATTTACCTTCACTAAGTTGGCTTTTTTACTGGACTAGAGTCAATATCCTGGCAAATGTATTTTAATATCAATACATCTCACAAAATGCTATGTTATTGTGCATAACAAATTACTGCCTAAAGCGCTCCAATGCAGGGAAAGTTCAGTACCAAATTGAACCACACAATGGCAGTATTGAAATGATTATATTTAGTCCATGTTCAAAGCCTATGCTGCAATATCGTTATGAAGAGTTTCCTTACAACACAAAGACATGTCTAAGTCATTAAAGTTGCTAATTACAATGTGACTATGAGTGGCCTACATATGTAAATAAAGTCAAGTAATATGTTTTACAAATGATGACTCAATAAACAACAGGTTTCAAATGGTAGCTTGATTTTTATTAAACAGAATCAAAATGCCTTTAAATTGTAATTCAAATAAGTTTCATTGTATAGCTCTCCAAAAATATAAACCTTGAATACAATCTTAATTACTTTAGTGAACCATACAATTATACTAACGACATCGTAAATACTCATGTTACTGTTTTTAAGTGTTTAAAGAAGTAAAATATTACTGTGTGTAGTATCATCATCACCACATATATTTTGCATAGTCATTTGAATGATCACAAACAAAGGATCAAGTATGTATTTTGTAAATATAAATTAAAAAAGCAAAATAATAAAACCCTTCAAATTCACAAAATATATATAAATACAATAAAAGATTAATATAAAAAAAAACATGATAAGCAGTTGTTTGAACTGACAAAAAATAGAGATGGAGAAAAAATAAACAATATTTTATGAACAATAAGAATAAACAGGGGACCTGCACTGATAAACATATCAAAAACACCTAAAACTTTTAATCTGACCTAATTGTTTTTGATGCATTTCAGATCACATGGATTTCTAAAAAAAAAGGAATACCCCAAAATGTTAAGTAATGAAATAACTTTAAATCAAAAACATGAACTTAAAAACCCACAGACAGCTGGATATAGGCTGTGTTTCTTATTTCTTGAAATTATGTGGCTGAAAGATATCCTTTCAACACCACTGTCTGTTTTGTTGCTTTCTTGATTGCTTTGCTCAAGCCCTGAACACCTGACTACTATCTACTGTATATAAGTTTGACTTAAAGTCTTAGTATCTTTGAGAAAAAGCTACCCAGAGAGAACATTGTGTCCAAGGTATAGACATGAGTCAGGCCCAGATTTTGAAGACGCATGAGTTCAATGTGAATGTCATAGTCGCGATGGCTAATTAGCTGGTACAACTTCAGAGGGTCTCCGGAGCGGATCAGAGACAGTGATTGTGTCGAAAGGACTACCCAGGGCAGAAGATGGACTGCTGGAACCATGAAGTGTAATAGACTCTCTTTCAATTTAACCGTACTACCAAACAGTTTTGCCCTTTCCAGCTTCTTTATGGCCTCATCAATGTTACTTTTGAAACACTGCAACACCAGGTGTCTGGTTGACATGTGAGAGTCAAATCGGTCGACTGAATCGCTGCAGAGGTCCATGATATCTTTGGAGTATATATAAGTGAACTTAATTTGTTCACAGTGGAGCTCAACCGACTTGAGTGCATTTTGCAAATCTTCCAGAGCTTGATCGATGCAGTTTGGATCCTGTTGCCTCTCTTGCTGGGATAAAGATGCAAAAGCACGGTTGTAATATGCGATTGCTGCCCAACAGTGGTCCTCCTGTATGGCCTTAGTGTACATCATGATACTATCTGCAAGTTGCCCCCTTTTGCGCAGTTCGTTGCCAAATGCAGTGTAGTGGTGCAGGTTTGAAGAGGGCGATTCTCTCCGTCTGAGTTTTTGCTTGGCTGTTTCCAAGTCTTCCCCTAGTTTGTTTTCTAAGTTTGAGGTGGATTCGTTCTCATTGAAGTTTGTGAGGAGCCAAATACCCCAGAATTCATTGAGTGCAGACACATCTGAAGCTGCTGGCTTGTTGTTACTGATTTGGTACTCTTTATCTAGTGTGTCCAGATACTGTTTGAAGAGCGATTCCTTCTTCTTTATGTTTGGTATTTCACACTCTGAGAAGCTAGCTAGTTCTTTAGCCACTAAATCATCTCTGACCTCTTTAACTGTCTTTATCGGTGAATTTGAGTTTTCAGTCAAAATATGTGTCAGAGTTGAAGACATTTCATTAGCTTGCTCATAGCTCGGGCTTTCTTGATAGGACCTCAATTGCATCGAAAAACAAAGTGGCAAGACATTGGTGACGTTCTCCATTAAAGTTTGAAGTTCGCCCATCAAAGCCAACAATTTGAGTGGTTCTGGCAGGGGGCTGGAGCAGATAATGAGCTGGGCAGACCCAGGAGATCCTTGTCTTGCAGTACGGCCAAATGCCTGCGCCTCCACACGAGCATTCACGGGCAGAAAGGTCTGCAGAACGAATAAACCTCCAGCTCTCTTTACCTGGTCAGAGACCTGAAGGTCCATCCCTCTTCCAGCAAGATTTGTTGCTATAATGACCTCTCCTGCTTCAAGCTTCTTTTTAAAGATTGCACTATTGTTCATGTTGTTGCTTATGTAAAGCTTTTTGTCCGGGACTTTATTTTCTAAAGCAAGGTCAAGGTCCTTTGCTTATTGGATGGTCTCACAAATGACCAACACAGCTCTTTGAGCCCTATATGGAGTTGGGTTTGTTTCTGCCAATACAGCTTTACAGATTTCCTCAATCCATTCTTCTTCGTCACTTACAATCACTCCTTCAACCTCAAACAGCTTTCTGCGTTTGAAAGCAGGTATCTGACAGGTCTTGACACCTTCATAGATTTTCTCCAAAGTGTCAGTCTCTGCTTGTTGGCCGAGAGTTCCAGAAATCCCAAAGATCTGATCTTTGTACTTCATAAAAAGGCCCACATTGGACATATAGTTTGTGATGGCCGTCATGTCACTCAGCTTGTACTTATGTTTCATCTCAAGAAACTGCTGTCGTCCATCTTGCATTACCCTGAAGTTTTCAACAACACCTGTGGAGCTGTAGTCAACAGGCACTATCCCATGTTTCTCGAGGGTATATTCATGATCCTGTTTCATGGTTTGTGCTTCGAATGCATTTTCAATCCAAACCTTTAGTTTGGAGTTGACCAGATCTGCAAGGAAACCTGGGACATAACACGCTATTCGATCTTCGTTGAGCTCACAAGGTGTAAAATGCAGAGCATGTTTTATTTCTTCTTCTGCAGCCCTTACCTTACTCTCTGTATCAGAATAAATGTACTGACGAAAGCCATTACTGTATTTTTTTGCAGTCGTCCATATGAATGCCAGGAGTGGATTGAGATGTTGCAAAGCAGGCATATCGCTGGCTATATAGACAAAGTGATTACCTTTATCTAGCATCAAGGAATCTACTTCATCCACTATTGCACACTGGAATTTCCTTTGCTCAAATGTGTCTATTCTTTCAAAGCGCTTGCCTAGCCAATGTCCAGCAAATGCCTCAGCAGTACCATATACCACTTTACACTCGTAGCACTCTTTTAAGTGTTCAACTTGTTTGTTGGTATTGCAGTTGACTCTGATCTTCAACACATTATAAAACCCTTTCCATTCTAAAAAATCTCTTTCTGCAAGAACTGGTGAACTAGTGAAGATGTCTACTTCTTCTCCTTTCAAAGCTCGAAAAGCTGCAAACATTGCAATTATACATGACTTTCCCTCTCCAGTGCCAACCTGAATTAACTGCCCTGTTCTGGAAAGAGCCATTATACACCAGCTCACCATCTGTGTCAGTCGCGGTCTGAACTTCAGACTTTCTTCCACTGCCCTACAAAGATTTAGCAATACTTTTTTCAGGTCATTCCTCTGTGATCCATCACTAGGAGAAGTCAGATCCTCATCAACTGCTGATACAATGTCTCTCACGTCTTTCAAAAGTTTGTCGTCAATGTGGTTTAACTTTTGTTGTCGGATTTCCTCAAGGATTTCGTCCAGGGACTTTTCCGGGGCATCGGCAACATTTTTCTTAAGGTGTTCATCTGTTACAGACTTGTCTCGGACCAGCTGGATAAGAGTCTTTCCTGTTTGACTTTTCCAACCTGGAGTGATGTAATTAATCTCTATACACTGCAACATGTTCAACATCCATGAGAAGAGATGTGATCTGTCTTGTGTTGTTGACTCAAACCGCTCCAGAAGAGCTTTGAATAATTCAGTTACATCCTTTGTGCTCCATTGGATGTTTCTGACAAATCCTTGGAGCTTGTTGAGAATGATTTTTGGAGACACTAAACTAAAAGCAATCAGTGTAGGAAAAAGTATTTCAACTAATTCTTCATCACTGCTGTCGGATTCAGACATTTTGTAGAAAAACTCAAATCTGGTAAAAAAACAGAAAGAAAGATATCTTGGATTTGGGTAAATAAAACATTACACAATGTCCACACTGTACTTAAAGGTCACCTATTATGCAAAATCCACTTGTTCATGTCTTTTATACATCAACATGTGTCCCCTCTGTGTAAAGAGATTCTGAAAGTTTCAGGAAAAAAGATTCTCTCTCTTTTTGTCCTGATCCATTTATATAGAAACCTGTCTGAAAATGAGCTGATCAGATTTTGGCCACTTTATGATGTCATAACGATGTTTTGGCTTGTGTAACCATTAGCCAATCACCAACCAAGGTACCCCCCCCCCCCCACCTTATCAGCTGAATCTCCTCCAAGAGCACCTTATTTTCGTCTAAAGTAAGAGACACAGAATCAGCACTTTTGAAACAGGGCTGAAACAGAGGGGATTATGGGATGCTACAATGATCTGTTTGGTATTTTGAGCCAAACACTTCAGATAAATGTTTTGTATATATCTGAGACCTATACATTGATGAAAAACAGTATAATAGGGGACCTTTAAGTCATATTGTGGTAACAATGTGCTACAAAAATGTAAATGTAATATTCAAAGTACTAATTCATTTCTATTCAACAGGTATGAATTAAAACATATAATTAGCAGTTGTAATTCTCTATGCAGCACACCATTATTACTCTGACAATCAAATACAGAAGCATCCAGGTATTCGATTTTTACTTTATATATCTTAAAATGTTCATTATTGATGCATCAAATTATGCCGGGAATAGTTTGTTACTAACCTGGTAAAAGATGAAAAGAAGAGATGAGTTTCCTTGGCGCACCTGAGATGATCTGCAGCCCTAAGGGTTTGCTTCTGTCTTTTAAATCTTTTTAAAGTTTGTTTACATTTTTCAGTAAGCGTGTCAGGACACCGCCCCGAGGGGAATATCCTTTCATCCTTTCGATTTCTGTGTTTGGCTTATTGTAAACCGTATCATTTACTGTAAAAGCAAAAAGCAATAAATAAGCTCAAGGTTAGCTACACAGCCATTGTTTCCCCTTAAAAACTATATTTCCCATTACATTTTCCGAGATTCAACCCATTTTCAAACAAATGTGACCAAAAATATGAATTGCTGTTTTTCAGGTTAAAACACAAACTATTCCTTGGGGGTATTCATAAATCTAAGTGGAAATGAAGCAATATTAAGATTTTAACAAACCCTTTAAATTACGTTTTAAAGTTTAATTCAAAATATAGTTATCTAAAGTGGCACAGTATCAAAGTTTTACAACTTGAAAATGAAGGCGAGCATTCATATTTGAATTCACCTTTGAAGGGTGAGACTGGTACCCATGACAGCCATAATATAGAAATGTCATGCGGGCAGAAGTCACGCCATGGTTGGGCAAAACTCTTTGTGTAATTCCCCAACAAACCCCAACGATGCCAACATGTTTTTTCTTTCATTTTCTTCACAATCACATGACTTCTCGGCAGTGAACTAATCCAGCACTACGTACAAAAATGTAATGACAGTAGACCATAATACATTTGATTCTTACGCACATTTCTTTTGGTCTAGCCTTGTTTTTCAAAGCTATAGCATTGTATATGACAAAAAACAACAAGTATTAAAATATATACACTTTTTTATACTGTCTTTTCAAGTATATGTCTCAAAGTAATTGCTTAGAGAAATTGCTTTTTAAACCAAAATCTGCTGCTGATTCAGAAATAAATCAAGATTCGCATACTTGGTATTAACCATCTTTAAAAAACATCTGCCATCTGTTGGACAAATAATGTTACAACACTGTCAATAAAGGCCAGTGTGCATGTTGCAGAGATTTTTTTTTTTTAAATCAGGATATAAGGTTTCTATACATTTCTTACAGATATATCCCAGCTTGGTTTTAAAATGCTCTCAGAAGCGCCTGATCCCCTAAGATTTTAGGTTTAAACCTTTTCTAATTTGTTGTCCCAGCAACATTTACTATTTTGTGTGTGTTCCCTGATATATCCCCACTTTCATTTGTTTTAACTCTAATGCAATTCAATGTTATGAGACAATCTAAAAAACCAGGCTCAGTTAAAGGAATTCTTAACGTTTTTATTAGTTATTATTCTTGATGGGATACTAGACAACTGAGCTGTAATGTAACTGGGTCAGGCTTAATTTTAAGGTCAAAGGAGTCCCTTTTTGTAAAGACCCCTTAAGAAAAAATAATTTTAGAGACAACGTGGAAACATTTACCTTGATGTGGTCTGTAAAATGAATACATCTTTTCTTGCCTTTAGCCTTTTTTAACATTGAACAATACAAATGTGTTTGAACTCCATTGCTGGAACTTATAGTGGAATGGCTTTATTTGTTTAAAGTTGAATCATTGTGCAGAGTTCAGCATTGAGCACGTAAACACACTGGACCACACCGCCCGGTTTGAGCTAGGGGACAACCGGTCGGTCTGCATTGAGATGCGGACAGAAGGTGGAAAGGTACCAACATGTGTCAAATCCAGGCAGTCAGAAATATGCCGGAAGTTACCTGATCTTGCCTTCAAAATAATGCAAAGAAAATCATTTGATATACGATCGAAGATGTAACAAATTGGAACCTTCCACCCTACTTTCTTCACAATAAATGTCTTTGGAATGACACTATTAATTTGAGTTCAACTTAATTTGACTAGTGTAGCAATTCTAATTTAGTAGGCTACGAAAGTGACCTATATGTTGTTGTTTTATTTATATTTGTGTTTATTCGATATTAGTTGATCATGATTAATTATCCTACAGTTCCCATCGACATTTAGGTAAATAATTTTTTTTGCCAGTTTCTGAGATTCCCTGTAATTGTAAGGCAAAAAGCTACTTGAATATGCAAATTAGCAAAGTTTAGATGACTGAAAAGTAACGTTTTAATGACAGCATGAGTTTAAACCAGACAATTTTCACAACTAAACTGAGGCAAATACAAGCTTTTATTTTGAAAGTGTTATTCCGGATGTTTAGATATCCCTCCCCTTTACACAGGTGCATCAAACTGGGAGATAATTACCAACGTGAGTCCATACCGAGGAGACGCGTTTTTACTACAAAACAACCTTTATCATGCAAAAATATCATCCATGGAGAAAATAATGCGAATAAATTCATCATTTAACATTTAAGCAACTTTACAAACCATGAGAGGAGACACAACTAAGGTAAATCTTGAGTTAATTAAATCTCGTATGAATCGTGTGCGAATCATGCAAGCTTTTTTTAATGTTTTACTAGAATAAGAATTGTTTAAAATTGTGTTTGAAGCGTTTCTTTTGGGTTATTTGTATTTATTTTTTTAACATTTTATTTTAAGGATAATGAAATGGACGCGGCGGATGAACACGGAGGAAGTGCAGAGGCTGCAACCGGAGAAAGAAGATCTGTAAGTACTTTTAAATAACATTTGTGGGTAAAAAAAGTTGAAGTTTTGATGGTGGTTTGGAATCTTTAGTTCTAGAAATATCCCAGCAAACACAGCAACCTAAATTCCACCATCTTTTTCCACGTTTTTCATATTTCAATTGTTATTGTCAGGGCTCAAAGTGAAGCTTATTTTCCTGTACTCAAGGCCAGCTCTAGACAATTTGCTGCCCTAGGCGAGATTTTAGCTGGCGGGGTCCGGGGGTATGCCCCCCCGGGAAGAAATGTTTGAACATTTTAAAGTAAAATGCTTCAATCTGGTGCACTTTGAGCAGAATTACTACTAGATCTAGGGGGTACAACTCTAAAACACCCATATGAAAAAGATTGGTTTACATTTTAATAATCAAATAAGTATGTGAACATAACCAATAACCTACCATAGCCAATAACAAATAAATGTAACTTATTTTATTTTTATTGTTCATTCGTATCTTATACATTTATTTATTTATGCATATTTATTTATCTCTCCAGTTTTAAACTTTTATTTTTGGTTTTCTGTCCTATAGTATACATTGAAATGATTTCAAACCTGTTTATCCCAATAATTATAAAGGAGTGCCTTGGAAATAATGTGTTTACATAAATTGTGATCAAAACGTTTGAGACCCACTGAGGTAACTTAGACTGAAGTGAACTATCTAAACACTCAGAGTCCTTTACCTCACTGAGCTGTAGTTATCAGCCTCTCAGTCTGACTGGAGAGGACTCTCCCTCCACATTATTGTAGAAACATCTTCTTCTTATATCCGTTAGCGCAGCTAGCACCAGATTCTAATAACAACAGCGCCGGTACCGGTGCGCCCTCTCTCTCTCCCTCGCTCGCTCCCACGCTCACTCGCACTTTGGCTGTGAGCTGCGGGCGCCTGATAAGCCAACATCCCCCACTTTCATCACTTACAGCGCCCATCGTACAGGGCAAATGAAAAGTGTAACCGGGGTGAAAAGGGTGTTACATTTACTTAATTATGAATGTTGTTACATCAAGGCCGAAAATTAGGATGAGCACCAACGGTCAAAGAAATGTGTTTCCCTCCCAGAGCTACGAGCGCAGCGCCTCCCCAGATCTGGCGCCCTAGGCGAACATCTATAACGCCAGTTATAGTTCAGTTTGGGCACTGACGGTACCAAAGAAAGTTAATAATTGTGTGTTTGTCTTTTCTTCAGAGTATTGAGACGCTACAAAATATGCTTAAGAGAGTGTCTCAAAGCCCTTTCCAAAGTCAATACACGGTTAGTGGATACACATACACTTGCAGTACACAATAACACACTTTTACATACTCTCACTTTGTTTTTGCATCTCAAACACACACCATAACACCACTAGAGGTATATTTGACCTCTTCCCTTCTCACAATCCTGGATGAACATGAAACAATAAAAAGCTCCCTTATGAAAATTTGATTTTTGAATGGATCATCTATGAATGAGTCTCGGAACAAACAGGTGGGAGGACGCTGATAACTGCAGATTTCAGCTTATTTTATACACAAAAGTACAGGTTAAAAAGTACTACCTGGCCACTGTATTTCCCAAAGTACTATTAATACTTCCTACAACCAGTGCGGAACATCTTGTTTACATGACACATGACTTTCATATCACTTATCGCATATTTCAAATCTTTGTGTTCCCACGCTTTCCTTCACAAATATTTGTTGTTGTTTATTAAGTTTAACATTTGTTTGGTTCACAGGACGATCAGTTCCTTATTGATCTCGCAGCTGCTGCAGATGTGACAGACAAACAGCAGCTAAACATCGGACAGGTGAGACTCAACATCTGCAAATTTGCCGTAAAAAATATTTATACAATGTTTTTAAGATCTTGTTATTGCTGCGGCACATGATGAATCCACACACTGTCTGTTGTTTGCTTTGAAGCACAATTGAATGAATTGTTAATGTAGGTGTGTTTCCATGTAAGGATCTGACTAGACCTTTCTAAAAATAACTTGGCATGTGAAAAGGATGTTTAGGGTGTGTTTTCATGTTTGAACTAATTGGGCTCTTATTAGCTACAACATAAGTTAATTGACTAATTGATTGACCTAATGCTGTCTGAGAGCCTTTGTTATACTTTGAATTTTGCCTGCCTTTATTTTGAAAATCATTTAATTTAACATAACATTTCTGCTGTGTCATTGTCTTTATTATTTCAGTGTGTAGGGCAGGAAACTCCCCATTTAAATCCCCAGGCAAGGTTTCAGATGCCTGTTTAACTCGTTTCAAGCTTTCTGTCAACAATCCAAGTGAAAACACTTCTTATATTTAATTTCCTTTTCTTTGTTTATCAGAATGGAGTCAGTGGGGGTTTGGCCAGAAGTAACCCTTTTTCCACTAATTATTTGGTAAATACAAGGACTCCTGCTTAAAAAAACCACATCACAACTTCCTCTTAACTATTTTAATTGTCATTAAGCTTGTTCCTAATGACATTTATGTTCTGCTATCAGGGATCTGGTCATGTGATGGAGGACGAACGGAGGAAGACTTCAGAAGCAGTAAACCTTGAGGCCATCTTTGTCCCTCCGCCTGAATTTCAGAGTTCACCTCTGGATCTTCAGCCTGAAAGAAGTACTAGAAATGGAGCTGAATTTTCTGAACTTCCAAAGGACCTATTCCAGACCGTTGCCCCTAACCGTGTGCAAAGCCACTTCCAGACACCGACATTGGCCCAAAATGCATCTGCCAATGGCCATTTTCTTGACAAAACTCTGAACTTGCCAGATATATTCAAACCTTTACCCTCTGAAACACGAGATGAAGGGGTCGATCTTTTCCAGGCTGCTAAAGGAGATGATTTATTCCATGCTACATGCACAAGTGAGGTTAACCTCTTTAAAAAACCTTCCAGTGTTTTTGAGGATCCATTTGAATCTCCTACAAACAAGGAGGAAGATCTGTTCCAGTCTTCACAGCCAAACATAGCAAACCCATCGCCATTGACCGAAGAGGCGGATTTGATTCGGGCAGTTCCGAATACAAATGGGGAACTCTTCCACATCGGGGAAAACAAACAAGATTCCTTTATGAAAGAGGACCATTTTGGCATGTCTTCTTTTAAGGAAAATCTGGATGTATTCTCACCTTCATCCACAAATTCAGTCGATCCATTCCCAAGCCCGATTACAAGGGATTTATTCCAAGACGTTTCCAGTTTGGAAGACCCGTTTGGCGCCACACCCTTGAGATCAAATGATCCTTTCCAAGATATTTCACCTTGGACTCCAGATATCTTCCAACCACTTCCCTCGAAGACCAACAGCATGGATGTTTTTGGGATGACTTCCAGCAATACTGCCCCTGAAGCAGTTTACTCCACATCGTCTGTTAGCAGCCAATCAGACATGAAGTTGGACATGCTATCGTCACCAGATCTGTTCAAGACAACGGCAATAAAAGCTCCTCCTCCAGCGGTCAGGCCGAAGCCGTCCATCAGGCAACACGATATTATCTTGACGACCCCCCAGGGGAGCACGCATGATATTCTTCAGCCGAGTCCCTTCAGTCGGGCCAGGAATCTGTCCATGACACCAAGCCAGTCTGCAGCGGAAAATACTTATGTATGTACCATTGGATATTTAGATAACCATCAAATCATTTACATTGTAGTTCATTGAATTCTAAAGCAGGGGTGTCAAACTCAAGGCCTGCGGGCCAAATCCGGCCCACAACCTAATTTGATGTGGCCCGCAAGAGCTTGCAAAGAATATAATACGTTTATTATACGGTTACATTGAATCTTGAATCTACATGCCGCTTTACAGAAGCACGTCGCCGATAAACTACATGTCCCACAATGCATCTCGTTTTGTAACATGGCACTGAAGAGACTTGCAATTATTTTCCCTAGACTTCTGCTTTCAGACGTAGTTAATTATGAAGTTATTACCCTATCCGATAATAATCCAATGCAGAGGCAATAATGTAATGTACTACATTATTTTATATATGTATATTTTTATATAGTCTTAAAGTTACAACTGGCCCTTTGAGTCCAACCATAATGCTGATGTGGCCGCGATGAAATTGAGTTTGATACCCCTGTTTTAAGGGTCCCACTGTTCTGTCTAGTTCATAATTGCTCTAATACATATTTTCATCATGCCTTTTATACTTTCTTTTATAATCAAACTTGCAGGTTTCCAAGTTCAAACGTCCACCAAAGCCACTTCCTCGAACTAGACCACCAAGGACAGAAAAGACGACCCTAGCAGAAAAGCTACCAAAACCAGAACGGCCGCCACCACCGACAAACCATGTACGCAAAGAACACAATTCAGACTGATGTTTTTGTTTCTCTGCTTGTTTAACTGTCTGCTACTTCACACTCTGTGCTGCTAGTAACCCTATTTGCCTCTTTGGGACTAGATTGAAACAACAGATAAGCCTGAAAAACCAGAAAGGCCGCCAGCACCAGCAAACCCTGTATGTAAAGAAGACAGTTTTGCATAATGATATTATTTCTCTGCTACTGCAACTACTGAGCTGTTAAAACCTTTTTGTTTTACCTCTTTTGGACTATTTTTAGATTGCACCTGAAGCAATTGTACCGAAAACCTCTCCCAAACCAGCCTTCAGACCGCTTTCGAAACCAACACCTCGGGTATGCACGCTTTTGTATTTTCACTTTGACAGTTGACCTAATTATCTTTGGTAACAAAACATCTCTAGGATATTGGTTCAAACCTGTAATGAGGAACAATGTAAAATGTGTGGGTAGTTTGACGATTGAACAACAACTTTTTTTTTCAAATATGTATTTTCTATTGTTATCGCAGGAGGAAACTAAAGAATTTGAAAAGGAAAACTTTGCTGTCTTTGAAGACGTCCTGCTAATGGGACAGGTGAGTTTGAAGTGTTTTTCAATATTGGCATCTGTCATACAATAGGACCTGTTGACTTGATGTTAGTATAAGAGGAAAATATAGTCAAAAAATGGCAATCATGAGGAAGCTACTCCCATTGAGGCAATATTATATGTTGGATTGTCATGAAATATTTTGTTACAGGAAAGATGTATTGAGGACTGGCCTGAAGACAGCCCTCAGCTTAACCCTCAATTTAAACCAGTAAGAACACATTTTAATCACTTTTTATCTAAATGTTGTTTCAAAGACATTTCAGCAACTGAATTGTGTTTTTATTTTTTCTCTTTAAAGTCTGGAACATTGAGACTACGACGAGAATCAATGAGAGTAAGGCGCTCGCTATTCTATAGTTAGTATTGTTTGATTGTGAGATTAAACGCTAAGTAAATCTTATTTTTCTCTTAGATGAAAATGGACTCTGAAGGAGGAAGTGTTGAGGATCTGGACGGTTTTGGGGTCAAGGTAACTCTACACCAGTTTCACTCAAAACACAATTTCTAGACAATCTATGTTTTTATCTTGTGTTTATACATGTTTTCTTTTAACAGAAAAAGGACAAAAAGTTCAGATTGTCCATACTTTCCAGAAAAAGTTCGAAGGTAAATGACTCGACACAAAATAAGTTAAGTGTTCTTAATGTGTTTACATGTCAGTCTTTGTAATATGAATCATTTTCCGTTTGGAGAAGATTTCTGAGGTGCGGAGGAGCAGCACACTACCCACCCTCGGAAAATCATCAAAGGTATCAAAAATAATATGTTGTTAGCATCTGTAATTCTGGATTTAACATTCTCTACTCTATATCTAGATAACAAATGGCAATATTAACGCTGTAAACACTCCTATGTCGTTATAACTGCTCAGTTTAAATGCAATTATTCTGTTTTTCAGGAGTATTTATCAGAAACGAACATGTCTACAGAAGAGAATGAAGATTGTGAGCAATATGGGATGGACTACAAAGTATGCTCTTTTGTTTCTGTACAGTATTTCTGTTTGTCTCAGTCTTGGTAATAAACCAGTGATGTTTTAACAATGTCTTCTTTTGTCATCAGAAGAAAAGTGTGAAGACCAAAGTCAATAAGCTGCTTAGAAGAGCGTCCGCTAATTCCTCCGTGCTGGAGGGAAAGCAAATGAACGGACATTTGCCTCAAGACCTGAAGGTGAGATATCGGAGACATTATTTTGTTAATTTTTTCTGTATTTGCCAATGCGAGTTACGTCCATTCCAGCCACCCTGTAGTGTGAAAAGCTTTCATACATGTGACTTATTTGATCCATTCAGCAATTCTGATGTCTTTTTCTTTGTGATTCCACAACAGGCAGAAGAGATCAGAAGGCAAAGGGTCAGTAAAAAAGAGTCGACTGTACGCCGCTGGTCAGAGGTAAAGTACCTGCAGTCTGACAACTGTTTATTAAACTGGTTATTTCCTACATTTTCAGCTTCAGACAAGATGCAAGAAAAAAAAAACACCTTTTGATTTTTTTTATATGTAATTGATGAAAAATGCACAAAGTAGTAACAACCCAATATAGAGACATGTAGCACAAAGTACTTTACATTTAATGAAAGTAAATATGGAAATGGCAAACAAGGAAAGAATGCTAGATGAATGGAAAACAAAATGGAAATAAAATACATCACATCCTGTAAGATTTAATATACAATCCCACTGATATAGAGACAAGTTAGAAATATTAAACATTTTACACATAAAACAAATATCCATTCTCTTCAACTCTGTTCTTATTTTTGACGAGTAGTAAACATTTGAATTTTATAGACACAACTCAGAAAGCACATGAATTCATATCCCTTTAGTTAACGCTTTGTCAGTAAGTGATTTTCTTGGTAAACAGTTTTGGAGAAATCGCTAAACAGTTTTTGATGCTGTGTTCAATCATAACAGGGGACATTTTTGGATGATGTCACTGGGGAGGGGGAAGAAGAGGAGGAGGAGGAGGAGGAAGAAGAAGAGGAGGAAGAGGAGGAATTGGGAGCCGAGCACAAAGAGGTTGGACGTTCGAATACTTATAACACAACTTTAGATATTGAGACATTTAAGCACTGAATTCTCTGGCATGCATTGATTTTGGCAAACTATTCTTTTCTCTCTGTAGAAGAAAAAGAAGAAGATGAAAATTAAGTTTGTGCCTCACAGAGGATTTGCAATCACTGTGGAAAAGGTATCGCTCGTATCATGTACTGTACGTATTTGTTTATACACTGATACATTCACTTTAACTTGTTAACTTTTCTATACACAGAAGGGAGCTCACGGATACACACCTCGCAAAGACTCAAAGGTATGACTACACATATGTAAACATATTAAGGCTCTGTAAAGGATGTGTGTGTATTGCTTATGCATTATATTTAAAGTGGACCTATCATGCTATATTTGAAACATATATTGTAGGGCCATACCTATATAAAACATGTCTGTGAAGTTTCTTTTTCAAAATACCAAACAGATCACCCATTGTAGCCATCCCTCATACTGCTCAAACCCCTCTTTTGAAGCCCTGTGAGAGAAACGCGGATCTTGGGTCCTTAGCTTGAAAAAAATAAATAAGGAGGCGGAGCTAATGCCTGATCAGAATTCTACCGGAGATAAAGTTCAATTCGGTTGTGATAAAACGCCATCCTGTTTAAACCACGTCAAGGATTATTTCTGAAACGGTATTGAGCTCAAATACTTTTTCTCTTGCAGGTTTATCACAAGGGGAGTTCTTTTTTTATTTCCTGCTTTTTAAACACATTTGCTCTTCAGTACAGGTTAGCTCTGAGTGTTAGCGAGGCTTGCTAATGTAAACAAAGACGTCCAAAACACGTCAGGCATTGTTTCTGATAGCAACTTTCTGTGGGTCCGCCGACGTCACCTCGGATGGACACGTCAGTTCGGATGGAAATCTGTATCCGCTCGTTGTAAACCCGTTTTTTAAAAGATTTGGGTACGGAGGAAAAGAGAGAGGGTTTTATTTTCTGACGCTGCGTGAGTTCCCCGACGCACCGGGGACACATATTTATGTATAAAAGACATCACAAAGTGCATTTTGCATGATAGGTCCCCTTTAACATATGGTCATGTCCAGCAGTGTAACATGTGTGGACTTTTCGGAGCACATGGCTACACACCTCGTAAGAAATCCCAGGTAACAACCCCCTACAGTTCAGTGAAGTAAACGGCAGTCTTTAATGGGGAAATTATCGATTTGATTTACTCATTTTCTTTTGCTATGGTTTATTCCTGCTTTTTAGGTTCTGATTTTTTCTGTTTGAGTTGCCGATTTTGATTAGCTATTTAAGTTCAGGCATGCTTATGACAGCTATTTATAAAATATAATGATGTTAAAGAAAATCCACTTGCATAACACTGCTGAAACTGCTTTTTTACATGTAAATTAAAGATAAGATATACTTTATTAATTTCAAATTTGGAGATGTTTTTGTTGGCATGTAAAACAAAGTATTGCACATAATTAGAAATCAAAAAGAATAGAAAATAGATTACTAAAAGAGGGAAAATATAAAAGTTGACACTGAAGATACAAATCTGTAAACTACTATTGAAGGGTACAATTATGGCTAACACAATATAAAAGTAGGATATTATTTACATTTAATGTGCAAGAACGGCATATTCAATTAAACATAATTCTGATGTAATGTACAGGATGATGCTTTTAAGGATGTAGAGAGACGCCACACTCTTCAGTCAACTAGCAAGGTACTTTTTTCTTATTCTTACCATTATACGATGTGTTTCTTGACATGTTTGATTATTTTACTCTTAGTATTTGCTGCATGGTTTTCACTGTATGCTGCTCGAATGCTAACCTTCTTTTGAATCTGTTGCTTAGGCTGCTTACATGGACGATGAGCACTTCCAGAAAACACGCCCTATGTCTGCAGGATTCAATGGAGACGAAGACCCATATGAAATGGACGACTGCAAACCTGTAACGATCTTATTTCTATTTCATACATACATTTTCTGGAACATATACCGGTTTCACTAAAATAGTATTTATTTTTTTTCTGTCATCAATAGAAGAAACCAACGAAGATGAAGATGCTACTAACGGGCCGTCGAAGCTCGAAGGTAAACGTACATTTTTTTTGGTTTAAAGGCAATAAGAGATGAAGGAAATCGTTTTTACCACATTTTTTTATGCATTTATTTAAATAGGAGGACATGCTGGACGACAACAATGCTCAGAAAAAGAAGGGCAGCTTCTCAGCGGAGGAGTTGGACGACGATGAGTGGATGGAGGACTGCAAACCGGTAAATGTTTAAATGCTTTAAATATAAGATAAGATAACATAAGATAGAACTTCATTGATCCCAATTTGGGACATTTTTGCGTTGCGCACATGGCATTGTACAATAAAAATTCAAACAAGAAAGTAGAAAATATACATGTTGATTTTAACAAGGTATTATATATACATATATATATGACAGATGTAATATTACATATTGAACAGATTATATAAATGTACAATGTGATTTTATTCCAAGAGAAACTATGAAGCAGAGATATGCACAAGATGATGCCATGTACATACTGTAGCTACCAAGTCACCTTAATCATTTTGCAGACTTAATCCCTTTAAGCTTTAATTAACATGAAATATTGTGTTCTTTCTTTAAGAAACCCTCCAAAAAGAAAGGCCCTCTTCCCGTGCCACGCAAATCAGCCAAAGGTCAGAGAGAGGCGACTGGATTCAGCCAGCAGAACCCTCAGCAAGCAGCCTGCGTATGTTGGATTTACATTTTGATTGCATTCATATATTTTTTTTTCTGTTGTATTGACTGAATTTCTAACATTATTTTTGCAGGATCCCTTCGCTGAAGGCGAGGCGGGTGAAGTGGAAACCTGCAAACCGGTATTTCTCACGTTCACTTTTACTGCTTTACTCTGCAGTTATTTCACCTATGATCATCTTAACACCTTGTTTCTTTTCAACAGAAGAAGAAATCAAAACTTAAAGGCTTCAAAAAGCATAAGACGAAGGTGAATCAGCGAGTTCTTCTAAAATCACATTAGGAATTAAGTTATGGAAAGTATGACATGCTCACTATGTGTTTCCTCTTGATACCAGAGTAAAGCCAATCATCCAGAGTATGAGGATCCACCCGGAGCTACGTCAGCTGACTTCCTGTCGGAGGCTGCCAGGGTACGTATGTGCTCTCTAAGAGGAAGTAATACATGTGTTGCTTACTTGGCAAGTGATTTATGTCCAAATGGTATGTCTTCATACTTAGATAAACTTCCTCATCTCCAGTTCAAACCAGGTATCTTGATGTCCTGATAAAAGTCCTAGTGTTCTGTTTTTATTCAACCTACACCTTCACTTTTACCTTCATGCGACTGTAACTGTTGATGTAGCAACACACTGTTTAAACGGATCAACCTATAAACTTGACTTTTTATTGGATAATGAATCAGACATTACTAGCTTTATGGAATTTTTTTTTTTTTTTTTTTATCAGATTTACTTTTCTGATTCATGTATTAAATAGTCCTGTGCAGCACTGATGTCTCTACATACTGTATGTTGCAGTTTTTCAGATACATTTTAGCTTGTTGTCCTATTTTCTTTTTTTTAAATTATCGCAACACACTGTTCCGCACCGCATTTTATTTATTCTAACCTTTTATGCTCTTAACATTTTTTTATTATAGGACCATATTTTATTCAATATGCTCCTTAGATAACTTTTTATTCTATTATTTTTTCCTTAAAGCATTGTGAAGCCCCTTGAGATGACGTTGCTTTTAAAGTGTGCTATATAAATAAAATGTACTATAATTATTATTATTACACTCTTAAAGCTTGTAAGTGCCCCTTAAAAATACAAAAATATAATAATACAATTGCACAGTCAAGCTTATTTTCTAAATCCTGATCGTCTGAGTAACTCTAGGTCACCAACGATCGTCTGGCATTATTTACCCAAGCTGCACATGAGAAAGAATTGTTTTTCACTGTAAGCTTAGTCATCTTGTTGTGTCCTCATGGGACACATTCCTCTGGCATGTGACGGAGCCGGTACAGTCACATTGCACACACACTCACCAACACACCCCACAGTGTAGGAAAGCCTAAAGAGTCTCGCATAAAGGCAGGTTTTTATTACTAATCTATGTTATAAGTTAAAGTATGTATCAAAGACTTATTGACGTATTTACGGGCTTGTTTTTGTCACCCCCCCCCCCCCCACCTTCATGCAGGCGGAGTGGCTGGCAGCTCAGATGGACGAGCAGGCTTTAGAAGAGCTGGAGGACGACTACGAGGACGGGGTCAGTTTCTATTTAATTAGATTAAATGGAAATCGTCCACTTTCACCACCATGCATTTCCCTTTTTTTAGTCTTTCATTCAACCTTTAATTTAAATACTGTGTAACTGGCCGCCGTATCGCTCACTTGGTCTCTGTGGTGACCTGCGTTCAAATAAATAATAAAAATACTATTAATTGAAAAACTAAATAATAAACCTAGGAACCTTTTTAAAAGAGTAAATGAATGAAAGGAAATTAATCAGTTTTTCAAGAAGAGCAAGGATAGAAGTCAACAATGGCGTGTGAATTTCCTTTTGTGATGTTGTGACACTTATGCTTTTTGTTTCCGTCACACAGGACACGGACAGTTTGATGGAGTGGTGGCACACAGTGGAGCGTGAGTCACATTGACATTTATTTTGAGTAACATATTGAATAACCTGATTAATACAAAAGCACTTGGATGACACCTGTTGCTTCCTTTCAGAATGGGACGAGGTGCCATCAGACGACGAGGACAAAGTCTTAAAAGAGGATGAATCTAAGTACGTCAGTTTATATTAATTTTGAAGTATTGGTCTAGTAAAATTATAAACAAGCTGCTTGTACAACTGATTGTGGGAGGAAAAGTCCTTGATTCTTTGTTTCAGTGACTTTTCCAGCAAAAAAGCCAAACATTTGATTGTTCTAACTTCTCAAATGTGAGGTTTTCTTTGCCATATATGATGCTAAACGAAATATAGTTTGGATTTGTAACAAGAGTAGACCTTTGGCTTTCGGAAAATGTAATTGGTTTACATTTGTTTTACTGCTTACTTACCGACACAATCAAGCATAACTTTGCTTCTGCTTCCGAATAAACCCCAGGTCGTTCACCATCTTGGCGGACAAGGTTCAACGCGGCCTACGTGTCTTCAACAAAATCTTCACGGAGCGAGCCGAGTTCCTCTGGCAGTCCATCCTCAGGCTGCACGCCATCGCCGACGACATCAACACTTTCCACCACAAAGCCAAGATCGCCGGCATCACCGGAGGAACCACCACGGCTGTAGGGGGGGTGACGGCCATCGCTGGTCTGGCTCTGGCACCTTTTACCTTCGGAGTCTCTCTGGTGATAACCGCTGTTGGTGTGGGAGTGGCGACGGCCGGAGGAATCGCTTCAGCCTCAGCGGCAATCTCAGATAACGTTCACAACCTGCATGACCGCAAGAAGGTAAGCCACAATCTGAAAAGGGAGGAAATGCCACAGAAGTATGGAAGCCAATTGGTGCCAGTATACAAAATCAAGACCTGATGGATGTCATTTTAAGGACTAACATACTCAAAATAATGACTTAAGTTATTTTGAAAGTTGAAGTCATTATTTTGCAAAACTAAGTCATTTTACTTCTCAAGAACAAAATATACAATAAATATCTTCTCGTCAAAGCCACCAAACTCCATCAACAAAAACGTCAATTTTAAACCACATAAACTCAACAGAAGCAAAATAAAACTCCTAAAAAAATGTTTTTGGTTAGTCTTTCCACTGATTCAACATTCACCAACTCTGGTTTGAGAGTTTGAACGAGACAGTGAATTTAAGACAAGATAAAAAAAAACACCTGGAAATAAATAAACACTTTCAAAGATACAAATGTAGAAAAGCACTGGTTGGTCCAAACTCCTGCTTGAAATGACTTGTTTTAACATCAAACCGAAGACTATGGACTCTCCCTCCTCTTCCTTCCCTAGGTGGAGATAGTGCTAGGTGACTATGAGGCTCACCTGCTGGCCATCGGGAAGATCCTCCACTTTGTCAACCAGGGCCTCGTCAAGCTCCGCGGGCACCCTTTCCTCCGGTCGGGCACCCAACACTACTCCAAGGACTGGGAGATCCGCCGCGCGGTGCAGATGATCAGCCTGGTGGACACGCCCGTGATGCGCGGGACGGAGATAACGGACGACTTGGTCGCTTCCGTCCAACGACTCTTCATCGGCATGGACAAGTACTTCGCCAAGGACTCCCGAGAGCTGAAGAAAGGCTACAAGAAGGAGGTGGTGTGTCAGATAAAGGAGGTGGCCAATGTGCTCAACGTCGGCATAGTGGAGCTCAACTCCGTCCGAGAGGAACTGCAGGATGCTACCGGAAACATGTGAGGAGGACACTTTGAATATAGGTATTTCATTAAAACATGTGAGCTACTTCCTGCAGGAGGACACTTTGAATATAGGTATTTCTAAAGGCACCACCACCCCCTCTACTGGCTAAATGAGGGAACTGTTGGTGTGAAGGAGTCCATTGGTCCAGTACCTGCAGTTTCAGACATTTAAAGGGAGTGTAAGGCTGTTTTATTTGTAATTTAAATATCCATTGAGGCTGTAGATTGCTCTTGCATTTGTGAAAAAGTGTAAGATGTTTATTGTATGCACATGAAAAGGTTAACAGGGAAACGGGCACTTTTTTGAGCACTGCTTTTTTTAAAGGGTAAACCGTTAAAAAAAAGTAGCTTTGTGGTCACAGGTGTTTTCGTTTAAATATTTGATATGATTTTTGCTTAAAATTATCCACCCACTGTATTTACTGAAGGAGCTTTAATTCACTTTTCTGACAGTTTCAACCATATTGTATATTTATTCACAAAGAAAATGTCAGTGTTCAATTGTATTTCATTTTCTGCATTTCCTATCAGTTTTACAAACCCCTATGTCAAATATCGGTATAATGATACAAATGTTTATAGTTGAGAATCTACAATGAAACAACAGACAAAAGAACCCTTGGAGTTTGTAACATTTTAAATTGTTATAAAAAAAATACATGATAGTTTTAATTGGTTAAGTTAAAGTAGTAGTGTTACAGTACTTTTTGTTGAATACGATATATTGTTTACATATTCACAATAAAAATGAATGTTGTATAGGGTAATTTATCTGTAATATGTATCTGTGCTAAGACAATGATTCAAATAGCTAATTAACTACACATTCTTCTTTTGGTCTTACCATGTGGCATCTATGTAAATGTGTTTGTGTTTACAGGTAGATACGGTTATAATATTCCTACCTTGATAACCTTTATAATATTCTATCAAATTGTCAAACTTAAAGCAGACTTTTGACAAGTTAATAGGTTGCGATTACAGAAAGGTGTCTATTACTTTATGTTTTTACTGTCAAATAACCTTTACTTGGTTATGCTCCTGCATGTATTTGTCGTCACCGTCTATGCTTCTTCCTGCATTAATCTGAATGGGATGTATCTGCAAAATATTTGAATGTAATATATTTAGATTGGTCAGTGTAACAGAATATTTGAATAAAGACTATTTACTTGATACTTTAAACTGATTTCAATGGTGTTAATATTGTCATGGTAAACACTCTAATTCAACTATTTAGAGATTTAAATACATGGAATTGTGTTAAGACTCTTTTGTAGAACTGTGGTAAAAATAGGTGAATATTTACTGATTCAGTTATTTTTAAATAATGACTAAATGCATCATATTTCAAAGTAAATACCACTCAAGTTATATAATTAATTTTTTACTTTAAACCCTTACATTTGTATTTGTTAAATAGATTTTCAGCCTGAATATTCTCATTTTTAAAAGTCGTTTTTAAACCTGAGGTGTTTCCATTAGGCTTCAAAAGGAAAGAGGCCACGCCCCCTTCAGGTATCACAGCTGATACATATTTTCTCTAACGACCCACAACTTTCAGGGTGTGGAATATCCCCTATTGTCGCACTGTATTCAGCTTTTGTTCACCTCTCAAAGTAAAACATTTTTTTTTTTTTGCTGAAATCAGAGCAGGAATATTAGGTTCAGTATTGCACTAACCGGTTAGACGGCTCTCCATGAAGGGGAAGTGAAGGACTGCGTTACCTTCAACTTTTAAAACTCCTTTACCTCTCTGTTGTTGTTGTGAAACGCAGCGTTTTTATTGTCACTTTGTTTTCTTTCAGTCTCAACCCTGAGGTAGGCACAATTCCTATTTGCATTGTGTTGTTGCTGGCTTTTGTGTTGTCAAACATTCCTATACGATACTGTTTGGAGCAACAAGCCAAACTGCGTTCAAAGTTCTGTCAATTTAAAAGTTTTATACGTTTTTTTTACCAACTTAGATGTTGTAGAAACGATTTTAAGACTTATTAACACTCACTTTGACACGTGTTTCAATTCGGCGTATTTATTTTAAACAAAAACATACATTCACTACGTTTAAAGTTTTCGAAACTGCTTGCTAAGATTTCATTCCGGCATTAAAACGTATCGGTATCACCTGAATAAAGCACACAAACTACACACAAAAGTCCTGAATGACAAATATCACTAAACCGATGTTTAGTCTACACAAGCATTCATATCCTACGTAACAAATAAAGCAAATTAAGTGTTACACGAAGTATTCTTTAAAATTGTCAATTATTTGAATGTAGTTTGGCATGTGGGTATATCCAGAGAGAAGGGTACTGAAACTACACCCACCTGTGAAGCTTTGAGTCACGTGTTCTGGTCATGCTGTTTCGGTTCTCTTAGCACAATAGTACTTTTGTGCTTAAGATATATACAAAATATATCATTGCATATGTGTTTTTTTCAGATTGTTTTAAGTTGGTGCCATGTTTTATGTTTCCGTGTTTTTGCAATATGTACCTAGTTAGAAAGTTATCCAGCTTCTACCACTTCATTACTTTTTTAAATATTGCTGCTACTTTTCTACCTGAATGTGTAATTTGTAAATGTATTTTATATTATGTGCATGCCCTTTATCTTATAGTGTTCAGAGGTGGAAAAAGTACTCAGATCCTTAAAAGTAAAGTAGAAGTACCAGTGTGTAGGGAAAGTCCTACAATCAAAATGTTACTAAAGTAAAAGTAGAGAAGTATTGGCATTATCATTAATCCAAATCTGTAAAGTAACTAAAGGTATTAAATAAATGTAGTGGAGTAAAAGTATACGATTTACCTCTGAATTGTAGTGAAGTAGAGGTACAAAGTAGCAAAACATTGAAAAAGTCAAGTCAAGTGCAAGTCCCTGCAAATGTTACTTAAGTAAATGTACTTTCTTACTTTACACCACTGTTTCATTTTGTGTCTCCATCTTCACTTTTGCTATTACAACGTACATTCTCCCAATATGGGACGAATAAATGATCTCTGATTATTTTGTCGCATGCAGTCCTAATGTTTAAAACTGCCTGTATTTCAGCATGAATATGTTCAGGAGAGATAAAGGCACAGCAGCTCCAGTGGTTCCACCTCGACCCAGCCAGGAGGTACAGAATGGAGAGAGGTGGAGGATATAATAGGATATTGTTTGTTTACATTTGTTTGTTTCCTTAATTAAGGCGTGTCTTTGCCACCAGGATCTAGATAATCCTGTGGAGCACAGCCTGAACACACAGGATGAAGGAGCGGGTGCCAACAGTGATGTCACAAGTGAGCTTAACCAAAAGACCAAGGTGAGTCACATGTGAAATATCTTCTTTATCAGTTAGTCACACTTGACCTCACCTGTTTTTGGTGGTTTATTTGTCATAATTAACGTGTATTTGTGTGTAAACAGAGGACAGGAATGATGGGAGTTATGCAGAAGGTCAACCCGTTCAAGTCTACCTCCCAGGTTCAACATGACAGCATTTACCTTTCATGACTTTGACTAATTCATGTGAACGTGTATGATTTTAAATGTGTGTTCTTTATTCAGCCCCCTTCTACAGTCAGCAAAGCTCCTTCCTCAGAGTCACTGGAGCAGGGAACAGACTCCACACAGGTGAGGAAAACTTACCTTTGTATTAAAACCAGATTTTGTTTATATGCAATTGTTTTTTCCTCTCACACTGTCATGCAAGCACAAGGCGAATACAAATGTTATTTTTTCTTCACTGATGGAAACAGCCTTAGAGGTGGTTTGCGCTCTCTGGATGGCCTTCTAGTTCAAACTGTCACCTTTTTAGAATTGATCAATTAACGCATAAACTTAGTAGATCATTGAAAAAAATAGCTTGTGTACCACAATGTGTTTTTTCAATGTTTGAAGAAGCTAAACTTTTGCTGCCCCTGTTGTTTAAAAACATGAGAACCATTCATTTGTGTATAAGTTTAGCTAACATTGGCTCCAATAAGGCCTCAATATGGATGTTTTTTAAATCACAGTAGGTTATTAACAACCTTTATTCAAGTCCTAGCTGTGCATTCCTTTAATACAGCTGCAAGGTATCATATTTTGAGTGAATCAGTTTATGAAACATGAGAAACCCTGTGTTTCAGAACCCTGGTGGGCTGAGAGGGGTCATGCACAAGGTCAACCCGTTCAAGTCTACCTCCCAGGTAAAACATGTCAACATGAAACGGTGAATGTGAAAACTTAATGTAGAATATGATTTAAACGTTGCTCTGTATTCAGGCGTCCTCCACAGTCAGCAAAGCTCCTTCCTCAGAGTCACTGGAGCAGGGAACCGACGCCACACAGGTGAGGAAAACTCAGGTGGAGACAGGCATGGTCTGGAAAATGATTGTTACACTGAGAAATATATTTACCTTTTTTATATCATGGGGACTCATTGGTTTCTTCTTCTGTTTGTTTATTAAAAGCAGCTCTGTAGACACCCAAAACAAGTATCCCTATTCATTTGTATAGAACAGGAAGTGTCAATATTGTATGTTTTTTAGTTGCGTTTTTAGCAAACTGATCACAAAGAGTGCATTAACAATAGTGTGAGAGAGATACATGACGCAAATAAAAAACTGAAATAAGTAAGTTATATACTAATGAAATGCGTTCATCATTATCAAAGTATAATTTATAACGTTTAAAACTAAATCAGCATTTGAACAATACCCAGCTTTGTTTTTTTCATTTTAATTGTGTCCATGTCTTCCATTTAAACCCTGATACTTTACAGTTGCAGATGATAATGCTAAACAAATATAATAAGCATTTAATTATTTATATAATTCGTTTACAGAGGTCGCTGTTTGGGATTATTTCTGACTCGTGTGATCCAAACTTTTTCATTAACTCCAGAGCGTTGTAAAGTCAAAATGTATTGTATGAAGATTGAAGTAATTGTTTCGAAAATTCACAACATGTTTTTTCATTAGACACACACACAGGACACACAGAGGACACACACGTCAGTTGATAAGCAGTATGGAGCATGTGTATTTATGTATTGTACCTCTGTTTCAGACCCCCGGTGTGCTGAGAGGGGTCATCAACAAGGTCAACCCGTTCAAGTCTACCTCCCAGGTGACCACAGAACCGTGTGCATGTCACAGTTTTAATGGTAACACTGGTAATGGATGGTCTGTGTGAGACGATAAGATGTCCAATCAGCTGTTGTGTTTCTCACTCAGGTCTCTAAAGCTGCGTCTTCAGAGTCTCTGGAGCAAGGAACGGTGTCAGACTCTAATCAGGTGAGAGAGCCTCATTGAACAAGTGTGTTAAAGAGACTGGAACATATTGTCCTCGGTCGTCATAATGTTATGTTAAAAGTCTGTGTCCTTGTCCTTGTTGATGTTGTAATTGGAGCTGAGGCCTGTACTACGAAGCTGGATTTTCGCTTAGCCGGCTAACTTCAGGGAAATCTCGGGCTTTCCGGTCCTACGACGCTGGTTCTCTTTTTAGCAGGCTAGATTTCCATGGTAACTTATGCTGAGCGGCAAACCTGCTCCGGAGCAGGTTAGGTGGCAGGCTAAGAGATCAACTCAGTGAAAGCACCGCCTGCTGACCAATCAGAGCTCCGTGTGCGGAGTTTAAAGCGATCAAGTCATATGACAGGATAGAGGAAATACAGAAAAACTGCCGTTGCAGGAAAGACGGCCGGCCAAAATCAACTGACTGTGTGAACGTGAAAATTAATAGAATATCCCCTCCCATCTTCAGAGCAATCTGACTATTATAATATTAGCGTTAAGAAAGCTTACTTAAATATCTGCCACGACATAAGTAACCGGATCAGAGTAACATTACGTACAGTCCGCGGCACTGTGAGTGCAGACGTCGATGTGTGCCATTATCATTCATATCATATCACATCATAATGTATCATATATTTCCTTATTTGAGTCAGCTTCTTGAGCCGTATCTGGCCGTGCAACACTCACAGTGTCACATACTGTATGCAGAAGTATTATTTTAAGCAACACATTAAGTTGACGAAACACTCGAGTCAAATGTAATTAAAGTCAGATCCACTCGTGTCTTGGACGGGGCAGTGATTTCATAAACCTGTTAATGTACGCATTCAAACGCTTTTTCTTTTACCAGCTGTATTCACCTTGCAGGTGCAGCTATGTGGCTTTTATCCTGGATAAAGTGTTTAAGTCATGGATGTTTAAAGTTTAACTTCTTCATATTTGACTAATATTAAAGTTCACTTTTCATTCAGGAAGTATGACGCTGCGCTGTCAGTACGCTTGTCCGTGTTTGAGATTGGTCGAATGCTCCAAATACCACCCCTTTCATGTGAACGCGCACCTAACTAGATAGGACACGGCTGGTTTAAGCGATCCACCTGATAACCAGCGTCGTAGTACAGTTTAGCGAGAGCGCGTATGTTTTAGATTGGGCCAACCGGCTAACTCAAACATATCCAGGTTAGGTTGAACCAGCTTCGTAGTACAGGCCTCTGCTGTGATGCAAGACAACATATCAGGCTTGATCTAATAAGGAAACACCTACTAATGTGAACAATTTTTCAAGTACTAGAAAAAAGTACAAATCATTTAGTAAAAAATGTCTCCCGTCATAGGATCTTTTAATTTCCACTCTGTTTATGCCATTGTGTTTTTCTTGACGGAGCACCGGGGTGACCTTGCATTGTTGTGTTTCAGAAGAGGAAAGGGGTGATGCAGAAAGTCAACCCGTTCAAATCTTCCACACAGGTACATGTACTCTTCAACATGAAACTATCAATACACCTGGAAATAATCTAATGTGCAAAATCTCAGGAAAATATTAGTCAACGATTGAACTGAACAGCTTACTTTTTTTAAATTGGAGCTGAAAAACACATCTTTTTAGATTTAAAAAAGAAAATTAAACGTATTAAAAACGATTTTCACACAGAAAGGATTTTTTGTTCATCTTGTGTTTATTTCCCCTGACTGTCCTCTCTCTCCTTCAGGGGCCACGGAGCGATCCTCCAGATGATTCTGCAGATCCTCCAGAGACGGGAAATGAGCTTCAAGACAAACAGGTAGACATTGTCGTCTCATACAAAAGTCTTTCTAACTACACATTGTCATCTCCTCACATGTTATGCTTCAATTTCATTGTCCAATCACTGTTTTTACTATTTAGAATCCAGGGAATATTGCAGGAATGATGCAGAAAGTCAACCCGTTCAAATCCTCACAGCCAAAGGTACCAGTTCTAACTCTGAAGACAGCATTATAAGGACATTTGGAAAGGAGACAATTGTTATTAAATGTGCTTGCTTCGTACAATCTCCTTGATATCCTCCGTTATTTTTTTCTTCCCAGGATAACCAGCCTCTTCACGATGACCTCTCCTCCAGCAGCGGCAGCTTGGACAATAACAGCGTCTCAGAGAAGCAGGTAGATCTGTTAAGATAAGCAGCCAATAAGCACACCCCATGCAGTCTTTGAAGGCCTTAAACCTGGAGTAGGTGGGTTCATTTGGGTGTGATTGGGCAAAAAAGCTATAAATAACATTTGAGCATATTGTTATTGAAGTAGCCGTAGAGAACTGAGGCCTGTACTATGAAGCTGGTTCAACCTAACCTGGATATGTTTGAGTTAGCCGGTTGGCCCAATCCAAAACATACGCGCTCTGGCTAAACTGTACTACGACGCTGGTTATCAAGTGGATCGCTCAAGCCAGCCGTGTCCTATCTAGTTAGGTGCGCGTTCACATGAAAGGGGTGGTATTTGGAGCATTCGACCAATCTCAAACACGGACAAGCGTACTGACAGCGCAGCGTCATACTTCCTGAATGAAAAGTGAACTTTAATATTAGTCAAATATGAAGAAGTTAAACTTTAAACATCCATGACTTAAACACTTTATCCAGGATAAAAGCCACATAGCTGCACCTGCAAGGTGAATACAGCTGGTAAAAGAAAAAGTGTTTGAATGCGTACATTAACAGGTTTATGAAATCACTGCCCCGTCCAAGACACGAGTGGATCTGACTTTAATTAGGAGAATTTGACTCGAGTGTTTCGTCAACTTAATGTGTTGCTTAAAATAATACTTCTGCATACAGTATGTGACACTGTGAGTGTTGCACGGCCAGATACGGCTCAAGAAGCTGACTCAAATAAGGACATATATGATACATTATGATGTGATATGATATGAATGATAATGGGACACATCGACGTCTGCACTCACAGTGCCGCGGACTGTACTTAATGTTACTCTGATCCGGTTACTTATGTTGTGGCAGATATTTAAGTAAGCTTTCTTAACGCTAATATTATAATAGTCAGATTGCTCTGAAGATGGGAGGGGATATTCTATTAATTTTCACGTTCACACAGTCAGTTGATTTTGGCCGGCCGTCTTTCCTGCAACGGCAGTTTTTCTGTATTTCCTCTATCCTGTAATATGAATTGATCGCTTTAAACTCCGCACACGGAGCTCTGATTGGTCAGCAGGCGGTGCTTTCACTGAGTTGATCTCTTAGCCTGCCACCTAACCTGCTCCCGAGGAGGTTAGCCGCTCAGCATAAGTTACCATGGAAATCTAGCCTGCTAAAAAGAGAACCAGCGTCGTAGGACCGGAAAGCCCAAGATTTCCCTGAAGTTAGCCGGCTAAGCGAAAATACAGCTTCGTAGTACAGGCCTCTGGACTCCTGCAACTCCTCATGGCTCTGTTTTCAGACTCAGGAAGGTGTACTACTTGAATTATAATATACTACTTATAATGGTATTCCTGCACATTGGCATACATATACTGCCCACTTCAGCTTTAAGCAAAATAAAAGTAACATTTCACCAGGGTTATGTACATCAACTAACTAATATGGAGTCTTTACAGTACATGAAATGACTTTTACCTGAGGCTTTTATCCTTTTAATAAGCCCTTTAAAGTATTTAGAACAAGAGTAATTGCCACATTGGCTCTACCTTGTTTAATACAAAATCAGAATCATATTTTATAACAGCGCACACAGAGAAAATACCTATAATAACATGCAAATGCTTATTTTCTCAGTAGTCTTCAACCCCAAAAAGATGGTAGAAGTGATATTGTCTGCCAGTGTTATTCTCCCTACTTCCACAAGGGGGCGCCATAGAACAGAACAAGTCCTCGTAGTGATAGATACTTAGTGATTTCTCTCTACTTCTACACAGTTATATTCAATACATGTATGTTATGCATGATATTTCAAATCCTCACCTTATTGACTGCATCATTTCTGTATTTATTTCAGAACCCTGGGATGTTTAAAGGCATGATGCAGAAAGTGAACCCGTTTAAGTCTCACACTCAGGTACTGAACACAAGATTGACGTCATTGAACTAAATATATAGCATTTTTAGAATTTTTAAGAGTGGGATTACCAGGTTTTATTTGTCGTGCTCAGTTTTCAGTTGTGGTTAACCAAGTTGAACCCTCTGTTGTGTTTGGATGCAGACGCCAGGTGAAGAATGTCAGGCAGACTCTTCTTCCTCGTTGATGACGCAGGTGCGGTTTACGGTAAGAGCTTTCTTTTCTTTTTTTAAGGCATCGAGAAGTTGAAATGCATTAATCACAGCCCTGTAGGTATGTAACTCCTGATCTGTTGTTTATGACAACAGTGCTCAGGTCATCATAGCTATAAGAACAAGACTTAAATAAATACATAAATAGGAGGAAATTGCTCTTTTGATCTCTATACTTAAAGGGGCCCTATTATGCTTTTTGGGGTTTCCCTTTAGAGTGTTATTTAGGTTTTGGTGCATGTAAACATTCTGCAAAGTTACTTCCAGAAGGAAAAAATGCAAGCATGAACTATGAAAATTAGCACAATAGGTCCCTTTTTTATTATAATAATGATAATAGATGACAGGCTGGCGGCGCATGCACACGCAGCGGCCCCTCACTCTCCCGTTTATTTTGTATTCTTTGTGTTTTTAGTATTTTCCTGCTGGTTATTTTGTGGTGTTTTGTAAATATTGAATGTTCTTGTATTTTAATGTGTGGTTTTTTTTATACCTCGGGACTGTGGGAAACAGTATTTCAATCTTTCTGTGTGTACGAACATATTTTGAGATTGACAATAAAGTTGACTTTGACTTTGATAATACATTGGATTTCTATAGCGCTTTTCCTAATGCTCAAAGACGCTTTAAGCTGGCTTTTTACTTTTTATTAATGTAATTGGAATAAACAGGTGAGCACTGTATTATTGAGTTGTTTTAATCCCATGCCTTTCTTATTCCTCATCAGGAAAACCCAGCTATTCACAGTGACCACTCCTCCAGCTCTGACAGCATCGATGACGGCACCATAGAGAGACACGTGAGACGTTAATTCCACTTATTGTCTTCAATGTTTTTGATGACCTCATTACTGACCTTTGGGTTTGGACCTTTTTAACCCATAAGACACGGGTGTCACATGAACTTTAAATGTTCTGGAAAGTTCCTTATACAGCTTTAGCCTTTCTTTTATCTCATGAAGTCCCTAAGTGACACACCCTGAACAGTCTGGTGGGTCATGGTCCAGGTCATGTGACTTTGTGTTCCCATAACAACATGTCCAAGATGTCCATGTGCCAGGCTAACACATGTGACAGAACTACATTTCAAAAGCTTTTTTTGTTGTTGCTTAAGGTACAATTCAAGCCATTTAAGAATGAAAATGCTTACATAACATGTCCTTTATTACATTTAACCTGTTGTGGAAACATTTCTTGATCAAATTGATATGAAACAAATGAGACAAACATCGCTGTCACACTGATGTCACATCGGGACTTTAACCCTAAACATTCACAGTAAACCCAAAGTGACATATATGCACAATTAGAAATATGATTATGATCTGCTCCGTTAATTTAGCTGATTCAATTATATTGAGTTAATATATTCTTATTCTTCAATTCAAAGAATGTTCAAACTAATTTAAACCAAAAAATCATCCTCATTAATTAAGTTAAAAATAAGAGTTATTTTACCATTAAAGCCCAATGTGACATATAAGTCACATTTCAGATATTTGACACTAGGGGGGGGGGGGGTTACTTGTCAGAAATGTGTTCTAGGTGGTCCATTTAGTCTAAATGATGTTCCCCTTAATTTTCCCAAAAGTAGAAATGTGTCTGGGTTCTTATGGGTTTGGCCTCTATTTGGCATATCTAATGACGGCTATGAACGTTCATTCATCTCTGTTATTGTTTACGGCTTTACTCAGAGCGGAAAGTACTCTTAAGTAACATCCTAAAAATGCTGTTCAGCCTGAAATGCGCTCCTGTCGAGAAACCACAAGACAACAATGAGCGTTTGTTTTTTTCAGTGTAACATGAGCCGGACAATTCTAGAAAGAGACATACTGAAAGGTTCATTGTACATTTTACATCTGTAAATAACAGTGGTGTAATGTTACTAAGTAGTTCACTCAAGTAAAACCTGGTGGTATTTGTATTTTTACATTATGCTAGTTAATACTTATACTTCACTTCATTTTGAAGGCAAATGTTATGTTTTCTACCTTTTACTTTACAGATTGAGTTACTAGTTACAGATTTAGTTTATTAATACACAATGTAAACCGACACGCTTTGTTATATATTATTATTGGTTAAGTTTTCCATTAGCATTTAAATTAATTCACCATTAATGCACCAATAATTGTAATACATTTAATAAAATAATTATCAAATACCAATTAGATGGTCATCCTGCATGTTATGCTAATACTTTGTACTTCTACTTGATTACAATTTTGAATCCTGGACTTTTACTTGCTATATAGTATTTTACATTGTAGTATTGCTACTTTTTATTAAAGTAAATAGTCCTTCTTAGTAGTAGTACTTCTAGTAAATAGTACTTCTTAGTAGTAGTACTTCTAGTAAATAGTCCTTCTTAGTAGTAGTACTTCTAGTAAATAGTACTTCTTCTAGCACCTCTACTTAATGGCACTTTGTGATTTCGACGCTATTTCAGTGAAACAATGCCGTTTTGTCAACTTAAAGGATTTTTGCTTGTTTCTTGACACTTATAAATACACTTTAATACATGCAACACTTTTCAACTGGCAGAATATGAAGCACTTTGTAAGGAATTGGGTTTCTTTGATGGCAGTTTGTGTTTTTAAGACTGTTACAGGGAGACAATGCCGTTTTGAACATTTGACACATTCTTGCTTAATTCTCTCAAAAAGTTACTGAAAGACCCACTTTTATGGATAAAAGCTTAAACTAGAAAATGAAGTACTTTGTGTGAGTATATTTTCGTTAAGAATGTGACTCTTAATAATAATAAAGACTACACAACCGTAGTAAAGCTGTCCCAGGACCTGCCTTACAGACACTTAGATACTACTACTTGGGTAGATAGTGATCGTATCTTTAGCAACACTCAGTTAAAACAACACCTGCCTCCCTCTGTCTGCAGTCGATCTGGTACACTGACACCGACCCCGTCCTCGAGGTGAAGGGCCCGCCTGCCGAGGCCCCGAGGAAGAGCACTATGGTATGTCAGAGATTTAGGTCAGCGTGCATTCACGTCTAGATACAAGCATACAGTAGTACGCGTCATTTACATTGAGGACGCTGAGGACATGTTCACACACCTTTTCAGGAAATGACATAAATATGTTCTTAAAATAGCGTGCACAAAGAATTGTACGCTTTGAGTTGTTTTGCACAGAAAACATGTACTATCTCGAGGACTGTTCACACTTTTTGAGTGTGTTTCTGCTAATCAAAGTGGAGAAATGTGCACCTGCGACACGTTTAATATTCGTAATAATTGAATAGAGAATAGCTTTGCAGCAGCGTAGCATAGTTACTGCACTAGTTGCCAAATGTTGTATGTATGTATGCATGTATGTATGTATGTATGTATGTATGTATGTATGTATGTATATCCTGTAGGTATGTACTGTTTGAACACCTATGTCAAGAGAAATCCAAATTGTCATTTTTATGGTTTTACTCATACGGTTAATGCTTTTTTTGGAATAAAAATGTAAGAATATTTGTGCTCTTTTTTTCTCTAGACTTTCAGAATAAAGAGGATTTTGCCCACTGCGTTGTTTGGGTCTCGAACAAAGGTACTAATACATGACTTTCATCCTACTGCTCAAATCCCACTACAATATATTTATATACTTCTTTTATTTACATTAAGCAAAAAAGTATGAAAATGTTTTCAAACTATATTTTATTGGAATGGTGCTTTTTTTGTTGTTTTTAATTTATTTGTATTTGTATTATTGATCTGTTTTATTTACAGGACTCATCAGCTGACACGCAGGCACCGCCCGAGGTGAGTAAGCAATTCAGCTTTATGTGTCACCTTTCAAACACATAATTAAGGGCTTAAGGCTTAAAAAGGAAAGGAAGGAGCCATTTCATTTGATGATAAATGAAACTGATAAAACCAGTCATGAAGGGAAATCAAACATAAAATAGTTCACAGTTTTAGTGCAGTCATAAATGGAGACAACTTGAATTTAAACATTAAAGTTGATTACAGCTGATTTCCATTCTTTGTGCATGTCGAGCAGATTCAAACCCAACAGGCTCAGCAGTAATATGAAACTATCCAAATAAAAGCACGGCGACGCCGCCTTAAAAACAAGGATGGGTAATATTATGATAAAGGGTGTGTGTTAAAGGATCCTTTATTTGCATATGTCATTTTAGTATCAGTGACAGTTCCTTTGTCGGACTTTACTTTGATTAAGATGTCTTTCAAATTCAATTGTGGCCTACGATTTGTCTCTCAAAGCGATTCGGTCTATTTGAACCTCAGCACACGGTATCTGTGGTAAATATTATTTCACATTCTCCCATGTGTCTCTTTACTTTATTTCCTGTTTGCAAGTGCATCCCCAATTCACGTGGCAACACTGAGTACACATCGCAAGTACAATGTAAAATAAATGATATTTCAGTGATATTTTGACTTGCTATACTTTCAACGTACCATGACGTTTTTCTGATATTTGTCATACTATACTATGTCGTATTTTGCATATTTTCGGCATACTATATATGTAGTTTTTACTGAATTTCAACACACAATACTATGTCAGTTTTTCTGAAAATGTCGACGTGTGGTTTTTTGCCTATTTTCGTTGTTTTCTTTGACGTTTTCTACATCACTTTGTCATTATACTGATAGTTTGGACATGATGTACTATGACTTATATTTCTGACATAGTCATAGCACAATTTAGTGTTTGTACATCTTTCTTTATTTTCTTATGTGTTGTATTTTTCTGTTCTAGGAAGCAGTTGAAGTTCAGACCCTAGAGTTGGCCGATGTACCCGCGCTCATTGAAGGAACGACCTTTGACCCTCTGGATGTAAGCTTCTTTATGTCCAATACAATCACACCATGTCATGCTTGTTTCATGTGCATTTAATTTCCATGTACATACATTTCACAATTGTTCATTTACAGGATGAGGAAGGCCTTTTAGCGTGGTGGAATATGGTCGAAGGTGAGCTTAATATTGTCAATATTTAATGATTTATAAGTATTCCTGCCTTTTGCCAAACTATACCTAAGTTGTTCCCTTCCTGTGTGTTAGGCTGGTCTGAGTGGAGTGAGGGCAACCAGGACGAAGAACCTCAAGAGTAAGTAGCACTCTTTTTGCTTTTAGAATTTGTCGCTTTTATCCAAAATGACTCACTCAAAAACAATACAATTTAAGCAATATAGGGTTATGTCTTTCTTCTAAAAACACTTCAATGTGTTGACAAGGTGGGATTGAACTGATTCCATCTGTGTTGTCAGATCAGTGCACTTTCCCCTGGACTGCAGTTATTGTATTACTCTTTCTAGAAGTAAGGTTGACGTGTTACTCTACTCCACAATTTTGCCGAAACTGTGACAGTCTTTACTTCCTGTTAGAAATTAACTAAGTCCAATATGTCTATACCTCTATGTGTATACTCTTCACGTCCAGTAAACTCATCTTCTCGTCTCTCTCGTCTCAGTGTGGTGGAACAAGCGGCCGACCGTGTCTTCATGGCGGCTCGCCTTTTTGTCCGCTTCTTCAACCAGCGTGGCGCCACCCTCCAGCAGCGCATCCTGGAGCTGCTGTCTCTGGCCGACTCGGCTGACGTCTTCCACAAGAAAACGGTCCAGGCCAGTGTGGGCGGGGGCGTGGCCAGCGTGGCAGGATCCATCACGACCATCACGGGGCTCATCCTGGCGCCCTTCACCGCCGGGGCGTCGCTCATCGTCGTGGCGGTCGGCATCGGTGTCGCTACGGCAGGCGGGGTGGCGTCTGCTTCAGCCAACATCACGGACACGGTGCATTCAAAGACCGACCGCAAGAAGGTGGAGAAGATTATCCAAGACTACGAAGAGGAGATCAAGGACATCAAGGAGTGCCTGGAGTTTCTGCAGGTGAGAAGATACACGTTTGTGTCATTAAAGCTTTACGTGGTTCAGTAGTTCACTGAGAACTACACCTGCACACACGCGTCTGTGTTGGATATGGCGTGTGTGTTACATGTTGTGATCATGGATGTTGCCCCTCGTTATGTGATTGTGATGTGCTATATGTGACATGTATGTAGTAGCGTGTGTTGTTTGCATTTTATTGTTCTCCTTTCACCTCCATCTACTTGTCTTTCATCCTTTTTTTATAACTAATGCCGTTGATGTATTGTGATTTTAAAAAGGTGGCCATTATCATCTGGCCGGGGACAACAGCTGGGAATTAGCAATGTTGGCTAAAGCTGCAACATTTACTGTTTTTTGTGACAGTTGATCAATGGGGACTGTCCACGACACTATAAACAAATAAACTCAACCTCATAATCTTGGTTTTAAAGTCAGACAATTTAAAATAGTCGCCTGAACTAAGTTGTTTTTCCCCCCCCCCCCGACAGGAAGGGATGGAAGCGCTGGAGGAGTGGAACTTTGAGGCGTATGCTGAGAGCATCTCCAAGAAGCACCTCAACCAGAACGTCAAACACGTGATGAAGGAGGGGGGGCGCGCCGGCAAGGCTTTAGTGGTCAACACGGAGAGCCTGATCAATACCGTGCAGGTCCTCACGGCGGCTGGAAGCGCTGCTAAAGCCGTGCAGGTGATGAGCATTACCACGGGGGTCATGTCCGGACTCTTCCTGGCTCTCGATGTCTTCTTCCTGGCGAAGGACACCATGGAGCTCAAAAAGGGAGCTAAGACTGAGTTTGCTGCTAAGATTCGAGAAGTTTGTAAGGACCTGCAGGACGGGCTGCTGGAGCTGAACCGCATCAAGGAGCAGCTGCAGAAAACCATCGACGGGATCGAGGTGGAGGTCGAGGTCGAGGAAGAGGAGGACGAAGAGCTGCTGAAGTCTGAGCTGAAGAAACTTGTGGAGTTTGATGAATGAAGAATGAAGGATAGTGTTTAGAAAACCAAAGTCTAAATCCCAACACCAAAAACAATCACTCCTCCCAGGAGCTTAATTGAAGTAATATTTATTAGATATATTAGCTGTCATTTTAATTTGTATGTACTTTGTGTAAGTGTCATGTTGAAGTAATGTCACCTTTGCAATTAAAGTGGTTTCCTGCTCAAACGCCTTTCTTTATTACTTCCCTGGTCTCAGTTGTGAAAGTCTGGAGTGTCAGACTCGACGGACCGGTAGAGGGAGGGACATTTTTTTAAAGCCGGAGTCACAGGCTTTCTGTCAGCGTCATGAGGGCACAGAGAAATGTAGACAGGCCTGTCAGGACAGAAAAAGCCCCTTTTCATTCATTTTGACTTCCTAATATAAATTCTTAAGTACATTATGTACACTATTAATGGCTACATTGCACGACAGCCTGAGGCAAGTGTTTGAAAAAGCATCAGAACTTCTTATGCTAAGGTGAAAGGAAATCAACCGTAACACTGAAAGAGGAATTGTTTAAAAACGACTGACCTTCTCCAGGTCAAGCATACGTAAATGCTTTCAACATAAGTGGAAATGAGTTGCGCTACTCTAACAAAAGATGGGTCTGACTGATGGGGGATAAACTTCCTGCAGTGGTGTACAAATCTAAAAAGGTATTTGAGGTTAGATTCTACATATAGTAGGGAATACAATGTGTGTGAGAGTAAATATAAAGTATCCTTTGAGTATAATGTCATTAATAATTTTCAATAGGCTGGAATAAAGCTTCATTATGCGTATAAATAAAATAATTAAGCATCTACTTACACATCCAGCAGAACCTCGGCACCCATGGGAGTCAGACCTCTGGCCATCTAAAGAAGGAGAAGAGAGGGGAGACATTCATATACAGGAAGCTATTCTTAGGAAGACTCATTTGATTGAATGCAAATATTTGTATATATATATGTATAAATGCATGTTTAACACGAACACACTATTCTTAATAACTCGTAACAGATTGTAAACTTTCAGATTTAAACTTTGGATGAGATTAAAATAAATAAAACTGAATTTACAGTCTAACATATGTCAATAAAATAACAGCAAAGGTAAATACGTTTGTTACATTCAAGGACATTTGAACTACATTTTGTCAAAGTGTAAAAACAAATCAAGCCTCCTTAACCATGAAACATAAATGTTGCAGCCAATTGCTTTTTAATAGCAATTGGCTGCAACATTTGGATTGTAATCCTCGCATAATAAATCCACGCTGTGTGTATGTGCAACAACCGCTTTAGGACTGTAGGAACTGTGATTTAGGTGCATTGACTGCAAATCAAGTTTTCCATCCAGCAAAATGAAGGGATGTAATTGAACTGAAATCACATCATATGTCGATGTAAAGCCTGTGCTGCAGCGCTGTCTGCTTAGAATAAACTAAACCCCAGGACCAAAGAGGCTGCATTAAGGGTTTACAGTCAAATAACACTAGGAATGTAGCTATGAGGAAGTCCATTTGATCGTACAGTAGCTTATCATCTCAAGATAAATGAGTAGTCACGGACGCGAAACTCGAGAAGGAATGAAGAGTTTTTCTGGTAACTAAGCGGTATGAACACAGGTAGCACCTGCCTTTCCCATCAGTAAAATATTTCCTTGATTTGCTTACTGAAAGAATCTGCCACAGCTGGTTTAACCAAAGCGATGTCTTACAAAACACCTGACTATCAAATGATTTAGTTACAGTAGCAGCAGTGTGTTCAGACATTTAAGTCTTTAAATATGTAATCCTCCGGGTGAATGAATATCTTCAGTCACTTAATGAACCTTATTTGTTTTGTTGTTCAATATATTGTTTTGTGTGTAACATTTTGTTTCTTTCTGAAACATATTGTTATACAAATGAACATTACTTTAAAGAGGCAAGTACTAGTTTTTTTGTGACAACGCTACATGTACTGAAAATAATACTATAATCAAGGCGGATATCCTCGCTCTTCAATGCTGCTTTCCCAGAGGTCTTCTAACTATGTTTTAACATTGCACTTCAGCACTTCTTGCAGCATTATGTGTATTAACAATGTCTCTCTATTGATTTTTGGTTTTTAATAAAAGTGTAAGCTTAAACAGCAGTGTTCTTACTTGGGTTCTGACTCTTGGAATGAATAAGATTAACCAAATGTGCTTTGATAAATAAACTTAAATGATGTTGACTTAAATGAACAAACATCCTAGTGTGATGTTTTGTTGAGCCTCTCTGGGCATAGGTAAACTCCTTTCTCTCGTTCTTTAGAACACGGATGTGGTTTGGTTATTACTTACTTAAGTCAACAAGTGATGTGTGACAAGGCCTTTAAAATAACTTTTTTGTGTATTATCTCTCTACAACGCCTGTGTATACATTCACATGTATATAGTGTAGTTTGTCTATGCAGAATGTTTAGCAGCATTCTTGTAACAGAAAAGAAACTGGCTTGTTTTTTGTTCATTCTGAATACCAATACTACTTGTTTTCTTGTTTTCTTGATGCTGACGGCCTGCCAAGACCTTTGAAGATGCAATGTGTGATGTCTGCCAGATAAAACACGACTCAAGGTGGCAGCAATGCGGATCAACAAGCGGAGCTGGTTTTTTGTTGGCATAAGATATCTTGAAATCAACCTCTTGCCAACAGAACAACGACCTCAGATTCCACAAGGTAATGGAAAATGTCAGTAGGCAGTGGCTACCTCAAAGTAGTACCACAAATTGAACAACACACTGATATTTTAGGGGTTGCAGAAGCTTCAACGAGTGGTTGGTCACATTGGCAAAGTCAAACAAGGTATAATGATGTCCATGTGTACATCTACGAACATTAAAGAACTATATACGATGGCAGCGAGAGCGGAACGTTCACTGACAGAAAATAAAGATTTGTACTACCGACCAAACTAGAACAACTGAAGCAATCAACGTAGCTACTAACAGTACAGATTATGTAACCAAGGGATCAGCAGTATTGTTCAGATTGAGGTTTCACCCACACCTTTAACGGCAGCATGGCTTTTAATTAACTGTGAGAAAGGATTGCATACTAATCAAACTACATTCTTGCAAAACATGCAGTGGCCTCAGTTGTATTCCTATTTGGAGTCAATCAATACATCCAGTGTTTTTCTTGCTTTGGAATCAACCGAATAGTAATAGAAGTGTACAAACTATTTTGGTCATTATTTAACACTTTGCAGACTTGCTTGTGAACATCATTTGGACATTTGAAAGCACAGCAAAAAAAACAATCACTAAATATATTTCTAAAATTGGACCCAGTTTGTTCAATAAATGTAATTCTTGGTTTTCTAGAATAAGTGCAGGTATCTTATAAGTGATTTGAATAAGGCAGGCTGAGAAACTATTAAAAAACGTACAATAACATACATTTACTTTTTGAACATATTTATATAGCACTATATTGACAAGCATGAAAACAGTAAAGTTGGCATCACACTGGCATCAGTTAAACCTGTTAAACCCTTATGCCCAACCCATCCTGGGACAAAACACGCACCAGCTTTGGTCTACTGGTACGAATAAGTTATTTACTGACTATCTTTACTGAGCATAGTTTTAACTTTATTTAAGATCTACATTCGCATAGCTTATTTATTTAAGGGGGAAAAGTATGTTTTTTTAAATCTATTTCACCTTTAGTAAACCATGAAGTTTACGGTTTTTTAAAAGAGACATGCTAACTGATATAAATGCTAAGTTATGGTCATACTGTATACATTTTCTTGCAAAGTTAACTGTGTAATGCTCCCACACATGTCACCAACCTGAAAAGATTAGTAGGTATTTTTATAGCATGCTAAAATTGGTCTTAAAATAGGTATTTAAAAGTGAATATTTTGTATTTGAAGAAGGCTAAATTAAAGGTGACAAACACCTACGATGAAATGTTTGCTCACTCAAAGATAATGTAATGAAATGCTGAATACGTTTTTTTTAATGATACAGATGTCTGAAATAAATAACAAAAAAATAAATAAATGCCACAAAAAAAGAGAAAACATCTGTTGTTGTTTTAAAACGTTGGTATCTGCCTAGAACTTCACAATCCCAAAAGAAAAACACCACATGCTCAATGGTTGTGTTGTTTGTTTCAACACACTGCTGAAGTATCCTATCGTCAGCCTATTCAAATCGATGTTTGGTGTGCAGCCACCAAAGTGTGCCTCACCACATGAAAATGTGCTGAAACAAATCACGAGGCTAGTTTCATTTAAACAGAAATGTGTCTCAACTGTGACAACCAAACAGGTTCAACTGGAGGATGACAGAGTATCTCTCCATTGTCCAATGCATTCTACTTATGCTAATCACTACGTATTCATAAAACATGCAATCTTTGTGCTTCCACTGACAAACCAGTTCCTCGTAGTGTGTCACCAGTCTCATGACTTTCATGACGCTCGGGCACACACACACACACACACACACACACACACACACACACACACACACACACACACACACACACACACACACACACACACACACACACACACACACACACACACACACACACACACTCATCCCGTATGTTGTCTGAAGAGATATTTGTACTGGGGAAAGTTTGTGAGTTTGTGTGGAAATTGAAGGGATATGAATAGCAAGTGCTAGGCCAAAATACAGATGATACCAAAACTGTTGAATTCAGACAAATGTAAATCTTTCTGGTCATAATGTCAGTAAAAATAAGTAAAGTAAAATGTAAATTGTATTAAAATAAGCTCATTTCCACATATCCTTCAATGTTTTGGATAAAGTAAACTGCTTCAGGCTCAATTCTTATTGTTGATATTCTTTTTTAATAATGCACCAGGTTACGGGATTCCTTAAGCAATTTAAAGCAAAGAGAATATCTTTCATATCAATGCAATTTTGGTATTGCAACTGAAGTATCCATTTGTAATCAACTTTTATTAGAATATTGAATTCAATCTGGACCATGTGAAACCTAATGGAAGTGATTTGAGGATCCCTGGCAATTGCCAACCATATTCTTTACGAAGAGTGTGTATTTATTATTTTTGAGCTGAATCAACACAGATTATATTTGACTGGAATTTCTCCAGAACAGTAAAAGTCTTCAATGAAACTCAGCCAGGACAGAACCCTGATGTATAAGCCTAAAACCCTCAGCAATATGTATAATAAAATAAATACAATTTGAAATGTTATAATAACCAAAATGTTGTTTAACTTGAAACTGATGTTACTGCTATATCATATAATAGAGCCATAATAGAACCCCTTCACCAATTAACAATAAGATTGTTATAGTTTCCTTAACAATTATATTGCAAATGTTGTTAATATCTAAGGAAGTTATTTAGAAACCACAATCTGGCAGAGTCAAAGAGGGTTAAGTGAGCAGTGACATCATCTCCATACAGGTATGGTATATTCCACTAAAAGGCTTTTTCTAAAAATGTTCTTATAACCTAACCTCAGTCTTGTACATACATGTACATTTCCACAGGTCCCTAAAAAAACTGCAGTCATAAAACCACTCTTAAAAAGAACAATCAAGACGCTTCACTAATTAACAATTGCAGGCCCATATCAAACCTCCCATTTCTAGGTAAAATCATTGAAAAAGTTGTTTTTCAACAGCTGAATACCTTCTTGGATCTAAATAACTGTTTTGATGTGTTCCAGTCAGGCTTTCCACCGCACCACAGAACTCAGACTTCTCCTATTAAGGTCTTTAATGATATCCAGTTAAACACAGACAGTGGCCGAATCTCAGTGTTAGTATAATTAGATCTCAGCGCTGCATTTGACACTGTTGACCAAACCATATTACTAGACCAACTGGAAAACTGGGTGGGACTCTGGCACAGTTCTAAACTGGTTCGAATCCTACTTAAAGGACAGGAAAACTTTGTTGCTATAGGTAACTACACATCTGAGTTGACACATATGACGTGTGGGGTTTCCCAAGGCTCCATCCTGGGGCCTCTTCTCTTTAACATCTACATTCTTCCACTGGCTCAGATAATAGAAAACAACAAAATAAGTTACCTTTGCTACACCAATGACACATAGATTTCCATAACCATTTATCCATGGGATTATGGTCCAATTCAAGCACTGAGCAAATTAATTGAACAAATCAATGACTGAATGTGTCAAAACAACAGAAAAGGCCAGAAACCTAGGTGTAGTCATGGACTCTGACCTGAATTTCAAGTTAGCCTACTATGACCTAAACATGTATCTATTAAAGGACTGACATCTCAGCAGGATTTGGAAAAACTTGTCCATGCTTGTATCTTCAGTAGACTCGACGACCGTATTGGAGGCTTAACAGGTCTTACTAAACATATATTTGAGAGCCACAGCTGATTCAGAATCCAAGTCCTCACTAACACTAAAAAAGTGGATCATATCACTTAAGTTTTATGAACTTTACACTGGCTTCCTGTCGGTCATATAATTGACATCAACATAATGCTGCTGGTTTATAAAGCACTGAAAGAGCCACAATACATGTCTGATCTTCAGCTACATTATGAACTAGCCAGACCTCTCAGGTCGTCTGCGACGGGTCTGCTTTCTGTCCCCAGAGTTAGAACTAAACATGAAGAAATAGCGTTCAGTTATTATTCTTCATATATCTGAAACAAACTACCAGAAGACTGCAGGTCCGCTGCAACTCATACCTCTTTTAAATCCAGGATGAAGACTTTTCTTTTTGACGCAGCTCTTCCACTGCACTGTAGCTTTTATACTTTTTTAGACCTGCATTATCATAAGCTTATTTGATTATTTGTATTGTTTAATTACTGTTTTTAGATGTCTTTTTATAATGTTATTCCGCTGCACTATTGCTGTACCTTTGCTCGTAATGTTTGTTCACTTTTGTAATGCACTTTGAATTGCATTGTGTTGAAAGTTGCTACATAAAGAAACTTGCTCTGCCTTACATTCCATCACTAATGTTTGAGCATTATTCTTTTATACACAGCTCCACCTAAACAACCCATGCAACCTGTTAACCCCCAAGCCTGTTTTTCAAGTCTCAGGCTCGAAAATGACATTTCCAGAACAAATGACCATAACTACACTTCTAAAAGGAGAAAATTAATAATCTTTGTTCTCAAAGTAATGAAAAAGACATAAGACATATTTGGTTAGGTTGCTACCTAATGCGTGTTGTGATGTCTGTTTTTGTTTATAATGTCGCGAGTTCTGATCATGGAGTGATGCTATTGATACCTAGCGATTCTGTGTACTCTCACGATGCTAATCGATATGTTGGATGTGCAGTTACGATAAGTAATAAGGGTGTTATACTGTGTTTTCTGTGCTAACGGCGTTAGCATTTTTTCGCTCAGGACTGATTCAGAGGCTCAGCGTTAGCCTTGTGTTTTTTTCATCATCAGTTAGCTGAGTTTCTTCCCGTTACATGGATATGAAACATTCATAGTTTATTCAATATTAAGAAGCCCTCAGATGCTGTTTCCTGCAGATGATGCGTTTTTCCGCCCGGGGGCGGGGGGATGGGGTTCAACAGGTTATGTCTGAGAATGTGTTTTTCTTGTTTTGGCTCTGATATCTGGACTTGTCCCAACCCCCTTTAGTTTACATATACGGACACAGAGGGCATAGGTATCACATCTTTACCTGGGATCCTGCTAAGAACATCCTGACTGCAAGTGGTCCCTCTGTGACACCTGAGACTAAAACTACACAAGATCAAAGAACTGAGCATCCTTTTGCTTCTTCACCCGAATTCCCTGACCGTTGGAAGTCCAAAAAAAAAAAAGGTAAGCTTAAATAATGCAACAAATTGACATCTGTTACTTCTGGAGGAAAGCTTGTAATTGAACTTTACTATAATTAAAATGTCGTTTGAAGTGAAAAATAACTTAATATATAAGATATAAAATACATCACCTAATTACATTTTCAGTGATTTAAATCATCAAAATTGGCAATACTTAAATAATTAAAAACTCATATTAAGTTAAATATATTATGATAGATCTATATTTATTTATATTTTAGATTAACTGTTTTCAGTTCATTTTACAGTTCATTTTTACAATAAATATAGTTAAATTATTAGTTAGCAAATGTTAAATTAAACTGGGAATCGTTTACATCTTACAATATCAAGATATCACATTTTTTTAAATGTCAACACATTTCCATGACCTTTCAAGGTGGCATTTTCAATTACCATTTCCCTTCAATCAAGCTAAAGAAAAGTGAAAAGCAATGTATTGTGTAATCTCTAAAAACACATTATCCCACATGAATATGGCCAAAATCATAATAACAACTATTTTGATTTATGATTTTTCAGTGATTCAAGTGAAGTCTTTAAAAAAATATATATTTCTAATGTACAAATTATGACTGCACCATATTCGAAACACTGATATTGTAATATGACGTTTTCTTCAATAAGCTTAGTATTACAATATGAAGAATCGCCAAAACCTCACTAACATTGGCCGCTGTATGGCCGTAAGTTCAGGGTGCGCCTGATTCGTTTTGCCGCTCACGGACAACGCTTCTTAAACACGTTTTTGTAAACAGCCCTGGCCCACTCTAACTACCGGTGTTGATAGTCAGCGATTGTATGTGTTATATATCTGGGCTTTACTGTGTGTTTCTGTGAGAGGTAAAGAGAGCTATGGGAGAGAGCAGCTGAAGCAATAAGCCAAAGCAAGTCTCATGCCGGTTACTTAAAAACATTTAGAGACATTTCATCTATCGTATGTAGAGCAGATACGAGTATTTCTGATTTATCGGCCAGCCCTAAAAGCTTGCTGTGACAAACTGATAATATGGGTTATGTTTATTTAAAAAAAATAACGTTTTCTGAGATTTCATGATATAATCTTTGCAACGACACGTCCTGCTGTAGAAAGTGTTTGACCATATCATTAGGCTGAATAACCACCTAACTCCACCTTCTCCAGCCATGCACAACAGACTGGTCCTCCTCACTGCCCTGCTAGTGACGCTGTCCTGGATGTCATTAGGCACCTACGCAGCGACAACAGCAGCGACAACAGCAGCAGCAGCGACAACAGCAGCAGCAACGACAAAAGCAGCAGCGACGACAGCAGCAGCGACGACAGCAGCAGCAACGACAAAAGCAGCAGCGACGACAGCAGCAGCGACGACAGCTGCAGCGACGACAGCAGCAGCGACGACAGCAGCAGCAACGACAAAAGCAGCAGCGACAGCAGCAGCAACGACAAAAGCAGCAGCGACAGCAGCAGCAACGACAAAAGCAGCAGCGACGACAGCAGCAGCAACGACAAAAGCAGCAGCGACAACAGCAGCAGCGACAACAGCAGCAGCGACAACAGCAGCAGCGACAACAGCTGCAGCGACAACAGCAGCAGCGACAACAGCTGCAGCGACAACAGCAGAAGCGACAACAGCTGCAGCGACAACAGCTGCAGCGACAACAGCTGCAGCGACAACAGCAGCAGCGACAACAGCTGCAACGACAACAGCAGCAGCGACAACAGCAGAAGCGACAGAGGCACCACCAATCAAGCCCGACACAACAGTGACAACACTTATGGTAAGTAATGCAAAAAACTAGAGCGTAGTGAAATAGATGAGAACAGAATGTTTAAAATCATTGAGGTTACATTTTTTCAGTGGTTTAAAAATCAAATCTCCTTTACAGACAGCTATCAACAGGACAGACTGCGGGAATGACCAGCTCTGTGCCGCTCAACCCTCAGACTGCGACCCCTCAACAAGTTCATCATGTTTCTTTCTGGCTGCCAAGCAGAGCAGCGGCAGAAACTTTGACATTGGGCTTTCAGGAGAGTCCGATGGCTATATTGCAGGCACCCTGTCACTCGACAACATACTGGTATGTTAGGTTATGTCCCACACTTGTAGATTGAAATACCACAAAGTATAACCCACAGCTACTGAAATAGTTTGTTTGAATTCTTCTTTCGAAAAAGTTACAATTTTTGTTTTTCTCCACAGGGAGGTAATGACACAACCTACGTGTGTGCAAACAAAAATGGTGTTGTTAAATTCTTTGGAGCTGTCCTCAACAATGGCAAGCTGACTCTGAAAGAAGTGAGTAAAATCCAAGAGCATGAATTAGACGTTATAGCAGCTGCGTGGAACGCTCATGAACTGCCACATCATTGTTGTCAAATGATGTGGTCTGAAGCCGATTTGTATGTCTTTAACAACATGTTATTTTATTTTTGTTCTACGTCAAATACTGAACAGATAGTTCAAATGTTATGGTTGAATCAGTATGCATGAAATGCCACATATCTAGCCTTTTTGAACGTGTAGCTCAGGCAATACAATTGCAAATTCTAATTTAAACCATCACCATTTGCATGGCATAAAAATACTGAAAACCAGCTTTCTTTTTTGACATCTGTTACCGTCTTTGCTCTGCAGCTTCCTGTGGATTCCGTGAAGGGCAAAATCACTGGAAAAAAAATCCAGTGCACATTTTCCGCCACTGTACCGGCCCAGATTACTAGAGCATCCCAGTTTGCAATCGCAATCTCCACAGGAACTTTCAACAGCTGTAAGCCTACCAAACAGAGATACACATTCACACATCAAACAGTCAACTAAGATCAACTGTCACAGAGACTCACAAATAATAGATAAATATCTTGTCATGTTCAAAAAATATATATCTAATTTATTTTGCTTGAACCCACAGCTACTGATGCTCTTGGGGACCCCAGCACCCAATTCAAAAGCCCTCTTGTAAACCTGGAAAATCCTAACACCACTGTCACCAATGAGCTTGCCACCAACACTAGTAGCCATGCCATTACAATCCAGCAATCTCTGACCCAAGGTAGGCAAAAGAGATAGAGATGTTGTCCTTAGGAGATTTTAAAACATGTAGGAAATGCAATGCGTGTAAACAAAGCCTAACACATTATTTGTTTCCCCTCTAGCTCTGCTGTTCACTGTTGGTGTGCTTGGTCTGACCGTGCTATGAGGAAACTGACAACTCCGAAACTGACAACTCCGAAAGTCAAGACAAGACCATAACTAAATTATTCGTCTTAGTGTGCTACTGAATATAATCATCTCTCAGGAGGTTGACTATAAACAGTGCATCCTTCCCAGATTATTAGAATCATGCTTCATTATGTTTCAACTTACTGGCAGGCGAGGGCAGGAATGGTGGAGGTCGGTCAATCTTCCAAAGCCTTCTAACTGCTTTCACATCTGTGTAGGTTCTGAAACAAAAAAAGTCAATTCATTGTTAGTTTAATGTGTAATCAATTTGTAATGTATTGTTTTAACCATAGGAGTGCTGGATTTCCTTCATACATGTAAACCTTATTGAAAACAAATATATTGACTCTCTGCCTGGAAGGAAAATCAGTCTTTGAATGGGTACAGATGTGAAGAAATATGACAATTAATTACAATTCATGTGTTTCTGATGACGTACACAAAAAAAGCCATGTTTTTCTTCTTCTGTCGCTCATGATGTCAGCAAATGGCAGACACGTGTTTGTGTTACGTGATGATTATTATTATTTTTATTTTATTTTATGTGAATGTACATATCGTTAAGGATTCAAGGGGATTTTGAACATTGTATCATGTAAAAATTGATGTAGATTTTTTTATCGCATTTTTGGAAATAAATATTCAATGAAAGCTGAAATGTTTTTTTATTTTTTTTTAAAAATACGCTAAGAAGAGGATAGCAGATGATTTAGAAGCAGTTCAAGAGATAACCATTATTAAGAACTGACCATTTTAATAAATGTTCAACAATTTGCCAACATGCTTGTGAACATTCATTTTACAGCACTGCAAAATAATCACTTAATATTTAAATTTTCTTAATATTCTTAGTATATTATTGAACCCTTAATGTTTAAAAAATCCACCAGTGCCTGAACCTAAACACAAATAAATAAATAAAGTTAATATGGACTTTATAACTTGAGTTAAAAAAAACAAGTCCAACTTCAAAAAAGATAAACTTTAACTAATGCAATCCCAGCTAGAAATGTTTTGTTCTAAAAACATTCTGAGAATGTTACATTCATTGTTCTAGGAATGTTTTCAGCGGGAAGTTTTCTTTTGGTTCCCAGAACGTTCTTCTGAAAGGTAGGATAACGTTCTCTAAAAATATTCTTAAAATGTTTTTGATAACATTGTTAGAACATTATGCTCTACTATTCTCAAAACGTTTTCAGCTGCAAGTTAGATTTTCTTATGTTGCCAGAATGTTATTATTTTAGAGAAGGATAACATGCTTTATGTTTAAAACATTATGCAAATGTTCTGTGGTAACAATTTACTAAAATATTTTTACATTATTAGAACATAAAGACATAATATTCCTGTAATTGTTCAACTCAAAATTCCTGGGTAAGTGGACTGACCACTGTAACTATTGGAATTTGACTATTAACACATGTAAAAGGATGACTCGGAACCAGCTGGTGAAAGTAACATTTGTTTATTAGAAAAGGGGAGCTGGGAGTGGAGGTTGGTTATGGCAGCAGTGGGAAACAGTTGTTCCAGGGTGGAGAGGCCTGGCTGGTCTTGGGAGTGTGGAAGGCCTTGGATTCCTCCTGGGAGAGACACAAAAATGAGTGTGAGGCAGAAGCAGGCAAAGTTGTCAAAGAATATGCTGGCAAAAAGCTAGAGCGGCACGCAACAAACCGTTCACGGCAACAATCCGGCAGGGAATGAGTGCAGGCTGCAGGTTTTCATAGTGTGGCTGATGAGCAGGTTGCAGGTGGATTGGAGATTGCTCCCAGCCGTGTAGAGCAGACCAGCAGGCAGGTGGGGGGGGGGGGAACACACACAGTAGAAACAAACACATACAAACACTAACAGGGGTTAACTAACAGTCGGTCCGTTCTTCTATATGTCTGTCTTTGGTTTTCTAAGTGTTATTAGATCCATATGACAATAGAGATATGTCCATAAACAACAAAAACACTTGGGGTATAATGTTCGAACAATGTTATCACCAAACATTTTAAGAATGTTTTTAGAGAACGTTATCCTACCTTTCAGAAGTACATTCTTGGAACCAAAATAAAACTTCTCGATGAAACCATTCCTAGAACAATGAATGGTAACATTCTGTAGAACCAACAATGTCTAGCTGGGAACTCAGACATGCCTACGTAAACATGCAATATCATGAATTACATGTGGTTGACACACATTTAAGAGACGGATCACGTTTTGTTCAGCCGGATAAAATCCACATGTCTACCCTACTTTTATAATTTTCGAATCATAAATCTAGTCGCCAGAAGCAAAATGCTAACGTTATGCTATAAACGAACTGCAGCAGGGTCGCTGCTTCAACGTCACGCCAACTTAAGATCCATATTCAAACATACAGATTCTAAATGGTACAAGTTGAAGAGTTTGTTTGAACAGTTTGCAGGAGGCAGGTACTTGCTTTCAAGCAGAACAGGGCAAACAAACTTACCGTTTTTTTTTTACGTGTTCGGTGTAATGACGTAAAACGGCCTGGACAACTTCTGTAGTCCTATTCAGCCACATGTTAACAACCATCGTTTTTCAGACATTTAAACTCTTCAAAAATCACCAGCAGGGTCACTGCTGATGTATTTAATGTCGTAGAACAAAACGTGATCTGTCTCTTCAATTTGTGTCAAACACAGACCTTATTTCGAGCTATTTTCCAAAATCCTATGGAGAAATTGCATTGCTTTTTGTCGAAGGAACCGGACGTGGTAAAAATGCTAACTTACTTCCGGGTTTTAGGACGCGTCACTGCGGTTCTCTATAACATCCTAAAACATTTTCAGAATGTTGCTTGGAGAATGTTCTTTATTTGTTATCATGTAACATTAAAGGAACATTTTATAAAACTCTTTCTGTCATCTCAGGCCTCAATAACATCCTGAAAACATTTTCAGAATGTTGCTTTGAAAATGTTCTTCATTTGTTATCATGTAACATTGAGGGAACGTTTTATAAAGAACATCTTTAATGTGTTACCCAACAACGTCCAAAACACATCCTTAGAATGTTGCAGGCAAAACGTTCCACCTTTGTTATCCTGTTAAGCCCGAGAGACCCCGGTACCGGGGCACTGCCGCAACATCTTGCAGGAAACAGTGTCTGAGGGCATGTTCATTTAATAAACTATGAATGTTTTATATCCATGTAACGGGAAGAAACTCATCTAACTGATCATTTTAATTTTTTTTTCAAAAGAAAACCCACAATGCTAACGCTGAGCCTCTGAATTAGCAACGAGCGAAAAATGCTAACAGATTACTGCACCGAAAATCACTTACAAAACCTTGTTATTTATCTTTTCTCCACATCCATGACATCGTTTCACATCGTGAGGTGACACAGAATCGAAGGGTACCCTTATTATCACTGAATTATACGAAATCGCGACGTTATACACAAAAACAGACATCAAAACATGTGGCACTAGGTAGCTAAAAATGCTAACATGGTTACCTTGTCTCTGTAGTCTGCTCCAAAGTGGTCTTCAATGGCATTAAAACGATAAAAACGCTGCTGAAGTTAATCCATAGGTTAATCCAATGTGTCTGTGTCCCTTTGAAATGATTTCTGATAATCCATGAGCAATAAGACTGCTTTTCCGTTTCTAGATGTCAGTTAATTACATTCATCCAATGTCAGAAGGATTACCTTTTAACAAACGTAATGCTTTTCTTTCATTTCAATTTGAGTAAAACATTGAAGATATAACATTGTATTGTTTTCTTTTTACGCTGACTCAGATATAATGAAAAGACTACGCCAGTCGAAGCTCAGCTTTGGTAAGGAAGAGACAGGACAGGCAGAGAGAAAGAGAGAGAGAGAAAGTGATGGAAGTCAGGGAGGAACTGCAGGTACAGTCACACAAAAGAATGTAGGTTTAATAACCCCATCTATCTATCTATCTATCTATCTATCTATTTATCTATAACAATAGTCTTCATTTACACTATAGACAACAGGCATCATTTTAAAACAACATATATCTATTGCAGTTATGATGTCATAATAACATAGAATTGTATAAAACACAATTTGCTTACATCTTTGTTCTCTTTTGAGAATCAAACAAAACAGATTTAAATTAAAAAAAATAATGCAAACAAACAAGTGAAATGAACTAAATTGCTGAATTGCTTTTAATTCACTGGCAGGAGCGACAAGTGAGAAGGAGTAAAAAGTGAACAACGAGGGAGAGATTGAACAAAGAGTAGAGGACAGAGAGAGTAATGAACAGGAAGAAGACAGAGAGACTAAAGAAGATGGAAGAGAGGCTGCAGGTTATGGAAAGGAGAGAGACATGGAAAATGAATGTTGACAATGTTTTGGGATCATTTGAGCCTCTTCTGCATGTCCAGATCATTAATAGTAACAATCATCAATCAACTGATTCTTATGCATTAGACTTTCAAAAATAATTTATGCTGCAGCCCACTGACATGGTTTGAAATCAATATATTATCCAATTTGTGACCCCCCACAGGACTTAAAAAGCACCTAACTAGATCATGAAAATCCCAAAAATCTCAGGGGGGGTATACCCCCGAACCCCCTTATCATGTTTGGACCTTGGTATTTAGGAAATCCTGGATACGGCCCTGCTGAAGACCATTCTTTTTGACACAGCTCTTCCACTGCACTGTTGCTTTTATACTTGTATTTTAGACCTGCATTATTCTATATAAGCTTATTTGATTATTTTTATTGTTTAATGACTGTTTTTAGATTTCTTTTTATAATGTTATTCCGCTGCACTATTGCTGTACCTTTGCTCGTAATGTTTGTTCACTTTTGTAATGAACTTTGAATTGCATTGTGTTGAAAGTTGCTACATAAAGAAACTTGCCCTGCCTTACATTCCATCACTAATGCTTGAGCATTATTCTTTTATTCACAGCTCCACCTAAACAACCCATGCATGATGTCTGAGAACGTGTTTTTCTTGTTTTGGCTCTGATATCTGTACTTGTCCCAACCCCCTTTAGTTTAAATATACGGACACGGAGGGCATAGGTATCACATCTTTACCTGGGATCCTGCTAAGAACATCCTAAGTGCAAGTGGTCCCTCTGTGACACCTGAGACTAAAACTACACAAGATCAAAGAACTGAGCATCCTTTTGCTTCTTCACCCGAATTCCCTGATCGTTGGAAGTGCAAAAAAAAAAAAGGTAAGCTTAAATAATGCAACAAATTGACATCTGTTACTTCTGGAGGAAAGCTTGTAATTGAACTTTACTATAATTAAAATGTCTTTTGAAGTGAAAAATAACTTAATATATAAGATATAAAATACATCACCTAATTACATTTTCAGTGATTTAAATCATCACAATTAGCAACACTTAAGTAATTAAAAACTCATATTAAGTTCAATATATTATGATAAATCTATATTTATTTATATTTTAGATTAACTGTTTTCAGTTCATTTTACAGTTCATTTTTACAATAAATATAGTTAAATTATTAGTTAGCAAATATTACTGATAATTTTATTCAGTTTAATACAGTAAATAACCTTAATGAATGGGGCTTAGTTTTATAAAATTGGGTTCAATAATGATATGTTTTTATTTTAGTTACATCTAGCCTATTGCATGTTCTCTTCAACAACCCCTGAAGAGAGTAGCTTGCAGGGCTGGGCGATAAGACCTCAAATCATCAAGATTATATTTTTAGGCCATATACTGTATAGCGCGGTATTTTTAAATCCTTTTCCATTACACCAGTATGAGGATTTATATATTTAGACATTAAGGGCTATTCATGATGCCAGGCCACACCCCACCACTCCTGTGTATCGGTATCAAATCAGAATGATAGAATAGTTAAATTCAACTGGGAATCGTTTACATCTTACAATATCAAGATATCACATTTTTTTAAATGTCAAAACATTTTCATGACCTTTCAAGGTGGCATTTTCAATTACCATTTCCCTTCAATCAAGCTAAAGAAAAGTGAAAAGCAATGTATTGTGTAATCACTAAAAACACATTATCCCACATGAATATGGCCAAAATCATAATAACTATTTTGATTTATGATTCTTCAGTGATTTACATTTTTTTGTATTTCTAATGTACAAATTAGGACTGCACCATATTCGAAACACTGACATTGTAATATGACGTTTTCTTCAATAAGCTTAGTATTGCAGTATGGCCGTAAGTTCAGGGTGCGCCTGATTCGTTTTGCCGCTCACGGACAACACATTTTAAACGCATTTTTGTAAACAGCCATGGCCCACTCTAACTACCGGTGTTGATAGTCAGCGATTGTATGTGTTATATATCTGGGCTTTACTGTGTGTTTCTGTGAGAGGTAAAGAGAGCTATAGGAGAGAGCAGCTGAAGCAATAAGCCAAAGCAAGTCTCATGCCGGTTACTTAAAAACATTTAGAGACATTTCATCTATCGTATGTAGAGCAGATACGAGTATTTCTGATTTATCGGCCAGCCCTAAAAGCTTGCTGTGACAAACTGACAATATGGGTTATGTTTATTTAAAAAAAATAAAGTTTTCTGAGATTTCATGATATAATCTTTGCAACGACACGTCCTGCTGTAGAAAGTGTTTGACCATATCATTAGGCTGAATAACCACCTGACTCCACCTTCTCCAGCCATGGACAACAGACTGGTCCTCCTCACTGCCCTGCTGGTGATGCTGTCCTGGATGTCTGTGGGCACCTACGCTGCAACCAATGGAACAGCTCTAACTAATGGAACAGCTGCAACCAATGGAACAACTGCAACCAATGGAACAGCTCTAACTAATGGAACAGCTGCAACCAATGGAACAACTGCAACCAATGGAACCGCTGCAACCAATGGAACAGCTGCAACCAATGGAACGGCTGCAGCAAATGGAACAGCTGCGCCAGCTGTAACAACAGCCCCACCAATAACGCCTAACACAACAGTGACAGAACTTATGGTAAGTAAAGCTAAACAAAAGAGCGTTGTGGAATAGATTATTGAAAATCATTGAGGTTACATTTTTTCTCCCACTAAAAATATATATCTCATTCCTTTATAGACAGCTATCAACAGGGCAGACTGTGGGACTGGGCAGCTCTGTGCCGCTCAGCCCTCGAACTGCGACCCCTCAACAAGTTCATCATGTTTCTTTCTGGCTGCCAAGCAGAGCAGCGGCAGAAACTTTGACATTGGGCTTTCAGGAGAGTCCGATGGCTATATTGCAGGCACCCTGTCACTCGACAACATACTGGTATGTTAGGTTATGTCCCACACTTGTAGATTGAAATACCACAAAGTATAACCCATAGCTACTGAAATAGTTTGTTTGAATTCTTCTTTCGAAAAAGTTACAATTTTTGTTTTTCTCCACAGGGAGGTAATGATGCAACCTACGTGTGTGCAAACAAAAATGGTGTTGTTAAGTTCTTTGGAGCTGTCCTCAACAATGGCACGCTGACTCTGAAAGAGGTGAGTAAAATTAAAGAGCATGAATTAGACTTTATAGCAGCTGCGTGGAACGCTCATGAACTGCCACATCATTGTTGTCTACTTTGTGAACAAAGACACAAATGATGTGGTCTGAAGCAGATTTGTATGTCTTTAATAACATGTTATTTTATTTTTGTTCTACGTCAAATACTGAACAGATAGTTCAAATGTTATGGTTGAATCAGTATGCATGAAATGCCACATATCTAGCCTTTTTGAACGTGTAGCTCAGGCAATACAATTGCAAATTCTAATTTAAACCATCACCATTTGCATGGCATAAAAATACTGAAAACCAGCTTTCTTTTTTGACATCTGTTACCGTCTTTGCTCTGCAGCTTCCTGTGGATTCCGTGAAGGGCAAAATCACTGGAAAAAAAATCCAGTGCACATTTTCCGCCACTGTACCGGCCCAGATTACTAGAGCATCTCAGTTTGCAATCGCAATCTCCACAGGAACTTTCAACAGCTGTAAGCCTACCAAACAGAGATACACATTCACACATCAAACAGTCAACTAAGATCAACTGTCACAGAGACTCACAAATAATAGATAAATATCTTGTCATGTTCAAAAAATATATATCTAATTTATTTTGCTTGAACCCACAGCTACTGATGCTCTTGGGGACCCCAGCACCCAATTCAAAAGCCCTCTTGTAAACCTGGAAAATCCTAACACCACTGTCACCAATGAGCTTGCCACCAACACTAGTAGCCATGCCATTACAATCCAGCAATCTCTGACCCAAGGTAGGCAAAAAAGATAGAGATGTTGTCCTTAGGAGATTTTAAAACATGTAGGAAATGCAATGCGTGTAAACAAAGCCTAACACATTATTTGTTTCCCCTCTAGCTCTGCTGTTCACTGTTGGTGTGCTTGGTCTGACCGTGCTATGAGGAAACTGACAACTCCGAAAGTCAAGACAAGACCATAACTAAATTATTCGTCTTAGTGTGCTACTGAATATAATCATCTCTCAGGAGGTTGACTATGAACAGTGCATCCTTCCCAGATTATTAGAATCATGCTTCATTATGTCTCAATGTACAGGCAGGCGAGGGCAGGAATGGTGGAGGTCGGTCAATCTTCCAAAGCCTTCTAACTGCTTTCACATCTGTATAGGCTCTGAAACAAAAAAAGTAAATTCATTGTTAGTTTAATGTGTAATCAATTTGTAATGTATTGTTTTAACCATAGGAGTGCTGGATTTCCTTCATACATGTAAACCTTATTGAAAACAAATATATTGACTCTCTGCCTGGAAGGAAAATCAGTCTTTGAATGGGTACAGATGTGAAGAAATATGACAATTAATTACAATTCATGTGTTTCTGATGACGTACACAAAAAAAGCCATGTTTTTCTTCTTCTGTCGCTCATGATGTCAGCAAATGGCAGACACGTGTTTGTGTTACGTGATGATTATTATTATTTTTATTTTATTTTATGTGAATGTACATATCGTTAAGGATTCAAGTGGATTTTGAACATTGTATCATGTAACAATTGATGTAGATTTTTTAATAAATCACATTTTTGGAAATACATATTCAATGAAAGCTGAAATGTTTTTTTGTTGTTTTTTAAATACGCTAAGAAGAGGATAGCAGATGATTTAGAAGCAGTTCAAGAGATAACCATTATTAAGAACTGACCATTTTAATAAATGTTCAACAATTTGCCAACATGCTTGTGAACATTCATTTTACAGCACTGCAAAATAATCACTTATATTTTCTTAGTATATTATTGAACCCTGAATGTTTAAAAATACACCAGTGCCTGAACCTAAACACAAATAAATAAATAAAGTTAATATGGACTTTATAACTTGAGTTACAAAACAAGTCCAACTTCACAACCTCCTCAAAAAAGATAAACTTTAACTAATGCAATAGTAGTACTGGGTTTGTTATTTTAAACTTACAATTGTACCTATGAATCTTGTCAATTTATGCTTTCCTTTACCATATCTAACAGTCAATGAAGCGCACGAGTCAAATTTATATTTATATTTTACTGGAATTTCTCCAGAACACAAAAAGTCTTCAAAGAAACTCAGCCAGGACAGAACCCTGATGTATAAGCTTAAAACCCTCAGCAATATGTATATTAAAATAAATTAAATTTGAAATGTTATAATAACCAAGATAGTCGTTTAACTTGAAACTGATGTTACTGCTATATCATATTATAGAGCCATAATAGAACCCCTGCACCAAGTAACAATACGATTGTTATAGTTTATTTAACAATTATGTATGTTACGAGTTTTGTTAATATCCAAGGAAGTTATTTAGAAACCACAATCTGGCAGAGTCAAAGAGGGTTAAGTGAGCAGTGACATCATCTCCGTACAGGTACAGTATATTCCACTAACAGGCTTTTTCAAAAAAAATTCTTATAACCTAGCCTCAGTCTTGTACATACATGTACATTTCCACAGGTCCCTAAAAAAACTGCAGTCATAAAACCACTCTTAAAAAGAACAATCTAGACGCTTCACTAATTAACAATTGCAGGCCCATATCAAACCTCCCATTTCTAGGTAAAATCATTGAAAAAGTTGTTTTTCAACAGCTGAATACCTTCTTGGATCTAAATAACTGTTTTGATGTGTTCCAGTCAGGCTTTCCACCGCACCACAGAACTCAGAGTTCTCCTATTAAGGTCTTTCATGATATCCAGTTAAACACAGACAGTGGCCGAATCTCAGTGTTAGTATAATTAGATCTCAGCGCTGCATTTGACACTGTTGACCAAACCATATTACTAGACCAACTGGAAAACTAGGTATGCAGAGAAACTAGTCCATGCATATGTTACTTCAAGGCTGGATTATTGTAACTCTTTATTATCAGGGTGTACCAAGAAGTCAGTTAAGTCGCTTCAGCTGATTCAAAATGCTGTAGCACGTGTACTAACCAGAGTTCGGAAAAGGGACCACATTACTCCTGTTCTGGCTGCCTTACACTGGCTCCCTATAGAACACAGGATAGAATTTAAAATTCTTCTTCTCGCCTACAAAGCCCTTAATGGGCAGGCGCCATCTTACCTTAAAGAACTCATTATACCCTACTGTCCTACCAGGGCATTGCGTTCCAAGAATGCAGGGTTGTTGGTTGTTCCTAGAGTCTCTAAAAGTACAATGGGAGCCAGAGCCTTTTCTTATCAAGCTCCACATTTGTGGAATCAGCTTCCAGTTTGTGTTCGGGCGGCAGACAGCCTATCCGTTTTCAAGAGTGCGCTTAAGACCTTCCTTTTTGATAAAGCTTATAGTTAGGGCTGATTAGATTCAGCCCCTAGTTTTGCTGCTATAGGCTTAGACTGTCGGGGGACACCTTACTTCTTCCTTCTCTCTGTCTGTACCTGTGTACTCTCATGTTCCGAATAACCCAGCTTCCCCCAAATTTCTTTTTGGTGTCTATCTACGCTGGGATCCTGAGTCGTGGCTGATCCTGAGTCCTGAGTCCTGATCTGAGTCCTGGATTTCGAGTTAGTTAGTTGTACAGCAGGCTAAAAAGGCTTTTGAATATTCTTTATTTGAAATAAGTTTAAATTAATTGTGTGTAGGATTCAATGTTTGCTCATTCAAAGATAGAGACAAAAAATGCTAAATTACTTAAAAAAGTTATTCAAAAATATATATAAATGTATTTGTTTCCCTGGCAGAAAATGGGGAATAAACAACAACAAAAACCAAATAAATAACAGCTTAAATGATCTTTATCGCCCAAGTAGTCATGTAAACAACGGCCCAGAACTAAAATACAACACATTGTAGTGTTTGTTGAAGGGTTCCTTTGTCAGGCTATTCAAATCTTTGTTTTGTTTGCAGCTGAGAATGTGTGCCACAAAACATGAAAATGTGCTGATACAAATCACAAATCAAATCAAATCAAATCAAGTTTTATTTATAAAGCACATTTAAAAGCGATTTTTGGTCGAGCCAAAAAGTGCTGTACATGTAATAAAAACACATTACTACAATCACAATAAAAGACAATAAATTACAACAGATATATATTAAAAAAAAACACAAGGAAAAGTCAGGAGTCGTGCTCCGCTCTAACTAGAAGGCCAGAGAGAAGAAGTGTGTTTTTAGTTTAGATTTAAAAACCCCTAGGGTCTGGGCCGACCTCACATGGAGGGGCAGAGTGTTCCAGAGCCTAGGGCCAGCTGCTGCGAAGGCTCGGTGCCCTCGGGTTTTAAGCCTGGTCTTGGGCACTACCAGCAGCAGCTGGTCAGCAGACCTTAAAGCTCTGGCTGGGGTGTAGCGCTGGAGGAGTTCGGCTATATAGGCCGGAGCCAGCCCATTTAGGGCTTTAAAAACAAATAAAAGGATTTTAAAATCAATTCTGAACCGAACTGGAAGCCAGTGTAGTGAGGCCAGAATAGGGGTGATGTGGTCACGCTTTTTGTGGCCAGTCAGCAAACGTGCAGCTGCGTTTTGGACTAGCTGCAGGCGTTTAATTGAGGCCTGGTCCATACCCACATACAGAGCGTTGCAATAGTCCAGTCTTGAGGCAACAAAGGCATTAATAACCCTTTCTAAGTCATTCAAAGATAAATACGACTTGGTTTTGGCCAATAGTCTTATTTTAAAAAAGCAGGATTTGACTAAGGTGCTGACCTGCTTGTCGAATTTAAAAGTGCTAGTGAAGGTCACTCCAAGGTTCATGACAGAGGGGAGGATGTTTTTATTGAGAGAGCCCAGAATATCAACCGGAGAGGCTGGAGGTTGGGGTCCAAAAAAGATTACCTCAGTCTTGCTCTCGTTGAGGTTGAGAAAGTATTTGCTCAGCCAGGATTTTATCTCTGTTAAGCAGTCCATCAACTGCTGTAGTGAGTGTTTGACATTTGCTTTGAGAGGCAGATATATCTGTACATCGTCGGCATCGTCAGGGCTTTAGATAAAAAAGGTAGCTGGGAGATGGGCCTAAAATTTGCGAGAATGGAGGGGTCGAGATTTTTCTTTTTAAGTAGTGGCTTAACCACGGCATGTTTGAAGGCAGCTGGGACACATCCTGAGCTAAGAGAGGTGTTTATAAGTAATAAAATACTTGCACCAACTGATTCCAAGGAAATGACAGACACTGTGTCCATTGTCCAATGCATTTTTATGATTAGGAATATGCTGTTAAATACTTACGCATTAAAAACCATAAACTATGTAATCTGACAAAAAACACTGTTTATGTTATTTTTATTTTGCACTTTTCACTCACAAGAAGGGACAGCATGACTTTGGAGAATTTCGTGAGCCAATTGAAAAAGTAAAAATATCCTGGTTAGATTTAAAAAATAAACACAAAAATCCTAAATTGTGAGGTTTAAGGGTGCAATGACATGGCATGAGTCTAAATGTCAAACGTAGCCCTAAGGCATCAGAATCATTTTAATTCCTGATTTTCTGTATCGTGTTGCACTGAAAATGTGTAGATTCCCTGTTTAATAAATGACAAAATGCCCTGTTCCTGAAACCAGTTTATGGCTGATATACGTGAATGTTTATCGAATCATCTAATCACCCGGTATTGCAATGATCTGGCCTCACTGTATCCAAAGTCAGGCCTTTACAGGGCAGAACAACATATCTAACTGCATAATAACTTTTGCTGAGAAATTCAAAAGTCACAAAACATTGATTTATACAAATTCTAGTAATTTCGTAAATGTATAAAGATATACAGTTTGTTGACAGATCTATGCGTATTTGAAGTAAGAAATCTGGGAACATTTAAATATTTTTAAACTTTGAAGAATATAAAAAAATATCAAGAGGTTATTAACTATTTTTCTTCTACATTTATGCCAGTAGGAGCACTTTCTTAAACATAAATGGATTGTATTCAGTCCTATAACTCAACATAATGTTTCATAAACGTATTGATTTGGTATAATACATACACAATAGCTATATAATTATCTGACTTACTCAAAAATAATCTGTGTGGAGCGGATCATAATATGTCCTACTTTTACAGAAATGTATTGTCATATTTGTATTATGTCCATTTGCAGGGGGAAATTAATTAAAGTAAAAACAAGTGAAAATGTCTCTTTTTCTATCAAATTTCAAATTTCCTGTTCAATGATAATAACCACTTTTCATTTGTCTAGATTGGCACCTCAGTGCTGCCTGTACCTGCCCTCTCAACAGAGAGGGAGGATGGATGTTCAGAAGAAACCACCAAACACAATGGCCATATTTAATCAAACATGAGGGCATGTGCTTCATATCCGTTCAATTTTCCACAGGCACACTCACACAAACTCTGATGCTCTCAGAGAGATTTGCACTGGGCGAGGTTTGTGACGAGAGCTCACTGAAGGGATGTGAATAGCAAGTGCTTAGCTAAAAAAGAGTGTTTTGAGCATAAAAATAGGCACATTTTCTCATTTCATTTTATTTAAAAAAAAAAAAAAAATGTTTTTAAATAAATGAAAATGCTTTGTGCTAAATTCTTATTATTAACATACCGTTTTGGAGGTGCAAATTAATTTGTAATTTTTTTCGGATTGAATATTGAATTAAATTCGGACCCTGTGAAACCTAATCGTGGCAATTAAAAAACTCATTGTGAGGCTGAATAAACACACACATATTAGACGGAATTTTCTCCTTGACTGAAATCTTCTAGGAAACATATACAAAAGGTATTTATAATAACCAGGATGTTATGATATGACACATATCATAAAAGAGAGCCATGTAGAAAGACCTTGCACACAGTAACAAAAAGATTGTTATCTTTTCTTTATAATGTCAATCATGCACATTACGAGAAATGGGATCCCTCAAGGAAGTAATGCTATTAGAAACCAGAGACTAGCAGTCAGAGAGGTTAAAAAAGGTGCAATGACAACGCAACATCTCCGTCAATTCCATCATACCCCCACCTTCTAAAAATACCATCTATGATGACAGAGAAGTAATTTTATCTTATCTTCGATATCTGGACTTGTCCAACCCTTTTTGGTTTAAATAGCGAGACGGAGGGAACAGGTGTCACATCTTTACCTGGGATCCTGCAAGGAACATCTTAAGGGCAAAAATACCATTGGTAACATCTGAGACTATAACTACACAAGACCGTGGAACTGAGCATCCTTTTGTTTTTCACCGTATTTCACTGATCGTTGGAACTGCAGAGAAAAGGTAGGCTAAAACAATGCACCCTGATATCTATTAGTCCTGGAAGAACTCTTTTAATGGAATTTTACATACATTTAAGTGTCTTTTGAAGTGAATACTTAAAATGTACAGCCCAATGACAATTTTAGATATCTACATTTTTTAGAGGAAAATAAGAAATACAAAATATTATGAGCCATTGGTGATTGTCATGAGAATATTTAGTCATATAAAGTCAAATATATTATAATAAATGTATTTATTAATTTAATTTTGTATGAAATACATTAGAGGTAAAAGATAACTTATATATTTACATTTTAAAAAGACTACATTTTATTTATTTTTTGCAGAATACTGCTATTAATTAGTAGTTAGTTGTACAGCAGGCTAAATTCTTTTTGGAATATTTTCTATTTGAAACAAGTTTAAATTAATCGTGTGTAGGATTCAATGTTTGCTCATTCAAAGATAGAGACAAACAATTATAAATTACTTGAAGTGAAGTTATTCAAAAATATATATGAATGTATATGTTTAAAAAATTAAAAAAATAAGAAAATAAAAACATTATGAGCCATTAGTGATTGTTGTGAGAATATTTAGTCATATAAAGTCAAATATATTATAATACATTTATTCTTTTTTTTTTATCCTCAATCTTCAAAGTCTTCAGTTAAAATAACTAAAAAACACAGTAAGCTTAAGTTAGAGATGTTTGGTGTTAATTTGAATGCATTTTACAATGAATAAAGTCAAATGATTGGTTAACATATTATTTATTAACCTTTTTATTACACTAAATAACTTAAATGAATAGTTCTTTGTTTTGTAAAATTGGATTTCGACACCTAAGGGTGCTAGCACAGAGCTTTTCATTTTATAATTTAACTGAATCACCACCTTACTCCACCTGCTCCAGCCATGGACAACAGACTGATCTTCCTCACTGCCCTGCTAGTGACGCTCTCCTGGATGTCAGTGGGCACCTACGCTCAGACAACAACAGCAGCAGCGACGACAACAGCAGCAGCAGCTACAACAACGGCAGCAGCGACAACGACAGCAGCAGCGACAACAGCTGCAGCGACAACAACAGCAGCAGCGACAACAACAGCTGCAGCGACAACAACAGCAGCAGCGACAACAACAGCAACAGCTACAACAGCAGCAGCTACAACGACAGCTGCAGCTACAACGACAGCAGCAGCTACAACGACAGCTGCAGCGACAACAACAGCAGCGACAACAGCAGCAGCGACAACGACAGCAGCAGCGACAACAGCAGCAGCGACGACAGCTGCAGCGACGACAACAGCAGCTACGACAACAGCAGCATTGACAACAGCAGCTACGACAACAGCAGCAGCGACGACAGCAGCAGCGACGACAGCTGCAGCAGCGACGACAGCAGCAGCGACGACAGCAGCAGCGACGACAGCTGCAGCGACGACAAAAGCAGCTACGACAACAGCAGCATTGACAACAGCAGCTACGACGACAGCAGCAGCGACGACAGCAGCAGCGACGACAGCTGCAGCAGCGACAACAGCAGCAGCGACAACAGCTGCAGCGACGACAACAGCAGCAGCGACAACAACAGCAGCAGCTACAACGACAGCTGCAGCGACAACAACAGCAGCGACAACAACGGCAGCAGCGACAACGACAGCAGCAGCTACAACAGCAGCTACGACAACAGCAGCAGCGACGACAGCTGCAGCAGCGACGACAGCAGCAGCGACGACAGCTGCAGCTGCGACAACAGCAGCTGCGACAACAGCAGCTACGACAACAGCAGCTGCGACGACAACAGCAGCTGCGACAACAGCAGCTGCGACAACAGCAGCAGCGACAACAGCAGCAGCTACAACAACAGCAGCAGCGACAACATCTGCAGCTACAACAACAGCGACAACGACAAAAGCTGCAGCGACAACGACAACAGCTGCAGCGACAACAACAACCACTACTAGCCATGCCATTACAATCCAGCAATCTCTGACCCAAGGTAAGTCAAAAAGATGGGGTTGATAAACTGAAGAGATCACATGTTTTAAAAACAAAGCCTAATACATTCTTTTTTTCCCCTGTAGCTCTGCTGATCACTGTTGGTGTGCTTGTTCTGACCGTGCTCTGAGGAAACTGACAGCTCCAAGAGTCAAGACAAGACAACCATTTTCCGTCTTAGTGTGCTACTGAATATAATCATCTCTCAGGAGGTTGACTATAAACAGTGCATCCTTTCCAGATTATTAGAATCATGCTTCACTGTTTCAATTTACTGGCAGGTGAGGGCAGGAATGGTGGAGGTCGGTCAATCTTCCCAGGCCTTCTTATGCTTTTACATCGGTGTAGGCTCTGAAACACAAAAAGTCTGTTAATTTTGTATTTAATGTTTAATCAATTTTGAGTATTTCTTTTAAACATAGGACTGCTGCATTTCTGTCCTACATGTTACCTAATAGCAAAACAAATACATTGATTAACTGCCTGAAATGAAAATCAGTCTTTGAATGATTGGAATGGGTACAGAGTTATCAAACATACAATAAATAATCAATTGTTTTTACCACTACCTGGCAGTTGTGTGTCATGCTCTAAAACATTTGAGGTTTGGGGTCCGGTTACCTTTAAGCCAACATTACTACAGTCAGGCAAACACCCTTATGACTTGGCATAACACCTGGACATTTCTATTATTTAACGGGCTAAAAAAATTATAAGTTAAACTCTGCATAAAGGTCAATCATATTGGTCAAAATGATTAGGAACTCATAAATAACGTTTTGGGACCATGATATTATTATTTGTAATCCCCAGAATAAAGGGAAGAAGTGCACTTATGAAAGATTAGTTATTTTAGATTGCATACACCACAACATATTACCATTCATATGTTGTTTTTGATGACGTACACAAGAAACGCAATGTTTTTTCTCCCTGTCGCTCATGATAGCAGCAAATGGCAGACGTGTTTGCATTATGTGATTATTATTGTTATGACATTTTATTTTTTTCTGTGAATGTACATATTGTTAAAGATTCAACCATGCTTTTTCAATGAAGCCTTTAATGGCTGATATTTTCATATATATGTGTGTTTATGTGTAGTACTATGTGTGCTAGTGTTACCACTGACAGGTCTCTCTTGAAAATGAGACCTTGTGTCTCAATGAGATTTTACACCTGTATAAATAAAGGCTAAATAAAAATAAAAAGTACACGTGCAATTGAGTAGTTGCAAAAAGAGGATGAAATGGATTTTGAACATTCTATCATGGTATAAATACATTTTCAGATATTGTTGACGGACAGAAAACACAGGGATGTATAGCAAAAAAGCAGTTTCCAACAGTTGAATCTAAGCCTTTGGCAGTATTTACATTTTCGGTATTAGGCCTATTTTAAAATTATTGATCTAACTTAACTTATTCTTACTTTTTTATTCAGGAAAATGTAGAATATCAAAAGGCTACTAAACGTATAAGAAAATATGTATTTTTAAATGTAATTTAGTCAACCAAGGTATCACACACCTACCTTAATAAATGTGTTGCAAATATGCAAAAAAGAGGATATCAGCTGATTTAAAAGTAGTTAAAGAGATAACTATTATTTCCTGATGAGACCCCATACATAGACCTTCAAAAACTATCTAGTTAGCCTTTGAAAAGTAACGTTATATTATCACTCTATAAAGCTAACAGTATCGTAGCCGAGCAACACTAGCTAATCAATGGGGTAATCAACCGGTGTTCGGTAGCTAAAATTAGCTTAGTTAGCGCAACAAGCTAGTAACAGTTGACAGGTTAAGTGGCGAAACCAGTGGCGATTCTAGAGTCTGCTGGGGCCCTAGGCAAACATTCACTGGGGGCCCCTCGAACCAGCTTTTCATCACCACACACAGCCGACAGCCCCACCCCTCCAGAGCGGAGCAAGGCAACGAAACTTAAAGTGCACCTATCATGCTATTTTTAGGCAATAGCATAGGTCTCAGATATATAAAAATATATGAAAAACATGTCTATGAAGTGTTTTTTCTACTGATTGCAGTAGAAACAGAGGGAATATGTATAAGTGGGGGAGATCTCAATTTGATAATGGATTATGATCTGGACACAACAAACTGTAAGATAATTAAAAAACCTATTAAAAAGCTGGTGAAAAACACTTGGGAAGAAATGGGATTCTTTGATGTATGGAGGGACCTTAATAAAAAGAAAAAGGATTTCAGCTATTACTCGGCAGTACACTCAGTATACTCACGGATTGATTACTTTTTTATGCAGAAGAAAAATAGGGATAAAATACAGGACTGTCAAATTGGAGTGGCTGACGTGTCTGATCATTGTGCAATCTACTTGAATATTAAACTGGGGTGCAGACGGAGAGACACATTATGGAGATTGAACGGGCATATTGAATAACAAATTGGTTGTAGAACAAATCAAAGATGAAATACAGAAATACTTAGAGGAAAACAATAACGACAACACAGACCCAGCCGTATTATGGGATGCATTAAAAGCAGTAATACGAGGAAAATTGATTTCTATTACAAGTAACCTCAAAAAAGTAAAAGAAACTCAATATAATAATCTCTCAGCCGACTTGAAACAATTAGAACAAAAATATAAAGAAAAAAGTGATAGAAAAACACAAAAACAAATCAAATAGGTGAGAAACGCCGGGTTACGTATTGTAACCCTTGTTATATAAACACAGGCGGAGCCCTCTACTGGACTCTATGGGTACTACCTTATCCCGCGTGCATTCTCCCACTGAGACTTCTATAGACGTAGCCGGCCCAGGGCGGGCTTACCTGAATGCGCGCGCATCACACCGTATAAAAGGAGGCCTCGCCTCCTGACTGCTATCCTATACCTCTCTTCAGCGAGCGGAACAGGACAGACAGTGCCCTGAGTAGAGGGCTCCGCCTGTGTTTATATAACAAGGGTTACAATACGTAACCCGGCGTTAAATCTCTCACAGGCTCCGCCCTCTACTGGACTCTATGGGTACAGTGGGTGGAGCCCTGATGTATACGCGCACTGTCGTCCAACACCAATCCACCCTACTGCCCCTGACCGGCTTTTCTGGTCAGCAGCTGCTGCCCCCCCTCTCCTTTAACCCGGTTGTGACCGAGGAGAAATCTGGGCTGCGGCTGACAGAGCACACCCTGCTGCGCTTGCCTCGCAGAAAGTGTGCTCAAAACACAGTGCCGGGGGACCCTCCCCCCCCCGCCCCTAGACGGATGGGGAGAGCCCCCTCGGCCCCGTATGGGCTTACTACGCACCTGCCTTCCTGAATCCCTGAGGATAACAGGGAGAGCGCCAGCGCCCCTGCCTCACACTCAAGCACTGACCCCATGCAGAGTGTGAGAGGACTACAAATGTGGGGGGGCTATCCTCCCCCTGCCTCTCGGCAGGAGGGGGGCAGCCCCTCCGCCCGTAATGGGCCAGCGCGCCTCTTGCCCATCCCGGGACCCTCAGAGGGCCCAGGAAAGGTGAAGGCGCATCACGTCCGGGGAGGGGGTCAGATGCCAACTGACCCACAACCCCCCCCTCCCCTACAAATTCTGTGTTGCCCCAGCAAGCACAGACGAGGAGAAAGAGCCAGACATGTCCAAGAAATAAAACCTTATAAAGGGGCCTGGCGTCGACCAAGACGCCGCTGTGCATAAATCCTCCACACTGTTGAATAAGGCTGTTGACACAGCTACAGCCCGTGTGGAGTGCGCACGAATCCCCGTGGGGCAGGCTCTCCCTGCCTGACCGTAGGCATGTGCAATGCACTCGCAGAGCCAGCCTGCCAGGCGTTTCTTGGACAGAGCTTTCCCGATCACCCCGCCCCCGAAGCACACGAACAGCTGTTTGGTGCGTCTAAGGGCAGCCGTGTGCTCCACATAACATGCTAGCGCACGCACCGGGCAGAGGAGGTGCAGTTTAGCCTCCCTGGCCCCCCATGGAGGGGGAGACTAAAAAACCCCTAACTGAATAGCCCTCGACCTGAACGCACTCCTTAGGTCTTTAGACACAAAGGAGGGGTTCGGTCTAAGTGTTGCGCCGCTCCGGCCACCCCGAACTAGTAAACAACTCGGGTGCACCGACAGAGCAGTTAACTCGGACACTCTTTTGGCTGACGTTAAGGCAAGAAGCAAAGCTGTTTTCCACAACAATGCTTTCAGAGGGGAGAGCTCCAGAGGCTCAATGGTCCCGAGGCCAGAGCCTCGAGCACTAGGGGCAGGTCCCACTGCGGGGTGGAGACGTGCACTACAGGGCGCAGTCTCCTAACCCCCTGTAAAAACCGCAACATCAGTGGTTGATTAAAGGCTGACCTGCCACCAAAAACCCTCACGACAGGACGAGATGTCTGCTGCATACACTTTCACTGTGAAATGCGCCAGCCCTCTGTCCACCAGTAAGTGTAAGAAGGATAAAATAGAGCCCAACTCACAAGATAGGGGCTCTATTCCCCGCTCCTCACACCAATGCTGGAATCTCAGCCACTTTGGCCTGTAACAGGCTGTGGTGGATTCTGCTCTAGCTGCCTGGATAGACTGAATAACGCTGTCAGACAATCCACCCTGTCTCAGCCTGTCCCTCTCAGGAGCCAAGCCTGAAGAGGACGGCCCAGAGTGGGTAACGCCCCGATTGCACCTGCCCCTTGAGACATCGCCCCCCAGAACTGGGGGATCGCCCAGGGCTGGCCCACCTTCATCTGTGTCATTTCTGAGTACCACGGAGCCCTGACGCGATTCGGTGCTACCAGAATGACTGCCAGACGTTCTCGCCTCACTCTCCCCAGGAGAGGGAGAATGAGACGCAGCGGTGGAAAGGCGTATAGCAGCTTCCTTGGCCATGGCTCGTGTGCAAACGCGTCCACCCCCAAGGGCGGGTCGTCGCTCAGGGCCATGGAGAACCACAGGGCACAGTGGCTGTTGCGCCGGCTGGCGAACAGGTCCACTTCTGCTCTCCCGAACTGGGCCCAGATCTGCTTCACCACCTCCGGGTGAAGCGCTCGCCTGGCAGGGGGCCGCCCCTCGACCTGAGGTCGGCCCCTCTGTTCTCCAGTCCCGGGACATGGAGGGCTCTCAGAGATAACACCACCTCTGAGGCCCATAACCACAGCTCCTCCGCTGTGGTCAACAAGGAGGCGGAGCGGACCCCGCCCTGCCTGTTGATATAAGCCACTGTGGTGCTGTTGTCGCACCTGACCATTACATGTCTCCCCTGAATTAGGGGCATGAAATGTCGGAGGACTAACACTACTGCCCGTAGCTCTAGGAGGTTGCTGTATCGAAACTCTGTCAGAGCCCAGCGCCCACCTATAGCTCTCTTCAGGCAGGTCCCTCCCCATCCTGTTCCGGACGCGTCCGTGAACACTGTGATGTAGGAGGTCACCCGTCCCAGTGGAGACCCCCTCCGGAGGTGGTCCGGAGACCCCCAAAACCGGAGGTTGCCCCCACTGAGGGGGGGGAGGAATGGTCACCAGCCGTCGTTTGTGCCTCCAAACGCAGGCTGGGGAACCACCTCTGCAGGCGGCGCATATGTAGTAACCCCAGCGGGACCACCATGTGAGCAGCCGCCATGAGACCCAGAGTCTGCATGACAGTTAAAGCTGTCACTGTCGCCCCCTGTCGCAGCCTGTGCACCGCCCTGAGAAGGGACGCACGTCTGCTCTCTGACAGGGTGGCACGCAGTGCGTCTGCATCGAGCACCACACCCAAATACAACGCCTGTTGGCGAGGTATGGGGGTGCTCTTTTTCCAATTGATCGCAAAACCTAATTTGGTTAGGTGTGTGATCAACTGTGCTGTGCAAAACATTGCCTGTTCCCGGGACCCAGCCATGACTATGAGGTCGTCTATGTAAAAGAAAACTCTCATGCTGTGTGCGCGCAGCGGTTGAAGCGCTGTGGCCACACATTTGCTGAATGTGCGTGGGGATAGGGAATAACCGAACGGCAGCCTGTTGTACTCGTAGGCTGTTCCCTGGGTGGCCCACTCCGCCGTCAAACCCTCCATAAAAGGAAGTTTGACCCATGGGGGGCTGATGGGTTTTTCTATAATGCAGTTTCCACTCAGAGAAAAAAACGGCAGATTTTTCACTGAGGTCCCTGAACGCACCACGGCAAGCTCCCGTGAGAGCGCGCGCTCCGCCATAATGCTGTTTCCTCTTAGAGAGAAAGAGGCATTTAATCGGAGCTTCTTCTGTCCATGAACGCACCGCGGCCCGCTCTCGAGGGGGGGGCCGTCATAATGCTATTTTCCTCACTATGGAAAACAGCATTTAACCGGAGTTCTTACAGGCGTAGTGTGTTTTACTAAGGCCCCTGAACGCACCGCCACGCGCCTCTTTACGAGTGCGGGCGTTGCTATAACGCAGCCCCTATCACTATAGTGAACAGCATTATTTGGAGTCTTAGCTTCAGGCATAGAATGTTTTCTAACAGAAAAACATCGGCCATAATGTCCCTGTACCCGCACCGCACTATAACAGTGCTGTCTGCGGTTTATCACTCTCACCTGCGCACTCCCACTAGCCTCCTCCCTAACGGGAGCTATAGCTGGGGCGGCGAATGGGGAATTTGTACAGTCATCAACATGTGCATCCATTGTCATGAAATGTTTTGAGAGGATCATGGTGCCGCTGCTAAAGAAAGAGGTTGATGTACATTTAGACCCTTTTCAGTTTGCCTATAAGCAAGGGCGTGGCACAGACGATGCTCTAAATAGCATCACACACCTGGTCACTAAACACCTGGAAGACCCTAAGGCATATGTACGCCTACTGTTTGTGGATTTCAGCTCGGCTTTTAACACACTGCAGCTTCACATCTTGCTTCAAAAACTGATAAAGATCAGTATAAATCCTTTTATCTTGAAATGGTATTTTTCGTTTTTAACCAATCGCACTCAGCATGTCAGGGTCAACAATGCCCTCTCAGAGCCCCGGACCATCAGTACAGGAGCTCCCCAGGGTTGTGTGAGCTCCCCGGTCTTCTTCACATTGTACACAAACGACTGTACGAGAATCCACCCGGAGAACTATATCATCAAATTCTCAGATGATACAGCCATCCTTGGCTTGATGCACAAAGGCAGCAGTTCATCGGCTTATCACTCTGAAATAGAGAGATTTGTGCAGTGGTGTGATTTTAACCATCTGGTGCTGAATGTGAAGAAGACTGAGGAGATGGTGTGGGACCCAAAGGCAGTGGGTGACCTTAGGCCGGTGGTTATCCACAATGAACCCATAACTCAGGTCAGCTCCTATAAGTATCTTGGTGTCCATCTAGATAATACACTCAGCTGGAAGGCGCATGTTCAAGGTCTGTGCTCTAGACTTCAGCAGCGGTTGTACTTTCTGCGTCGACTCCGGGCTTTCGGAGTCGACCAGAAGTTCATGTTGCTGTTCTATCATGCAGTGTTGGAGAGCATCATTAGGTATGGTATCACTGCCTGGTATGGTAACTTGACAGTGCAGTCAAAGTCACAGATCGCTCGCCTAGTACAGACTGCTATGAAGATTATGGGGGTTAAAAAACACCCATCTCTCCAAAACATATACGAGCAGTCGATTATCAAACAGGCAAAAAAAATTGTGTCTGATCCCACCCACATACTCCACCCAGAATTCCAGCTCCTACCTTCTGGTAGAAGATTCAGGGTTCCCAGGAGCAGGCTGAACCGCTATAAGCACTCATTCCTACCTATGTCGATTAAGCTTCTTAACATTCACATGAAATGATATGTAGTCAAATGTAATGAAATGTACTTTTTTTAATGTTGGCCATGAGGGTTGTGCAATAGGTCGCCATTGTCAGTATGTACGTGTGTGTATTGTGTTTGTTCAAACGGTGTATGACTGATGATATGTGTATGTCTCTTAATGTCCACTATGTTTGTATATGTACATGTATGCACTGCAGGACGGAGTCCAGAACAAATTTCCTTACGGGGACAATAAAGTATATCGTATCGTATCGTATCGTAAGTGTATTGTGGAAACAAAGGACACTCAGACTTGGATACAGATCAACACCATCTTTATTTTAAAAGTTTTGACAGAGATCTGGGCATTAAATAGACAGATAACTCCGCGAAGATAGAGTTCCCCACCCGGGTGCTCTGCTGTTGCGGAGCCTGCCTCGGTTGGGCAGCCCCTCCCCGTGATTGCCGGTATGCCGGTGCCACGGGGTGGGCCGAAGAGGTGGAGGGCGCTGCAGCTACGGGACCCCCGTGCCGGCGCCTCTCCCCCCGCTTCACTGTCGTACTACGCTCCCTCCTCTGCATGGCATGCGAGGGGGGCACGTAGCGGGGCCTGAGGAGGAGCCAGCGATAGCATGCGGCTAAGCTGGACTCTCTCCTCCTCTAGGCGGCTGACTGGGTGACCGAGGAGACCGCCCAAAGAGCCCCTCCGTGGACACGGGGGCTCCGAGGAGATCTTCTCGGTCCTTTTTAGATAGGGCCGTGAGCCCTGGCCACACGTGACGAGACGCCACTGTGGCCAGGGAAATCATCCGCCCTGCTGCGGTGGCCACGCCATAAATCAGATTACTCATCTGACTAACAGCGTGGTCCGAATAATCGCTCTCGTCCTGAGACGGGAGGGCGGGGGCGTCTGCCTGAGGGTGATCAGGAAGACGCCAACACGCCAAGATTATCGAGGCCTTCGTTTTAAATGGCTGCTGCCATGTCGCCTCCACACACCGCCATACCTCTGGCAGCTGGGGCGAAACGAAGGTCGGCTGCGCCGGATGCTCCGGGCCATAAACCCCCGATCTCAGGCGGTTTACAGGCCTCGGTGGCAGCGGTGGGGGGAGCGGTAACCCTACACGCTCCGCCGCCAGAGTCATCACCGCTGGGAAATCCATCCGCGCAGAGCTGAGAGTTAGACCTCCGGAACCGGGGCCGTCTGGCCCCACGGCAGGGAGAACCGGAACGATGTCCCCTCGCTTCCCGAATCGCCCATGTCCACGACGTCGAGATCCAGCTCCTCCGACTCCTCCTGCGGGGCAATCTTCTCCAGGAAGTGCTGCCCACGATGCTCCCTCGTGCGCCGCGGGATCGCCTGGCAGGCCGAGCACGCCGGCGTCGAGCCCATACCGTTCATCGCGTGGTCGGGCCCCAAACACGTGAAGCAGAGGGGGTGCGGATCGACTCCTGAAATCAGGTTCGGACAATTCGGGCAGGTCCTATGGTCCAGCCATACTCTCCTATTACTTTCACTTCAATACGTCTTACGGCTTCTGTGGAATCACTTCCGCTTAGCTGAAGAGAAAAAGGATAGCAGTCAGGAGGCGAGGCCTCCTTTTATACGGTGTGATGCGCGCGCATTCAGGTAAGCCCGCCCTGGGCCGGCTACGTCTATAGAAGTCTCAGTGGGAGAATGCACGCGGGATAAGGTAGTACCCATAGAGTCCAGTAGAGGGCGGAGGCTGTGAGAGATATAACCAAATTAACAACGTACTACATCAGGATATGGAGATAAAAGCAAGATATCTTAAACAAAATTATTATGAATTAGGCCCCAAAGCTACAAAGTTGTTGGCAAGACGATTACGAAAGCAATCACAGTCAAACACAGTCAACAAACGACATGACCCTAAAACAAATCAACCTAAATATGAACCCAAAGAAATTGAAAATATTTGTAGAGATTATTACAAAGATCTTTACATGCAAACGTCAACAACAAATCATATGCGTACAAAGTCATTCCTAGACTCACTGGATCTACCCTTTATAGGTAAAGTTGAAAATGAACATATAACAGCAAAGATAACTATAGATGAAATCCATAAGGCAATCGGAAAACTGAAAACAAACAAAGCTCCAGGTAGTGATGGATTCCCATCTGAGTGGTACAAAAAACTAGAAAAAGAACTTTCTCCACTGCTACTAGGTGCCTTTAATTGGATCATGTCAAAAGAGGATACTCTCCCCTCATGGAAAGAAGCAATTATTACAGTTATACCCAAACCACTAAAAGATAAAGAATTTTGCCAAAAGTATAGACCAATCTCAATTCTTAATGTTGATTACAAGCTCTACACTACGATACTTTCAAACAGGCTACAAACAATAGTACCAGACCTCATAGATGAGGATCAAACAGGCTTTGTTTCAGGTAGACAGATGCATGATAATATCAGAAGAACGTTACACATCATACATAGAATACAAAAAACTGATTAGTCTCGATGCGGAAAAAGCATTTGACAGGGTCAATTGGGAATTTTTACATCTAACATTAGAGAAATTTGGATTCAGTAATAAAACAATGAAATGCATCAAGTCTATTTATAACAAACCAACAGCTCGAGTTAAAGTTAATGGCTCACTAACAGACAGATTTACATTGGAAAGAGGAACTAGACAGGGCTGCTGTCTCAGCCCTACCATGTTTACTCTATATATAGAACCATTAGCCCAAATGATCAGACAGGAAAGTGCAATAGCAGGAATAGACATTAGTCAACAAAAACATGTTATTAGCCTTTTCGCAGACGACGTCATGATCATGCTGAAAGATCCAGTAAGCTCCTTTACAAAGCTAATGCAAATTATGGAACCATTTGGTGAATATTCAGGATACAAATTAAACTTATCTAAAAGTCAAATCCTTATGTTTAACTGCGCTCCAAATCAAAAACTAAAATAATTAAATGTAAACTGGGAAGCTAAATCAATTAAATACTTAGGAATAAACGTAACCAAAAATGTAGCAAAGCTGTACCAAAGCAACTATGAATGTATTGACAAAGATATAAGGAAAGATTTCGAAAAATTGTCAACTTACCCGATGAGTTTTATTGACAGGATAAATACAGTGAAAATGAATATTCTGCCACGCTTGTTGTATTTATTTAGATCCTTGCCGATAAATATACAGCAGATTCAGTTCCAAAGTTGGGATAAGCTTAAATCAAGATTCATATGGGGGGGTAAAAGACCTAGGATAAGATATACCACACTGCAATTGCCTAAAGAAAAAGGGGGACTGGCATTTCCAAACCTAAAGGAATATTATCATGCAGCACAACTACGTCCTCTCATTTACTGGTGTAACTCCGATTATATAGCCCGCTGGAAAGACATCGAAATACTTACATATGAGTCCCCAATTTAACCACTCATAGGGCAAAGAGAAATGCCTCCCCATATTAAAGAAAAGGGAGACCTACAGTAGACCCAATAACAACATTTACACTAGAAAAATTGTATTCTATTATTAAACAATTGAAATTGGGAAGGGAACTTGGACTATTAGACTGGATAGCCTATGACAAAGGATTCAAACCAGGAAGCTATGACTGTAGATTCAAGCAATGGACAGAAAAGGGTTTAACAGCCATATGCACGGTTATCCAGAAGGGAGAAATGAGAAGCTTTCAAGACCTGAAAAACCTCTTTGACCTAGAAAACAAAGACTTATTCAGATATATGCAAATGAGGGACTACTATACAAAAAAGGTTAAGAAAAATGAAGATGACATACAACCTATTGTAAAGATTATTGCACGAGCTTACCATGATGATATTCCCAAAGTTGTGTCAACCCTGTATTCGTGCTTGATGGAAGCCAAAAAAGATTCAACACTCAACGTAAAAACTAAATGGGAAAAATAACTAAATGAAAGGATCTCAGATGAGATGTGGTATGATATGTGGAAAATGCAACAGACCACTACACAGTCACACGGATGGAGAGAATTTCTGTGGAAAAAACAAATTTGTTTCTTTTACCCACCCAAAATCACTAGTAAACAAACAAACACTCAACAATCATGCTGGAGACTTTGTAAACATCTAGAACCTCACCATACACATGTGTTTTGGAGCTGCAGCAAAATGCAACCTTTCTGGGACTGTGTACACTCTGTTATATGCAAGGTATTAGGCTATAGAATCCCTCAAACCTGTTTGATATTATACCTGGGACATATGGAAGGATCTGTACATGTCGGAGATCAATACCTGATCAAGATCCTCCTAGCTGCTGGAAAGAAGGCTATCACTAAAAACTGTCTAAAGGCGGAAACACCAAGCTACAGATAATGGGTTAATTGGTGATATCCTAATAATGGAGAAAATCACATACAAGTTGAAAGTAATGGAAGACACATTTCTTAAGGACTGGCAAAAATGGTTAAGGTACATAACAAAGGAGTCATAAAAAAACAAGCAATATTTAATAACTATGTAGATCGTCTCCGTACAGGCACTGTTCTCTCTGAAATGTACTAATTATTGTGAAAAAATCAATAAAAGAAAGTATTTTTTAAAAAAAGGCCTGAGAGCATGGTATTACAATAGTCAATACGGGATGTGACGAATGCATGAACCAGGACTTCAGTGCTGGATTGAGACAGGGCGGAGTCTGGAGAAGAATGCAGTCCGGGTGATGTTTTTTATGTGGGGTGCAGATGAGAGGGAGCTGTCCAGAATGGCACCAAGATGTTGTGTTTGAGTTGTGCTCTTGATAAGCCATTTAAAACAGTAGAATAAGTGTCTCCTGTGCACCAAAACATACCCATCTGTTATGGAAAAAGAAAGTATTCCAAAAGTATTCTAAAAGTAATCTGAATACTTTTTTAAGACACGTAACTGTATTCAGATTCGGATTACTTTCAGAGCCATGTATTCAGTATTCAGGAACTAATTGCATTTACAAAGTAACCCTCCCAACCCTGGTCACCAGTCTCATGTCCGGCTTCATATCCGTGCAATTTTCCACAGGCACACTCACACACACTCTGATGCTCTCAGAGATATTTGCACTGGGGGAGGTTTGTGAGGAGAGCTCACTGAAGGGAAGTGAATAGCAAGTGCTTAGCTAAAAAAAAGAGTGCTTTGACCATAAAAATAGGCACATTTTCTCGTATTATTGTATTTAAAAAAATAATAAAAAAACGTTTTTAAATAAATAAAAAATCTTTGTGCTCATTTCTTATTATTAACATACATTTTGGAGGTGCAACTGAATTTGTAATTTTCGGATTGAATATTGAATTAAATTGGGACTCTGTGAAACCTAATCGTGGCAATTAAAAAACTAATTGTGAGGCTGAATAAACACACACATATTAGACGGATTTTTCTCCGTGACTGAAATCTTCCAGGAAACATATACCAACAGCGAACCCTGATGTATGAGCCTCAAATCCTGAGCATTATGTGTAATATTTAAAACGTATTTATAATAACCAGGATGTTGCTTTGCATGACACATATCATAAAAGAGAGCCATGTAGAAAGACCTTGCACACAGTAAGAAAAAGATTGTTATCTTTTCTTTATAATGTCAATAATGCACGTTACGAGAAATGGGATCCCTCAAGGAAGTAATGCTATTAGAAACCAGAATCTAGCAGTCAGAGAGGTTAAAAAAGGTGCAATGACAACGCAACATCTCCGTCAATTCCATCATACCCCCACCTTCTGCAAACACCATCCATGATGACAGAGAAGTAATTTTTTCTTGGCTTCGATATCTGGACTTGTCCAACCCTCTTTGGTTTAAATAGCGAGACGGAGGGAACAGGTGTCACATCTTTACCTGGGATCCTGCAAGGAACATCTTAAGGGCAAAAATACCATTGGTAACATCTGAGACTATAACTACACAAGACCGTGGAACTGAGCATCCTTTTGTTTTTCACCGTATTGCACTGATCGTTGGAACTGCAGAGAAAAGGTAGGCTAAAACAATGCACCCTGATATCTATTACTCCTGGAGGAACTCTTTTAATGGAATTTTACTTTAATTTAAGTGTCTTTTGAAGTGAATACTTAAACCGACAGCCCAATGACAATTTTAGATATTTACATTTTTTAGAGGAAAATAAGAAATACAAAATATTATGAGCCATTGGTGATTGTTATGAGAATATTTAGTCATATAAAGTCAAATATATTATAATAAATGTATTTATTAATTTAATTTTGTATGAAATACAAAAGAGGTAAAAGATAACTTATATATTTACATTTTAAAAAGACTACATTTTATTCATTTTTTGCAGAATACTGCTTTTAATTAGTAGTTAGTTGTACAGCATATTTTTTATTTTAAATAAGTTTAAATGAATCATGTGTAGGATTCAATGTTTGCTCATTCAAAGATACAAACAATACTGAATTACTTTAAAAAGTGAAGTTATTCAAAAATATATATAAATGTATTTGTTTAAAAAAAAAGAAATTAAAAAGAAATATTTATTATGGGCCATTGGTGATTGTTATGAGAATATTTAGTCATATAAAGTCAAATATATTATAATAAATGTATTCTTTTTTTTTATCCTCAATTTTCATAGTTTTCAGTAAAAATAAAAAAAGAGTAAGCTTAAGTTAGAGATGCTCTTTGGTGTTAATTTAAATGCATTTTACAATTAATAAAGTCAAATTATTGGTTAACATATTATTTATTAACCTTTTTATTACACTAAATAACTTAAAGGTGGGGTAGGTAATTTTGGAGAAACCAGCTCGAGTGCGCTAGAATTTGAAAATACACAGCCGGAAAAAATCTGCCACTTCCTTACAGAGCCCCTCCTCCAACACACACAAACGCGCACATGACCAATGAGGCTGACAGGCAGGTAGGCCATCCAGTTATTTTAGCCGGGCCGGCTAAAATGATTGGTCGTGCTTTTTACAGTACTACGGCTTCCACAGATGACATTTTTGTATGGATTTGTTGTCAAAGCACTTAAGATATTCATTGCTATCGGGATGTTAAGAGCATTCCATGGAATATAACAACAAGTGTATCTCGAGCCGGTTTCTCAAACTTACCTACCCCACCTTTAACTTCGACATCTAAGGGTGCTATCACAGAGTGTTTCATTTTATGATTTAACTGAATCACCACCTTACTCCACCTGCTCCAGCCATGGACAAAAGAATGGTTTTCCTCACTGCCCTGCTAGTGACGCTGTCCTGGATGTCAGTGGGCACCTACGCTCAGACAGCAGCTGCGACAACAGCAGCGACAACAGCAGCAGCAGCGACAACAACAGCAGCAGCAGCGACAGCAGCAGCAGCGACAACAGCAGCAGCGACAAAAGCTGCAGCGACAAAAGCAGCGACAACAGCTGCAGCTACAACAAAACCAGCAGCGGCTACAACAAAACCAGCAGGGGCTACAACAAAACCAACAGCGGCTACAACAAAACCAACAGCGGCTACAACAAACGGGGCTACAACAAAACCAACAGCGGCTACAACAAACGGGGCTACAACAAAACCAACAGCGGCTACAGCAAAACCAACAGCGGCTACAACAACAGGGGCTACAACAAAACCAACAGCGGCTACAACAAAACCAGCAGGGGCTACAACAAAAGGGGCTACAACAAAACCAGCAGGGGCTACAACAAAAGGGGCTACAACAAAACCAACAGCGGCTACAACAACAGGGGCTACAACAAAACCAACAGCGGCTACAACAAAAGGGGCTACAACAAAACCAGCAGGGGCTACAACAAAAGGGGCTACAACAAAACCAACAGCGGCTACAACAAAAGGGGCTACAACAAAACCAGCAGGGGCTACAGCAAAACCAGCAGGGGCTACAACAAAACCAACAGCGGCTACAGCAAAACCAGCAGGGGCTACAACAAAACCAACAGCGGCTACAGCAAAACCAGCAGGGGCTACAGCAAAACCAGCAGGGGCTACAGCAAAACCAGCAGGGGCTACAACAAAACCAACAGCGGCTACAGCAAAACCAGCAGGGGCTACAACAAAACCAGCAGGGGCTACAACAAAAGGGGCTACAACAAAACCAGTAGTGGTTACAACAAAACCAGCAGCGGCTACAACAAAACCAGCAGCAACTAGCCATGCCATTACAATCCAGCAATCTCTGACCCAAGGTAAGTCAAAAAGATGGGGTTGATAACCTGAAGAGATAAAATGTTTTAAAAACAAAGCCTAATACATGATTTCTTCCCCCTGTAGCTCTGCTGATCACTGTTGGTGTGCTTGTTCTGACCGTGCTCTGAGGAAACTGACAAGTCCAAGAGTCAAGACAAGACAACCATTTTCCGTCTTAGCGTGCTACTGAATATAATCATCTCTCACGAAAAAGCAGTTTCCAACATTTGAATCTGAGCCTTTGGCAGTATCTACATTGTTGGTATTAGGCCTATTTAAAAATGATTGATCTAACTTAACTTATTATTTTTTTTTTTATTCAGGGAAAATTTAGAATGTGAAAAGGCTACTAAACGTATATGAAAATAATATGTATTTTTAAATCTAATTTAGTCAACCAAGGTATCAAACACCTACCTTTGTTTTTGATAAATGTGTTGCAAAGAGGATATCTGATTTAAAAGTAGTTAAAGAGATAACTAATATTTCCGGATGAGACCCCATACATAGACCTTCATCTAGTTAGCCTTTGAAAACGTTATATTATCACTCTATAAAGCTAATAGTATCGTAGCCTAGCAACACTAGCTAATCAATGGGGTAATCAACCGGTGTTCGGTAGCTAACATTAGCTTAGTTAGCGCAACAAGCTAGTAACAGTTGACAGGTTAAGTGGTGAAACTGGAATACATTAGTTGATAATTAAACATGTGTATACACGTCAGGCCTACACATTTAAGCTACACAACCATCGTAACTTCAGCCAGGAGTTGTTCAATAATATACATTAGGGTACACTGCTGCTAACGTTACTTTACGATAGATAGCCTTACTTCATACCTTCTTCACATGATTTTCTGTCTGAGAACAAAAATACAAACGAAGCAAGTCATTTGAAAACACTTCCCTGTGTTTTTAACATACTTTCAGCATACAAACTGAAAGAACACATATTATGTGGGCTGAACAATCTTCTCTTTATTAGTCCAATGTTCACGCATCACAAGTTGCTATTTTTAATTCAAAACAAAGATGGCGGCCGGAAGTGACTTAGGTCTATATCATCTTCTTTTCTTTTTCTTCTCCTTTAGTCAAGAATATATATATGTACATTGAACAGTATACACATAAAACATTGACATCAGGGATACAAAGGTAAATATGCAGAATAAAATTAATATGAAAATATAAAGTAATAAGGAAAAATAAATATATAATATAAATATAAAGAAAATATCGATACAAAAAGATGTAACATTTCAAGTAAAATATTTATCAAATACACATTTGGTTTGGATTGCCTTCTTTTCTTCTTTTTTTTTAATAGTGGTGCCATATTGTTGTATTTAAAGAGTCATTCTATTTCTTCTTGTGAATGTGGATTTTCCCAAAATGTAATTAGTAATTAGGCCTTTTGGTGTATTTTTGTTGTTCATTTATATCTTATTTTACCTAGTTAACATTTATTTATTCAAGCATTTTTTTAATATCTCCAGTTTTAAACGATATTTTTGGTTTATTGTCCTATAGTATACATTGGAATGATTTCAAACCTGTTTTTATTTATCCTAATAATTCTAAAGGTGTTCCTTGGAAATATGTGTTTACATACATTGTGACCAAACCGTTTGAGACACACTGAGATAGCTTACTGTAGACTAAAGTGAACTATCTAAACACTCAGAGTCCTTTCTTTAAAGGTGCGTCGCAAAATAAACACAGTGTTTTACGTACACACAGGGTTGGGTTGTAACGGAATACATGTAACGGCGTTAAGTAATCAGAATACAAAAATCAAGTAACTGTATTCAGCTCGCGTTACATTTGAAAAACGAGTAATCAGATTATAGTTACTTTCGTAAACCTAAAGTGAATGCATTTTGGAATACTTCTTGGAATTATTGGGGGCAAGTGACTGGAAAACGTTTTAAAAGTTATTACATCGTTTCAGATAATAATAATAATTCATTTTATTTAGAGGCGCCTTTCAAAGCACCCTTACAATTCATAAAATATTTTAAGGAAAGGTTTAAGACAGTACAAAAGGACTATACAGAGAACATGTTGGGAAAGGAGACATGTAGCGCTACAGTGAGAAGGCTGAACAGGTGGGTTTTGAGGAGGGACGTGAATGTGGTGATTGTGTCAGACTGTCGGATGTGAAGGGGGAGAGAGTTCCATAGTTTGGGAGCAGCTAAAAGCCAGAGCCCCCATCGTGACTAGGCGTGGGGTAGGTAGGGACAGTTTGCAGGCCAGCAGAGGAGGAGGGAGAGAGCGAGAGGGGGTGTATGAGGACAGCCAGAGAGGTGGGGGCCAGGAGAGAGAGAGAGAGAGAGAGAGAGAGAGAGAGAGGGGGGGTGTATGAGGACAGCCAGAGAGGTGGGGGCCAGGAGAGAGAGAGAGAGAGAGAGGGGGGGGGGGGTGTAGGAGGTCAGCCAGACAGGTGGGGGCCAGGAGAGAGAGAGAGGAGAGGAGAGAGAGAGAGAGAGATGAGAGAGAGAGAGAGAGAGAGAGAGAGAGAGAGAGAGAGAGAGAGAGAGAGAGAGAGAGAGAGAGAGAGAGAGAGAGAGAGAGAGAGAGAGAGAGAGAGAGAGAGAGAGAGGAGAGAGAGAGGGGGTGTAGGAGGTCAGCCTCAGGCTTTGGTGCGGGTGATGATCCGGGCAGCAGAGTTCTGAATGATTTGAAGTTTATTGAGGAGTTTGATGGGAAGGCCTGAGAGCATGGTATTACAATAGTCAATACGGGATGTGACGAATGCATGAACCAGGACTTCAGTGCTGGATTGAGACAGGGCGGAGTCTGGAGAAGAATGCAGTCCGGGTGATGTTTTTTATGTGGGGTGCAGATGAGAGGGAGCGGTCCAGAATGACACCAAGATGTTGTGTTTGAGTTGTGCTCTTGATAAGCCATTAAAACAGTAGAATAAGTGTCTCCTGTGCACCAAAACATACCCATCTGTTATGGAAAAAGAAAGTATTCCAAAAGTATTCTAAAAGTAATCTGAATACTTTTTTAAGACACGTAACTGTATTCAGATTCGGATTACTTTCAGAGCCATGTATTCAGTATTCAGGAACTAATTGCATTTACAAAGTAACCCTCCCAACCCTGGTCACCAGTCTCATGTCCGGCTTCATATCCGTGCAATTTTCCACAGGCACACTCACACACACTCTGATGCTCTCAGAGATATTTGCACTGGGGGAGGTTTGTGAGGAGAGCTCACTGAAGGGAAGTGAATAGCAAGTGCTTAGCTAAAAAATAGTGTTTTGACCATAAAAATAGGCACATATTCATTATCATTGTATTTAAAAAATAATAAAAAAATGTTTTTAGATAAATGAAAAGCTTTGTGCTAAATTCTTATTATTAACATACCATTTTGGAGGTGCAACTGAATTTGTAATTGTTTTCGGATTGAATATTGAATTAAATTGGGACCCTGTGAAACCTAATCGTAGCAATTTAAAAAAAACTCATTGTGAGGCTGAATAAACACACACATATTAGACGGAATTTTCTCCGTGACTCAAATCTTCCAGGAAACATATACCGACAGCGAACCCTGATGTATCTTTTCTTTATAATGTCATGCATGTTACAAGAAATGGGATCCCTCAAGAAAGTAATGCTATTAGAAACCAGAATCTAGCAGTCAGAGAAGGTTGTATTGGGTTGGTATTGTAAGGTGCAATGACAACGCAACAGCTCTGTAAATTCCATCATACATGCCCTTAAGCATTTATTCTCCTATTCCCAGCCCCACCTTCTAAAAACACCTTGCATGACGACAGAGAAGTTATTTTCTTCTTGGCTTCGATATCTGGACTTGTACCAACGCTCTTTGGTTTAAATAGCGAGACGGAGGGAACAGGTGTCACATCTTTACCTGGAATCCTGCAAGGAACATCTTAAGGGCAAAAATACCATTGGTAACATCTGAGACTATAACTACACAAGACCGTGGAACTGAGCATCCTTTTGTTTTTCACCGTATTTCACTGATCGTTGGAACTGCAGAGAAAAGGTAGGCTAAAACAATGCACCCTGATATCTATTACTCCTGGAGGAACTCTTTTAATGGAATTTTACATAAATTTAAGTGTCTTTTGAAGTGAATACTTAAAATGTACAGCCCAATGACAATTTTAGATATTTACATTTTTTAGAGGAAAATAAGAAATACAAAATATTATGAGCCATTGGTGATTGTTATGAGAATATTTAGTCATATAAAGTCAAATATATTATAATAAATGTATTTATTAATTTAATTTTGTATGAAATACATTAGAGGTAAAAGATAACTTATATATTTACATTTTAAAAAGACTACATTTTATAATTTTTTTTCAGAATACTGCTTTTAATTAGTAGTTAGCTGTACAGCAGGCTAAACAATTGTTTTAATATGTTTTATTTGCAATAAGTTTAAATTAATCGTGTGTAGGATTCAATGTTTGCTCATTCAAATGAAATGATTCAAAGATAGTCATACAATTCTAAATTACTTTAAAAAGTGAAGTTATTCAAAAATATATATAAATGTATTTGTTTAAAAAATTTAAAAAATAAAAATATTATGAGCCATTGGTGATTGTTGTGAGAATATTTAGTCATATAAAGTCAAATATATTATAATAAATGTATTCTTTTTTTTTTATCCTCAATTTTCATAGTTTTCAGTTAAAATAACTAAAATACACAGTAAGCTTAAGTTAGAGATGTTCTTTGGTGTTCATTTAAATGCATTTTACAATGAATAAAATCAGATTAGTGGTTAACATATTATTTATTAACTTTTTTATTACACTAAATAACTTAAATGAATAGTTCTTGGTTTTGTAAAATTGGAGTGTTTCATTTTATGATTTAACTGAATCACCACCTTACTCCACCTGCTCCAGCCATGGACAACAGACTGGTCTTCCTCACTGCCCTGCTAGTGACGCTGTCCTGGATGTCAGTGGGCACCTACGCAGCGACAACAACAGCAGCAGCTACGACAACAGCAGCAGCGACGACAACAGCAGCAGCGACAACAACAGCTGCAGCGACAACAGCAGCAGCTACGACAACAGCAGCGGCGACAACAACAGCTGCAGCGACAACAGCAGCAGCTACAGAGGCACCACCAATCATGCCCAACACAAATGTGACAACACTTATGGTAAGTAATGCAAAAAACGAGAGCGTAGTGAAATAGATGAGAACAGAATGTTTAAAATCATTGAGGTTACAGTTTTTCAGTGGTTTAAAAAAGTATCTCCTTTACAGACAACTATCAACAGGACAGACTGCGGGGATGAGCAGCTCTGTGCCGCTCAGCCCTCAGACTGCGACCCCTCAACAAGTTCATCATGTTTCTTTCTGGCTGCCAAGCAGATAAGCGGCAGAAACTTTGAATTTGGGCTTTCAGGAGAGTCCGATGGCTATATTGCTGCCACCCTGTCACTCGACAGCGAGCTGGTATGTCAGGTTCTTTCCCTCACTTTTAGATTTACATACCACAAAGTATAACCCACAGCTACTGAAACAGATGTTTAAATTCTTCTTTTCAAACAGTTACAATTTCTGTTTTTCACCACAGGGAGGTAATGACACAACCTACGTCTGTGCAAAGGATGGCGGTGTTGTTAAATTCTTTGCCGCTCTCCTCGACAATGACATGCTGACTGTGAAAGAGGTAAGTTCTACTCAGAGTGGAAGTGAGATGGGAGCTGGATGAGGATTTGTTTAGGAGTAAAATCCAAGAGCATGAATTAGACTTAATGTATTTTTGTCTACTATGCGAACAAAGACACAAATGATGTGGTCTGAAGGTGATTTGTCTTTAATTACATTTGAGTTTGAACTTCTGAAAACTCACTTTCTTCTTCGTCATCTGTTACCGACTTTGTTCTGCAGCTGAACGTGGGCTCAGTGAAGGGCAAGATCGACGGGAACAAAATCCAGTGCACATTTTCTGCCACTGTACCGCGGGCCCTGTCTAAAACCAAACAATTCGCACTTGGAATCTCTACAGGAACTTACAACAGCAGTAAGTCTACTACATATTCATGCATCAAACTGTCCATTAAGAACAACTTTCACAGAGACTATCACAAATAATATATACATATTTTGCTCATGCAATTTTTTTTTATTAAATACATTTTCTTCTTTTGCTTGCATCCACAGCTGATGGTACTCTCGGATCACCCAAGTTCCAGTTCAAAAGTGGTCTTCTAGACCTGGCAAATCCTAACGTCACTGTCACGACGACAACAGCAGCACCTACAGAGGCACCACCAATCATGCCCGACACAACAGTGACAACACTTATGGTAAGTAATGCAAAAAACGAGAGCGTAGTGAAATAGATGAGAACAGAATGTTTAAAATCATTGAGGTTACAGTTTTTCAGTGGTTTAAAAAAGTATCTCCTTTACAGACAGCTATCAACAGGACAGACTGCGGGGATGGGCAGCTCTGTGCCGCTCAGCCCTCAGACTGCGACCCCTCAACAAGTTCATCATGTTTCTTTCTGGCTGCCAAGCAGATAAGCGGCCGAAACTTTGACTTTGGGCTTTCAGGAGAGTCCGATGGCTATATTGCTGCCACCCTGTCACTCGACAGCGAGCTGGTATGTCAGGTTCTTTCCCTCACTTTTAGATTTACATACCACAAAGTATAACCCACAGCTACTGAAACAGATGTTTAAATTCTTCTTTTCAAACAGTTACAATTTCTGTTTTTCACCACAGGGAGGTAATGACACAACCTACGTCTGTGCAAACAATGGCAGTGGTGTTCAATTCTTTGGCGCTCTCCTCGACAATGGCATGCTGACTGTGAAAGAGGTAAGTTCTACTCAGAGTGGAAGTGAGATGGGAGCTGGATGAGGATTTGTTTAGGAGTAAAATCCAAGAGCATGAATTAGACTTAATGTCTTTTTGTCTACTATGCGAACAAAGACACAAATGATGTGGTCTGAAGGTGATTTGTCTTTAATTACATTTGAGTTTGAACTTCTGAAAACTCACTTTCTTCTTCGTCATCTGTTACCGACTTTGCTCTGCAGCTGAAAGTGGGCTCAGTGAAGGGCAAGATCGACGGGAACAAAATCCAGTGCACATTTTCTGCCACTGTACCGCAGGCCCTGTCTACTAAAACCAAACAATTCGCACTTGGAATCGCTAACGGAACTTACAACAGCAGTAAGTCTACTACATATTCATGCATCAAACTGTCCATTAAGAACAACTTTCACAGAGACTATCACAAATAATATATACATATTTTTCTCATGCAATTTTTTTTAATTAAATACATTTTCTTCTTTTGCTTGCATCCACAGCTGATGGTACTCTCGGATCACCCAAGTTCCAGTTCAAAAGTGCTCTTCTAAACCTGGCAGATCCTAACGCCACTGTCTCCAATGTGCTTCTCCCTACTAGCCATGCCATTACAATCCAGCAATCTCTGACCCAAGGTAAGTCAAAAAGATGGGGTTGATAACCTGAAGAGATAAAATGTTTTAAAAACAAAGCCTAATACATTCTTTTTTTCCCCTGTAGCTCTGCTGATCACTGTTGGTGTGCTTGTTCTGACCGTGCTCTGAGGAAACTGACAGCTCCAAGAGTCAAGACAAGACAACCATTTTCCGTCTTAGTGTGCTACTGAATATAATCATCTCTCAGGAGGTTGACTATAAACAGTGCATCCTTCCCAGATTATTAGAATCATGCTTCACTGTTTCAATTTACTGGCAGGTGAGGGCAGGAATGGTGGAGGTCGGTCAATCTTCCCAGGCCTTCTTATGCTTTTACATCGGTGTAGGCTCTGAAACACAAAAAGTCTGTTAATTTTGTATTTAATGTTTAATCAATTTTGAGTATTTCTTTTAAACATAGGACTGCTGCATTTCTGTCCTACATGTTACCTAATAGCAAAACAAATACATTGATTAACTGCCAGAACTGAAAATCAGTCTTTGAATGATTGGAATGGGTACAGAGTTATCAAACATACAATAAATAATCAATTGTTTTTACCACTACCTGGCAGTTGTGTGTCATGCTCTAAAACATTTGAGGTTTGGGGTCCGGTTACCTTTAAGCCAACATTACTACAGTCAGGCAAACACCCTTATGACTTGGCATAACACCTGGACATTTCTATTATTTAACGGGGATGCCTAAAAACATTATAAATTCAACATTGCATAAAGGTCAATCATATTGGTCAAAATGATTAGGAACTCATAAATAACGTTTTGGGACCATGATATTATTATTTTTAATCCCCAGAATAAAGGGAAGATGTGCATTTATGAAAGATTAGTTATTTTAGATTGCATACACCACAACATATTACCATTCATATGTTTTTTTTGATGACGTACACAAGAAACGCAATATTATTTCTCACTGTCGCTCATGATAGCAGCAAATGGCAGAGGTGTTTGCATTATGTGATTATTATTGTTATGACATTTTCTTTTTTTATGTGAATGTACATATTGTTAAAGATTCAACCATGCCATTTCTGAATGGCTGATATTTCCATATATATGTGTGTGTTTATGTGTAGCACACGTGCAATTGAGTAGTTGCAAAAAGAGATGATGAAATGGATTTTGTACTTTGTTTCATGTAACGATTGAAGTTGATTTTTTGAATAAATATTAAATGAAAGCTGATTATCTTAATGGTATAAATACATTTTCAGATATTGTTGACGGACAGAAATCACAGGGATGTATACAGCGAAAAACCAGTTTCCAACATTTGGCAGTATCTACATTTTCGGTATTTTCTTTTACATTATTGATCTAACTTAACTTATTCTTACTTTTTTTATTCAAAATGTAGAATATCAAAAGGCTACTAAACGTATAAGAAAAGAAGTATTTTTTAATGTATTTTAGTCAACCAAGGTATCACACACCTACTGTACCTTTGAATGTGTTGTAAATATGCAAAAAAGAGGATATCAGCTGATTTCAAAGTAGTTAAAGAGATAACTATTATTTCCTGATGAGACCCCATACATAGACCTTCAAAAGCGATCTAGTTAGCCTTTGAAAAGTAACGTTATATTATCACTCTATAGAGCTAACAGTATCGTAGCCTAGCAACACTAGCTAATCAATAGGGTAATCAACCGGCGTTCGGTAACCCTAACCCTAACTTCAGATAAGAAGCAGCATTTGACGGCGCTATGCATGGGGCCGCCTTGAGGGGGTTTCCCGACATGTCGTTGCAGTACATTAAAGGGTGTTTCATGTTGTCGTTGCTGTGGACCTTCTTAATCTCCCTTCTTTGGGGGCCCCCTTCTGGTCCGGGGCCCCAAGCAGTTGCCTGCCTTGCCTGTTCGCAAGCAGCGCCCCTGGGTGAAACTGGAATACATTAGTTGATCATTAAACATGTGTATACACGTCAGGCCTAAACATTTAAGCTACACAACCATCGTAACTTCAGCCAGGAGTTGTTAAATAAGATACATTAGGGTACACTGCTGCTAACGTTACTTTACCGATAGATAACCTTACTTCATACCTTCTTCATGACTTTCTGTCTGAGAACAAAAATACAAACGAAGCAAGTCATTTGAAAACACTTACCTGTGTTTTTAACATACTTTCAGCATACAAACTGAAAGAACACATATTATGTGGGCTGAACAATCTTCTCTTTATTAGTCCAATGTTCACGCATCACAAGTTGCTATTTTTAATTCAAAACAAAGATGGCGGCCGGAAGTGACTTAGGTCTATATCATTGTCTTTTCTTTTTCTTCTCCTTCAGTCAAGAATATATATATGTACATTGAACAGTATACACATAAAACATTGACATCAGGGATACAAAGGTAAATATGCAGAATAAAATTAATGCGAAAATATAAAGTAATAAGGAAAAAAATATAGAGAAGATATCGATAAAAAAAGATTAATTACAAGTAAAATATTTATCAAATACACATTTGGTTTGGATTGCCTTCTTTTCTTTTCTTTTTAATAGTGGTGCCGTATTGTTGTATTTAAACTTTAGAGTCATTCCATTTCTTCTTGTGAATGTGGATTTTCCCAAAAATGTAATTAGTTGAATAAATATTTGTATCAAATCCTATCATCTTGCCTATCTTTAAAGGTGCGTCACAAAAATAAACACAGTGTTTTACGTACACATACAATGTTGCAAAACGTGCAGTATGGTGTATATGTAGGGCAAGGCCTTATGTAGCCTAAGAAATAATATACCAACAAATGTACTATGTAAAATGTGTGTAGGCTAGCAACACTTATTTATTTGTATTGAAACAACATTTTACATACTTTTCAAAACATAGGACAACATATTTTGTGGCATCATATAATCTCATTTGAAAATGTTCCAAATTGATTTCCTTAAACGTTGGAATGGGATTAACGAAGGTAAACATTGTCACTCAAGCTTGTAGACTAACTAGTTTGTAGTTCCTTAACCTAGACTTAATGCACAATTATCAACACCGGGCAAATTGTTGAGGAAATAATTACTTTCAAAATGAAAAAAAGTGAATCATTGTTGTTGATGAAAACAAAGAGGCAGTTGTTTGCATTACGCAGATGTGCATTTGGGTGTTTTTTGCTTCATGCAAACATCACTGCAAATTTACAAGTTCTCTTTTACTAAAACAAATGATCCAGTACAGTATGTGATTGGTAATGCTCGAAGGAAAACTACAAAGACAGTAGGTAAGTCTACACACTAGTTGGGGTATCAGCGTTAAACTATATTTTCATTAAGATTATTTTTACATTGACTCTGGGAGCCATGAATCCGAATCAGTACATCTGGATCCTCAATGGTAAGTCAAAGTATTACACTGTTCAATCTTTTTTTTGTGTATTATGGTATTTTATTTGCAGTTTTTAGAAAAATCTTTTTTAATTTAACTGTATCCGAATACGCTTCAAAGATAGTTCTCAAGGTCAGATGATCTACATGTTAGCAATATAACATTCAGAGAATTAATAGATCAGTAAACAACTATTCAGAATATAATAGTAGGTGCTTTTTTTACATACCCAGCCGGCACAAGTCACTATATAACAATGCAGAAATGAAAGTTCTATATGTCATTTCAACATTTAGAGAAAACCTAGTACACGTCTAACTTTAAAGTCTCCTCACTTGCAGGAATTTCCCTAATGCTGATATCCGGAGCACTGGCCGGTAAACTTCTTGATAATGTGGCACTTATGAAAGAAGCTTCCCAGTCTTCAGAGGGCAGCGACTTTGATTCTGCTGGTGGGGCAGTCGATGGGAACAAAGACCTGAAACCTGAAAAGAGATCCTGTACCCTCAGCAAAGAAGAGTCTGATCCTTGGTGGAGGGTAGACTTAGAGAATGTGTACAAAATATCTGCTGTAACGATAACCAACCGTGATGTAAATTCAAGCAGTCTGAACGGGGCTGAAATCTGGATTGGAAACTCAATGGAGACTTATGACAGCAAAAACGTCAGGTGAAACAGCTTGATACAGACGTGGTTAATACATGTGTCATTATGATCTGAAAAACGTTCTGTATTTCTCACTTTCTCTTTTCTTCTCCACGCATAGATGTGCAGTCATTTCTCACATCCCGGGCGGACGCACATTCTACTTTTCATGCAGCGCTACAGAGGGACGCTACGTCACTGTTCTTCTCCCAGGAAGCAAGAAGGTTCTGAGTCTCTGTGAAGTTGAGGTGTTTCCTGTAAGCCATGGTAATGATATTTGAAATATAATATAAATAGTGTATTTTAAAGCTCATTTGTATTTAGCTCTGGCGCAGTAACATAACTTTTCTACTTATACTTTTCTGTCAACAATGCCTTGGGTTTAAAAAAAAATAAATTCTGAAAATACCCACTCATACCTTCAATTATCACTTGATGCCTCATTGCAATGATATCATAACAGTCCGGCGACGAAGAATGGTAATCTAACCATCCATATATTTTTGTTTTCAGCAAATCCTGTATCCAACGAGGCACTGAAAGGAGAAGCCACACAGTCATCAACGCTCTCTTTCGCCACTGCGTCCAAAGCCATTGATGGAAGACGAAACTCATACTACACCAGTGGGTTTTGTAGCCACACTCTCGAGAACCAGACCGACCCGTGGTGGAGGGTGGACCTGCCAAATACATTTATAATCACATCTGTCAAAGTCACAAACAGGGGAGACTGCTGTGCTGAGAGACTGGATGGAGCAGAGATCCGAATCGGGAACTCACTGGAGAACAATGGAAACAACAACCCCAGGTAGCGACAAGAACTTCAGAACATGCATTTAAATTATATTTGAGCATTATTATTCCAGCGGTACCACACATCAACCGTACCCATTTTTAACACATGTATCAGTCACTTAGAGGATGAAAGCTAGCCTATTTGCTAGATGCTGCTAAATAATGCAATACAATAGACTGAGATCTGTTTCTATAAAACTTCTGAAAAAAAAAAGACTTTCTCAACTGCTATTTCTTCATCACAACTCAATTTCCATATTATTGTACATATCTATTCTGACCTAACCTTCTTAGCAAGTGATTTTAAAATGTGATTCGCTCTTCTTGCTGGCATCTGTTACCATGTATATATTCAGCATTAATTGAAAGAACTTTATAAAAAAAAGCATTGACATTTTTGGAATATCTGTTGTTACTAAACTCTAAAAATCTAAAAATCCACAAGATAAATATTCCCCCTACTCCCTCCACTGTCAGGTGTGCCTCCATCTTCAAGATCAGAGCGGGTAAAACCTACACTTACTACTGTGATGGAGGCAGCATGGAGGGGCGCTTTGTGAATGTTATTATCCCCGGGAATATGAAGATCCTCACCCTGTGTGAAGTGGAGGTGTATGGTGCCCCAGCAGGTACAACCGTTACTGTCTAGCTTTGATTCATTGGATCACAACAGTCCGATATTCATTAAGGTCTCTTTTTTTCACTTTAGTGGAACCTCTACAAGACGTGGCCTTCGGGAAACCAACACACCAATGTTGCGTTTGGTTCAATGGGTTTTCTGTTAATGCTGTCAGTGGACGTAGAGGTGGGATTTATGGTGCGGGACGCTGTAGCAGAGCCTCCTCTATCAATCCCTGGTGGAGAGTAGACTTGTTAGCTGAGCACAATGTTAGTGCTGTCACCATCACCAACATACGAGACCGTTCGTCTTCCCAGATTGAAGGGGCAGAGATCTGGATCGGTAACTCTCAGTCCAAAACCCCAAACACCAGGTGAGGCGTAATATTAACAATTGCAAAATTCCGCATCTCCATTTACATTTTTAGATTAAAATATGAGCTTAATGTTTTAACAGAGGTTTGTAATTCTAGTCGTCCATTGTTTTTCTCTCACACCATCAGATGTGGTGATATCTCATCGACTTCCTTATCGTACACATTCGACTGTGGCGGCATGCAAGGTCGCTACGTCGTAGTGAGCATTCAAGGACTTAAGACTTTGACACTGTGCGGAGTGGAGGTCTTTGCTACTCTGGCAGGTACGGTCCTTGAGCTGTAAAAATAAATAAAAATATAAATAGATGCTGTCGTTTTAGCAGTTATTGTTTGCTTCCAAAGCATACTGTGACATATGGCAAGTTATCTTCGTTGCAATAGCTTTAGCTGATAACCAAATTAGAAGATTTGTATTCTTTCACTCAAAGTTTAATCAGATGATGGGTGTGGATTGTTTACTCGTTGGCTTCAAGGCCAAGCACTGACTCTGTGGCTTTTAATGTTTACTCCTTTTACAGTTTGGAACCAAAACTCCCCCGGCAAGTTTAGATCAAGTCATGCCTTTATCAAACAATAATGGTAACTCAAAACAACATTCTTTCTCTGCAGTGCCAGCAGTTGTCACTCCTCCTCCTCCTCCTCCTCAACCTCCCACTGTGAGCCTGAGGCTGGGTGGCAGGGAGGTGACGGTGGTGGGAGAGAGGCTCTGCTGGTCCGACGCTCTGCTCTACTGCAGGCGTCACCACTGGGATCTGCTCAGCCTGCGCAGCCAGGAGGAGCAGAGCGAGGTGGGGGGGCTGCTGGGCCGCAGCTCTGTCCCCCTCACCGACTACGTCTGGCTGGGGCTGCGCAGGTACTCCAAAGTGTATCACCTAAAAACAACCAATAAGGACATAATATTGTGTCAATTATCTGGTTTGATTTCCATTTTTTTACATAATGGCCTCTATAAGAATCGCCCATTAAATATTTTATAATTCTAGCTCAAGTGTTTTAGGTCTAAGCACCTGAAATAGGTGCCCTTCCCTGATCTCAAATCTTAAGGATTTCAATTTTGCAAATGTACATACTCAAAACACACAGGTCCTGAAGTCAAATACTGTGTCTCCTTAATATTTGCTTTGCTAATATAACAAGACACGCACGGATGCTTTGCAAGCAGCTCTCACTGATGCCACACCCACTGACCAACCAAATTTCGCGGTGGAGCTGAAACTTGCAGTCAATGTATTGGCTTGACGATTGACAACAACTTAATCTGGCAATGAATTGTTTTAACAATTGTTGATCACATTTTCAAGTGTGAAGATTAACTGTGTTTCCATTCATTTTGAAGAAATTTGGGTTTTTTGACTGTTGTTTGGACAAAACAAATAATACTTTGGGTCTAATTCACTTTGTTTTTGACATTTAACATTAACCAATCTTAATAATTTAAAAAGAATGTGAACTGTAAACATAACTACTATCATAAAGATAAAACGTAAATATTTAAAATGGAAAAATATCTCTGTTTTAGTACCGGATACCTGCAGCTGTCGTGAAATTACAAATGTTGTCCTGTAAAATAAATCTACTTGGCAGATACATAATGCAAGACACTTGGTTCTGGATGTCTGGTGATTCCATGAAATTCACCAAATGGCCGCGAAACATCGCCCCTCCCCGTATCTCCAGCCCGTGCGGAGGCGTGGATGGAGGAGGGCTCCAGCTGTGGGGGGACCGGCCATGTGAGGAGCCCCTCAACTTCATCTGCCAATCAGGTAGGGGGGGGGGGCCTCACATCCTGCAGCATGTATTGTACCTCACATCAGAAACTTCACCTGCTCCTTCTGTCCTTCAGGTGCTGAGCTGGGAGCAAAGAGAGTGTACTTCCACAGCAGCAACACAAGCCCTTAGTAAGGGACCAAACTATTGGAAGCTGTGTTTTGAAGTTAGAAATAGTGATTTTAAACTTTCTGCACATGTTGTAAGAATAGATTAGCTAACAGAGGTGTGGACTCAGGTCACATAACTTGTACAGACGTCAGAATTGAGTCACGAATTTGAGGACTGAAGACTTGACTAAATGAAAAAGACTTGCAAATCGACTATTGATTTGTGATTTTACTTGGACATTCGCCTTTTGACTTGACAACACCAGATAACTCCCTCCCAAAAATGTAAGGATGTCCTTAAAAATGTGTCCCACAAGTAATTCATCTGAATCCAGCAATGTTTATTTCATCCCTTGCAAATTAACACTCAATTCATATGATCCATTTTTAAAACAATCAGACATCATCCAATCACGTAGCAAGAGAAAACCATGAAGAACTTGCAATTACTTTACTCAGCTGGACAAATATTCTATCGAAGCTTTTGTTTGTGTTAAAAAACGATACTGTAGTCAGCAAAAAACTAATTGCACAATGAAATTGACAGAGAGTTCATTATGCCGTGTTTAGGAATCGAAACTTTGGACAATCTTGACTTGTGACTTGGTCCCACCTCTGGTCTCAACCACCTGGATGCATTCTTTTAATGCTCTTCATATCAAACCTGTTAAGCCCCAAAGACCCCGTCGGCGGGTCCTTTTTTTCCCCACAAATTAAATTATAATTTTTTATATGGTGATAATTCAATGTAATACACCATTTGTATAGTCTGGTACCTGAAAAAGGTAAAATGGCACTGATGGAACCAGATGTACCCAAATGTGCCCAAAGCTTATTCCGCCTGGACCTTTTTTTTTGCTAAACCTCTCTAAAAAGGTCAAATTTCTTGTTTTGCCTCAACCTTGATACAGGGTACTTGTTATATGTTATACTTTGGATTTTAGTCTACCATCCCATCATTCAAGGGTGGTTTTCACTATAAGTAATGTTTTTTCTTTAGGCGGAGGTAAGAATTTACCTTTTTTTGCTATGTTCCATCTGAATTTACTCTGACTGAGAAAAATCTATATTGATTCTGACACTTCTACATCCAACTCACAGATGTAACCTTGCTTTGATAAAAGAAATTATTCATATAACCCTTTTAGAAGTTACTGTAAGTTGTAGTCATTTGTTTTGGGCATGTCATTTTCGAGCCTGAAACCTGAAAAACAGGCTCAGGGCTTAACAGGTTAAAGTCACTGTTCTGTATTCTCATTAAACTAGTTATTGCATTTATGCTGTGGTGCGTCTTGTCTTGTCTCAATTCAACAATTTTGCATGTATTTATTTAAAGTTGCACGTGAACAACCAATGTCAGATTCATAATTGATACACACCTCAACATATAAATATAAGAACTTGCATTCTTAAAGAATATATCCCTAAATATATTTGACGTATGAAATGTTTTGTCCTCAGTAAGATGCACGCAGAAGTTACTTGACTGAATATTTAATAATGATATCGCTTCAGCTGGTCTTATATTGTGGGAAAGACCTTGTTCACCACATCAAAAGTAGTTTTTTTGTTTTGTTTCTTTCCGTTAACTGTCAAGTGGGAACTAAGTATTTTTTGTAGTAAGTTTTTGTGTTGCTCTTATTTTCCTACAATGCTGTTATGATTGGCTGTGAATGAGAAAATATGAAGGACAGACCATATATTTCTATTTATTTGTTTTTTTTGAGAAAGGGTCAGATAATATAAGATAATTTTATTCTCCCTGCTCCTTTTCGGTCAATGGTGTGTTTACAGACACATGTTTTGTAAACAATTGTTATACATTAAGTAAGAACGGAACAAATCAAAATGAAATGAAATATATGCCTCGGATTAGGTGTGGCAGACTCCTGTGAGTTTGAAGGAGTTTTAATGATGAGTGTATTCATCAGTATCAAGGAGTGTGCTGTATAAACTGGAGATGGACACACCCAGAGGGAAACTATCTGGTTCTTCTTGTCCATCTTGCCAGGTGCGTACAGGACGTAATGAGTCATTCCTTCTTCCCAGCAGTGAAACAAAAAAAAAGATTAAAAGATAAGTATTAGGTAGGGCAGAGTTGTTATTGATAAAACAATAAGGACAAAAGAGGATGGGCCTTTTGAGAAAAAGCACAGGTGAAACTCATTTAATTAACACGGTTTACATTTAGCTCTGATGTCAGGTTCCTGGAATCTCGTATTGTTAGTGTTATTATAACACCTGTGTTGTTCCTACTATGACAAGTCAAACTATCCGCAGTGAGAAAAACCTACTGTGCATCCTCTGTCTGCAGCTAACTAGTGATGTGTCGGTCGCAAACGAGCCGATTCTTTTGAACGGCTCTTTGGTACGAACGAGGGGAACCGAGTCGTACTTGGTGAGAGCCGTTCTTTTTATCGTTCAATCGTTGGTCCGCACTCACTGCCTGCCACTCGCCTTAAAAAGCTTGATTTTGTTCCCCAAACGTATTCTGTGAAGACCCGCCCCTACTCTGATTGGTAGGTTTCAGCACGAGGAGTGAGATGGGGTGGGTCTTAACGGAATACGCGAGAGAGAGAAGTCATAACAAGTGGTACAGGACAGGTTGACGACGTGTTTTTCGGATGGAAAATGAGCCAAACGTGAAAACGCAGCAGCATTTGGATGCACTTCAACCAAAACCCAGGCAGTGATAAAGCGCACCATTTGTAAAGGCAAAATATCCTTTAAAGCAGGGTCAACAAATAATCTCCATCGCCACTTAAAAACACAGTATCTAATATTAAGAGTTGCATGAATTTCATTCAAGGCAAGGCAACTTTATTTACTTAAGATATACAGAGGGTAAATTCAAAGTACATTCACTGACATGAATGACATGGATGTGGCGCCACCTTGTGTCATGTTAACAATGCAGATTATTGACATTAGGTCTGGCAATACAGTCAATCATTATCCTGGTGATTATTTCGCTGATAAACCTAGTAACCCCGCCCCCTTTAAAAAAACGGCTCTTTTGAACGGCTCTTTTGAACGGCTCTTTTGAACGGCTCTTTGAAAGGAACGGAGCCATAAGATCCGGCTCCCTTCAAAGAGCCATAATTCCCATCACAACAGCAAACTCCTTTCCTTCTCTACTGTTTCATTACTGCATGTTCACACAATAAACACAGGGAGGCGCTGTTGAGCTGTTGTAGAAGATACTCCATCCCTTTACTCATTACAGCAGTTAAACCATAGAGGGTTACATTTAGCAATGGTACCAGTATGTCATGATTATGGGGCGAAAAGCAATAAAACCCCTAATAAAAAGTGAGGTATGGCCACTCAAGCCTTGATTGTGACTTCATGTGATAATATATATAAGGAAAGAGTAAGTTACCATGACCATGATGTAGTCGACAATCTCCCCTACAGGTCTACTGTAACTGGAATGCTTACATGGATAACATAGGTAACTGTGTAAAGTACATTTTAAATGCTGCATGTTGTAAATAGAGAATCAGAAATCACAGAATGAATGTTCTCTATTTTTGTCTTAAATTAGGCTATTGGGGATTAACCTGAGAATACATATGAACCCATAAAGCTAGTTTAAAGCTGAATTAATTTGCTCTTTGCTCATGGGTTCAGTTGTGTGGTGAAAACAGCAAGTAATGTTTCAATTCTATGGTTACCTCGTCTGCTAGCTTGCGCCGCTAATACAGCTGTTATCTGATTGGTTGTGTGTCAAAAGTTCAGCGATGACTGGGTCAAAGTTGACATAATTTCAACTTTAAACGCAATGATCGGTGACAATTTCGACCGATAGCGCTTCGGCCTAGTTGGACGACATGGGTCCCTCCATAGAAACACAATGGCAACGTCAATGTAGAGCCGTTTTACCACGTATCATGTGAATGCATCTTAACCCTCCTATTGTCTTCGTTTTCCCCCCTTACTTTGGTGTTCGCGGTCAAATTTGACGGGTCCTGTTTTAACTGCTATTACATTAACACAAAAACCATTAATCATCACCAAATTTCATTTAACACCCTTTCAAACTGTACATATTGTATCAGACTACTGGTATACATGAAAAACTGCAGTACATATACAAAGAATAGACACTGAACATGTATTGCGTGTGCCAGGTGTGATCCATGTGGGGGGATGGGCACATAAGAGCGGGATATGTATCAAATTGTTCTGTGTGTGTGTGTGTGTGTGTGTGTGTGTGTGTGTGTGTGTGTGTGTGTGTGTGTGTGTGTGTGTGTGTGTGTGTGCCAGGTGTGATTCACATGGGGGGATGGGCACATAAGGGGGGGAACACATCGAGAGAGTGTGTGTGTGTGTGTGTGTGTGTGTGTGTGTGTGTGTGTGTGTGTGTGTGTGTGGTGTGTGTGTGTGTGTGTGTGTGTGTGTGTGTGTGTGTGTGTGTGTGTGTGTGTGTGTGTGTGTGTTTTATCTGATCCGGATGGTTACTAATTCCATTTCTTTATGGCGGTCATAAACACCATGGGTGTTACAAAGTGGTCAGATTTGACCCGAGGACAACAGGAGGGTTAAGAATAACATATAGATTAACATTGTGTCATGAGTGACCTTCGATTCCTATTATTTCACTACATTCCGAGGAACAAATGTGTCCTTTTCAAATGTTTTAGTTTCATTTTTTTTTAATACTCTTCTCGAAGGAAAGATTTTATTGAGCTTCATTGTGGGAAAAATAGGATCTGGCGTTTTTTTTTATCTAGACCCATATTAGGGAATACAAGTCATGATATCTTGACCTCTGCCGCATCCATTTCAACCAATCTTTTAAGAATGTGCCTCCTGCGTGTTTATCAACAGTGTGGAAGTGAAATACTATATCTCTAGAGAAGCCCTTTAACCCCTGTTTAACATCAGACGGGTGGCAAAAGGGCGATTTCAGTGACCCAGCAAAAGGAATGTAGGGCCTCCTTCTTTGAGACAGTTTACAACCATCACTACTGGAGTTAAATGCATTGCGCTAAAAATAAACTATTGTTAAAAGCAATTCAACGTGTTTGTTCTGGTGTGAAATGTTAACGCTTCTCTGCTTTTACGAGACATTTTGGAGCATGTCAGTCTACATAAAGAAACAAACCTATTTTTGCAGCTGTTTGAGTCATTACAGGGATTTGCACTGAGCCTTTTGGTCAAATTAACTGAATTACGAAAGGCTTTAATTATTATCTCCCTATAAAAATAAAGGATTCTAACAATAACACATAAGAGGTTTATTTTAAGCAAGCATGGGTGGGGTAACAGCTTTTCATTGTCTATTCATTTAAAGTTACTCTGGGGGGATAAATGGAAAGTTTGAGTGCAGAGAGGGACTGTAGTGCTCTTGTTAGGTGAAAGCAAGGGGAGGGAGGTGGGAGTGTGTGGGACTGCCGGGCAGACCGAGGGGAGGGGGAAAAATTCAGCTTGGACATTCCCAGGCTGGGAAACATAGCGGAGAGTGAGAGGGGAAGAGAGGAGGACTGTTTTTACGCAGATCCTACAAAAAGAAGGACACAAAAGGAGCTAATGGAGGCTGTTTGAAAACAACTGGGAGGAAAAAAGAGAATGCAGCGAGGAAGCAAATGCAGGAAAGGAGCTGAGGACTATGTAGGAATTCCTGACTGAAGTCATGGTAAGTCTCCCTTTCTCAAAATGTAAGGAAAACCTTCCCTGGAAAATGCTTAAAGTGAAGTCAAAAAATGTAAGGAACTCCTTAAGCTCTATTTTCACTTTTTAAGTCCTATAAAAAAAAGCTGATATCATATGTGTTTTGTTTTTCATCCATGGCAACAATACTTTTTAAGTTTGGTCTACCTTAAATGTACTTTTTTTTAGGATTTGCCTATTATATTTGATGCAGATTTCTCCAAGATTTCCAAAACAGGCTTGATTTGACTTTAATTAATCTCATAAAGGCATGTGTTTGATTTAAGAAGAAGCTCCAGTCAGCAGTTACAGTTTAACCCCCAGTTTACAAAGTTGTCAAATCCCAACGGCAGTAAATCATATTGACAGGATTGAAGTAGTGTGACGTTGGTGATTTCTGTGGTAGACTTGCAGATGGAATCAAGGGCTCTCTGTTGCGACTCTTGGGATTTTGTTTACCATCCCCACCCACTCATGGTCTGATCAGTGACATACAGAGGCAGGGAGACAGGCGGATGATTTAAGCAGACACATGCACGCATATGAGAAGATAAATTGAATTAGGGGAGAAAGAGATTAACAAAGAAAGATTTGGATCATATTCCCGCTTCTGTGCATTGGGCAGGGTGTAGCAGTTTTGGCAAGAGTAAGAAAGGGAGAGCTGGAGTGGGAAAGAGAGGAATAAAGGAGGCGGGTAGGGTTACTTTTTTTATTTTAGGAGACTTGGACGGCAGTATTGGTGGTTTCGGTGATGCCGCTTTTTCCACATTGGACCAAGGAGAAAAGGGGGGAGCGAGAGAAAAGGAAAAAAAGAGAAAGGGGGAACAAGGGATGGCATGGACTTCAGGGGGAGGAAGAACATGTGCAGTACAGTTCATCTTCCTCTTTAACCGTTGGGAACGTTTAGTGTGGTAAAACAGTACCAGATGTGGACACATATAGTCACAGCAAAGTAGAGTAATGGATCATTTCTATGTCACCAGGCGTCAAAAGGTGGATGTAACCTTAACAAACCTGTGTATGCACAAAACATCATGTGTCCCAAAAGTAAAAACACTTAACACGTGTGCATTCATGCTCGCATAGGGACAAACATGGGTGCTAACACATGCACAAAGGTGTTAAAATGCATCCTACAGGAAAGTGACACACACAGCTACCTTGTGCCAAGAATATGTGGCAGAGGGTATTTCCATCCCCTCTGTCTGGTGAGCTCTGATGTTGAAACTAATGGGATGGACTAGTTTTCAAGTCACGGAGCAAAAAAAAAAATGGTAGTTTTGCCAACAGTTCAGTGTGTTTGTTTTAACCTGCTCGGAGTACCAGGCGGGTGGAGATAACAGCCGAACAATCAGGACAGGGTCAGTGATGTTGTCAATCACAGGAATTTTTATTTAACTGAGCTTCCTGTGATTGTCAAGAGTCTCTGACATAAACAGTGCAAACAGAACAGGGATGGCTACGTTTCAACGCCGCAATCGCTCATTATACATGATTCAATGGCATCTTTATTGGGCAGCCATGCATATTCTTTGTTTGTTTTCAATTTGCCTTTTATCAAGATCTTACTATGCTCCAATATCCAGCTATTACAAGCACTATGTTCACATTACCAATGGATCAGGTCACTGTGCTAAGCAACAGGTGTTCAACTCAAACTGAGCATTTTAGCGCCTTTATCTCATTGTTTTGATTTTGAGGAATACAACTTTGTGTGTTTTGGTTCACGCTAATAGCTCTCATCAACTTTGTTTTTTGCTGCAGCAGAAAGCTTTTTTTTTTAAAGTAGAAAGCCTCCAATATCAAATGTTTAAAGGTGAACGTGAAAAAGTAAAATTACTAGCCAAATTGTCCTTTTTTTACATGCAAAGCACATATTAAGTACCCAGAATGAAGGATAAACAAACAAAGGAGTGCTAACTTCTCAGTTTGACCTCCAAATGAATAGTTTTTTATCTTAAAGGGGACCTATCATGCAAAATGCACTTTTGTACGTCTTTTATACATGAATATGTGTCCCCGGTGTTCCAGGGAACTCACCAAGTGTCAGAAAACACAACCCTCTCTATTTTCCTCCATACCCAAATCTCTAAAAAAGGGGCTGCAACGGATCTGATAAAAACTGATCCAGATTTGAACACTGTCCTGACGTCACGACGGTGGCGCTACGGCTATTGGGCCAACTCCACCAATCAGGAGGAGACAGCCACGGCCATTGCCGTTCGAAAGCGCTGGAGACGCTGTAGTACATATGCCAGGCCTGTAGATGGTGCTGTTCTCACAGAATCAGCCCTTGCTAAAACAGAGCTAGAAATTGTCAAATTGAGCGAAATGAGGCATGGCTAAAATGCATGATCTGTTTGGTATTTTGAAAAAAAAAAAGTATAAATATGCCTTATATATGTATGGTCCTACACTATATTATTCAAATATAGCATGATAGGTCCACTTTAACTGTTGTCTTAGAACCTTGTTTGCCAAGCTTAGAAACGATAGTCCAAGCTACAAAAACAACAACGATTGTTCTTAAAGTTTTACTCTTCCACTAGCTATTGTATCTTGTTACATTTGTTGTTCTGTGACAGCTAAGCTAGCAAGCTAACACTCTGCTTGGCCTATAGCAAATCCTAAGCTATGCTACTTCGAGAATGCCACACACTGGGCAGACCAATAACGCCAATAAATGTGACACAATAACACGCACGTTTGTCACAGACGATAAACTGACAACGAACGGAGGCCAAATGTGTGAAATCTGCTGTCAAACTCGCCTTCACTCAATTCAGCCACAGACTGAAGCACTTAAGTAGTCTCAAACAATCTGTAAAGAAGATGTTTGACCCAATGAAGGTCAGGTTGGATAATACAGGAAGATATAGGAAAGGAAATTACTCTCAGGCCTCTCCTTTTTCATCCCCACTTCCCTTTGTCTGCTTCCCCCCCTATTTGTTTCTGTTCCCTCTTTCTGTGTCGACATCTCTCTCATTTTTGCTCCTAATCATGTCATCCCCTCCGAGCTCCTTTCTGCTCTAACTCTCTTCCTCTGTCCTCCTTGTAACGTTTGGGTCTACATCTGGTTTTCATCATGGTCGCTGCTCGTTTCCCATCGATCTCTCCCACCGGTCAGCCCTCCTTCTCTTTTCCTTTTCTCTTTTCTGTCTGGCTCTCTGTCTCTTTTCCAATCTGTTTTATTAATTCACTGACACTTCAATGAGCTGAAGTGACAAGAAGGACAGTTCAAGGACTACATGTGCACTCCAAAAGGACTTGATTCATTCCACCTTGTCTTTTCTATTTTATGACTATTTGTTCTGTCCTTGTGTCTGACATCTCTTTTATCTCTACAGAAGACCACTTCTTATTTTTTCCATTTCAGTCTGCGCACACGAGAGAAAGACAGGAAGTCTGACGCAAGTACAGTGTGACATACCCTGTTTCTGGACTGTGTGTCCAAATTTAACACAAACAGGAGGATACACATTCATTCACACCCTACCGATTGTCCTCACCGACATGTGTCGTATGAACACGGTTACTTTTTTCCATTACAATGTTGCGCTTAACTTAGCGTAAGGGTTGAGATGTGCTACTTTGCATTAAGACTCTTAAGATAGCAGACAATGCATGGTTCTTCAGAAAAAACAACAATTTGACTCCAAACTGTACACTTTCTCCCAGAATGACATGCATTTGTACAAGTCTATCAACCTATTTAACACATCTGAATACATCTATTGTGGAAGCTATTCTTAGCATGCCTAAATAAATGCTAAGAATAGTCATGTTTCCTGTTAAGCTCCTGACTCCTGACTCTTCATAATCTTTCTTGTTTGGTTTCATTCGCTGATAATGTGCGTACAAGCTATAGTTCCCCAAATGACATTGGGTACATTTGCTGGAAAATTTGCAATAAATGAAAATAAGGCCTTTACTCAAGATTCCTCAAATCTCATTTATTTTATACTCACAGATTTGTGACTTAAAAAGTAAAACACCCGAGTGCATTAGTGTTCAGAATCCAATTAAAGAATAACTGAATTACACCTATTGTACCTTAAGAAAACGGCACCAGATATTTACGTGAGAGGCTGACTGTCTTGGAGTCAGAAAGGAAATCTAATTTACAAATGTAATCAGGGCTGCTTCATTACATGAGCACGTATGGGCCTCTGATCAAAAGCAAGAGTGACTAACTGCATTAGATGCACCGGTACTGTAAGACCTGAGTTAGATAGAAGACGTTTTCTTTGGTTTGGTGGAAAGCAGCATGGCTCTCCCCCTCCCTCCGTTAGACATCATTCTTAGCGTAATTGAGTGATTGTGCTTCCAGACTGAAATTCCATATCTTTGGATTTTACCAATGGAATATCCTGTTGAACGGTTGTGTGTACATGCATGCAAACACAGTGAGAGCAGTGGAAGTTAAATGTGAGGGTTAGGGGTGGGCTTGTGGCATAAATTGCACATTGCACATCCAAACTAAATATTGTTGCAGGCGAGCTAGCTTGTCACTAAGTGAGCTGCATTCGGTTCAGCTACTTCAACGTCTTAATATGAGCTAAAACATTAAATAATATGATGCTAATAGGACATACAGTGGTTTAAGTCCTATTTGGACCAATATTTTAATAAATGAATGGCGCATGGAGTTGTGTTTTCTGGCACAAGCCGCATATTTGATCCCGAGGGGGTTTATTGAGCCAATTGGGCTAAATTTGAAGAGTTTTTCCCCATTTGTCTTGTGTCTAAAACACAGTGTTTAAATTAAGAGGCATTGGGCACAAATATATTGGCATTTACGGTCCGTATAATAATACATAAAGAGCTTTGCCTTTGGGAAAACACATTCTTAAAGAACGTCCACCATGTTTCTGCTTTAATATAGTGTTGTGTTAAATTAACTCATGTAGGATGCATTATAAGGGCTTTAGACTAAGAGGAAGTTCCTGCAGGCTTGCCATGCAATCCCCTGAACCCCCTGCTGTGCTTTTACAAGACTCAATATGCTCTGTCAGTGAGCCAGAAGGCTGTTTAAACCTCTTTTACAACCTCTGCACCTATTACAACCTGCCCTCTGACAGACAGTTGTTTACCATAGTCCACGCATTGAGATACTTCCTGTCTATGTGATGTACTCGCCAACTCTAAATAGCCCTTTTTAAAATAATGCAAAATGTGTTTTCTGTTACAGCAGTTGAGAAGAATAGTGTGCACTTTGCATAACCATGAAGGCAATGCTGTGTATTGTTCGAGTCACGAATATCTTTCCATTTGTTGCTTGAATGTAACTTGTTTCAAATGCATTGATGTGCTTTTTCTAGCTTGTTTAATGTAATGACATTTAAGAAGGTTAATCACTCGGAAACTCGAAAGACATGCCAAGCATCTGGCAAAGTTTTCACTTGCGTTAAGATAAATAGGAACCATTAATTTTATCCTTTAAGTGCATTTTATTTGTGGCTTTGGAAAGCAAGTTTTGTTTACTTAAAACGCCAACGCACTAACATGGAACTGCTCAGCTTCTGGAAAACTGAGCTGCAACATTTATGTATGTTTTCTCCGCTTCTGTCCAAAATGCTCTGTTACTATGGAAAAATAAAGCTGTGTGAGTTTGAGCCCGGTTGTGCCACCCTGCAGTTGGTCCCATAAGAGCTGAAGTCACAGTTGAAAAATGTGCTTTGCAGCCAAGAGTGGATGGAAACAGAACCTAACATCTCTGCTGAGTGACCCTGAGCTACCTTACTAGAGCAGGTCTAAACTGTAGATCTGTTTTTGGCTTCATTACAAAAGAGTCATGACACAATCTCAATTAGATTGGTTCTTTATAAGTCTCGCTTTCACTATGCAATCTTCCACTTTGTACGACTTCACTAGATTTACGAGAAAGGAAACGCGTCAACCATTGGGCAACCAAAACAGGAAAAGGAAAGTGCTTTTGTTAAACGAGGTAACATCAGGAGCTATCCTCAATTTCCAAAGAGTACCAGAAGAAGAAATGCGGAAGAACCAAAGAAACTGTGGAAAAACAGCTTGTTTTGTGCATTATTGCTAACTTTCTTCCAATGAAAGTAGCTAGCACAAGCTCAAAAAAGTCCCCAAAAGTAGTTTTTATCCTGATTAGTTAAAAAAGATGCTTTATCTGTCACTAATAGTACGCTTTGAGGGTCCGATTCAGTAGTCTTTGCAGCAGTGGTGCCAACAATAATGCCACTTGGACACAATGGAGGGAACAGTTGTCTACTGTTAAGATTCTTGCTCTGTTCAAAGTCTCCCAGTGACTTTTTGCTGTTAGCCTCTTGTTACCCTCCTAATCTCCCTGTCTCGTCCAGACATGGGTCAAAACACACTAGTAAATAAGTCCTGACATTTGTTTTAACCTTAGACAGAATATCTGATTTATTTTTGTAAGGGCATTTCAGGCAAAGTAGGAAAACTTCAGTACTTTGTTGTTTGTAATACTCATTCTATCCTCCTCTGTGGCTAACCCCAAACCCTCTGTGTACACAAACCAAACCCAGAGAAAATAATGTTCAGTACGGTTGAACTTAGGTCTTCTTCCATAAACCCCCGCACAACCACCAGCTCATTCCCTCCTGGCCCCTTCTCTTTCTATCAACTTTTTGTTTTTCCGTACACTCTGTTCTCCCATTCTGGGATTTCTCCCATGTCTTTCCATCCATCCTGCTCGGGGTTCTTCTCGTTATTCGAGACAATATGCCGTCTGTTGAAGAGAATCCCGACGTAATTGTTGTCAGATGACATTCAACGAGTCGGATGGAGGTGAAACAAAAAAGTGAGGAGAAGAAGCAGATGGGAGGTTTGGGAGGAAATGTGAACGGGTGGGAGAGAGAGAGAGAGAGAAGTTGAGGGGGAAACAAAGTAGCTGGTTGCCATGCCAACACTCCATGTATAAAAATAAACACTGTGTTGCTCGCTCTGCTCTGTCACACTCTGATGTGTGTGTGCAAGGTTATGGTACCTATAACACTGTATTTTGTTACATTTACTAGTTACATGTAATACAAAATGCAATCAGGAGCGTAATCTAAGTATCACACTATAAATAAATGTAATCTGATTACTTTCCGTTTCTGTTGGATTATCTAAATATCAAATGCAAATCAATACAATAGTTAAGACATATCAATAAGATGTGTTTTATTCATGTAGTGTATTCTGTAAGACAGCAACAATTGGTCATCTTAAATTAAGGCTTGCAGAATATTATAGTTTACAAATGCTGTTTTAGTTGAAAACTTTGATTAAAAGTTATTGTTTAATAATTCAGGTGTCCATCAACTGCATTACAAAACTAAATTTAAAAAAAAGACTGAAGGTAGCAACCAAAAAAAAAAAAAAATTAGATTCAGGCAGTACGTCTACCTATAATATATATATATATATATATATATATATTTATTTTGCAATAAATGTTTTGTTACATTGTAATCCTGCTATTAATCACAATTGTAAAGAATGTAGAAGTTATCTGATTACATCCTTTTTTGTGTAACTGTAAGTGAAAACTGTTACCTTTTTTTGTGACCTCATTATATAATCCGTTACTCCCCAAGCATGTGTGTGTTCAAGTAACTGTGTGTGTGTTTTAAGGTTATTATGTTGCAGTGGTTTGACTCTTTTGTTCTGGGGGTTCCTACATGTACTGGACCTTGGAGGAAATGTTTGACACTCCCCAGACCATACAACAGGAAGTTGAAAGGAGAATGTGTGTGTATATTTGACTCTGTGTTTGTGTGTGTCAGCAAAAAGCGAGACAACCCGGCTGTTAAACACAAAACACAGACATTGAGAGTTGACTCAGCGTCCGGTTATGGATTAACCCTTCCTTACCACCTTTGTGTTGTCAGGGTTCGGAGGCGATGGAGGACTGTGTGCAGGGGGCGCTCTCATCGCTGTACCCTCCTTTTGAGAGCACCGCACCACCCCTCCTCTCCCAGGTACATCGCACACACACACACACACACACACACAAACACACACACACACACACACACACACACACACACACACACACACACACACACGCACACACACACACACACACACACACACACACACACACACACACACACACACACACACACACACACACCGTTGCAGAAATAAACAGGGGAATACAAATAATGCAGATTCAATTAAATGATAAGGTGAAGTTGGCGAGGCGATATTTTGTGCAGATAACGTTTCTTCCCCCAGATAGTCACTGCTGCAAGAAGCCAAACATTAACAACATCTAGCTAGCTGGTTAATTAGAGCCAAACCCTCTTCCTCCAAGCAGGAAGGTGCAAACTATTTCTGCTTTTAACTCATAATAACATGTCAGCTTTAATGAGAAATGAGAAGTAAGCTGTAATCATTATTTTGTACTCATTTTAACACCATATTTGTACTTTTTTGGTCTGTCCTGTTTCAATCTTGCTCTGTACCGCAATTTGGCTCTGCATTGTATAAAAGGAGCTATATAAATAAAGCTAGACTAGCAATCTCTTACTGGTGCACTGTGGGAACTTTTTGTCTCAAACTTAGCACTACACAGCTTTGTTTCCCTTTAAGCCAGTGGGCCTTTGATCATGTGTTTTGGGTCTTTCTTTCGGCCCATTTATGGGAATATGGTAATCAGTTTGTTCCTAGTCGCCATGTAGCTCACAATCTAATTTATTTGTTGCTATGGATAAAACTGCTTAATGGATTGATGAAATACTATGGACAAAAGGAAGCAGCCTTTCTGATTACATGCTGTCTGGGTTGATGAAATTCCTCTGCTCTTGAGCAAATCAAACCCTTGGTACACCCCAAAATGCATGGCAGCAGCTGAAACACAGGCTGATCCTAGTTTAAAGGTTTCCCCCAAGCACGAATGATATGTCAGGCCTACATAATTGTGTTTTCTAAATCAACAAATCCACTGACTACAACTGCATTCACTTGTGTTTTTACCCCTCTTTGTATACTCATTCAGGTCTTTTCAGTCCTGGAGTCGACCTATCAACACGACAGTCTTCGCTACCTCCTGGACTATTTCGTTCCCGCCAAGCACCTCCTGCACAAACTCCAGCAGCACGCCTGTGTGAGTTCCAAATGAACAAACACAGACGAGAACACACACAAAGCTGTATAATCAAAAGCAGAATCATCTGTCAAATGCAAAAAAGTATCATGCGAGTAAACTGTCAACAATTTTATGTGCCTAAACTGGCAGAGCAGTTTTTAAGTATTTTGGGGAAACCAAGTCCCTGCACATGTTTGCAAGCATTTTATGGCAAGTCAAAGTCAAGTTGAATACCAGTTTCAAATGTTATCAGCCTGTTTAATGACTGTTAAGGGAAACTTAACAGTTCTACGATTAACATTGTGGAGAAAATTACTTGTTTTAGGTCAGGGCAACAAAATGCCTTAGTTAGGTTTAGGAAAAGATCATGGCTTGGGTTAACATGAACATAACGTAACTTAAAATAGGCAAATGTGTTTGGGATCAACCATAGAAATGGATGATAACCGCCTAATGAACCTACTAGTCCCAGTGCCTTTTGACATGAAGACACTGGTGCAAAGTAAAAGTTCAAGGCTTTTATAATTTGACACATGTGTGACCCTGTACCCATTACTCACTGCACTGTGGAGGGTCGAGTCTGCTCCAAAACTCTAGCCGGCTGCTAACATGTGTGAAAGTGGCTGGGGAAATTTGAGATTTACAAACCGTTGTGACCCGAAGACAAAAGAGGTGGTTTTCCTGTCTCAGAAGCTCCAAAGAATTTGTGAAATACGGAGGAACGAAGCACGAATTAAAGAGCTCTGGTTTTAATTTAAACACCCACATGCAAAAAAGCGAATTCATGTAAATAGTATAGTATGCACATTCATGTAATTGACTTAGTGCAATCAAATCTCTCACGCACGAAAAAAGTCGATCGGATGAGATGTGACATGTACTTAACTCAAATCTCTGAGGTTTATACTGAACTGCATTCCTTTTATTTTATTTTCCACACACAAAGATATACAACGCACACTGTTTAGCCGAGCTCGGAGGCTAAGAGCTGTCTCATATTTCTCTTTATACAGTTTTCCTAGACTTGCACACACTCACACACATGCATGTGAGCAAACTGTGTTTTCATTGTCGCTATGCGAGCTGCCTGGGACGGGAGTTAGACTGTGAGTCATGACAATAATGCCTTCCATGTGTCAGCGTTACTGCTGTGAGAGCAGGAGAGAGCGAGAAACAGAGAAGTGGTGGGAGTAGAAGGAGAGAATTAACATGGAGTTCATTTACCGTGCCTGCATGCATCTGAAAAAAAAAAGAGGAGATGCTGGAGGTCGCGACTATAGTAGACTGATTGAGGAATTTTTGTGAAACGGGAGGTGCGGAAGAAGGAGCAAACACTGGGCTACTCTGAGGGAGTAAGTATGAGAAGGGGGGAGGCCCAGAGGACACAGGGAGTTACAGAATGTGGACTGACTCAAAACAGACAAACTTTTTAAGAGAGGAAAAGTCACACGTGCTTTTGAACGCTCAAACCCACCCTTACTGTAGCTTTCCCCATCTTTCGTACGGCAAGAAAACAGGCCTACAAAGGAAGGAATTGAATAAGGGACGAAGGTAGAAAAAGGAAAGATGGAGGAGAGGTTGCAAAAGGAATATAATTTGATCACGTCTCGTGAGTCTGGAGGGCACGGAGGGGGGAGGGAGCCGCCGAGAGCCAGTCGATTAGACGTGACTGGGAACAGCAGAGAGACGTTTATACCTCAGACTCCAAAAGAGATAGAGAAAGATAGGATATAGATCTGACACGGGATTGATCAGGGTGGGAGTAGCATTTGTGTTTTTTCCACACAGATCAGTTGATTAATAGTGCAGGGGATTACACTCGAGGCCTCCTCTCCTTCACCTGAATTCATTCTCTGGTAAATGCTTTTGTTGCGGGACTTTCTATTTTTAGACAAGGTTATTTGGAGAGCTTGATTTGAATTGATTTCCTCAGTCTCGCAGAGCTACTTGATGTGTTTTCCGCTAATGAAACAGAGGACTGTTTCAACAGTGGCTGGCTTTTGTGAAGAGTTGGCCAACTGCATGTTTCCATCTGACTCACACCGACTCTCTGCAGCTATCCAGAGTCTTCTCACTATGTCATGCCACCTAAGCAGTTTTACACTTTAGAAAGCACTGCGTGAGTCACATGTCGGAGTTTTGTATGTGGCACTGGCGTTGGGCCAGTTGAGCGTTGTGAAAAGTGTTGACTGGTGCGTTATCAGTTCTAGAAATTCGACTCATCTGGATGCCAATTGCAACCATGCAGTCAGGCTCCAACTGGCTCATGCGGGCTGTGGTTATGCTAAGCATTAAATAGAATCGTTTTTGACAAGAGGGTACTCTAAAGGGGAGATTTCTAAAGAGCAAAGAGGATACTTCATGCACTAACAAGGTACAGAGAGAAGATAAGATAGAATTGTATGCAAATGAAGGTTTCATGTTTTAATTCATACATCCATCACACTCCCTTTCTCCTTCTTTTTCAGTCTCAGTACCTGGGCTGCTTGTTCCTGCACTCCGGCTGGCCTCTGTGTCTAGGCGAGAAAGTGGTTGTGCAGCTATCCACGTTGGACTGGAGGATCCTGCGCAGTAATGACTTCTACCTGCAGGTGGTGCCCTTCTCTACACGCTGTCCACGGCTGGCCCTAAAATGTCTGGCTCATGGGGGACGCACCGTTCAGGAAATATTGGTACCCGAGTCGCAGCACCCTCTTGTGTTCACAACTGAGTGGCTGCACAGCATCAACAAAGAACGAGGTCACAAAAGAGAAGGTAAGGAAAGTATGACACGTACTGTAAGTCCGTCCACTTTCCGTTTCTGATAATAGATTAGGAAGTATGCAATCAGGTTTTAGGGGAAAATGATTAACACTTTGTAACCTAACCAGTAAGTCATGCTTGTGAAGAACACTATACTTTAAACAGAGGTGTGAAACAGATGGCCTTAAGAGTTTATGACCAGGGGTGGCATGTGGAAGGGCAACAAGAGACGGGAGAGATATACGAGGGTCAGATGGTGTTGAAAACAGTAGAGCTAAGAAAAAGCCAGCAAAAGTCTAATTTGGAGGTCACTTTTTTTTACATAGTTATATACCCTTTACAAATAAGCAAACTTGAAACTCACTTGGTCGTTTTTCATCCTTGCACAGTTGGAGGAGGACTTGACACCTGCCTGGTCAGTACGTGTGACGGTGTGGTTCGACTTCCGTGGAAGGAGGTCGTTTACCCAAAATTCATCCACGACCCGTCTGAGGAGCTGATGTCCAACCTTGAGGGGCCAAAGACCAAGCGCCTGCCCAGTGAGGGGGGCAGCAGTCTTGGGGGCTGGGGTGGCTCATCCTCCGGAGAACTGGACTCCTGGTCCTGGGACGAGGAAGAAGATGACGGCGTGGACTCTGAACCTGCGCGTCCCAGGCGAAGGCGCAGCGAGGACGGGCTCGGGCGGACAGCGAGGCACCCTCAGCTGGACGGGGACTATGTGGAGCTGATGGAGCCCAGACTGGGTCCTGATGGAGGGGTTGACACAAGGCAAAGATACCTCGAGATGCACGGAATTAATAAGACAAAGACATTGCCGTTGTGCCGGAGAAGTAAAGCCATCAAACTCAGGAAGGGAAGAGCGTGGGGATACGGGAGACTTGAAGGGTCAGGAAGCTTTCGAGCTGCCAAAAGAGATCTAGTTACCCCAAAAGGGGACAGTTTACCACGTCGGACTTCACCAGGAGTCACCGAACCTTGCAGAAGCAGACGGTCTTACTCCTCTTCTGTCCTTGACTCAGATGAAGGAGATAAAACAAGTAGAGACTCTGAAGGCCTGGAAAGCAACCGGCTATATCATGACGGCCTGTTCAAAGAGAGGAGGCCCGGTGTGGGGAAAGAGAGAGACAGCAACAGCCTCCCACAGCCGTGCAGAAACAGCGGTAAAGACTCAGAGAGTGGCGAGAGTTTTGTCGCAAATGACTTGGCAAATGACAAAGTTGGGCATGTCATCGAGGGTCACTCGGATCACGGATCTCATTCTCACTCTGTTTTCGAGGATACAGATAAACCACTGAGCGCAGACAGCGATGCCACCACCCCGACATCAGACGCAACAGAAAGATCATTCAGTGGAATTTTAGAAAGTAGAGAAACTAACAAAAGTGGATCCAAGGTGACAAGTTCATCCAACCCAAAGGTGACAGAGGGAAGGGATGACGGAAAGATGGAGGACAGTGTCAGTCCCAGAGGAAAGGAAGTTAAAACTGCAGGATTCAGAGCACCAAGGTAAACATTTATTTCTCATGGGCACTCCTTCTTTTCATCTTCACATTCCCGTATGAAAGGACAGATCAGTAGCACTTTGGTGCAACTTTGTGCACACATATAGGCCTGAAATAGTGGTACCAAAGACACCTTGTAAAACCATTCTAATGGACACTATGTCCAAAAAACAAAGAAAGTTATTAACTGTCATTAATACATGCCTGTGCTTTGTCTCTAGGAGGAAGAGGAAGGGTAAGGGGGCCAAAGGGAGGGCTAGGTCTGGTGGTCGTTCACACCACAAGGGATCAAAACAGCAGGGCAAAGCTGCTCTACCAAGTCCTAACAACTGCTCTGCTTTAACTAAACTGCCAATCGTAGACGAGAACAAATCTGAGCAAAGAAAACCGACAGACGAACCATCAACCGACAAGGGGACGGGCGACAGAAGGAAAAGCAGTGCAGGTTTGAAGATATTTAATGTTAATCCACGAGCATCGGATCTTTAAAGGTTTAAAGTCCTAGACAACAGAATATTTGCTCAAACCTTTGTGTCCCTCAACAGAGAAAGAAGCCCAATCTTTGCCTATCTGCAACGGCCAATCCGGCACACCCTCACTCAACCACTCTAATGAGGAGGCGGCGTCAGGAGACACAAGTCCTGACCAAATAAACGGTGTTACATTTAAAGAGCCTCCTCTGCTCAGGGAACTGGAAAAAGAGCTTCTCCAGTCAGGGAAGCTGAAGTTGACAGGCAAGTTCATTTCATGTGTTGACGTTCAGTACATATAATGGCGCGTTTCCACTACACGGCCTCGCTCGGTATGGCTAGGCCTCGTTAGGACTGGCTCACTTTATGGCGCATTTCCATTACAGTTTAGAAACTGGGGTAGTATCTATAGTAACGCAGTGTAGGCGGAGCCGTGACGTCATCTTCAATGAGAACCCCAGAAAAACAACATAGCCGTTAGCTGTTAGCACTCAGAGCTCACAGCTCCTCATATATGTTCAGAAACTAGACAAAAGTTAAACAAGTACAAACCACAGACTGCCTGTGTCATGGTGAATACAGTCGCTGGTTTATTTATGTCTGTATAGGCCGTTGTTCGGAGTGTGGACGGTCGGAGCATACTGCGTTAGCTTAGCCAATCTCCATTTAGAAAACACGCATTTTAAAAGGTTTTTCGCCTGCCGTCTGTCTGCAGACTTGTCAAAGCATTAATTCATGGTTTTTACTAACCGGTATCAGTATGTTGTTACTTCGGCATCATTTTGAAACGTGTATTACAATTAAATCACGGTCAAATATGTCCAACTTGTTGTAGTTGTAGCCCCCTTGCCAGAGATGCTCTCTCTAGTTTAGCATACTCAGCCCGACTCAGCCTCGTTGTCTCTGGCCCTAGACCCACGATTTTATGAGGCCAGAAAAACTGTGAATTAGGACCCGCCGGCCGGTACTAGGCCAAGTGGAAACGCAACCAAAGACGGGCCGCTGACGTCACAGCCCTCTTAAACCGTGCTCCGCGCTGTAGTGGAAACGCGCCATTAGTGGGCTAGTCTTTACCTCTAACCTTAGGATTGAACAGCATTTTGCTTAAAAAAATCACAGTTCTTTTCAGTTCAGAGTCAGAAATCATGATGCAGATACTGTTAGACTTAGTGTGTCTTACATAACTGTATAACAATATCTATACTGTCGATAAAAGCCAATGACTTCACTAAAGACTCTAGGAAAATGATGCACATTATAACTTTATCCTTGTAATCATCACGCCTGGAAGTTTTCTTAAGTATTAAATGCAATCCAGTGGTATTTCTCTGTACATTTTATGTTTAGGGAACAGGCAAAGGTAATAGGTTATTTGGCATGCGTTTTCATGGTGCAGGTTTGATGAACTGTAAACAGATTAAATAAGAAAAACAGAGCTGAGGTGTTGCATTAACTTCCTGCTGGTAACCCTCAGAGCATTATGGGAACTGGAGGACAGATACTAAATAAAACAATGCAGCAGACTTTCTTATCAGTGTTTAACCTGATGTTTTACCGACCACAGGTACACTGGACAGGTTGGGACGCGCTCTGGTTGTCACGGAGACAGATGCATCAGATGAGAGCTTCTCTGAGGAGGACATGGCCCGAGTCCTGGCCTGCTATTACAGAATCACTCGGTAAGGCTGCATCAATAGTGTAGTTTTACGCAACTCAATCACAAACCTGTAGAACCAAAAGTGCTTCATAAGGTTCGTGTTCAACCTCACTTTGTTTGTGTTGCTGACTTGGCAACATGCAGCAAAAGGTGGGGCAGAGAAAACACAGCATGTGCCAGAAAACCCTGAAAACCATAACAAACGGATTCAGAGTCAATTTAGCAAACATCTTTCAGCTTGCCAGTTTACTTGGCACACGCACCACTCGTCTGTTGCCGACAGCAAGTCTGAACAAAAGCCCTTCAGCAGGTTTTGGAAGACATGATATGAAGTTTAATGTTTGTTAAATATAGATGTCACCCTTACTGTCAATACAAAAATATCTTTAATTGGTTTAAATCTTTTTTGAAGAGTAGGCATTTATATGTTACCATTGCTGGTGTCTTATTTTAGAATAAAACTATTCTTCTCTAACTGCTGCTGCATTTTGTATCCTCTCTTCCTCCATCCCAATCAGGCCTGCAGCCAAAGAAAAGGGCCTCACAGTGTTAATGGACGGCAGACGCTCTCCACCCTCCGCCCCCTGCCTCTCTGCTCTTAAATTGTTCCAGGTGAGACAGAAAAGAAACCTGTTGTTTAGCCAAATGTGCTTAATGTTTGCTTGTGCTGCTTCTATTTGCCTGCAGATGTGACAAAGTAGCTCCAACACATGTGTTTCCTGAGTCTGTTTTTCATGTGTTTCCAGGTGTTGGTTCCTGGCGGTCTTGGATCTGTTCTGGTTTTGGTGGATGAGCAGCAGCAGGAGTCCCTTTCGTATAACGTGGAAGGCGCTGAGGTGACTTCATTAAAATCACATGTTTACAGTTTATCATCCAGCCTACACACGGCATTAGCGATTTCCTTCTGGTTCGGTTAGCTTTAATTATTTTATTAGCACGGTAGAACACCCACATGACCTTATAAAAAACACTTTGTTAGTCAAATCAACAGCTGAGATAACTGCTAATATATACACTGCAAAATGCTCTAGAGGAAATAACATTTCATACACCAAGCTTTGCTATTCCGGTTGCTCAAATTTGATAAATGTCAGATGCTGTTATCTGGATCTTGCATTCACAATGAGCCTGGATCTAAATTAACCTTATTTCCATGCATTTGGCACATCTAGAGTTTGCAAATAAGGGCAATTCAGCTTATTTGCTTTGCATCGATCCATTAAGATGCTTCCTGCACACACGCATGAGAATTTTTGCTCTGGCCATGTGGTTTGTATTTCAACTTGGCAGCGGAAACTTGCATAATAAAAAGGACAAAAAAGAATGCATGTTAAAGCGAAATCCCACCCAAAAGACGTTAACACTGAAACGGTTGTTGGAGCTGCACTGGGCGTACCTCGACCATTTTAGTTGTAATGAATCCCACTGATCATTAACAAATGGAGAGGATGTAATGGGAGGACATCTTTTTGTTTTCTCAGCTCAATCTTTTCAAATGTCAGACCCTGAGAATCAAAAAGCTTTGTTAAGTCCATATTATGGAGACCGAAGCTCTTGGATAAGAGTTTATATTCTCAGGCAGGATCTCCTCATGTTTTTTGGATTATCTTCTGAAATCTCATTAGTTCTTCATTCCTTTTCTCTACCGTTTGTTGCTGGTTGCTTTTTCGTCTAGGCTTAATTTTTGTTATCCTCTGCTTCCCTGTCCAGGTCCACATGGTGCGAGGAACAGCGGTCCTTCAGCAACATATAGACAGGCAGCAGCTGCCCACAGAGATGGATGGAGACTTCAGCCATTGTCACTCAGACTGGCTGGCCTTCAGACTAGTGAGAAAGGCTGACTTTTACTCTGGTTTTATAAAATGATACCATTTCCTTTTTTTTTTTTTTATTATCTTCACATATCTTTCACTTTTTTTCCATGGCCAGATTGATATTTATGTGTTATACCTATTATTCAAATGTATTTTATGTTTACTAATTAAGGACATTTTCTCACACAAAGGATGTTGCAGTCTTATGAATAATATAACACACATGAAGAGTAGCTTTCCATTTATTTAAAGTGGACCTATCATGCTATATTTGAATAATATAGTGTAGGACCATACCTATATAAGGCATATTTATACTTTTTTTTTTTCAAAATACCAAACAGATCATGCATTTTAGCCATGCCTCATTTTGCTCAATTTGACAATTTATAGCTCTGTTTTTGCAAGGGCTGATTCTGTGAGAACAGCACCATCTAGAGGCCTGGCATATGTACTACAGCGTCTCCAGCGCTTTCGAACAGCAATGCCGTGGTTGTCTCCTCCTGATTGGTGGAGTTGGCCCAATAGCCGTAGCGCCACCGTCCTGACGTCAGGACAGTGTTCAAATCTGGATCAGTTTTTATCAGATCCGTTGCAGCCCCGTTTATAGAGATTTGGGTATGGAGGAAAATAGAGAGGGTTGTGTTTTCTGACACTTGGTGAGTTCCCTGGAACACCGGGGACACATATTCATGTATAAAAGACGTACAAAAGTGCATTTTGCATGATAGGTCCCCTTTAATTTGACTGTAGAAGTTGTCATACCTTGTTGTTGACGATTGTTGTTTTTTTACCTCAGGTTTAAAATATTACCATGAAAAGATAAAAGGATGTTGGCTGGGAAAGAGCGACTGTATGGGGGTGGTCGTGATTTCAAAGCATTGTGATGGACTGGGTGTGGAGGATAACTCGGGGAAAGGATGTCAGAGAAGAATTTTAAGGGCTCTTAATGGCTTTTCCCTGGGATAGTTTATGTAGCTTTATCCAAACAGATGAAAACATTTTTCCTGTCTTCTGCATTTTCTCTGACCTCTGTCATGGGTTTGGAGAAAGAAATGTATACACCAACCTTGGAGTCTTGGAGTTTCAAACACTAACATTTATAAATCCATGACTTAACCAATACTTTTAATCCTATTTTTTCCTTTAGAGCCTGGAGAGTCTGACGGAGCGTTGTGAGGGCGCCCTGGCTCTCCTCGGCGAAGCTCTGCAGTCTATGGACACGGAGCCAATGCCAAAAGACATCAAGGTAGAGACGTCTAAAAGGACATTTTGTTTAACCTTTACTGTATCAGTGATTTGAAGACATGGGTGAGGGTTAGATGACATGTGATTGTCATGTGCCTTTCATACTGCAACATCCACAGAAGCTTTAATAAGCACTTTGTTCCTCTTCAGGCTGTTCCTCAGAGCATCGACAAACACAGACAGCTGATGGCGAGCGTGCTGGCCGACCAGCGATTAACTGAACCTCAGCAAAGGGGAGGGGCCTGGCTCGCAGGACTGACCAATAGCGCAACAGGACTGGCACAGAAGTCACCTGACTGCAGGTACCTGAACAATTACGATTCACAAAGACGACCAAACAAAGGTGCATCTACATCCACCTGTATACAGTATATACTCATTTACAATTAGCAACAAGAAATGTCTCAGTGGAAACGCCCAAAAATATAATGTTTCTACGGTAGGCTAAGGTGGAAAAGTTGGTGTATAGATAAAAGCAAAATTACCTTATTTGGGTCCACTTACTACTTATCTGGCTAATAATCTAATAATGATGGAAACATGTATTCATTGCATTTTCTTTGACCAATTATTTCACAATTTGTTTCACATGTGCGATACAATTAGACTGAATCTTGGCTACAGAATCCTGGTCAACGTCAAACCCATTTTGTACAGAACTCAAGATAACCATACATAATGAATGTATCTCCAAACAAGGAATTGACTGATGTCATGAAAAAAAGCCAAAGAAATAGGAAAATAACATGCAGTATATGGCCTGTTACATGAATAGCCAGATTTAGAAGTCTACACTCATTATTTACAGCAGCAACCTCATTTTCTTCTTTTAGTTAGGATGCTGTATACTGCTGAAATATACATTAAAAAAGGTCTATTGAAGTAGGACTATTTTAAATACAAAGACGTCATGACAAATACAACATTTCTAATTGGGCAAATACAAGCAGCTTGGTCCCGAGGGGCAGAGAAAACATCTGCATGTCTTTTGCCTTCTCATTTCTGGTGTGTGATTGAGGGTTTTTATTTGTCAAGTTGAGTTATAGGTTAAAAATACTCAAAGTTGTTTGTGTTCAGCCAAAAAAAATAAAACCAGTCGGAGGAAGCAAGGAATGTGAACTTAACATCAAATGGAGGACAGATCGATGCGGCGTGTTTGTTTGTGCCCGACTACAGCTTAAAGATGATCTAAAGCCTGCTGTATGTGAAGCTGTTTGTCTCATCCACTAATGAGTTTTGGCTCAGCCTGCACAAGAATGAGGCCAAATACAAGTATAGGCTGATTTGATTTCTTTGATGCCAGACGGTTGGTCTGCAAGGCTTTTTGTTTTCTCATAATTACATGTTTTCCAGCAGCAAAAAAGCGTGATTTCTGGCTGGTTTTGGAATGAATCTCGCCTATTCATGACTGATTTCCAGGTGTTTTTGTACTTTTGTGCCACCAGGACTGCTCTTGCTGCGACCGCTAAACTCTACGACAGCGTGGATGACGCCCTCCATCAGCTCGTACAAACGTCCAACCAAAGAGGTCGCGATCTTGAAGCTCTGGGACGACTAGCCGGCCTCGTGGACAAACTGGAAAAGGTTTGTGAGGAAGGAGGTGTTATTGCCATTTCCTGAAAACCTGACAGACTGTCGTAGCTTGCCTCTCCTGAAGCAAACCTTCTGTATGAACTATGAATTGTATGATTGTTCTCAACTCAATCCCCCTATCTTTCTTTCTCCCCAGTGTGATAAGGAGATTGAGCAAGTCCAGTCACAGTTGGAGGACTACAAGGACCCTCCTCTGTCTCTCAGCAGACTCTCCCTCAAACAGCAGAAGTTCAAGACATTCAGAGAAACAGCCAACGTGAGTGTGACTCTTCAATAAGATTTGAAACCTTTTCCCCTATTTCAATGTTCTGTCAATAAAGTGTTTTTCAAATTAAAGCCACTACTGTATATGCAAGTTTAAAACATTCCTTATTTTGGCAAGCTTTGGTGGCAGCATCTAGAAGGAAATGTAGAGTGTACCAATTTTTCGCCAGGTTTGTAGAAATTGGATATTTCTGATCACATCAGACTCCGATAAATTGTGGCTACAAAGCTAGTTTACCATTTTAAAGGGGACCTATCATGCAAAATGCACTTTTGTACGTCTTTTATACATGAATATGTGTCCCCGGTGTTCCAGGGAACTCACCAAGTGTCAGAAAACACAACCCTCTCTATTTTCCTCCATACCCAAATCTCTAAAAAAGGGGCTGCAACGGATCTGATAAAAACTGATCCAGATTTGAACACTGTCCTGACGTCAGGACAGTGGCGCTACGGCTATAGGGCCAACTCCACCAATCAGGAGGAGACAGCCACGGCCATTGCCGTTCGAAAGCGCTGGAGACGCTGTAGTACATATGTCAGGCCAGTAGATGGTGCTGTTCTCACAGAATCTGCCCAGAGCTAGAAATTGTCAAATTGAGCAAAATGAGGCATGGCTAAAAAAAAAAAGTATAAATATGCCTTATGTATGGTCCTACACTATATTATTCAAATATAGCATGATAGGTCCACTTTAAATAAATATAAATACGTTCTTATTTTTCCAACAGAACGTAGAAGTTTTGGTTTTATTTAGCTCTCTATAGGAAGCCTTGTAATGTCTTCCTCTAAAACAATAACACTGTCCTCCTAAGTTAGGGAAAATGAATTCCTTAGCCCTACAAGACCCCTAAGCTGCACGTGCTACTCTGATTTACTTACTGAAAGACTTGAGAATTGTATAACTACAGTTCAAAATGTAAACAGATGTGCCCACTTTGCTGCTCAGTGTCACTCTTGATACTGTAAGGCACTTATTCCATTCATGATTTCCCAAGTGCATCTTGTCAAGAAGCCTCTACAGTAAACACTTGAGGGTTTTTCCAGCCGTACAGCTCATAGCGGATCTCCCTGACTCCTTTAGGATCTGCACAGCGAGACTCTGTCGGTGCTCAGCGATCTGGAGGGCTGGTGCGAGCTGGACTGGACCGGCCTGAGCGCCGTCCAGATCCGACTTCCTCCGGTCAGGGAGAAGCTGAGAGACATGTCCCACGTTCTGTCTGACTGCTGGACGACCCTGGACAACACTCAGAGGCTGCTGTCCACGCTGACCGAGGTACACCAGACAGGAAGTCATCTTTTACTCAGGAAGTCTTGATTATTTGGTGCGAATGCAGAGTCAGCATTCACAACAAATTATATTCATCGGAAAATAATATGTTTATTATTATTATTCTGCACGTTTTTTGAGTGCCTTTTTCTCCTACATTATTAAGTTGCAGAAATTCTGTTCATACATCAAAGCGTTCAGCTAGGTTAGGACATGCGCGCACTAATCTCCATCTTTGTGTTGCTGTCTCCTGTTCAGGCCACTCAGTGGTGCGAGGTGGTCTACTCCAACTCCTCCTCCCCATCTTCCACCTGCCCTCTCGCCTCCCTTCCTCCGATCCCCCCGTCCCGTTTCCAGGATGCTCGTTCCTTAGCCATAGAGCTGGGCGGCGGGGCGCTCCTGGAGCTCTGGACGCAGACGGTGGAGCGCTACCAGCGGACCGTAGCGCAGGTTAAACCGCGCTTCCTCCAGCCTGACCGGGCCCAGAATCAGAACCCGGGGAGGCCAAAGACCCCCTCCGCCAGCAGCCTGTGGGACCTGATGGGTCCCGAGGGAGAGGGCGACTGGGGATTGGGAGCCGGAGGAGGCGACGGGGGGCTTCAGTCCTGGGGATCCCTGGCGTCGCTGTTCAGACCGCAGACCTGCTCCACGCTGAAGATAGGAGAGGACAAAGGGACGAAGAAGGATGGGACAAGTGGAGGAGGAGCTAGCGGAGCTGGGGGAGGGAAGTTCCTGCAGAACCTTCTGAATCCAGCAAAGAAGAGTGTGAGTTTGTGCTTCATTTCCTCTGGTCTTGTTGTAGGCCTCATTTATTTCAATTAGGGAATTTGGTGTGAACACAAATGTTCTTCTGCTGCAAAATCTTGATAAGCGTTTTCTTCCATATTCCTCATCGCAGAGATTCCGTTCAAACATCAAAACATTTAGCTTGATTAGGAATCGACGGCTTTTACTACTGACATTCATAACTTCAGAACTAATTCCAGAACCATAATTCATCCAAATGTTTGTGTAAAAGTTCCACGTCAGCTCTTCAGAAGTCCCACAGCAATTTTCTTCAGGAATTGCATTCTCTAGTTTAACAATGTCCTTCACTTTTTAGCCTACGGAGTCCACGCTCCCTCCAAAGCCCCCCAGGAAGCGCCACCCAAGCTTTGACCTCCAGGCTCTTCTGGCCCCCCGCAGAGGCGCAGGAACCCCAAAACCAGAGTACCCGGTTGGAGGGCCGAGCCGAAACTCCCCCATGTCCTGGCTGGGGAGACGGGCGGTTGCCGACCCGGTGATCGCCACCAGTATGGCTGCAGCTATCCCTGGATGGGCCGCTGGAGGTTTTGGAAGTGGAGGAGGAGGGGTGTTAATTCGAGGGGTGGAGGTCAGCAGCAAGGAGGTGGTGGACCACACGGGGTCGCCACGACAACACGTTCTGCTCGGGAGGACGGAGAGAGAAACGGGGACAGATAGAGCCGGAACGACTCCACAGAGGTTTGTTTGTGTCTTTTTTTGCTTCTTTTTCCAATACAAAGACTTTTTTGAGGCTATTTTTCTCTGCGGGAACTTCAAAAATCAGTGGGAGAAGGTTTGACTTGGCTTAGAGCTTCAAAACAAGACCAACATTATAAATGGCATTACGAATAGGCCATGCTAAGATGAAAGGGGGAATTCATTCATCCTTTTTCGGGATAAGCTAAGAACAGTCGAAGTTTGTTTCAGAGCGATTTTATCAGTCAGCATGCACTCTGAGATAATCTGATCCGTGGCCAAGGGTTTTACAGTATCTCCGGCTATCTCTTAATACTATCTTCACTTCCACTTCCTCTTGGCTCCTGCTTCTCACACTATTTGGCAAATGTAATCATCCATTAACTTGTGTTTCTAATCATCTCCTTGTTTCTCCTGCAGTAAGCTGTACCTGCTCTGGTGCAGGATGCTGAGTTCAGAGAGGCAGTATGTGGCCGTCCTGAAGGGGGTAGAAGAGACGTACCTCCCATTACTGGCACTCTCAGACACCCCCGCCTCCATCAGAGGGAAGGCAGACACTCTCTTACCTAACTGGGCCAGCCTCAGCAACTTTCACTCGCAGAGCCTACTCCCTGCCATGGAGGGCGCTCTAGTGCAGAGCCTGCTGCAACAGGACTGCTTCAGCAAATATGTAAGCGTCCCAATGTTTTTACAATCTGGTCTTTTTTAATGTTGTTTTAGCCATCAAGGTTGCGCGCATGGTACATAACGTACGAGCAGAATGATTATGATTTGAAGAATTTAGTTTGGTTTGGATACATGTGCATCGAGTCTTATTAGTTCAAGTGTAATATCAATAAGAAAGCTAGAGCAACACTACAAAAATAAGATCCTCAGAGGTAAAACATGTACATTTAAAGTCTTAAATTGTCTAGCTGCTATATAAATACTATAAAAGTATCAAAACGCTTAATCCATGAAGAAAAGCCCACAGCCCGTGTTCAGAAATCTGCCTTAAAATGAGCTATTAAGACTATTGTGATGTTACAACTATAAAATATATAGGTACAAAGTGTTGCTTCAGAGCAATTACAGTCATACCCCGGATACAAAAACCCCCTTAGTGCAGATACCAACATTTGAAAACACTGACCAATCAGAGCAAGGCTTTTTCTGGATGGAGTCTTAAAGAGACAGGCGCTAAAACAGAGCGTTTTCTACAGAGACAGAACACAGGTGTATTCAGATGGACGGCATGAGAAAAATAACGTGTGTTTTGAACATTGAAGCATTTAAACGTGTTCAAAATAAACCCTAAAAAACAGGTATGACCCTAATAAAGAGCATTACAGTATATGTCCTCTTTAAACAACTGATTTGTAGATTTAAAGGGAATCACTGTTGCACTTTGTTGAAGACTTCTTTGATGTAGAAATCTAATTGTCTGACATTTGGAGGAAAGTAATAAAAGCTTTCATCTTGGCAAGAAAGGGTTTGTTCCCATTTGTGTGTAAGCACTAAGATAAAACTCCATTTAAGTGGCCAGAAATGTTTTTTATTCACCCACTGGTTCTCCAACTACTGTATTATTTATTGTGTTTATTGATAAGATTAAAAGGCATTAAAGAGTAGAACATTGTCATCAGAAAACGTTCTCCATGTTCATCACAATTTGTACTCTTCCACTGACGGCAGCGGGAGCAGTTTCTGCAGTATTCACATTACATCAGGACTAAACCAGAGCTGGACTCTCCTCTGGTCACACAGGCTGCTGACTTCTTTAAGGTAAAAATGATCATGTGGCTGCGGTTGAATTAAATCCTTGGATCTTTAAAACATCAAACTGTTTGCTTACAGAGATTTCAGAAGAAGAGCTTCAATATAACACGTTTTTTCCTTTCTGCTTTTCCATTGTAAACACATTTTAATTAAAGAAAGTGTCTTGTTTTCACACACTCCTGCATCTACACACATAGTAAGAGGGTTTTAAGATTTGTACTTAGTTATTTTCTGTTTAATGTGAGAACATTATTTTGCCGCAGATCATAAGCACAAAGCAATTACAGTTGCTTTATTCAACGGTTGCTGCAATAGCTGTATACAGTAAAGCTAATTACATGTTTAATGTACACTAGAAAAGCCAATTACAGGCGGATTATAGGGAAAGTAATTTGAGTTTGCGAGCTACAATTAACTAAAACTAATACATCGACGGCATCGCAAGAGGACTTAAAGGAGAGATCACAGTGCTTAAGATCCCATTCAAGTTATGAAGTGTTTAATAAAGGAGTATTTCTACGAAACGGCCACCAGGAGGCGATACTGGTTCATGTCACATCATGTTTGCGGCGTATAAAAGATGTTTAAAACAGCTTGAACACATTGAGGATTAGTGCTGCAGGAGGTTTATGGTTATCGTGATGGACGTGATGATGGCGATCATTGTGGGGATGGTGGTGATGATTGTTATGGATGAAGATGGGAACAGCACATGTTGCTACTTTAACAGGGTTTCTGTGATCAGTGGAAGGAGAATGGGATTCCTTTAATTAAAAAGCAGACTGAAATGTCATTATGTTAGAACTATTTGACCAAAGCAGTCATTTTCCTGATTAAACATGTCTTTGGTTATACGTAGCAGACCAAAAGCTCTACACCAAAAATAAATGAATGGTTTTGGTTTGAATGCAGTGTCCTTTTTATCAAGTGTGCGTGCAACAACAAGCTATGAGTTCTTTTGAAAATAGTGTCAAATCGAATGGAAAGGGTGTAAAAAAATTCAATTTCAATTTAAATTCTTTTCATTTTCACAGCTTTTCACAGAAGTGCTTTACAGAAAAACACAACAACAATATTAAAATAAATACAGAACAAGATAAAACATCAAAGTGATCCTTGTGAAATTCCCGTGAATTAAACTTGACAAGAAATTCAAATATGTTAAAGTAAAACAATTTAAAAAAGAAAAGAAACATTTGAAAATAAAAGCAAAAATACAGTAAGACATGGACAATGATACTGGTGAGAATTGAACGTTAACCCAAATTAAAAGCCATATTGAAAAAAGATAGGTCTTTTATTTGCTTTTAAACATTTCAAGGGAGTTTACTGTTCTCTGTCTTTGTGACATGGAGACACCCTACGAGTCAACTAGGTCCAGGGGCGGTTCTAGGGGGGGGGGGGGGGGGCAACAGGGGCCATTGCCCCCCTAACACTGACCCTGTCGCCCCCCTAAAAAAAACAAGGTTACAATAATACGATTTATTGGAACTAGACTTAATTTCAAGGACATTTCGGCCAGGGGTGTAGAGCTATTTGTTTAAGCACCGGATTGGCAAAACAGGAGAGTCTGTAAACCTGTTTATGTTTATTAAGGATCCCCATTAGCTTTTGCTCTTGACAAAAGCTACTCTTCCTGGGGTTCGACACTTAAAACAATACAACAATAACAACATTCAAGACATAATTCCTGACATCATTAACAACATCACCAATATCATCAACAATTTCCAACATCATCAACAATCTCATCCACTTTCAATATCAATCTCAGCCAAGGATGAGTGCACAAGACACCCACCAGTACAAAGCATGAGATCAAATTAAATGAGGGTTCACAGCTCACAAGGGTACATGGTCATTAGTAGATGGCCCTTCAATCTCCTGTCTGCTTTGATCTATGAATTAATGTCCGTGACTCTCAGAGTAGGCTACCTGCTGCCCGCAGCTGTTTTAAAGGGAAACAAACACTCAGAACACATACACACAGAGCCAGTGGCGGACTGGCCATCGGGACGAATCCCGATGGGCCGGTACCGAAGTGGGCCGGTCGGGCCACTCGGCCCACTCCGGTCGGGCCACTAGGTCCACCGTTTCCCCGCAGCAAGGCTCCCTCCCGTTGACAGTTTACGTGGGCTGGGCGAGATTCCCGGGCTGATTTTTAGTCCCATCAAGCGCCTTGGTGACCAGACATCTCCTTCAAAACTGATAAATGGGGGAGTAATTGGGCAGTTTGATGTGTGTGTGTGTGTGTGTGTGTGTGTGTGTGTGTGTGTGTGTGTGTGTGTGTGTGTGTGTGTGTGTGTGTGTGTGTGTGTGTGTGTGGTTAAAACGTAACAGCCGGCGGTCACTCTTTGGCTGTTCGAATTAAGGTAAACACAGTGTAGGCGGTGCGTAAAAGCTCTTTCAGCGCTGGTGCTGCTCTTCTCTGAGTTACACGTCCCGCTGCCTCCTGGAGTGACCACACACACCCCTGGCCGAAATGTCCTTAAAGTGAAGTCTGAGTACGAAATATATCTCAAATAATGTATGCACTGTCATTTCCCCATGTAAACATAACAGTCTGCAATGAAACGGTTGTCTCCTGTGCGCTACGCTTCCTCCTTGGCGTACCGGTAACTTTCTCAAAAAAAAAAGTCAGGATAACTGGCTAGTTTTTTTTTTAAAAGAGAGAGAGAAATCTCGTGCGCACGAGATTTTTTTTAAAAAACTAGCCAGTTATCCTGACTTTTTATTTTTATTTTCATGTCCCTTTAGGGGGCTCCGTACTAAAACTAATACTCTAAATGAAAAAACTACTGAAACAAAGGACTGTAACTCACATTTACTAAAACAAATACCTTTACAAAAACAAATACCAATTACTGTATTTTACGTTTATTTTACACAACTACTTTATATACTGTCTTTGTATTTTTAACCTGCTTTTATTGTTCCCCTCATGAAATAACTGGCCCCAGCCTGGCCCCCCCCCAGTTAAATTGGTATCGAACCGCCACTGACTAGATCTAACTTATCCTTTTCCTGCACCTCCCCTCTTCTCTCTCCCCCTGTCCAACAGTCCAAACTCCCCCCTGCCTCCCCCCTCTCCCCCCTGTCCTACCCTCACTGTCTGCAGGCTCCCTCTCAGAGGCTGGAGCAGTACTGCGAGGCCCTGGAGGAGCTGGGAGGGATAAACCCCGCCTCCGACTCCGCCCTCTCCATCCTGAGACACGCCCAGCGGCACGGCGAGGACCTGAGGGCCAGCGACCTCATCGTGGGATGTCCGGTGAGAGCGCCTGTCCCAGATTGTGAAACTGTGAATCAAGTCCCAGTTTTAGTTTTCTCAGAGGGAAAGAAACTAACTTATCTAGGTGAAGTCAGACCAATGGAAAAGACGGAATTCCAATCGCTCCTAGACTCAAACATTTACAGATTTTTCTTTAGTGAAAAGGAGAATTTAAACAATTGTTTTGACTATTTATGAATTCAAAATACTCATCGTGGGATGTCCGGTGAGAACGCTTGTCCCAGATTGTGACTGAGCAACTGTGAAACAAGTCCCAGTTTCAGTTTTCTCAGAGGGAAAGAAACTAACTTATCTAAATGAGGTCGGGCAGTTGGAAAAAGACAGAATTCAAATCGCTCCTACTGTAGACTCAAACATTTACAGATTTTAGTTTATTAAAAAGGAGAATTCCAAAAAAATGTTTGACTGTTTAGGAATTCAAAATATCACAAATATTCTTAATCAAAATGCACTTCAAACTAATCTTCCGGTCTCCAAAGAAGCATTTATTTTTCAAATGTTTGCTGCTACTTCAAGACGTTATGTTTGCTTGGTATGAAAACCAAGTTTATTGTGAACATGTTCTTGCATAAGACAACACAAAGACTTTTGAGTGTGTGAGGATGTAAAACCCCAGTGAAAATATTCACATACCATTCTTTCAGCTCTTAAAAATCATTTCGTTTTACTTCAAGCTATGAAAGTAACCAGCGTTGAACACAAACAGAGAAATCAGCCAATAAAAGTGGAAGAAAAAGACTAATCACTACGGAAACACTTTGGTACCACTCTTACAGTAATTACCGATTTAAAAACAGCTTTAACCTTTATCAAAAAGTCAGAAAACGCCACATCCACTTGCCCCATATTGTGCTACACAGCAGCATCATTCAGAGCTAGTCGTGACAAACGTTTGACTCCCACGCACACACACACACACACACACACAACTATCCTCTCCTCCCCTTTTCGAGCGAGGGGAGATCACAGCAGCACAAACACTCCCATTGAGCTACTTCAAATCGCTCTCCAAGTGAAAAGACCGTAAGTGCAGGTGTGTGTATGGGTGTGTGTGCATGTGGGTGTTCATTATGTGTGTGAAGCATCACTTATGTCATCACACACACATATCTAGAGGTTTAAATATATGTGTGTGACCGGTTGCTTCTAAATGATCAGTCATTTTTATTTAATCTGTGGATGAAGTTGAGAAAACGCTGTGTGGTTTCTGTCTATTTGTGTCCTTGCTACACTTGGGTCGAGTCCTCGAGGAGCGTTACATAAGATTTGACTTTTATAAACCTCCATCTGCCTCTGGTAGGATGTGCAACAACATGACAAAGTCCTGTAACCCTGTCATCGACTTGAACAAAAGTCACATTTTTAACAAAAGACGCGAGTCAGCTGGCCAATTACAGCAGAGATCCAACAGACAGAAGCATCCCTGTGAAGGGGGAATGCAGCATGTCACCACGCAAGGCACTGTAATTATAATACCGCTTTGTCCTATTCTTTATTTTCTGGAGAATAAGGCTTTTCAGTGTGTGCAGCCGAAATGTCTCGCAACTGTAAATCAAAAAATGTGAGTAGGTGAATGAGAAATTTGCTTGGAAACAGAGAGAAAGTGTGTTATTAAAGCCTAAAGATTAAATAACCTCAGGTAATAAAGATGTGAAAAACGTTTGTGCTACTGAGCAATAAACATGGACGTACTGGCTCTTTAAAATGTTCAGAAAACTCAGACACCAGTTATTCATTTGCCTTTTTTCAATATTATTTCTTCAATTAAATAAAAGTGGATGAGGGAAAAGTGAACTATTAAAACCCCCTGGCAAAAAAAAAAGACACATTTAAAACATAATTCAAAGCTAAATGGCCTCTTAAGATATAAATTAAGATGGTATCTTTTGCAGATTAAAGCCCTGGGCCTGGGACTCGGGCCAAGATAAGTGCATCAACGTGACAGTGTGTGTGTGTGTGTGTGTGTGTGTGTGTGTGTGTGTGTGTGTGTGTGTGTTCAGATTCCGGTGGCGGAGCGAGGTGATTTGGTGCGGCAGGGCGAGCTGACGGTGGTGTGCGGGGGGGCTCGGAGGAAGCGTGCGGGCGTGAGGAACGTCTTCCTCTACCAGCACGTCGTCATCTTCACCAAACAGAAGAGCGCCGGCCCGGGACGCACCGCCTTCAGCTGCAAGCACAGCATCAAGGTACACACACGCACACACACGCACACACACACACACACAGAGATATAAACACATCTCTCTCTCTCTCTCTCACACACACACACACACACACACACACACACACACACACACACACACACACACACACACACACACACACACACACACACACACACACACACACACACACACACACACACACACACACACACTCCTCACACACATATAGATATAAACACACCTCTCACACACACACACACACACACATACACACACACACTCCTCACACACACACAGATATAAACACACCTCTCACACACTCACACACACACACATACACACACACACTCCTCACACACACATAGATATAAACACACCTCTCACACTCACACACACACACACACACACACACACACACACACACACACACACACACACACATACATAAACACACCTCTCACACACACACTCCTCACACACACACAGATATAAACACACCTCACACACACACACACACACACACACACACACACACACACACACACACACACACACACACACACACACACACACACACACACACACACACACACACACACACACACACACACACACACATATATAAATACACCTCACACACACAGACACCTCACACACACACAGCTATAAACACACCTCACACAAACAGATATAAACACACACTTTTCAACCTCAAAAAATGCTTTTCTTTAATTTTCATTATCTCTTGAGCGCTGCGTTTGAAGAAATCTGAGAACAAATCTAATTTCTGTACATATTATATTTAAAGTAAAGTCCAATTTCACTTGTTTCTGCTTTAAATGTCACTTTTTCAGTCTATTTTCTCGGCGAAATGTTCCGTCATTGCCTCTATTTTTCTTCTCGACTTTACATTGTTTACACTTGAGATGTGTGTGATGTGTTCTGTGCTTATGTTGACCTTACATTTCTGCCTCATGTTGTTATTGTGTTTGTGTGGTCTTAATTTGAACTTTTGTTCTTTCTTGTGAATTCTATTTCTGTGAAAGTTGCTATACTAAATAAACGTATTCTTATTATTATATCACATGTTCCTCCTCTCCCCCGCAGACCGGTGAGATGGGTCTGACTCAGAGCGTGGGGGGGGACGGGCTGAAGTTTGAAGTGTGGGTGCGTCAGGCTCCTCGAACCAAAGACTGCATCACGCTGCAGGCCAAGGACAGGGAAGGAAAAGTGGCCTGGACTCAAGACATCGCCCACCTGCTGTGGACTCACGCCATCAACAACACAGGTACAGCCTGACCTCTGACCTCAGAGGGCTCAGCTATAGGCTCTTTTTTAGTCAAACGTAATCCACCCCAAATCCACCCAATATGGATATTTCATATTCTGATTGTAACAAATTCACACAAATGTCTGAGGGATGTAAACTGCAACTTGACTGGTTGAGTCAAACAACTGCAAGGATATTTTTTTCAAGGCTTCTATTGTCATTCGTACATAGCTACAGTGTAGTTATGTCGATGAAAATCTTAGGTCCCAGGCTCCTCCAACAGTGCAACACAATAAAACAGATACAATAGTGCAAGGATATGATTCTTGCAGAACATTATTTTAGTCTGAGGTTTACCTGGGTTCTTAAAAATGTGTTCTGCTTCCAGAGCAAATGAAGCACCAGTCAAAGCTGCGACCTATCAAGGGCTTTATCTCCCTCCCGTATCCATAAAGAGACATTTTAAGCGGCATTGTTGCCATGTACACAAACAATAATTCAATAATAAAAAAATATACAAATATTCTGTCCCAATACTGTAGTGATTTCTCCAAGAATGGTGCCGTTTTGAGTTACAAAAAGACCCTTTTTTCTATGATTTTTCCCCCCAGAGTTGTGTCTGAAGGAGTCGCTCTGCATGGGGATTTCCAGTAAGCTGCTGCTGGACGCGACAGGAACACCTGGATCTGAACTGGACTCCATCTACAGTCTCAATGACAGAGGTAGGACAGAAGGGAAACATCTGTAACACTTATACAGATGCAGTGCGGGGAAACTACAGGTAGAAAAAGCACTGTGTACACAGGGAGTGGAAAAAGAAAGGATTTGCATCGCAGATTTGTATGTAAACTGACCTGGTATCTATAGGTATATCGCTAAATAACGTAATCTTACAGAGGATGTGATCATGTTTGGGGAAAGGTTAGTTTAGTGTCTTCTTTAAATTTCAAACTGTGTCTTCAGGAAGTGTGTCAGTCCAGATCAGATTACTGGACTGTTCAAATTTGTTCTCTGAGCCGCGAGTGAGAGAGAGATTACCGACAGGAAACTAAACGGTGCTGGTTGTTTCTTCCCATGTGACAAAGTAATAACGTGCTACATGTTTTTTTTCAATCTGGCGCCCCCGGGCTATTCTATGAATTTTTTATAGTTGCCTCGCGCTGAGACATTTTGAAGAGCTCTGACGTGCCTGCAGAGAATATGTAACGCACCTTTTACTTCTCATGTGATCAAATCCCCTCACAGCGGTCAGTCTCAGAGCTGTGGCTTTGTCCTGATTACCTCAGATAATAGACTCACAAGTACAATTAACTCCAAGTATCAAAAGGGAAATTATAAAACAGAACGGCTGCAATTTACTCTTATTTTCATAATCAATCAATCCGGCACATACTTTCCAGATGAATCAATTAATCATCTGGTCTCTAAAACGTCAGACAATAGTGAGAAAATGTCAGATTCTCAAATTCTAAGTAGATGGCTTTAAATGTCTTGTTCTCTGAGATTAACAAGATATATTAAAAAGAACAGCAGGAAATCCCAGTTTTAAGATTCTGAGAACTGCATTTTATGACATTTTTGCAAAACAGTTGGCGATTATTCTTCTGTCAATTGGCTTATCGGATGGTTAACCAGCTCTTTGAAGTAGCATACAACTATGACATTCAAATGATGTAGAGTGCATACCAAACATAGTACTTACTTTAACATTGAAGCCCTTTTTCATCTAAAAATGTGGGCTACTTTAATGTTAATGTCAAAGGATTTTAACCACATATTCTTACATGATCCGATTAACTACAATGCAGTCTGATCACAAAAGTCTAATCAAAAACTGTATTTATAATATGTGTTATATGTTCAGGCAGCAACATAAATGGAGAGTGGAACTTATATGAAAGTCCATGGGAAAAAAACGAGTTTGAGACGCTAAAAACTAACATTTGTCTTGCTCTTACTTATTTATGAACAGAATCAGCTCTCCCCACCTACACCTCCACAACAGCTCCCTTCTGAATACACACATTATAGTCAAAAACGACATGAAAAAACAAGGAAATGACTGAAAGAACCACCAGAGGCCGGTTATAGAAAACCCCCCTCATGGAACCCACATCACATATTGATGCTATATGATCACTGGCCCCGCCCACAAATGGAAATAAAAACACACAAGAGGAAACATAATTCCTCAGATTCCAGACCCACCACCCAGTGAGGCCTGCTGGAGCCAAAGTGATTTCCCATTCATGGCTGGGTGCAGTGCACATACTGCTCACCAGGTGTCTCATTGAGAGCAGCAGCTCAGGGTTTCAATGCATGAATTGTCCTCTGGGACAGAGCGGCGTGTTATAAATTCATTGAACAGGATGAGAAAAATGCCTCCTCTCTCTGACTCCGCGCTCTTTGTCTCTCCCCACACCCAGTGTACACCCAGTTCTCCTCTCCAGAAAACATTATAATGCCGTCATTTTGGATTTCTAAGATTATTAAAGTGCATACACACAATGCTTTTGTAAATGGGGAAGAATCCATGCATGGAAATGATGCTTGAATGCAGGATGGTTTCAGTGTTTGACATTTGATTCACTACCTAGAGCAAATAAGGCTGCAAAACGCTGATTTTAAGTGTAAAACAACTGCTAGATGTTCTGATTGTTGGTGCTTTCTGTTAACCTTTAACCACCTTTCTCTCACACAGTCCATAGTAGCTGCTCAGACTCCTCCTCTGTGGGCAGTCAGAAGGAGGGGGGGTCCCCGGCGTCTGGGAGGGACCCCAGGGGAAGCTCCGGATCAACAAGTTGCTCCCAGGTGGGATTACATTTCACCATTCAGTCATTCTAGGGTGCATGAAAACATTTATACTTGCAGAAATGCCTCAGCATAGCTTTGTGAGGAATGTTTAGTGACACCACAGGGTTTTTTTCTCTACAATATTTGAAGGTTTTCCATGAAACCTTTTTAAGAACCTGTGTTTCCCTTAAAAGAAAAACTCCCTTATATGACTTTCTGATGGCCTGGGAACTATCTTGAGATGATGATCATGGTGAAAGACGAGCCTTGAGAATGCAAATGAGAGCAGCATTCTTTGAAACCATGCACTGGTTGTCACTAGTATCGACTCTGGCAGCCAACTCACATATAATGGATTATTATGTGAGTGTGGAATATGTAAAGGGGTTGATATTTGGCATCAGAAGTTGGATTTTGATGCCTCTAACTATAGGTTGATGTCAGGGTGGAGCGGTGGATGACAGCTTTTCCCAAGTAGACTTAAAACAAGCATGATTAGAAAGTTGATGAGACTGAAAGCGGGAGTATCACAACATAAAAAATAACTTTCATTGGATTAGCAGGAGTACTGGAGTGTTAATCTTATTCCTGCGCTGTGTTCCAATTAAATTGAAAAGACCCGAAAACTTGAAATAAGGATAATTTCAACAGAAATGTTAACAGGTCATCCAAGTTACATCTTGAAAGATATTTTAATACACATAATAAAGTGAAATACTTGATGTGATCAAAACCTACACAGAATATGCAATAAGAAATGCATTCTGCTACATTTTTGTGTGCAACCAACCAGTGCCTTTTATAGACGTGATAGTGTTGAAAGGGGGAGGCAGAGGGAATGACAGGAGGTAAATGGTATTTATAGGGACCGAGCTCCAGTACATGGGCCACCAGCTCCTGCATTATGCTTATTTGACGTGTGTAAAATCCATATTTGTACTATATAAAAACAGCTAACAAAAAACCTAAACTATGCCTAACTAGTCCACCTATATTCCACCTTAACCCTTAGATGCACGAGTGACTGGACCCTACACTCTTCCATAAGTGGGTCTAAAACAGGGGTGTCAAACTCAATTTCATCGCGGGCCACATTCGCATAAAGGTTGCACTCAAAGGGCCGGTTGTAACTATATAAATATATAATATATATATATAAAATAATGTATTATAAGATAAGATAAGATAAGATAGTACTTTATTGATCCCAAATTGGGAAATTATATTACATTATTGCCTCTGAATTGGATTATTATCGGATAGGATAATAACTTAGTAATTAACTACGTCTGAAAGCAGAAGTCCAGGGCAAATAATTGCAAGTCTCTTCAGTGTGCATGTCACAAAACGAGATGCATTGTGGGACATTAGTTTATTGGCAACCTGCTTCTGTAAAGTGGCATGTAACCGTATAATAAACGTATTATATTCTTTGCAAGCTCTTGGGGGGCCACATAAAATGAAGTCGCGGGCCGGATTTGGCCCCCGGGCCTTGAGTTTGAGACCCCTGGTCTAAAAGGACCCGTATTAGAATAATATGTGTTTTTATGCAATTTTTGTCATTTTGATTAAGAAAAATCTCTTGTATAATATTTAGTATTATATTTTGGTTCACACTAGACATATTTTAAATTTAATTTTTCACTATTTATAATTTTAGAAATTTCTTTTACATTTTAAAAAAAAACGTTTTCCCATAGGATTCCATCAGTTTTGACCCACTTATGGAAGCTTGGGGTACTAATACAAAAACTACAATTTCTTCAAATGTAAATTAAAAATGTGAATGGCATGATATCCAAAACATGTTTTTTGAGGAATAGCTGGAATATGAAATGATACATTTTTTTAATTACAAAGATACTTCAAGAAAACCACCTCACTGGGTCCAAAAAGACCCACTTATGGAAGCTTGGGGTAGTAATGCAAAAACTACAATTTCTTAAAATGTATAAAATGTAAATTTAAAATTAGAATGGCATGATATCCAAAACATGTTTTTTGAGGAATAACTGGAATATGAAATGATAAAAAAATGTAATTACAAAGATACTTCAAGAAAACCACCTCACCGGGTCCAAAAAGACCCACTTATGCATCTAAGGGTTAAAGAAACTATGATGGAAGAGGTCAAAACAACACACAACATTTTCCAAAGTTTAAATATGTGCTTTCATAGTTTCATGATCTGGGGCAGTTAATCTTTCAGTGATTTCATCTAGCGCTACAATTTAATGTGGAAACTCTGTCTGCTTTTATTTGTTTCTCTTGGTAAACATGTGAAAGTTATGGTCCTATAGCAGCGCAAAACCCAACCACTAAGCACAGGGTTAGGGGTGTGAATCTGACTATTTGCCATCTCTCTTTCTTATTTCCTTTCACTTCACTTTAACTTGTGTCTAATGAAGGGATGAATAGCAGAGAGGAACAGACAAGGGACGTTGCAATCAGAAATCATTGAAATGTGTCTCTTTTTAATCAGTAATTTGTGCATTCAAAAGCTCATTTGGGTTTTACTCATTTTTGCTCTTCTCTAATGTATTGTATATTATACAAAAGAGAATATTTTTATCGAGCAAAATGAACAACTTAAACGTCCCCTAGTTGCTGTTGAATTGCAGCCATTTGAATGTAACGTATGTTTGAGATTAGTGGAGGTGTTACGCTACAGTTTCAGTTTAACAGTGAGGTTATTTATATATAAAAGGGTTCTTTAAACAGCAAAGGAATTAGGTGAGTGTGCATCATCTCAGCTGTAAGGAAACAACGATACCTGCCTGCCATTTCCATAGCAGTTTAAATTAATGTGCTCTGTTCACACACACACACATAAACACACACACACACACACTCAAATCTCCTTATCTAGCAAACAGAATATGACAGATTGGCAAACAGACTGTGCTGGGAACAGATTGACAGACAGACGGACACACGCAGCCCAAACAGATAGGGCAAACACACAGACAGCGATACACACATATTCAACAACAGAGGGGGGATTTCCGCTTTTGCTTTGGCACGCACACACACTTTAGCGCAGAATAAAAAATGTAACTGTTTCTGTTTTTCTTTATTCCTCCTCAGAGCCACTCTCCCTCTACAGCTGTGTAACTGTCATCTCAATAAGAGTAAGTTAGTCTTTTTTATTTCTTTCATCTTTTCTCTTGATGTTGTTGCTGCTCATATCACCATCACTCACTTTATGATTTTACAACTTTTACTGATTTTTACTTTACTAAGAGAAATCAGACACATAGTATCTTGGAGAATGCTTAAAGTGACAGTTCTTGCCAAAATCAGAAACACAACATTTTCCGCTTATCTGTAGTGGTATTTAGCAATCTGGACTGTTTCAGTTTGGATATAGTGGCTGTACAGATGTAAGCCTTATCTCCAATATAATGGAACTAGATGGCACTCGACTTGTGAAGCTCAAAGCGCCAGAAAACGTTTTATTTGTATAGAAATCACATGCCGGGTAACTCCAAATAATTCACAAAGGTTGTTGTTGGCAGTTTCCTGAAGGAACAAACTGCACACGATAACCGTTTGATGAGGAATCAAGAAAGTTAACGTCTAACAGTCAACAGTTTGAGAGATTTCCTTACTTGTTGTGTTAAGTTGATATCCTATATATATCCATCATTAAGCAACCACACCAAAAACAATCTAGATTGATAAATAGCTCTACAGGTAAGACATGTTGTTTTATTTTGGGTTTGAACAAACATATTGTACATTTGAATGTAAAACTAAAATGTAATATATTGTTTCTTTGTGTCTCTTCCTGTAACTTTCTACAATCAGAAACTGGACTCTTGAAGATTTGTATCATCTCTATTCCACCTCGGGGAAGCCAAACTGGACTTCGAGGAGCAAGAAGACAAAAGAGAGACCCTCAGACTCTATTTGAACTTCTCCCACATGCTCTCCTTCCCTTCTCCCCCCTTCACCTCCTTCAAAGTAATAAAAGGCCAGCAGATTAGCTGGAAGAGCGCTGCACTGCCACATTCTCTAATAAGAAGAGGAAGAAGAAAAGCTGCCTCCCAAAAAAGGATCAACACTGCCCTGTCTAAACCATGACGAGCCCCAGCAGGGCTCTACCCGCTCCGCCATTTTGGATCTGCCAGCCTCAGTTGCTGGCAGAGTCATTGACACCAAAGGCACTTCAGCCACACAGTGCGGCCATTGTCTGCCCCGCGGCTCCCCACTAGGCCAAACCACTTGGTCTGAACCACTGACTGCCTGGCTGGCTGACTGTACGCATCACATGCTCCAGCATCTGATAATAAACAGGAAGTAATATGCGGGGCGTAAATCCACCGTAGGATTGCAGATTTAGAATGTATTATGTACTCTGTCATTTTCATAACGCTGAATGGAGTACTGTTTTTTTCTCCCCCCTCTTGCCTGTGTAAAAATGTGTGGCATAGGCTAGGTGTGATTGCATCTATGTAAATGAGGCAGGGGTGGTGTGAGCACACGTACACACAAACACACACAAAGAGTGTCCGTCAACACATGCAGTCACTCTTATTGTTGTAAGACAGTGGAGGCTCTATTCACATGCTCACACACACTCACTGGCCGATTTAGAGCCTGGTACAGTGGCTAAATAAACATCAGGCAAACATCTGATCACATACAGGAAGCATTGCCTCGATAATCAACGCCTTATAGGATTATATCCGACTGTTTGTTTAAGCTAAATATGTATTAACAGTGGAAACAACTGGTATTTAATCTTCTTAAAAGTATAACTTATGTCAGTTACTTGAGCTTATTGGTGCCTTATAGTGTAGCCTACTGATGATGACTATATGCATTTTGTTTTATATTCTATGTGCCAAAGGTATAAAATGGGTGTCTGTGCAATGTTGTTTTGTGTACAAAGAGGTATTGATGTGTTTGCTCTTTCCAGATCTCCATAAAATGGTAGATCTGTTTAATTTGCTTTATTCCGGTGTTGCTGGTTTTTTGCTTGCGGCCAGACGACATGAACTACATCTGATTATTCCCAAAGAGGTAACTTACTCAAAACGAGCTTCTAGGTTGAGGTTCCAAGAAAAAAAGGATTTCTTCTCATTGTCACTCTTAAGCTGAAAGGATTGCTTTATCTAACATTTTTTAAATAAATAGTTTGACAGATTGGGAAATGTGTAATTTAGCTGTCTTGCCAGGAGGTAGATGAAAAGATGGATACCAATCTTCAATGTCTGTGCGTAACATAGGAAGCCTTTGCAAGCAGAGAGTTAGCTTAGCTTAGCGTAAATATTGAAAAACAGCTAGCTTGCTAAAAGATAACAAAAAGTACATAGCCTACCTGCACCTTTTTAATCTTATAAAATATAACATGTTAAGCTTAAAAGGGTGCCAATAGGTGGATTTGTTACCTAAAGATAGAGCTAGGCTAGCTGTTTTGGCTAGCTTACTCTGTGTGCTAAGCTAAGCTATCTCACTGCTGTAAGTAGCTTCATATTGCCTGTAGAAATAAGAGTGTTATCAGTCTTGTCATCTAATTCTTGCTAAGAACAGCTAATAAGGGTATTTCCTGAAATGTTACACTTTTCCTTAAAGATATCATCTCTCAGAAGTAATGGCTTATTAAAATAACTTCCACTCACGGGACAGACACTTCACTACTTCTCTGCTAAACACACTCATGGGTACATTTGAGTAGAAACATGTAACACTGCTGAGTTGTACTCAAACTCACAAAACTACAATTATAGTGAAGATCCCATATATTACATTAGTGATTTAAATCTACAAAATAATGCCCAGCATATCTGGAAATTGTCATTTTATTGTCATGTTATGATGCAGACGAAACCAAAGATATGAATATTTCATACGATAGTGTAGTTCATATTGTATGACAGCAAGCATGCAGTCAGTAAAACCAATCATCATCCACTCACTGGTTTGATTTGATCACTATCAGACAATATCACGCTTAAGGTACAATATGAAACCATCAGGTAGTGAGAGATCCAGCAGCAGCGGGAGGTCAAGCTCACGTCTGCAGACGGCCGCGGTTATCAGGTTTACCACGTTTCATATCTGCATTCAAATTCAGAAATTGCAAATGGCTATTGAGCCGTTTCTGAATCAATATGTAATTTGTTGGCTTGGAGAAGGCCCCCGTACACCTCGTAGCCTTTAGCTGTTTGGTACATTGCGTTATATTGGAAGCGATGTAATGAACACCATCTTTCATTCTTACTGCAGTATAGATTGTCACATGCAAAATCCTCTACTTTTGTATGCCGTGCGAGGCAGTATTAATGTAGAAACATTGTGCTCTCTTTCTACCCTCACACTCTGCCTAGTGTTTACATTTTTTTAAAGGAATGTGGAATGTTGCAAACGCATGTTATGCTTACTTGATATTTGTACTGTTTTTGTACTTTTCTGTGTTGAATTAAAACTAGATGCAAGTTTGAAACGTCTCAGAGGGGATTTAAGAGGAGGGGAGACAGACAGATAGATAGACAGACAGACAGACAGACAGACAGACTGACTGACTGACTGACTGACTGACTGACTGACTGACTGACTGACAGACAGACAGACAGACAGACAGACAGACAGACAGACAGACTGACTGACTGACTGACTGACTGACTGACTGACTGACTGACTGACTGACAGACAGACACACAGACAGACACACAGACAGACTGACAGACAGACAGACAGACAGACAGACAGACAGGCAGGCAGACAGGCAGGCAGACAGATAGACAGGCAGACAGATAAACAGACAGACAGACAGACAGATAGGTGCATTAAGTAAAAGTAGAAGTACCAGTGTAGGAATACTTTGTTACGAGTAAAAGTCCTGCATTCAAAATGTTACTCAAGTAAAAGTAGAAAAGTATTATCATCAAAATATAGTTAAAGTACCAAAAGTAAAAGTTGTGCAGATTGGTCCATTTCAGAATAATATATATGATATGTTTTATAATGATTGATCATGAAAGTGTTCTCAAAGCTGGTAAAGGTGCAGCTAGTTTGAATGACTTTGTATACTGCAGGGTAGCTTGTGAATTTACTCCAGGTGGAACTAAAGTCTGATTTAACACTTGATAATATTTCACATCATTCATCCAAATCTGTAAAGTAACTAAAGGTATTAAATACATGTAGTGGAGTAAAAGTACACTATTTACCTCTGAATTGTAGTGGAGAAGAGGTACAAAGTATAAAAGATTGAAATTCTCAAGTCCCTCATAATTGTGCTTAAGTACAATACTTGAGTACATCTATTTACTTCACACCGCTGATGTAGAGGGATAAACTAAACACTATGGAGCAGTGATGTCTCTGAGGTGTTGTTAAGGGTTACGGCAGGCTTGTCGCAGGTTTAACCTCAAAATAAGGCCGGTAACCTCCACAACCTGAGAGTTGGTGTAATGCGTGGGGTCTTTTTCTCTCTGAGCGCCAGCTGTGCTGCTGCTTCACAAAAAGCCGAATGATTAGATAACTACAGTGCAGCGCCATATCAAATAGTTCCAGGGATCAAATTCTCTAAAGGAGGGGGGGGGGGGGCAGTTTGAGTGTGTGTGTGTGTGTGTGTGTCCATCTGCGTAGAGAGAGAGGAATGAGAGATAAAGGGGTGGGTGAAGAGGAAAGGAGGGGGGGGGGGGGGGACAGGAAGAAGTGAGGGAGAGAGAGAAAGGGGACAGGAGACAGTAGGTGGGAATGATGGGAAATGAGCGAGGGCGAAGGGGCAGACAGACAGAGAGGCACAGTCAAGGGGGAAAGAACGAGAGGAATAATAGAGAGGGGGGCTTATATAGAAAGAGGGAGACACAAAGTGGAGTTAGAACTTTTTTTTTTTAGGGAGAGAACTAAGAGAGGGCCGAGAGAGCTGCAGCGTGGACGGAGGAGAGAGAGAGCGAGCGGGGTAAAAAAGGGGGGATGTTGACAAAGCAGCGAGACTGTGGCGAACAAAGAGAACGTGAAGAGAATGAGTCGGGGGAAACATCAAAGGGATTTTTCAGGCCCGGTTACCGGGACAACAGACATTTGCATGCGATTAGCTTTTTACATCATATTAAGAAGGGTTAGGGTGAGGGAGGGGAGGGAGGGAGGGTGCAGGGAGGAGGGGAGGCAGGGAGCTATAGATCATACACACACACACACTGTATGAGATAGTGGGAGAAAAAAAAGGGGAAAGAAAAAGAGGGACGTTGGTCATCTCACGCGGATAAACTGACTTATAGGCAGCCAGCCAAGCGTTTCCTTTGTAAATGAGAGTGCATGTTGGAGGGAGATACAGTAATATGCCGGCACAGACATTTTGGCAGAGGGAGGTCAGAGCAGGCAGTGTGTGTTTCTTTTATTCGATTTGATTTTTTTGGCTGCTTTGAATACAAGTTTGAATGATTTAAAGCACTCAGTTTGATAGATTTGCCACCAGGACGATCTCAAACAGCTTCACTGATTCAGGGTTTACAGTTTACATTACTATCAAATGTGTCCATATTGTAGCACTTTTTTTACCTCGAAATATCTTGTTCAACCGCCAATCATTCAATCCAGACTTAAAATATAATAAAATAAATCTAAAATAATTAGAGTGATCAAGGATTAGACAAATTTGATGTAAATCTGGTAAAATACCTAATAAATGCCAAAAAAAACACACCCATCTCCAATTGTTCCAAAAAAACTGAAGGATCAAGTGTTTCTTTATGGGTTGAGATGAATGATCCCACTTCTTAAGTTACGTAAACCATTAAATTGGATAAGCAGATTAATGCATTGTCACAAATCTGAAAACCGGTGGTGACATTTCGGAGATACATTAACACAAGGCAGCGACAGGCAGGCTGAGAATAGATCAAATTAGTGAAAATAACTTTCATAGAATCGTTATTATTACATACAAAAATTCCACTATCATAAATGCACGTCTAGACTCAGGTATGCGTGTGTATTTGTCGTCCAAAATGGATCCAGGTTACAAAATAAACACTTTGTTGTTTGCACACACACAGTGCATATATCACTCTGTCAACACAAAAAAAACCACCTCACACACCCCGCCATAATAAAAGCCATTAAACATGTTTCTATGGGCACACACCCTCCGGCGCTTTACACATGTAACATTATCCCTCCTTCCTTTCCTTCCTTCCTTTCCTTCCCTCCTGTCTCTCCATCAATCCCCTCCCTCATCTCCATCTCTCCCTTCCTATCCATCCATCTTCCTCCCCTCCTCCTCTTCCTCTCTTCCTCTCCGGCCTCCTTTCTCTCCCTCTCTCTCTCTATCTGAGTGTGTGATGCTTCAGTGCCCTCTGTATTGTGGCTGCATTGTGCCAGTAGGCGTCGCCGCGACAGCCGTTGTCAGGGCAGCATTGTGATGGGGGGGTGATGGTGTGTGTGTGTGTGTGTGTGTGTGTGTGTGTGTATGTGTGTGTGAGTGGGGGGGTGGGAGTGTATTACAGTATCAATACCCTGACACTGCGACAAAAAGGACAGCAGCCGTAGCCACATATCACTCCACCTCTGCACTCCCCCTCCGTCGTCTCCTCCCTCCCTCTTTCCTTCCTCCCCCCCCCGAAATCAATTCCTCCTCCCCTCTCCTCTCAATTGATTTCCCACCATATCTCACTGAATATGTACATATTGATCCCCCTCAACCTCCTCCTCCCTCCTCACTCTTTCTGTCTTTCTCTTTTTTGTTTTTACTCAAGGATCTATCAGATTTCACCCCCCCCCCTCCACCCTCATTTCACTCTCTCCATCTCACACACACACTTTCCTCATCTTTCATTTCATCTCCCCTATTCTTTCCCTCTCCTCTGTGCCATCTCTTCTGCCCCCTCCCCTCCCTCCATCACACCTCCCTCCCCGTCTCCCTCCCTCACGGCTGTTTTTTTGTGTTTTTTTGTGTTTTGTTTGTGTGTGTGTGTGTGTGTGTGTCACAGTCTCACTCACTCTCTGCATATTAATTGGTGCATTTCTGCTGCGGCGGAGAAAACAATCAAAGCGTCAGGGGCGGGTGATGATGCCATTGTGGCAGCCGCAAACACGTACACATATGTAGCACACAAACACAAACAGATAGCGAGGGCACACACACACACACACACACGCACACACACACACACACGGCCGACACACACATAAGTTCAGCAGACGGAGAACGTACATGTATGAACCTTTGTACGCACATATAAGCAGCTGACATTCAAAACGGGCCTGCACACACACACACAGACACATTGATTTACTATGCACACACACACACACACACACACACACACACACACACACACACACACACACACACACACACACACACACACACACACACACACACACACACACACACACACACACGGAGACGAGCATGCGCCGCATGTGCCACAGACTTAGTCAGTCACTCTCAGACACACAATGGCAGGCTTACAATGGCTGATCCAGGAGATATGTTCTGCGTCAGCAAAGACATTTGAATTTCCCAGCCAACATTTACCTTCACACGGCGACTCGCATTTAAATATTTAAAAACCCGAGGCCTTGAGGGCAGAAATATTCATACTTACAATTCTTCCATACGTCGGGAAGAAAGGCACAAAGGCAGAGGTGACATCTAAATACTGTTCAACTGAAGGCCTGTTATTAAAGAGAATGAACGGGAATGAGGTAAACAACTTGTAAAAGGTGAACATTTCTGTCGTTACTTAACAGCCTATTCAGCTTTTTGTTCTTCAATTTGTTCACGCTGTAACTCTGTGCAATAAAAGCTGAGAGGTGTTGAAAGAGGCGCGTGGGCTTCACCACTCCACCAGCATCGAGCCCACGTACTGTAGATCTGACTCTACGCTTTTTGTTGTTGTCCTCTGCCCTTACACTGTACAACACAGTACGTCACTTACATGGAGAACAGGATACAAGTGAGCGCCTATGGAGGCCGATAGTACAAGTCTAATGGGAATGTTTGAGCTTACTTGTTGACAAATGAGTATAGGATGCAACCTCCAAAGCAAGTTAACTTGTTTCCAAAGTCCATATCCATTGTTCCAAGATCGTGGGTAAGCATTCAACTAGATTGCAAATCAGATGTAAAGTCGGTGGATAGGACTCAGCCTTGTTGTTAGGCAACGCCTCTTAACACCAGCTCTGAAGAGGTGTTTAGTAAGCAGGTTTTTTCACTCAAGGTCAAGTCTTCAGTTGTTGCACAATGCCCGTCCCAACCCAGGTTTCCAACATGTCATTTGAACACTTGGTCTGATCCTTCTTGCATAGCTTTCTAACAAACTGTGTAACCTTCAACGCCTCAAACTATGAGGCTCCTCTACTGTTACAGTAAACAATTGGTTAACGTTGTAAATGTATACACAATTACTTAGTGTAACTTAAAGTTTGGGATTTGGGTAACAAAAAGATCTGTAACATTATTTCATTAGTCCTGAATAGGTTTGACTTCACCCAACTTCTGCTCCCACCTATCCTGAGCGCTCCTTATTGGTCCGGTGCATCTCTACACTTCAGAATCACTTTCTCTAAGTGTCCTAATATTTCCACGGATGGGTTCACAGGAGTTACTCGAATGTCTGGTTGGTCTCATACACTAAAGGTTTGCCTTGTGCGTTGGTATCAAATGCCCGGGAAATGAGACCAGGATGAGGTTTTTTCCATCACGGGTCCACATATGAACAGTTGAACATTTCACATCAGCACATGATCTAAAATGTGAAAGCCTGACTACTGGGTAAAGTTAAAATAACATATGAGGACTACAAGTAAAGGGAAAGGGGTGACTCATAAAGTTCAAACCACAAACATTATCACTGAACTCTGCAGTTCTTCCCCCCCCAGGATATCACATCATCAAAGGCCTTCATGTATAACATCTGCCACGACTGCCTCTCAAAGATTGGACTACAGCAACTCCTAGGCACATAACATGTTTGGTTTTTTGAGACTGTGATGTTGTCGCCGACTTCACTTGGTTGTTTGAACTATGGAAGCCAAACAAGGTCCAATAGGAAATGAACACTTGTGTGACGTGGGTTCGTTTTAACTTCCAGTGCTCATACACTGCAAATTGTAGTACCTAAGTCTTGAGGGGATCTTTAAGGCAATTCACCGCTCGCAGCATGCATCCATAGAGCAGTTTCCAGCTAAATAATCTCTGATAAACCCATTGTAGGAGTCTTGCCCACTCCCAAACAACACACGGACGAAGTAAGTGACTACCTGGTGAAGAAAGTCAAATATCTAAAAGCTGTTCAGGCCAAATAAGAAGTTAAAGTAGAATGAATAATGGACTTAAATACATCAGATCAGAACAATCATTACAATGGAAAGATGATGTTACTCTATGGATTTGTTAAAAAATGTGTCATTGGCCACTCAAACTTTTTGAGGTGATCATTTGTATTTGTATTTGTTCTACTGCCTAATATTCTAATACAACATTGAAGCTTTTGACAAACTTTCAGCATTAAACCACGCCTCGTTTAAAAAGAGGACAAAAATAGGATGACGCAGGGGATGTTTTATGCAAATGGTGTTGATGCGGGTACATGGGTTGGATTAGACGTGCACCTGCTACAACTAAGCCATTGGCAACTGAAAAACAGTGGGTGCAGCCATGTGTAAAGTGTGTATTATAAGATCACGTTCAATGTGAAACAATGATTATTACCATAAAGTGGTTTCACTTTAGCAGGCCTACAAAGTCACATTTCAACTGCATGGCTTTGGAAAGTATTTCTCCAAAGTGATTTCTTTCCCACTGCTGCTATTTCTTGCTGGGGACCCCCTGGAAAACCTCCCTCGGGACTCCCGGTTGTCCCCGGGCCTCATGTTGGGAACCCTTACACTTTCAAATATGTGCACTTTAGTATCATCCCCTCCTGGAAGTGGCCATGTGCTTCCGGGGTTTGCTCACCACAACATTTAAAGCTGCCTCTTGTCATCACTTTCAACACACTTCAGTTGGTGTGAAACTTTTCCTCTTCTTCTTCTTGGGAAAAAATAAAAAGTCTCTCCAAAGTGTCACCCCAGATGCCATATTTAGGATACAAATGTGAAGGAGATGACAGCGTTGTAAAATGGTGCCCGTGCCGAGATTATAATTAACATTTCCAACCTACATCACTCTCCCTCCCACTTCTCTCCCCTATTCACCCAGTCCTGTACAATAAATGGGAAAAAATGCAAGAAGAAAGGAGAGAAAGGGAGAAGGAAAAGAAAGGGAGATGGAGGAGGAGAGAGTGAGAGAGAGAGGGAGAGAAGAGGGTGACCAAACGGAGGGAGGAGGGAGGGGGGAAACGGCGTATGCTTGTATACAACCCTGATTTCCATTTTTTTCCCAACTCGTAATGTATTTAATTCAAGTGAAACGTAATCATGACGTGTCGTGTCATTAATCTCCTCGCCGCCTCTCCCGTAAGTACACTGAGTCTTTACTTTCAACATATATCCTATATCTCCATGTATCTACTTACATTTTATCCACCTCTCTGTTTACATGGACACTTTTATGCATGGTGGCGTGAAACCAAGGGGATGAAACATTTCCAAAATTGTTGAATTTATTTATCGCGACTCTTTTTTCTTTCTTTCCTCCACACACATATACGGGATAATGGCCAATATAGTTGTTGTTGTGCTTTGTCGCGTGTGTATGCTACGTGTGTGTGTGAGTGATTGGCATGTCTGTATGTTGTAGACTATGTAATGTATGTAACCGCGCGCTCCGGACCACTTTACGTGTGTGTCATGTATGTTAACCGGCGCGCGTGGCCGACATGCATGTAGCCTACTATAGCCCGTGACATGACAAAAAAAGATCCGGGAAAAATGCACCGTTTCCTCATATAATTCAGAAAACACTCGGTGTAACATTTGGGATAAGTCCATTCGGGGTGTCAAGTCGAAATGAAAATGGTCGCGAGAGCAGGAAAGTCACTCGGAGTGGTTAAAATGTATTTCTTTCTAATTCGCGTAACTTTTAAACCAAGTTGTGTTCGTGTATTTCTATGCAGCGTGAGGGAAACCAGTTGAGAAATTCGGCAGCTTTATGACCTCTTCTTCCATATCCCGTTTTAACCTCTCCCCCCAAAAAAGTAGCTTTTACTAAAAGAGGCACAAGTTCTCGGTGCGTAACGGGAGGGATTCTTCGATAAGCCGCAGACATGTTGTCCAGGCGTAAAAGTGGATTTTTGCGTGTTAGCAAGTTGAATCACAAAGCGTAATTTGTGGGTAGATGCGATTAGCCTGACTAATTCTTTTGTTGGACGCACATTAGGCATTGTGTAGCGCATTGTTTTCCAGATAAGCACCGCCACTTTCATTTGGGATGTGCGCAAAAACGCACACACGAGCTCTTATAGTGTTTTATTTCACCTTATACGTTTGCCCACCTTTTACTACAATGTTTACTACTACCCGTTTAGTTGTCCTAACATCACCTCCTGTGTCTACAAGCTCAGAAAGTAGCAAGTGTGGCATGCAACGCTGTGGCTGTGTGTGTGCAAAATGTTGCCAAAATGCATTTTGGAAAGAGAAGTTACCGGTTTTAAAAAAACGAGGGTTTTTTGGGTCGCTTTTTGGGGACTGGTGTCGGTTTGGGAGATTGGCAGAGGGACTCGAGATGAAATCCATGATGGCACTTTCTTCCTCCCTGCTCGCACACTCGTCTTTTCCCCTCCCTTAATCTTTTGTATAGAAAATTTAAGAACAAAATGGAGCAGGGGAGAGAGCGATAGATAGGCTGACATGACACACACGACTTCTCCAAACTACATCTCATTGTTTGTGATCTTTAATCGCGTTTTTTGGAAGCGGTTTTGTGCCATCTGCGGACAGGGTTAATCTCATTTTCGCGGAGGGTGTTTATTAGTGCATTGTTTGTTGATGATTATTTATTTCATTAATGTGCCTCCTAATTGAGATGGCCGCGAGAGAGAAGAGGGGAAAGAGCGACTGAAAATGGTTGCACGTTATTGACGCACATCATAGGGGCGAGGAGGAAATTCCTCATGAGATAAGGCGCAGACGTGTCATCTGGGTTGACCAAAGACACTCCTGTCGCCTTTTCCACGTCCAATGGAATATGTTTAGGGATCCTGAAATGCCCTATTTTTAAATCCACCCCTAAATGTCACACTTTTTGAGAGCGTGTGCATAGTGGAAGTAGGTTGACATTGCTGGCTTGTCCTATAAACAGGGATTTAGTGGAGAAGTAGCTTTATTTAACACACTCTAAATCAAATAAACCTATATCACATCTTTACAAATCTCCTGGGATTTCAAAGTGGATATAATATATAGAACAAATAGATACATGTATCCTTATATCCTTCTTTAAATAAGTGATTTTGTCCTATTAGAGGGACTTTTTGTAGTTTTTCTAAAATCGAATCCATGTCCAGTCTTACCCATAATAAGATATGAATCCCCTTAATATGAAGAACTATACAAATCTCCTGGGATTTGAAACCAGATATCATCTATGACACAAATAGAGAACATTCTACATATATCCTTTTTTAAACAAGTGATTTTCGCCCATTAGAGTGACTTTTTGTAGTTTTCCTAAAATCTAATCCGTGTCCAGTCTTACCGGAAACTAATAATATAAGAATCTCGCTTATATTAAAAACTAAACCTGTAGAGAATAAGTTAGAGAATAATCCATCTGCTTTCCTGGAACTCACTGTGCTCTCAACCCTGAAACACTGGCCCCATGTTATAAAGACTCTAATGGTTTCCCCTCATTCAGACCCTCTCTCTGCTCAAGTAGTATCCTCCTCCTCCTCCTCCTCCTCCACCTCCTCCGCCTCCTCCGCCTTTGCCACCATCAACGCCGCCCTCCTCCCCATCTTTGTACATACTGTACTGTACTTGAGGGGGCACATACACCCCATCCAGGTGGCTCTTGGGGGACGAGATTGTGTGCGAGGGGAGAAAGACACAGAGAGAGTAAAAGGGAGAGGAGTGGAGCACCAATCAAGGCTTCTGATTGATATAATTGGGTCATTAGTGCGCTGCGGGAGAGGCACCTGCTTGCCCTCAGTTAGGGAGAAGCTACAGCATTGTGACATTTTGAGACTGCTGAGAGTTCTGCTGCCTGCTCGGGATTAGAGTGTATTTAGAGCATTAGGGCCTTACTTAAATAGTACGCCACTTGTGCCACTTGTATCGAGTTTGAAGGCCAAACTGATTCGTACAATGAACAGGTAGATCTCTCAACTCCACTGGTGTTTGGCTGAAATGAAAGCGTAATTTTTTGGGAGCAGAGCGAGCTAAGCGGGTCGTAAAGGAGCCCGTTGTGGTTTGAAACAGCAGGTGGAGGAAAAAATAGAGCCACAGTGGTGTGATTTTAAGAGAGCGGAGGGAGAGGTTAGCAAGTAGAGAAGCAGAATGTAATAAGGCATCCCATGTAAAACCTGCTTTCTACCTCTACATGCATTTCCTATGTGCATCGGACAAGCCATGTAACTTCCTGAAAACAGCGATCTGACAAAAACCAAGCAGTCATTGGCCAAGTCTGAGAAACTGAGAAGTGGTTTAAGACTTATCTTAAGCTCCATTTCTTTCATTTGTTATAAGACTTTTTTGGGCACTTTTCACATATAAAACCGAAAGCAACACGACCAAAGTTCCTCCTAAAGTGCGCGTCATTTTCCCCGTATTTACACGATTATTGCCCCTATTGCTTTTACTCCGTGGCATTTGAAAGCTTTTTGAACACTTTCCAATGTCCCCAGACATCCCAAACTAGTTATTTGTAAGTATAACCTCACCTTAAATCCCCTGACAGAGAAAACCCAGAGCTGCTGGTGGACAGAAAAGTAACCCCCAACGTCTACCATAATCGATGAATCCTTTTTGATTGACACCCGCATAATACTGTGTGTATATAAATAAATAAAAGTGTGATTGCATGTACATGTAGGAAGGTGTTACTAAGAAAGAGAACACATGCTCTGCATATTTCCCCTGGGTGAGCAAAGAATCAACCTGCATTAACCGCTTCTATTTTGCTCAATAGGTGCACACGTGTCGGATATAGGTGATACACTTATTCCACAAGGAGGTCACGGTGTAGGGTCAGCTTCCCAGGGGATTGTGGGTAGTCTGCATCTTGCTCAAGGACAAGGGTTTGAAAATGTATCAAATATAGATTATTTGATTGACAGTAAGTTTTAAGGACATATTCGGATTTCTGATTGTAAATAAAGGCATCTTGTAGGCGTTTTGTTTCACCTGCCACTACTTTGCTTTTCCTCTCAGCCCCTGCAGGTGCATTTATTGTGCCTTTTTAAAAGAAAACATCCGCTCATTTGGTTATGACATTTGCATGCTCCGAACCAATGACTTCTTTCTTAAGGCCTGTATCATTTAACCCAGAATCAGAGGAGTCAGTCTGCATGACTCGGAGCGACAGCCTTCGTTTCTCTGCAGAGACGCTGTGATGTTTCCAACGTTCACATTCTCAGATCTGGCAACCGTCGAGTCGCTCTCACTACGGTGCTTTGGCAACTGCGGGGAAAGTGATCTGCTTGTGTTCTCCGCTGCAGGAGGAATTCATTCAGAAAGAGCAGCAGCAACAGCTTGAGAGGAGATAGAAGCATAGAGGATAAGGATAGGGAGGAAGTGTCAAATAAACAGACGTAAAGCAGAAGAAAGTGGCAAATAAAAGGTTTTCCCTCCACCTTTTCCTCTAATGTCGCTAGTGGATTCCTCAATCTAGCAAAATGTGAACATTGAGAGTCGTAATTTATAATTTCCACAACTTTTCCTTCATAAAATACCCAATAAATTGTCAATATATCGGCCTTTTAAGGACACTTGTACCCTAAAGCACCAATCGTAGTTACATGTTAAGGGCAGGAGTGAGCTCTGATGGCAATTTCACTTTCATTTTCAGACCAAAATGACACACAGAAGTTCCTGTACTCCGCTCATATCTCTACAGTAAGTGGTTGAGGCACAGTGGGAGACTTCCCCCCTTATCACTGCTGAAGGCGAGGGAGGGGGAGAGCGCTAGCCACACAAAGTTTGAGTGAAGCCGGGAGTGAAGCAGGGGGTTCAGGGAAAGGTGAAGTTAAGGAAATGAATACCGTCTGTGGGGAAGTTCGCCCCGTGACCACGCGATAAAAACCACAGGACCAAATTATACTGTACCACACAGCGAGCCGACTTCCCCCTCTCTTCCTCCCTCCATCGCTCATCCTCTCTTTCAAATATTTTTTTGTGGTCAGTCTCTCATACTCCCGCTTATCCCCGAAGGACACCTCGCACACGCTTCATCACATGGGAGTTCAAGTAATACAGCTGGAGGGAAGCTACACTTTATGGACTGAAGTACGCGCAGAAACACATACACCTGATAGACGGTTTACTTTGTGCCCTACGGCTGAGGCCCGAGACCTTGGAGATGCCTATTTTTAGATGAATAGATGTCCAACAAACACACACAGATAAGAACGTAAAGGTAGTAGGGGTATACCCCGTTCTCTCTTTATCCTGTTATGAGCCCCTTACCTGTTCTTCAGGCCGCCAAAGGGATCACAAAATAAATAGCAGGGTGATTAACAAGGTCTGAAAGAAGAAAAAACATTTATGCCACAGAAATCTATCTGCCTCTTCTCAAATCTTTGTTTTGCTTGTGAAATACTGCAGTCCTTCTTAAACTATAAACACTATTAAAACTAGAATAGCACTCGCCGAGCGCAGACCTCCACGAAGGCCACTGGTGCATTCAAATGCTCCTCGTATGGTCCCGTTCATCAAGGTGGAAAGTCATTATTCGGTCTGCATTTCATGAGCTTCAAGTCGTGATAAGGATTACAAATGGACACTATAAACATGGTGTTGTAGCTTATTGATCAGAGCATTTAAAAAAAAATCTAGTTTTCTAGTGGGTTTTTTCCAAATGAAGGGGTGAATTCTCCCAATCGGGAAGTCATTCTTCTGATTATTCAAACACCCAATGAATGCAGCAAAAATGCACCATCTTGCAATGTTAATTAAAGTTAAACCTGATAATTGTATAAGCCTCATGATTCAGATATGCTCCAAAATGTTATGGTTTCTTCCTTCACCCATGCTTTAGCCTTCCACCGAGTTGAATATAAATCAGACCAGTTGTTTTTCTGTAATCCTGCTGACTTGCAGACATAGAAACCGAGCTGAAAACAAACCTCCCAGGCAGAGGTAATAACTATTAAAAATGAAAGAAACAAAGAAAGGCAAATCACACTCCAAAGAGCCCACGGACTTAATTATGCAAACTGTGACAAGTTGTTGCAAGTAGGTATTGCTCAACTATAAAAGCTAACAAGCCAAAATAAATGTACAGGCAACAGACACAATGCACTCCTAAAACACAGCCTATAACACTCATTAATGTAAAGCCGAGCAGATGCCCACACACCCACACACCCACACACACACACACGGTTAAAAACACTAAGTGAAAGGCAATCACACCCTAACATTACAATTATGAAGTGTAGCGTTCTGGCGTGTACAAACATGCAGCACCTTCACAATAAAACCATACCGCTCAGTGGATATTTACACAATGACATCAAAACCCCCCCAAAAATAAACTTGTCTGAACATATTGTGCTCATACTCCCTCTGCAACTATTTATCGAGGATGTGAGTATGACTCAGCAAACTCCCCCCGTTCTGTCCCTTTACACACACACCTTTGGACATAAGAGTAGTTGTCAGCATTTATAATGTGATTTTGGATGGATGGGTGGAAAAAAAGAAAGTTGGCATTTTGACCCCCCGTCATAAAAACTAATTTGCAGTCAAGGTAATTCAGCTCTTTAACATCAGTTATCTTAGAGCCCACAGAGATACACTGCAATTATCGTAATGACAACAGCATGGCAATGCTCAACACAACGAGGATGTGCTTTTAAGCTGTTATTACCGTGTGAATTGCAATGCTGTTACCGCTGCTGCACCTACACCGCACATTTCAGGGTCAAAGAAGAAGAAGAAGGCGAAGAAAGCAAGAGATGGAGCCGTTTAAATCAGCTTGAAAATTAAATAAATCCATCGTTCAAGTCCGTTTTTTTTGTGCAAAAATGCGAAAAGAATATACAGTTTTGAGCCTCTTGCATGTGGAGATTTTAGGATTCTCTGCTCTGTATCATATTAAAGTGAACATTTTGAACTGATTCAACAAATAATCAAACATGGATGTTGAGAAACTGCATTTGTCACTATTTCTGACATTTTAGCTCACATCAAAACTGACTCGCGTGAAAATAATTACAACATGCAATTCGATGAAAATCTTTTAAAAATCGGATTTCACTTTCCTTTTGCTGCTCGCATCACCTCTGACATCCTTTAAAGGTGAGAGTTAACACCTTGTGGAGCACTTGCACAAAGCATTTCTGTGCATATTCAAGTATTTAGAAATGGCAGATCTGGAATGAATTGCATTTGTTTGTGATGCAGACGATTGTGTCTCGCAGCGTTCCTCACTGCTTTTTCCTTGGTTCATTAACACCTGGGTTTCATGTGTTTCTGCTCCGCCTGATTCCAATCTGATTTCTGTCCCTCAGACGCCCCAACCCCCTTCTTCCCTGCATCCATTGCTGCACCTTATCTCCCCCTCTCCATCTATCCTAATTGTCTTTATTGGCATGGCAGGGCCTGTGGTTGACGACAGCCTCCGTCACGGTGGAACAATGCATTGTGATGCTGATATTCATATGATAATGCCATCAGACTTAACACTGCCGCAGATACATTTAGAGACTCCCTTTTTTCTCTCTGTCCCCTTTCTGTATCTCATCCTGTCTGAATGCATGTACATTAATGTGTTGCTTTTGAAATTATTTTTAAATCTGTTGTTCTCTCTCATGTTACTGCCACTCCACCACTCTAATTTATCTGCCATTCTCTGTCCCTTTACCCTTTCTTTCTTCCCCCTTTTTCCCTCAACACCCTGCTGGCAATCGCATTAAATCATTTTCATTCACATGGCTTCTGACAATGTTTTTTTTTTAACGCTGCCCAGTTTTTAACTGCACTGAGTGTTTCTCTCCGTCTCTCCCTTTCTTTCTCTCTGTCTGCCTCCTTTCTCATTTTTGCTCTTCGCCATGTTGGCAGGGCCCAATCTACCAGCTGATATCAGCATTCCCTGGCACCCTGCCAACTGGCAACACTGCAGGAGAGAAAGAAAGAGAGAGGGAGAGAATGAAAGAAAATTAGTGAATAATAGACGGAGCGAGGGAGGGAGGGAGGGAGGGAGAGAATGAGAGGGGGATGGGAGGAGTGTAAACCGGGGTAAAGAAAGGCAGAGGGGAAAGGAAGACAGGGACAGAAAGAACAATAATGGTGGATTAAGAAAAGGACTGTGTGTGTGTGTGTGTGTGTGTGTGTGTGTGTGTGTGTGTGTGTGTGTGTGTGTGTGTGTGTGTGTGTGTGTGTGTGTGTGTGTGTGTGTGTGGTGTGTGTGTGTGTGTGTGTGTGTGTGTGTGTGTGTGTGTGTGTGTGTGTGTGTGTGTGTGTGTGTGTGTGTGTGTGTGTGTGTGTGTGTGTGTGTGTGATTGATATGGTGTGATATCCCCGTGAGTCATAGCTGAGCTAAAATGTCAACTGGCTACATGAAAATCTCTTTGTCATCCAGGCTCAGACAAACACACACATATACACAAATCCAACTGATCATATAAACACACATGTGGCCGAACCCGCTGCATATATGGGCGACACACCTGCGTGCGCAGATGTTCCATTGTTTTTTCAGCAATGATTGATGACCTTTTGTTTTGTTGTGGGAGCCTCTGCTGCTCCTCAACCCCACCGAATGATGGACGAAAACAGCCGATGTGCATAAAATCCAGTCTAACTGATGCAAACTGCTGTGCACTGGAAATATTTGGGGCGTGTGAGCCTGCTTGCCAAAATGCTTGTGTGTTCAATATGCTGTATATCACACTTTACATTTCAGCTGACTCTGTAATCTGGGGTGACGGTTGCAGTGCAGTCGACACAACAGCAGAATAAGCTTGCATTTGTACATTACTTAAACAAGAAAGCATGACTAAGCAGGGTCCACGCGCCACACCCAGGCAGTACATGTAACAAATATTGTTGTGCATGATGGTGTGTGTACAGTCCTGATTTGAGCAAAAAAAGCTGCTACTGTTGGAGTGCACAGGAAGGGTGTGTGGGGAAGTCAAAACATTGCGCGCCCATCCTGTTTGGGACAGTCCATGTCCTGTGGTGGTGCCCTTAACTCCTAAACACACACTCACACACACACACAGATACACGCCGATGCACATTCACACTCTGACTAATCATCCCATATGTGCGAACAGAATGCTGCCCGTGCATTGTCAACCCATGCAGCAGGAAGAACAGGTGCACACCTGTTACACATTCAAGCGCATGCATACACCTACGCAGACTCAGGAGCAAATGGAGATCAAATAAAGATTTGCTTTGTACTTAACATTTACATGCATTAAAACTCATGCAAAACCCCGCTGTTGTGGGTGCTTTTGATTACCTGCTATTACCATTCATGATGGAATACATTCAAAGAGACTCAAATTGGTTTTCATCCTGTTTGACAAACCTGCTACCTGCAGTTCAACGCTCATTATATCAGATTTACAGCTACATTGACCCTGATATTATTAACTCAGTCAAATAAAGTCTTTACTGTAGTTAGATAATGGCTTCGATAATGTGCTAACATGTGTTTGAAGCTATTTAATTTCAAGTTAGATTTTTGATTGCAAATAACTAATCTATCCTCCTGAAGTCTTCATTTTTTTTTTTTTGCTTGCTTTTTGTCCCCAGAATATTAAAGGAAGAGGCTGCCCCAGAAGTGCGTCCCCCTTCAGCTTAGACCCTAAAGAATGGCATAACATCTCACACACTTCTGGTAATATTAACTACACACCTACAGACAAGAGAACCTGTCATGCAAACGAATAGCATTTTAATGTCTATTTTTGGGCTGTTTTCCAGTCCTGGTCAAGGTCAATGTTACAGCTAAAGATAATTATGCACAACATGCTAATTTAACCTTTTCCACTAGGTTTATAAAGTTGTACCGCCTCTTAAGTCATCAGTTCCACTCACTATCTGCCTCTCTCCTTCTCTCTGTGTTTTGTACTGATAGAGGATGGATTCCCCGCCAGAGTGTGTGTTGTCTCTTTCATGTGAGCAGCCCCAGTCTCCTCCAACGTTGCCATCCCTGGACCACAGCCCCCAGGCGTCTTCTCCTCACACCCCAGCTCTCTCTACCTGACAGCCCCCTCGTGCTGCCCATTCACAGCCCTGAACTCTCCCCGCAGAGCCCAGACAGCACGCCTTATTTCCCCCTCTCTCCCTTTCCCCTCCTCGAGGACACCAACAACAACCACCACGATGTCGATGAAGAAGACGACGACGACGAGGAAGGGCTGGATGGAGTCCCTCCGTCCCCGATCCCGGCAGTGGCTCTGTTCCCAGGAGGAAGGGGACAGGAAGCTGGTTGCAGCCCTACTTTGGAGTCCTCTCCACCGGACACACCATTAGCGCCACTCCTCGGGTTTGGAGCCCTGGAGCTGGCCCTATCGTCTGGGCAGAGTGGAAACTGCAACGACGAGCTCGACCTCCAGCTGTTCCAGAAAGATACCGTCACCAAGGCGATACCTGGAGTGGGAGGGGCTTCACCGGGGCCTGCGCTCAGGTTTCCCTGTCATGTGTGTGGAAAGAGGTTCCGATTCCAAAGCATTTTGTCTCTTCATGCTCGAGCTCACAGTCTGGACAGAGACCGCCGAGCCACAGCTCTGTACAAGACCGGAGTCCCTTCAGCCCCCCTAAAGCAACACCTAAAGATCCAACAGAACCACAAAGACTTAATCAAGAATCACCGGAGTCAGCCAAACCAGCGTATACTGCCAGGGACGCTCATGCAACATCTCACCTGAAGACGAGGATGTTGATGGTGAGGTCAAAGGTCTAGATGACAACCTACAGAACCGGAACTTTCTACTGGATGACAGCACACCGTTGACCCCTCCACTCACAGAGGACCCTGTTTCTGTGACCCCTCCCTATTCTTCTACCATCGGGGAAGGAGTGTCTAATCCTACAGCGCCTGCGTTTCGCTGCCATGCCTGCAAAGGAAAATTCCGCACAGCTTCAGAGTTGGCGCGCCACGTCCGCATTCTCCACAACCCGTATAAATGCACTCTTTGTCCTTTCTCTGCCAGCCAAGAAGAGAGCCTGGCATTTCACTTGCAGGAGTGCCACCCTTCCCCCGAGGTACCTGCTCTGCCACTGTCTTTTAATTCCAGGCCGGTCATTGCCACCCCTGATACTCCCGTGCCCACGCCCACCCATACCCCAGCCCCAGCCCCGAGTACTCAGCCGGTGACAGCGGTAGCTACAGCGGCATCTACAGCGGCAGCTACAGCGGCAGCTACAGCGACAGCGGCAGCTACAGCGGCAGCTACAGCGGCAGCATCCCCCACACTGCCGGCGTTTCGCTGTGAGGTTTGCGGACAGCGGTTCACCCAGTCTTGGTTCCTGAAGGGACATATGCGAAAGCACAAGGACTCCTTGGACCATAAGTGCCAGGTATGTGGCCGCGGCTTCAAAGAACCTTGGTTTCTCAAAAACCACATGAAAGTACATCTCAACAAGCTCGGGCTGAAAGCCGGGTTAGGAACCCTCGGGGGAGCTGGGGTCGCCGAGCAGCAAGCCAAAGGCTCTGTTAGTAATCAATCCCTCAACGCCCTCTATTCAAGCCTTCTTCTGGCCCAGCAGAGAGGGGGTAGAGGTGGACAAGGAAGAGAAACTGGAGGCAGAATGGGGATGGGCTCGAGCAAGTCAGCCATCCTGGGCTACCTTGGATTGCCTAACGATGGCAGTGGGGCCAGCTGCATGGAGAGACTTCAAGCAGTGGCTCAGGTGGCAGAGATGGGAAACGGTGGTGGCGGCATTGGCGGCTCAGGAGTGGGGGACCAAGGAAGAGGAGGAGGGTCATCTAGAGGAGGGGGCACAGGTGAAATTACCGCATCCATTTCAGAAGGAGGGGACCAGGCAACTTGGTGGCAGCTGGTGGCTCGCAGCCTGGCAGTCGCTCAGCAGCAGCAGCAGCAGCAACAGCAACAACAGCAGCAACAGCAGCAGCAGCAGCAGCAGCAGAGGCCCCAGCAGCGAGGCCAGCAGCAACGAGGCCAGGGTCGCGGCTCCGTGATCACTGAGGCCGACCAAGTCAGGGCATACCTTGGAGGCCTGGAGCCAAGAGACGAGTCTGGCGGAGCAGGAGGGCCATGGGAATGCCCAGACTGTGGAAAGCTCTTCCGCAGCCTGCAGCAGGTGGTGGTTCATGCTCGCGTTCACACCCAGAGGCCCCTGAAAGGAGGAGGCGGCGGCGAAGAGGAGGGGAACAGTAGTCGTAGAGGAGCGGGGCTTGGAAGAGGAGGCGGCAGCGAAATGAGACAGGAATCTCAGCTACACGGTGGTGGATCCCAACAAATTGGAGGAGGGCGACTGGAATCAAAACTGCACAGTGGTGGATCGCAAGCAGAAGCAGCAACGGGGTTTCACTCCGTCATCCCAACCTTCAAAGGTACAATCACACGCGCCTTTCTCTACTTCTGGGTTGTGTTTGTTTGTTTCTCACATGCATGTATATAGTGCATACGGAAACACTCTTAAAAATATAATTTGCAACAAAAAACACCCGGAAAATAAAAACTATTATAAAAAACTTTTTTTTTTTTTTAAACTATTATACGTCAAGATAAATGAAATATAGATATACCAAAAAACAACGTACTATGATAAAATAATAAAATTAAATATGTGCAGTGTTGTTATGAAAAGTGAAAAGCTGTGCAGATATTAGACAGGTAGCTTGTGTACACATGTGCAAAATATCCAGAGGGTTGTGCAGGACTGGCAATACATAAATAAAAAACAATACTGTTTGCAGAACGATGGTGTTATTATCACAGGAGTGTATTATTTTTATACTGTAAATAGAAGCTCCCATAGAGGCCCTTCCCCAACAGCTGTTATCTTTACATTTTTCTCAACTTACAGGAGAAAATGGCATGACAGCAGTCTCCTCCATACCGTCAGTTCCCAGCAGGGAGCGAGTGCGTGGTAGAGGGATAAAAGACTGCCCCTACTGTGGTAAAGCCTTCCGCTCTTCACACCATCTCAAAGTGCACCTGAGAGTTCACACAGGTGAGAAACTGCTGTGAGTTTAACAAACCACATCTATTTATTTGAACCTTTAGACAAAATCCCTGGAAAGGTTTCAGTGAGCATGCTCGCTTTAGCAGCTCTGCCCTTTTTCTTTTTTAAAAAACACGTTCACCCCAGAGAGCTGGCCAGTGCTAATGATAGCGCTCTACTGCAGGCGACCGAGCAGCCCCCAATGGAGCAACTCCTGGTTAACTGCCTTGCTCAAGAGTATATTGATAGTCGTTTTTGAGGAAGAATCAAGCCACTCCAGGGATTACATTTGGTTAAATCTCAGTAAAATAAAAATCTCACTTCTATCACTTCTAGCTTGTAACAGCACCACTCAGAAAAGGAAGAGTAGTCTCAAGTAAGTTGCCTAACTCTAAAGTGTGCAACTTTCTTTTTGGTTTGGCTAAGCCTTTTTGAGATCAAATATAAGGATTTTTAAGTTAACATCACGACAGTTTAAACTTCAATATTTCTGAAATTCACGTGCTTTTTTGGAAGCAAGTCAATCTGTAGTTGTTCTCCTTTCATTTACTTAAAAAAAAAAATATTCTGACAGTAGGACAGACACACAGGCAATCCAACAGACACCAAAAGGCCTTTTCAATACTAAATAATAAATAATAATAATAATACATTTCTGGTGATAAGTGAGTAGGACATGAATGAAAATTGGGAACTCTCACAGCACTCACCCACACTCTTAATTAATGATCCATATTCATAAGACTTTATCAGCATCAGTCATTGCCATTTTCTATTATTTGCGTTCTTCGCTTGATGTATTTGATCAAAAATAAAGACCCCTCTTCTATTTCCTAACATGCCACCCATCTCCAGCAACTAGAGCACGTCCAAGTCTTTCCAGCGAAGACGGTGCCCAAAAAGCATTCAGTAAAATCTATTTAGTCCTGTCATTATGAATAACCGTCTATAGCTGACATATCAAATCACAGCTGTATTATTCATGATAGCATACAGCTCCTTTTCTCCTGCACTATTGCTTCTTGGTGCCATCAAGTGATTAGCACATGGTCAGTAATTTAAGCGAAGGCATCAAATTATAATAATACTCTCTTGATATTACTGTCCTCTTGAGATTATTGCCCCTCGAGATTCTTCTCCAATTTCTTTTTGGTTTTATCGACAAAATCTGACATTTCATATTTGTGCATGCACATCTGCATTCATCAAAAGGCCTGTGTTTTTTTTTCTTGGGGATGAGATAATTTACGCTTTTAGGTCGAATACATTTCCTGCTGTAGATTAGCCTCCAGCATGATGCCCCCTCCTCTTTATCTCTCCCAGCAGTGTCATTTGTAATCAGTGATGAAATACTGCCATCTCCCTTTCAAATGTGTCACTACATCTCTTGTTCACCACTGTTTAAAGAACCATGACAGTTATGTTGTGAGTTACTGCTAGTGTTTTAAATTGTAATATTTTCAAAAACACTTATTTAACGTGTATGTGATTTGTTGTTATTGAGCCGAAACATTATCAAGTTAAGGGTCACCTAGATTTGATACTGAGTGTGTGTGAAACTCCAATACCATTTCCCGAATCTTGTATTGTCCATCTTCTTTTCTTCAGGTGAGAGACCCTACAAATGTCCCCACTGTGACTATGCGGGTACCCAGTCTGGCTCCTTGAAGTATCACCTCCAGCGGCACCACAGGGAGCAACGCAACGCCCTGTCAGCCTCCTCCAACTCCTCCTCCAGTGGCCTCACCTCCACTCTCAACAGTCTGACCTCTGGATCCTCAGGGCAGCCCAAGCAGCGCCGATCCCACCTCAACCACGGTCCCGTTAACCGGGGTCCGACCGACAACGCCTCCCCTCTGCCCAGCCAGCAGTCCTGGCTCCTGGGGCTTCCAGACCAGCACGACCACAGGAAGGCCTTGGCGGCTCTGAGGGATGTCGACTTGGAGACACAGTACCGGTATCTTTCGGGGGTGATGGGAGCTCTTTACCAAGGTGGAATGGAAGGAGGCTGGATCAGGGAGTCTCCACCACCAAAAGCCCCTAAAGTGTCCCGTCGTAAGCCCCTCACTACAAGCCGAATGGTCCAACCGTCAAATGACAAGGAAGGGCCTGCGCCTTCAACTCATGAGGGCGGGTTCGAACCACTGGATCTGTCTCGTCGGCCCTCACCTGGCCTCGGAGGCATGGAGGAAGATGGAGTCATGAGCGTAGGGGAGGGAGGGGTTTGGTGTAGATGGAGGAGATAGTTCAACAGGGGTCAAACTGAGCCAGTGTTTGTTCTGCCCTTTCCGAACGTCCTCAGCCGAGCTCATGGCCATGCACCTCCAGGTGAACCACACCAGTAAGTCCAGGCGCAAAAGAGCCCCTACCACCATCTTGAATGACGACGGAGCCCTAAAGGCCGCCAAGCCCAGGGTGGTACAGTCCGATCTCGACTCTCTGACTATATGGAGGAACGCAACCGAGTCCGAGGCCCCCCTGGAGGAATGGTCCTCAATGAATACCAAGACCTTGAACGGGAACACACAAGACCATCCTAACAACATGCTTGAGCACCCAGATGTGGCCCCAAGATCCAAGAAAGTAAGACGCGATCTGGCACTCAAGGGTAAGGTCGAGGATGATGATGATGAGGAGCAAGAGGAGGAGTTGGATGATCATTTGGAGAACAGCAGTGCGGAGGATTCAGAGGACCAGGATCTGAGGATGTCCCTCGCTCTTTCCCCAGCGCTCTGCTCCAACCACATGGTGGGAGAGGAGGAGAGCATCTTAACAGATTAAAATGCTTCGGGATGAAACCATCATAATTGGGAGAGTTTGGTTCAATGTTTCTCAACCACATTTAACAGAGAATGAAAGAAGGGGGCAGGTAGCTTTGCAGAGCTAACAGGATTCTTGACTCCTGGGGTTTTGAAAAGGACAGACAGAAACATCACAGCTGTTATCTTCCCTTCGACATCACTCTTCAACTTCACTTCTGACAGTGTGGCCAACTTCCTGTACAAAAGAGCTTAGAAGCACTTTTTCAGGATGTTGTAGGTCACTTTTTCCATTTTTCTTCAAACTTCTCTCCAAGATGGTTGATTTGTAAGATTGTCGCCTATTTGATCAGTTAAAGAACCATACATAAGATTTAGCGCATCATTCCACACGCATTTATTTTACATTAATAATGGACTGTTACCCGAAGACTACTATACTGATCATGCTGAAGCCAGCTGTGAAGAGTTGCTCTCCTGACTGACCACTGAACAGTTTGAAACTTCAAGTTCCTCCTCGAACGACACATATGTTGTTGAGTCGAGGAATGTTCAAGCTGTTAACCTCAGCTAAGCTATTTGGTATTATTTTAAGGCATGAGGTAACTATTGGAGGCAGCGTGCTTTCCCTCAACTATATATCACTGCCTTGTTTGTCTGAAAAGTGTTTCTATATGATTGTCCTAAAGAAAAACAGAAAGAAACGTTTGTAATATTTTTTCTTTTATGAGTTAGTGCCTGTTCATGTGCGTTGTTGAGAGAGTCTCTGGTATTCCTGCACATCGAGGCTCTGATAGGTCATTTTATCTGAATATACAGTTTAAAACAATTTAAGTACAGTATATTTGTTAAAAGTGGTTCTAGGGTGTTGTGAATAGTTAAGTTGTTAAAGAAATGCTACATCGCAGCGTCATGTCCTTGACACAGACGTTTGTGGCTCAGCTTGAAAATAAAATAAAAGATTGGTCATAGACTGAGCTATAAAAAGGGTCACAGTTCAACATTCAGTGTTTACAACAGTCGGTAGGCTTGCCAAGGCAACATAGATGCGTGGAAAAGAACAAAACTAAGAGCGGATGTCTATTTGAGGGCCGAAGGGACGTCGCCCGAGCCCCCGAACACAATCAACTGACACACCCTAAAAGAGACAGAGACTTTACAACTGTGTCAAAAAAGAAACAATTTCTCCATAGGAGAGGAGATACAAGGTAGGGAACGAGAAAGACAGCAGTACCCCTGCAAAGCAGGACTTAATCTGAGAAACAAACTGTACTCTTGAGGGTTTGGTGTCTTTTAGACGAGTAGATACCCTCTCTTCTTTTTTATAAGAAAAGAAAATGGTAGGAGTAATTATTAAAACACTAACAAATGCATAGACATCCCAGTAGAATATGTGTAGCTTTTGTAAAGACAAGAAGAAAAAAAAGCAGACTTTTGTTTATTTTCATTTCAAGATGCTTACAGAAAAAGGTTATCAATATAGGTAATATTGATTATAATGTTTGTGAGCTAAGACTAGTTGGAATGTCTATACAGAGCACTGTGCAAGGTTTGAGTTCCCAAAGTAGTTCTTTTTATTTTGACTTTATCGATAGACCAAACGTTTTTTCAATGGAAGTTGTCACTTTCTGTTGTTGTTTAAAATGTGTAAAGCTGTGGTTTCGATAGATTTACCCCATCGATTAGTCAAAATCAGTCAATCAGTGTCATACATATCCAACCATTGAACTGGTTGTTAAATAAAGTTCACATTCAAAATACATAACTTTTTGGGTAAACATCAACCCATCTACTGCTATTAATGAAACCGATCCGTTATCGTGAATTGTTGTGTTCTGAAGGTATATTTAAGAAAAAAGATGAATGTGATTCAGTAATATCCCCTCACACTGGTTACTATTTATCCACGTCGACTACTTGTTGATGGGGTTTTCTATGGTTGCAACCACTCCTTAATGTGCATCAATGTGTTTAAGTTCTTTTTTTTAGAGCACCTTATGAGTTTTGTAGTGAAAGTCCCTTAGTGGTGTCTCCTTAACAACTACTGTCAATGCCAATCGTGCCTTCTGTTTCAAGCACTTCCTGGTGTATTTTGTAAAAACTCACCAAAAGCACTTAGCCTATTCTACACACTCTTTCTTCCTCTCCGTCTCTGTCCTTCCACCTCCCCTCATTTCTCTTCCTCTTCATCACATCCGCTAATTTCCTTAATCTTTTTCTCGTGTCTGTACCTCTTGGCCCCTCTCTCTCCTGGGGGGGGGAGGGGGGCTGTTTTCATACATGATTTCTCTCTACTGTTCAGGCCCGATCGGCCTTAAATAAGGTCACTAGGCCTTATTACAATCTCTTGAAAAGAATAGACTACCTAACCTTTAGACGAGTAAATTGTAGATGTAGGGTTAGACTTTTGGTCTTAATACTAACCCTTTGTAAACCAAAGCCCAAGTCTATTATATTTAATCTCTTAAAAAGGTGCCAAAACATGTCCTAAGGTGACACTAAAGCAACTTGAAAAAACGAAATAATTCACTTTCTTTCTTTGACCTGTCCTCCTTTCTGTCGTGCTTGCTCTTCCTCCCTGTCGCTCTCTTGTCCGTAAACTGTCTAAATCTCTAGCACCACTTGAAAGGTGACCGTGTACTATCTGGTATTGAGGGCCTTTTAATTAGATTTTTTATTTCCGTTTGTGTGGGTGTTTTGTTCAATGCCGTTGAGATGGAAAAATGCTCTTCTTATAATGATAATTATTATTGTTTTGGGCATTATGGTTAAAAAAAAAAAAAAAAAAATGAAAAAAAACAAACAAGAGAAATGTGTTGTTGAATGTTGTACAGATAGCACTAGATATGTTGTGTTTTTTTAAAGAGAGAGCATAATACCCGAGTGCTGGTCCCTTCTGCTCCTCCCAACCGGCAAATGGGAAATAAAACAGCCTGCCAATCAATCTAGATGTCTAATGACGAAAATGTCCCGCGTCAAAAGAAAACCTTTTTGTCCAAGTAGCGCTTTTCCTCTGGAGGTTTGAATGTCAACAGCCTTTGACTCGAACTCCATTCCCAAATTTCTTGCACAAAAAAAAATGCTTTTTGAAAGACTAACGCAGCACGAGCCAACAGTTTCACTCTTGAAGATATAGTTTGATTGTTTCAGAGACTATTTTGCCTATTTACTAAGAAACACAAGGTTGCCTTTGTATGTGTCCATAGCAGTCTGAAAGTATGTTTAACAGCCAATTTCAATCAGTAGAAGCTAGGGCTGCTCGATTATGGCAAAAATCATAATCACGATTATTTTGGTCAATAATTGATATCACAATTATTAAATACGATTATTCATTGACTTTGAAAACATCCATTTATTGAACTTTAAAACAAATAATCATTTGAACAGTATCTTTTTAACTGTTGATTACCCTGAACGTATAATTCAACTGAAACACCAATACTAAAATAAATTAAATAAATTATACATTTAAATAAATAATATCAAAATAATAAATACCAATAAACAAATATTTTGGAGCGCACATATATAAATATGATAAATAAAAATAAATTAGACTAAAATAAATTAGATCAAATATGTTGCAGTGCACTGTCACAACCTAGCAAAGCAAAATAATTGTTATTATGTTGTTTTCGTAATTGTGGCAGGCCAAAATCGTAATTGCGCTTAAAATACGATTAATTGCACAGCCCTAGTAGAAGCTCCTCTGAAAACTGCTGAATTAACCCTTACGTCTCCAAAAATGGACAGTTGGTCAACCTAAACCAACATAATAAAGCACCCTTGAGTTTAGTTTGAATAAAAGGCAAAATTCTCTCCAAAACAAACTATCCCTTCACATTTGCACTTGTTTTCAATTGAATACGATGTGGCTCCCTGACGTGTGAAAGTTGCACCTTATCTCCTGATTGTGAATCAGATCATTTCAGCAGAATAATTAAGTGGCTAATATCCTTTTGACTGATCCTGCATATACTGTATCTGTACTTCTGATCTTATTGAAGGTGTTCATTATGAAAAGACAAATCTCTGCGAGGGGAGGGGGCCACGCTGGGTTTGGGCTCTTGTGTAGTTGACTGCCATTGCAGTGAGGGAAAAACTGATCTAACATAGTAGTGACTAATATGACTTTGTGGACAGATAAAAAAAATAAAACACATTAGAAATAAATAAACACAAACAAAATAAACCTGTATTGCGTTTTTATGTCTTTCTGCACCCGATGCCATTTCTCTTCTCTTTCTCTTTCAGAATCAATATGTATTTGATGTTTGTAAACCATGTTAATATCAATGGGAGTCTATGAGGCTTCAGTACAATCCAGTGTGAATCAAGCAGCTTCAAACAACTCTTAGAGAAGGGCGCCCTCTTGTGGATTTGAGGAGAATAACAGGTCATCATTCCCACCTCCAATTTCATAATTATTTCCAATCTGAGGTTAAACAATTAGCTATTAAAAGCGTAAACAATTATGAATAAAGACATTTTAGAATAACTGTAATAAGGAATGTTTGGGGCCTTTGAGAATAGTTGCTTACGTGTTGTCTGGAGATTATGTTTACATGTATTATGCTAATAATAACTTTGTTTGTATAGCACTTCCTGTACATAGTTCATGCAGTTCAAAGTGCTTAATATGTCACAGTATGAGATTAAAAGCAGCACACAACAGAAATAAACTACAGAGAATACATACAAAAGTGTAATGTTAGAACAATTTAAGTAAATTAACTATCATTTGTATTAGTTTTCAGCAGCCTGCAAAAGAAGCCAATGTTTGAATAGTTGGAAATATGTTTTGGCAATAGGTATAGAACATGTATTAGAGAAAAAGCCATGTACAGCTGGCTGGATATAACATATATGGATATGATGTTGTTCCCAGCTCCATGGTACATTAGGAAATGTCACAAATGACAGTTTTTAAAATATTTTTCATGTGATGTCTCAACAATCTGCAGGTTAAACATGACTCTAATTACACCATAAGTACCTACAAAGGTAAAGGGCCTTTGTGTGAAGTGCCTCTCAGCTGTTCTTCCTGACTGCAGCAGAAATGATGTCAACTTTAAAGACCCCTGCAGTTTTGTGAATGTCTCCCGACATCAACTAATGAACCATTTCATAATCATCTGCATCTGGAGACAGTTTACAGCCTCGAAACTCCAAACCAGTACTTTGGGATTCACTTATGAGATGATTTATCATGCAACTGCGCCCTCTAGTGGAGACATGTATGAGAGGGTTGAAAATACAACTCCGGATTATAAGTAGTAGTGACACTTAAAATATACTAAAATGAACAAAATCAGAAATAAAACAAAAATAAGTGTGGTTCTGTGTACAGAATATAAAATGATATACAGTCCAGCCTGAGTTAAGTGAGAAGAAAGCTTACACAAAAGCGGATGTAACTAAAGTTTCCTTCAAAATAAAATGTGGTTTTTCAAAATGAACAGAAGGAATCGATGTTTGAATGTGCAATTATCAATAAAAACGGAAATAAAATGTTCATTCTCATAACATGTTTGCTTTCATCGTCTAATAAATGGCCTTATTTTGAAATTAGTTAAAAGGAAGTCATGCACTATTCTTGCCTGGCTTTACAAAACTGGGATGTAGAAGATTAAACCACTCTCATATAATGAGAAAACATCAGTTCTGTTTAGATGCACACATCCACATTAAACAAAGTAGGTCAACATACCTTTTCATTGATCAAACTGCATTTGTTTGTGAGTGTATAGACTGAATAGATTATTAAGTACATTAATCAATATAACACAAATCAATCAATTAACGTGGTTCAGTGAGAGGCAGAGTCAAATGCTCCAGGGTTAGCCTTCTTATTATGTAGCTATTAGCCTACATCCCTGTACTAGGGCAATAGTCTGCTCCCTGGTGACTGGTTGAGACTGAGTGGGCGAGACAGAGAGAGAGAGAGAGAGAGAGAGAGAGAGAGAGAGAGAGAGAAGAGAAGAGCAGAGAGAGCTAGAGATGAGAGAGAGATATGCCAGAGAGAGAGGGAGAGGGGAGAGCGAGAGATCGCTAGAGAGATATCGAGAGAGCGGAGCAGAGATTAGACAGAGATCGATATGAGAGAGATGAGACCTGTGCCTATACACGTCCCGCACTCGAAGCTTCCTATCACATCATCTGTAACCGGAGA